AGGTCATGATGTTGCTGATGGTTGGATTGAGAGGAATCTAGCTGGACTCGAAGGTCTGGCCAAGTGCCCTCTCAATCCACTATCTTATCTTATCTAATCATACATGTGGGTCCTGGTATAGACGGTTTGCAGTCTGGAATCGCATGGATCCAACAATTAATATATATATATATTACGCTTTTAACTTATAATTATATGTCGGATTAAAAACTTAAAAAATATATCTAATAATTTTACTATATATTAACTTTTAACACCTTATAAAACTTAAATCAAACGCGCAGTTATTAATTAATAATTGTGATGGTGTACAGCTGTATCCACCCGGTTGGATGCTGAGTCATCAGGTCACGTGTAGATTAGATAAGGAAGGAATGTGACCACCACTTAAGGTGTGTGCTGCGCACACCACCTTGCTGGCTTCTTTTTCCTTCCTCACCTTGTTATTTTCGTAATCAATACCAGATTGCAATACACCGGCGCAGGCATCGTGACAATAACATTATTGGTGTATGTATATATTACGTGATAACTTTGTAATTGCGAATTCAATAACAATTAATATATCATAGCCCCTTGCAACATACTTAGTACCCAGTCTGCCAGGCGGCCTTTCGTCACCCTAACCATCTGATTGGTCCATTCACCTAGAAAAGTGGGTCAAATTCTTGATACATATAGATACAGGCCGCCCGGCAGACTGGGCTTTTCCGAGGTAACACACAGATAGTATTGAAGCGTGGTTTCCAGGGTGGGATGCGTCCTAGCATATTGCGACTGCCCCTGCTGGCTTCATATGATCCCAGCTCGCAAAAAGAACCCCGACAACGCATGCTCCGGTGTAAGGGAGAATGGTCCAATGAGAGCAAAGATCATACCGTCTCAGTCACACTTGGGTGTGAGAGGGACGAAGCATAGGTTTCTGTGGGATTTCAAAGTGTTCTATTAAGGAGAGGAATTCCAGCTACTCAGGAGCGGCCAGAATGGCCCTATATATATCCAAGATACTGAAGGAAAGGATACGTGGCCTTATATGGGCCACGTATGTGACAGAGTCACAAATGGGGATGGTGATCCTGAAAGATGACTATGGATGGGCTAACATAGCCCAGAATCCAACAGTTTCATCAGTGAATGGTTTTTTGATCCTCATGACCCGAGATCAGGTCACGCCGTCGTTTGGGAGCGGCTGAAGAGGACTGCTTAAGATTGAGAGCAAGCCCAACGGATGTTGTTCGACATGATGCTAAATTCGACGTTTAGATCTTTTCAGTGAGGAGCTGAAATACGACATCATGCGGTCTTCCTACTTTCAACTCCTGATAGGGTACATGAGCGAATGTGATAGTTCGCACGAGGTGCAGCGTTCCAGTTGATATACCAAGCGGAGAGTATGTTCAAACGCATTGTATCTAAACCTCAAAAGGCTGCTTAGCCCGTTGCGAACGCAGTCGTGATAACCCACGTCAGTAAGCCTAGCAGGTCACGAGACATACACCCGAACCAGGTCCTGAAGAAGGCGTGTGCTACCTGTGAAGATCTCCTGGGTCAAATTAGGGTAATAGTCCATACGCAGGTATAGCTTAAAACAGGCTGCATATGTGAGGAGGCAAGGTCTTTGTGTAACAGCGGAACGGCAGGAGGTCGTTGATATATTGGGAGCACGGTATTTACGCAAATCGCCGGTTGGTGATGGTCGTAAGCTGAACCCTAGGTATGTCTCAAGGTCGTGGGAACGAGGGTAGATCAACCAAGAGTTCGTGATCCTCGGCGTTCCCTCTCGCCTGCATCGTGAGCATTGAAGGTGCTCAGAAGGGTGCCATTGAACGACGTCGTCTCCCGAGGCAGGGTTGGTTGCATCGTTATTGAATGAAATGCGTGAAATATGAACGAGCTCGATAGGTGCCAGGGGTCCAAATAAATCCCAGGACAATGCGTCTGCAGAGTACATCAATCCTCCTCGGACCCAGATCTCTTATATCTGGCTCGGCATGGTTGCGAACCGCAACCTAGTTGTGCAGGCTCCCGGTTCTTCCCAACCACCACTTGCTGCTTCTTATCATAATTCTCGATGGCATCAAACATCCGAGATGTCTGTTATGACTTGGAGTGCTTGAGTTATTTCAGATGAATACAGCGTGGAAGCAAGCTGCAGTGTTTACTCACTGACGGGTCGATGTTGAAGTTGACATCATGAGTGCCGGCTGCTTGATAATTCTGCCGTACCGGGCCAGGAAAGACGTATGTAGTGGGAAGACTGAGTCCTATCCCATGCCACCTAACACTAGCCATACAATCGGATGACAGCGAGGCGTTTTGAGCTTAGTTTAGGTAGGTTGAACATGATCGTGATGATATATGTAGATCAACGCTGCGGCTTGATCCCTTATTGCATCCGCGCTACACATGCATCCGCTCAGCATCGCAAGTTCGCAGCAGAAGGACCAGGGCACGTATGGAGCACTGCATGCGAAGACCTACATGATATTTCTTGTAGGATGAGGCGATTCAATGGAGAGAGAGCATGTTGTAAGTCAGCTCGTGCAGTCACTACTGGAACACATTTACAACGCACCAGGCGCATATCGGATGTCAACAATGCGAGGTCCGTATGTCTTGAGCCCGGTTATCATTCTCCTGTCCATTTCATGACCGCTAGATGTCGCATCGTTTTCTGTTCGTTAACACTGCATAGACGTGTAATAGATCAAGGCGCTGCAACTCAAGCACACGACCAGGTCGGTCAAGTTGGATATATTGGTCGAAGCTTGAATCGTCAGGACACGTGGACCGCCATTTATCAATGTATTAAGGTATGTGAAGGAAGATCCAAGCTTCTCTCACGCACTACCTATCAGCAAGGTCTGGGGATTTGTGGACGATACCGGTACAGGTGGGAGCTGGGACCGCTCCCCCTTTTATTACACTCTGTCCACCGTACAGGCGTTTGAGGCCATCGTCATTTCGCGTCAGCAAGGCCATGAGCGCTAGCCTCGGAGCTTTCTGGGATTCAGCCTGGGGGTACCTTACCTGGCAGGGATTCAACCTCAAGCGAGCCTCCCTGGGCATGGCGACAGATTTCCCAACCAATGGCTGTGAAGGCGTCCGGCGTCCCAGGCGTGAGTCTGTGACAAGTCAATCTCGCTGGCGGCCTTGAATAATAGAAGTTTCAGCTCATTTGATCGACATCTGATAGTGCCAGAAACAGGGGAAGGCCTGTTGATGTATTCTGGAATTCAAGATGATTCAAACGTATGCAGACTTCGGCAGCTCGGTGTATGTAGAGTTTGATGTTCAGTCCGTATTCCAATCTCCTGCTGTGGTGCAAGCCACACAACCGTTGGAGGGAGTGTCACCTGCAAAATTACCTGTTGATGTGTCAGTTGTGTTTGCTCAGGTCTGCATTCCCGGCGGACTGGTGCGAGATGAGAACGAAACACAGCAACAAGTTCTTCTCTTATCGCTGATCACTTCTCATCAGCAATGATACAACCTTGGAAGATGAGAGGCGCCTTGCTCTTCTCGGAAGGGTGACCCTTGACGGGCAATTTCAACGTGCTTCTTGACTTCCCGCACTTGACCCATTTCTGACAAGACCCGGGCTTTAGGGGCATTAGTGGCATGTATGCGCAAGGGGCCCCTGGCGCAGGTACGACAGTAGCTTTCCGCATTGGTGCACCGGTTCGATGCGCTGCCGTTTGTCCTTCGCGGCCTCGCTGCTGCCATTGGTGGGAGAGGCAGATGGACGTCGCATCGGTGCACCCTTCTGGATCGATGTGCGAGCCGATACCTACAGTAGACAATTGGAGGGAGAGTGGCCAAGCCCTCAGCTGCAAAGTGAACCATTGGGAACGTTGAGAAGACCGGTTCGAAGGTTCAAACGGCGCCTTCATGGCATCGGCTGGATTGAGATTTCCCACGGGCTGGCTGGTGCCTTTAGTAGCGCGCCAAGGTATTGCAGGATGTAGTGGAAGCCCGCTAAGCCCAAAGCCACGGCCTGTCACGGCGGCGCGCGCAGTGCAGGGACAGACGCTGTGGAGGCACGGCAGAACGGGCACAGGGCCCAGGCCGCCTGGCTGGAAGCATCAAATCGCAGTCTGGGTCAGGTCAGGTCAGGTCCTTCCTCCTTTTCTCTTTTGTTGTCGGTCGAGTCGCCTGGTCGCATGCCAGCAGCCACACGTCGGGGCCGTCCTTCTTCAACCTCTTTCCCTCCATTCGGCATCAGGTCCAATCCGCCTGGCCCGATCTACGGTTCCACGACACACCGCCGGTGCCCTACCTCGTTTTCCTTTCTTGTTTTTTTTGCGCATTGGGTCGTCCGTTCTAATATTCCCCTTCGATAATCCTACGTACCTACACAAAAAACCTACATACATACCTAACACAACATACATAACTGCGAATCCTGGATACGCATCACGGTTGCATGCGTAACCTCCAGCTGCGTCCCCCCTCGGCCAATTGACCTGCGCTCCACGAGACGTCCATGAATCTTCCGGTATCGTGCATTCAAGACAAGACCAGACGACAGCACGCCAACCACGATCTGAGGCACCTGCACCCACTCGTACTTTGCCATTAATTCCTTCCTCCCATACCCATACCCATACCCATACCCGTACGCCTGCCCTTCGGTCTCACCTTCCCCAACTGTAGTCACTCGTTTGTCATCTGGAATACACCACCACTCATCCCGAGTCACAACAGACTCTTCGGCAGTCTCACCATCTCGCCGCACAAACACCATTCCCTCACATCACATTCACTTTTGACAGCAAACAGCTCGGCACTGATTTTCTTGGTTTTGGTTACGGTTACGACTATTAATCCAACCAGTCTGACACTACCCTACAACACAAAAACACAAAGCGAGTACCTCTTCACGTCAGGCGCTCGCTCGACAAACGCACAAACGCCGCCGCGCAACAACCCGAGGACTGCACCTCTGCCAACCAGACCCCCCAGACTCAATCTTTCCGAGTAGCATGCGGTATTGAGCAATGATAGGATCAGAACGTCATGCATCCGTAGCGCCGGCAGCCACTATCCTCGACGCGGCTCGCACGACAGCCAACGCTGCATCAGACCTCCGCCATTTGTCACACCCAGAGCGAGCCCTCACGATGCCATCCACCAGCCCCAGAAAACGAACCAGCCAGAGCACTAGGACGTCTTGGACCACACGGGGACTGCTTGTCTCAATTCTCTCCTCGGCCCCTCTGGCAATGGCACAAGATGGCACATGTGTGTCATTATCAGGCTCAACCACCTGCCCAGCTTTCGATTCTGCCTCTGTATCGACCAGCAGCTATGTATACCGCATATAGTGAGTGCCACATTTTGCCTTGACGTCGGTTGTCACGTAGGGGCAGCTATTGGTCCTCAAATCAGATGCTAATTTTGACTGCATTCAGCCCGTTCTTGCAATATGTAACCGACACAGCATCGTTCGATAAACAGTTGACCCAGTACGTCCAGGGAAGTTATGCGCAAGAGAAGTAAGTCTGACTACTCCAACAATCCTCGGCCTTGAGCTCACCCGGGACTTTTAGATATCAAAACCTGCTAGGATGCGGTAGCGTCGATCTTTCCGATGCCGATCTCTATGCCCGTTTTACCATTTCGGTCATCTGTAATGGTATTGTCCAGAATTCTATCGACAATTGCACCTTGTCCGCAGAGGCATCGAGGCCCTTGTGCGCCGACTCTTGCGCTCAATATGCCGAGAGTGAATCGTATATCGCGGCTGACCGAGATCTCTGTCCCACGACTGGTGGAAGCAACCTGCAGAGTCAGATCCGAGCTGACTTCGTCAACTGCGCTTTACCTGCGAACGCGATATCAAGCAACAACTGTATCCAAGGTATCGCTAACGAGCCAAACAATTGTGGATATGGCGACAGTACTCTAGGATTGTGCTCGTATTGTTCTTCAGGCGGCATCAACTCGACGGATACCTGCTGCTACAACTCGAATGTGGAGGACGTATGCCAAGGCGTTGTTTTGCCCACGATTACACCCACGGTCGATTTCAATTCATCAATGCCTACTGCTACCCCCAGTAGCACGCCAGCTGCGGCAACTTCGAAGGGCCTTTCAGGTGGTGCTATTGCCGGTATCGTGATAGGATCGCTCGTGGGAGCATTGCTTCTAGCGTTCCTGCTGTTCATGTGCATTAGACTCGCACGGCGAAGACATGGCAGCCAGAAAGGTAGCGTTTTCAACCAGCCGGCGCCCTCTAGGAAAGGCCCTCAGGCATCTCAGATACCCGCAAACGCACCTCCACAGGGATACGAAGTGCTACCGGGAGGAAGGATTGCGCGTATGTCGGCATTGGAGGGCCACTCGGGGGCTTCGCCGTCGATACCCGGAGGATCAAGACCTGGCGTGTCAGCCGGTGCTGCAGCTGCGGGTGCAGCCGGTGGGTATATGGCTGGAAGAAGAAGGGGAGACAACCACTCGTCTTCTGATTCCTTTGGAGACAGCCCCAATTCCGAGATGCGAGCTGGTGTCTTACGGCCGCCGCCTACAAACCCCCGTAGGAATGGGTCTCTATCAAGCAACTCGGTTTTGGTGGGTGAAGATCCTCAGTCTCCGACCAGTGCAGGAGGCATGTCATCGGCTCCGGGAATTAACAGCCAGCAGTCAGAACAGCTACCATTCTTCAAGGACTACTATTCACAGGACGACATCCATCCCGGACACCGCGTCGCGGTACTCTGGGCATATCAGCCGCGCGCCGCTGACGAATTTGCCTTGGAACGTGGCGACATGCTGAAGGTGGTTGGCATCTGGGATGACGGATGGGCGACGGGCATCTTGATGGACGAGAGAGCAGACGAATGGGAAGCAAGACGGCAAGCACAGAGAGACAGCGGAGTTTCGAATACGTCCGGTCGTGGTCGAGAGGAGTCGCCTCCAGCCAGCGGAGAGATCAAGGCTTTCCCCTTGGTATGTGTCTGCCTACCCGAGCACTGGAGAAAAACGATTGAAGGAGATGGATCTACCGAAACTGGATCTAGTGCGCACCAAGGCAGCCAGCATACTTGAGTCTGATGATGACCTTCAATGTTGCCCATTTCGGATTCAAGGATAAAAGAAGGAATTCTGCTTGCATACTCCGGCGTTCAGACCGTTTGCCATGGATTCAGGCTCGGACGAGATACTGCGCCATGCCATGGGCTACGTTCCTCTTGTCAGGTCGACTTTCCCAACTTGCGGAGAAGCCCAACGCCGATGTGCTGTCGACCTCATCCACTCCGGCATCTCCCACCATTAACCCTTCCACATAGATACGACAAGTCGCATTCTTGTGATGGACACGCTTAATGCCCTCAGTTCTACGCGACCCATTTGATTACTTTCTGACGACGTATCGCCTCGAATCACGACCTGCGCCCAAGCCTTCTGGTAGCAAGCAGTGAACTGCGCGTCGGCTTGTCTTCGGAAACCTTTGAGTTGAAGAGACGAATGATACCTAATATTACGAATACTTGCAACTGGCGCCCTCCCCTTTCTCTTCGATTGTTTCATCTATATACCCGATTTGCCCTAGAAGCAAGGTGTTTGTGGGGGCGGATGCTGTCGGGGAGGGCCGTTGCTTTTTAATATGATTCTGCTTCCCAGAGGAGAGATTGGGACGAGGTGGGAGCTACATGTTATGCTGCCTGCATGCCTACGAGGGAGTTGGCGGATGGGAAGTGAGACGCCTAGGGGTACTTCTTCACTAGGTTGTAAAGGGCGTTCTCATGCCACCGTGCATGTAGATGAGCGTGGAAAGTCTCTTGTCAAACAAAGAGTTGACATCCTCCACCTCGATCACCTAGTTAAATAAGAAGGAAGATTACCAACGACCTTTTCCAATGCCAGAGGTGCAAGCCAACGAGCACGTTCGTATTGGAAGGTTTCCACGGATTGATAATCGGTAAGGCGTCTGACCTCGCCCAGATATCGAGGCACATCCTGCTGGTGCTTTAGGTGCAACGGTAATGTGATTCAGTGCCTTCAGTATAACAATGCTCTTGGATTCCATATCTGCAGAATCTAAGATGATCGTTCCCAATAATACCTACCTAACCTAAGGTAGTTGAAACAAGGCTATCAGACGACACAAAGGAGGCTCTAACATGAGGTCGGGACGGGTATGGCCCAAGCTCTATACCTACATAGGTAAGCGGGCTGCAGTATCGGTGCTTTAATTACCTCGGAAAAAGTATGTGGATCCCAGCCACTGGATGCAGCCACCAGTACCTTATCGGATCTCCTGTCATCCAGGGCGTTCTACGATAAGGTTACCTGGGATGGCTGTCCCAGGTGACAGGTACCCAACCACTGCAATTTAGGTATTTAGATACTTCTTGGATGGGATCCTTCCCGTCCGAACGTAACCAAGCACCAACCAGAATACAGATCATCCCAACCAAGATTTGTGATAGATCTCTGTTCTAGTTCCGCTACCACAAAGGCACAGGGCAACGGTCGCTAATCGACCGTTCCAAGGGTGCTAGGACCACCCCAAATCCACCTGGTCCGCGCCCAGACGACCTGCAGCCACACCACCTGCACCACTCTATCCAGCAATTATTAAGTAAATATATATTTAAAAAACCGTTATTAAATAATAAATAATAGAAAAACGGTTATTTAAAATAAAAAAATCTACCAAAATAAATATTATTAACTGTTGTTAGAATTTGTATGCGGAAATATTGGTTCATTCGTTCGTAGTTCTGTATCTACTTTGGTATGGACGAATTCACACCTAAATACAGGTGTAACGCGCCTGCCTGCCGTAGCACTAGAGCTGTGGGGCAACGTCCCTAGTCGACCGTTTCTAGGGCGCTCGGACCACCCCAATCTACCTGGTCCGTGCGCAGACCACCTGCAGCCACACCACCTGCACCACTCCATCCAACAACTGTTAACATTTTATATAGTGGTTTTTAAATGTAACGTTAATTTATGTAATAATTTAAGGTTTGGTTTTCAGTTATACCTTTCATTGAAAATAAGTAATAGTTATAGTAATTACACGTATTATAAAATTATAGCTTGTTAGAAAAATTTCTATTTAACTAGTGTTTAGATGTATAAAAGCTTTTTAATATGTTTACTTTTATTAATAAAGCGTTTGTTTCGCTTGTTTTTTAAGTTATCTTTAAATAATAGAACGTTAGAGTCTTTATAATTCTAATTGAATTAAGCTTAAAATAAAAACATAACTCTATAAAGGTTTTAACCCGTTTTAATAGCCTTGTTTATTATATTTAATAACAATAAATCAAAATCTTTCATTTTTTATATGATAATATATATAATTGAGATTCATACAAATTGAAACGGTTCTGGTATAAGCAATTATTTAGATTATAATATATTATTTTATAAATCTTAATAGCTTTGTATTTATATTAGTTTTTAAATATTCAATAAACATATTATTAAACATTCTTTTTATATAAATAAAAGGCCGTAAGTTAAAAAATGTAATATTTCAAGCGACTCGAACGCACTTAAATAATACTTATTATGGTATATTTTAATTAGAAAAAAGCTTATTAAATAGTTTAAATTAAAATTTTGATAATTTAATTAAAGTTTACGGTTATTCCTTTCGTACGATATAAAACAATAATATAATAAAGTTAACCTTAGTCCGTTAATATTGATTAACTTTTTCAATTTTTATTCAATTTTATTTATCATACAATGCGTAAAATAATAATAATTAAAACTTGTTAAGAATTATATTAGTAACCAGAACATTAAAAGTAATAAATTTTATATTATTATTTGCTTAAATACCGTGAAGCATTTTATTATTGATAAATTAAAATTAAATTAAATCAAATAAATTAAATTAATTTTAATAAAAATTAAATAAAATTAAATCGAATTAAGTAATATAATAGTTATAGATTCAAATTTAAGTTGTTAAAATTCGAAGTAATTAGCTTTAAAACTTCAAAAAACTTAATATAATATAAATATTATAGCTATATTATGTATATAAAAGGATTTAATAGTAACTTTAACGTATAATGTAATCAATTTGTTATTATACATTAAAAAAAGCTATATTAAACGATTAATTTAATGCTTAATATATTAATATTGAAAATAAAAATAACCGTTCGTAAAATAATGTAAATAATTAGAATAAACTTATAAAATTCGTTATATATATTACTAGTGTTAATATAAAAGATCAAGCGTAATAAAAGCAAGTATTAATCAACACACATTACTGAATATAACATTTCTAATTAAAATATTAATATATATATGGTATAACTAAAAGGGTTTAATTTTATTATTAATATTAATAATTATATAAAAAATATTAATAACCCGTTTTGCTTTTTTAAAATATTCGAGTTTTTAAAAGCAGTATTATATAAAAACATAACCTTTTTATAACTTCAAATATCGCTTAAAAATAAAAATAATCTTTATTAATATTTTAAATTAATTCATATCATATTAATAAATATAAAGCTTATAAAAGCTTAAACTTACAAATCTAAATTTACCGTATTTTCCAATAAAATTTTTATTTTATTTTAACTAACAGTGTATTTAAACTATATATATATATATATATATTATAAAAAAACATGAATTCTTAACTATTAAATGAGTTAACCAAAAGTGTTCTCTTATCTCTTAGTAACGTAATATATATCGAATGTTATTAATTCGATGTATTTTTTCAAAATACTTTCGTTTGTATTATTAAAAAACTAATTAAATTTAACTTTTCCTAAATTAATTAAAATATATATATAATTATTTCAACAAATATTATATTTAATAGACTTACTATTAATAGTTATTATTTTGTAGGAAGTTGTAATATTAAATAAATGAAAATATTTTTTTAAAAGGGTTTCTTTTTTATAAACGTAATTGATGGTGAAAAAAGGTTAAATATAAATAAATAAGTTTTATATGTAATATTTTTATTAAAGCTAGTTTTTATTTACAAAAACAAGATTAATTTTTAAAAAAATACGTTATTGTTGGAACAGGCTTGAACGATCAATCATAATACTCGAGTATTGGGTCAAGGTCATAATGTTGCTGATGGTTGGATTGGGAAGTCTAGCTGGACCTGCAAGTCTGGGTAAGTGACCTAATAATCCGGTATCTAATCTCTTATCTAATCATACATGTGGGTTCTGTATGGATGGTTTGACTGTGGATCACATGGATCCAACAGTTATAAACTTATACCACTTATTCCTACCAAGACATTTTATATATATAAATATAATCAAGAATATTTTATTAATAAAATAGGGTTAAACAAATATTATATAGATATTTTCGTATATAATATCGTAATAACGATTAAATTGTACATATACATAATAGGTAAAATAAAAATAAAAATAAAATCATTTAATGTTTGAAAATGTTTTTTTAAAAAGCTTTTAAAGTAATCAATACGTTTTATACGCTTAGCTTTTTGAAGTAAAGTATTTATTTAAATTATTAAAGTTAAAACAATAAACTTATTATTATGTCCCAAATTTCAAATTGTGATAGTTTATAGAAAAATTTAATTCTTAAAAAATTGAAGAATAAATCACGTTTTATTAAATATTTGATACGTTTATTTAATATATTAATTACAAGGTTAAAAATGATATTAAATGAGTTATTTCTATTTTATTTGTAAATTGATACATTAAAAGACACTTTTATTCATAAAATATATAAATTTTCTTTTCGTTATATATGATCGAAATATCCATACTATCAATTTTAGCTTAAAATAATATTTAAAGTATGTCGCATGCTTAGAAGGCACGGACGGCGACGCCCCTCAAGGGCGTCGCCCTGCAGAGAAAAGGGCTCTGCTTTTTTCGGAGGTATAAGCTGTCACCCGCCATACCTTATCTATCAGGCTATCAGGGTCACGTCTGCCTCGCCGACGCATTGGCGTCATTGCTTGAGTACATCAGCTGCCACCTCGTCCCGTCGCATTGCGGCGCCCGGGTAGCGAACTTAAGAATCACGGATCTCTCACTGTTCCATGTTCCGATCCTACATGGGCGGTGCCGACAATGATCCATCTACTCGTTGAATCCTCGCCAAGGTAGCTGCGTTACATACCCACGCAATGGGTAACAGCTATTCACTCTCAACGCCGTACGCCGGCTCGGCTGGTATCGACATTCCGGAGCTGGCAGATCTAGCACACGAGAGATCGATAGGCAACGCCCGGTTCATGAAGAGCATCCGCGCACGCCATCGCGACGGAGTGGCTCTGGCAAAGGTCACCGTCAAGCCCTACAGCAACTGTTCCCTGCGCGAGTACGGCGAGAAGATACTGCGTGAGCCGCCCTCACTTCTCACTTCCTGCCTTTCAAATGTGACATCTCTCGCTAACCACCTCTAAAGTGGAACGTGAGAAGTTAAAAGACGTACCAAACGCCCTCGGCTTCGAGCGCGCCTTCGAGACCGACACCAACGCCTACCTCGTCCGCCAGTACATCTATAGTTCGCTGTATGATCGCCTGTCCACAAGACCCTTTCTCGAAGACATAGAGAAGAAATGGTTGGCATTTCAGTTGCTATGCGCTTTGCGCGACTGCCACGCCCGGGAAATATACCACGGCGACATCAAGACGGAGAATGTCATGGTGACCTCTTGGAACTGGCTATACCTCACCGACTTTACCGGTTCTTTCAAACCAACGAAGCTTCCCGACAATAACCCTGGGACATACTCGTACTTCTTCGACCTATCCGGCCGGAGGACTTGTTATCTCGCGCCTGAGAGGTTTGTGGAGCATATCCAGAATGCGCAAGAGCTGGAGGGACACGATCTGACGTGGTCGATGGATATCTTCAGCGCTGGCTGCGTTATCGCCGAGCTCTTCCTGGAAACGCCAATCTTCAGTCTAAGCCAAACGTTCAAGTACCGCCGCGGCGAATACGATCCTGTCATATCACACCTGAGCAGAATACCCGACCAAGGGTTGCGCGAAATGCTGTCCAGCATGATACAGCGGGATCCTCAGAAGCGATACTCGGCCGAGCAGTATCTAGACTTCTACAAAAGCAAGGTGTTTCCGGGATATTTCTACAGCTTCCTCCACCAGTACATGGAGCTCATCACCGATCCCAGTTCCGGGAGAGCCCCCATCACGGGTTCTGGCAAGAACCCCCAGAACCTGGGCGAAGCAGATGATCGAATAGACCGGGTGTTCTACGACTTTGACAAGATTGCCTACTTCCTGGGCTATCATGATAATAAGAAGAAATCAGAACTTGCCCATTTCGCACCCAGGCTTGGCCTTGGCTTATTCCCCGTACGATTGAACATACCGAATAACGAACACTTTACCACTGTTGGGGCGCAGGATCCGACAGATGATGGGACTTTGATCTTCCTCACTTTAGTCGCAGGTTCTCTTAGGAACACTGCCCGTTCCGCTTCCAAGATCAGAGCATGTGATTTGTTATTGGCTTTTGCGGAAAGGTTGACCGATGAGGCAAAACTGGATCGAGTCTTGCCGTACTTGATGACCATGATGAACGACGAAGTCGACCTCGTTGCAATCGCGGCTCTGAGGTCCGTGACTCAGCTTTTAGCATTGGTCATGATTGTCAGCCCTGTCAACGCCCATGTGTTTCCTGAATACATCATGCCCAGGATGCAGGTATTCCTGTCAGGTGCATCCAGGCAACTCATCATGGGAAAGGAACGCAGAGAACCAAGTGCGCTGGTTCGTGCAACCTACGCATCGTGCCTGGGCAGCCTTGCAACCACAGCATCGAGGTTCCTGGAGCTGACGGCCATCCTTAGAGCGGAGGGATCGATCAGCACAGCGGACCCTGAAGTGGAAGGCGGAAGCGAGGCCGATGCTGCCTTTGATCACTTATTCGATAACACGCAAGGGGAGCTGGTCGACCTGTTCGAGAACCACGCCAAAGCGTTGGTTGAGGACTCTGACGCGTCTGTTCGCCGGGCTTTCCTCACTTCAGTCCCAGAATTATGCATGTTCTTCGGCAGTGCCGAGTCAAACGACATCTTGCTCACGCATCTCAATACCTACCTGAACGACCGTGACTGGATGCTGAAATGTGCCTTTTTCGACACAATCGTCGGGATCGCGGCCTTCCTTGGTAGCACAAGCTTGGAAGAATTCAGTCTTCCACTGATGGTACAAGCGGTCACAGACCCTGAAGAGCATGTCGTACAAGCAGCTTTACACTCCTTGGCCGAGCTCGCAAAACTGGGCCTCCTGTCCAAGGCGAAAACGTGGGAGCTGATCGACGTGGTTGGCCGATTCACAATGCATCCGAACCTTTGGATCAGAGAATCAGCGGCCGAGTATATATCCAGCGCCGCAAAGCTGCTGTCACCTGCTGACATACGATGTATCGTCTTACCGCTCGTCAGGTCGTTCCTGAAACCTGCCATCATTCCTGACTTCTCCGAGCTGGCCTTACTGGATGCGTTGAAGAAGCCAATGTCGAGGACAGTGTTCGACTTGGCGCTGTCTTGGGCACAAAAAACCGACAAGGGGCTGTTCTGGAAAGCCGTCAGGCAGCAGAAGCAGTCAACATTTACGATTGCGTCTACGGCACTGGCTATTCGTTCATCTCGGGAGCTACAGCCTCAGACGCTCAATAAAGTGCCTCGAAACGACGAGGATGAGCAGTGGCTTTCGCGACTGCGAAATATGGGAATGGCCACCGAAGATGAGTTCAAGCTCCTTGTTCTCAGGGAATTCATCTGGCGTTTGAGTCAGATGAAGAATCGTGACCTCAATGCGCAGGATAATATAACTACGACTCTCAACGAGATCATCGAGTTGCGAAGCTTGAATGTCAAGATGCAGACGATCATGTTCGACGAGAGTGCCGGACTCGAGGAGCAGAGATGGCGACAGCAGCAAGAGCCGGAGACCGATAAGGGGCCATATACCATTGCTGACGCGCTAATGGATGCATCTATGACAATTGATGGACCTGTTGGACGGAGACGGCGCGCTGCTATGAATAGTCATCGGTCACGAATGAGCCAAGGGGGCACAGTTTCGCCGAGGACAAGGGACAACAGGGGATTGTCACCGGTACACACAGCGCCATCATCACCACTAGACGGACGCGCGGGCTCTGATGCCTCGCGGAGGGCTTCGTCAGTCACACGAGGGCAAAAGTCTCAGGATGATGACGCCTCGGTTTCGGATGCACCATACGCCTCAAGAAGGACTATCCGACACCAGGCGAGCGCACTCGATCTGCTGAACAGGAAGGATAGTGGAAGATCCACTGCAGAAACAGGAACGACCGAGGCGAATGCGTTCGGCCAAGTAGAAGGGCCTTTTGCACAGAACCCGCCTCCGCAAATAATCATTGCTGGAGATGCTGGGGAGGACGGCAAGTCAGACACGAGAGAACGCCCAGCACATACATATGAGGGTAGTGACCCGAACATACTCAAGATGCTTGACAACATGTACGTCGATAATTATCCCCATGATATCGCGGAATTCGGACCTCTCGTCTCGCCAGTGACGAGAAGGAAGGCCAGCAAAGCCGCAGGCCAGTTGAGCGAAGAAGCTTGGAAGCCGGGTGGCAGGCTGGTTGCTACGTTTTCCGAGCATATTGGGGCTATCAACCGCGTCATCCCGTCTCCAGACCATCAGTTCTTCATCACAGGAGGCGATGATGGTTGTGTGAAGGTATGGGACTCATCACGGCTTGAACGCAATGTAACACATCGCGCGAGGCAAACGCACAAGCATCCACCGGGTGCGAAAGTCGTTGCCCTTTGCTTCATCGAGAACACGCATACGTTCGTCAGCTGCGCCACTGATGGCAGGGTTCACATCGTCAAAGTTGACACTGCGGTCTCGAGCGGAGCTACCAAGTACATCAGACTACGCCTACTTCGAGAGTACCAACTCCCGACGGACGAGTACGCTGTTTGGTGCGAGCATTTCAAACATGAGCTGAGCTCTGTCCTCATCGTGGCGACGAATCGCTCACGTGTCTTGGCCATGGACCTTCGCACGATGACGCTATTGTATGTGCTTGAGAATCCCGTACATCACGGCACACCAACGTGCTTCTGCATTGATCGAAAACGGAATTGGTTGTTGCTCGGCACATCGCACGGTGTCCTGGATTTGTGGGATTTGCGCTTCAAGATGCGCCTCAAAGGCTGGGGCATACCGGGCAAGTCAGCCATCTACCGCCTAAGCCTACACCCGGTCAAGGGCCGCGGGAAGTGGGTGTGCGTAGCAGGGGGCACCGGCCTGGGAGAGGTGACGGTCTGGGACCTCGAAAAGACACAATGCCGCGAGATCTACCGCGCCGGCGGGGCCCGGGAGGGACCCAAAGAGTACAAAGCCTGGGACGTGGACGAGGATAAGCCCGAGGGCATGCTGGGCCACTTCGCGACAAACGGCCTTGAACCGGCGGCAGCCAGCGCCAATGTGGACCGCGGCGTGCGCGCCATGGTCGTCGGCGCGGGAACCATGGAGGACCAGCGCGACGTCCGCTACGGCTACATCCTGACGGGCGGCTCGGACAAGAAGCTCCGCTTCTGGGACCTGATCCGCATCGAGAACTCGTGCGTCTTCAGCGGTCTGCAGGGCGAGGACGCCAGGCCCATCTTCGCCACCGCCAACACGCCCACGCAGCCAGGCCTGACGCTCAACGTCGAGCGGCTGCCCAAGAGCGCGGATCAGAAGAGCGGTGGGAAGAACGGGAAGCCCGCAGAAGCAGGTGGTAGCAGCGGCAGGGAGAAGCCGCCGCGCCACACGGTCATCTCGGCCGAGCAGGGCCAGCTGCTTAGGAGCCACCTGGACTCGGTCCTCGACGTGGCGGTGCTCGAGCTGCCGTACACCATGACCGTCAGCGTCGACCGGTCCGGCGTCATCTTCGTCTTCCAGTAAGGTCGGGACTTGGTGGTCTCACAGGAGGAGCAGCGGGGTGGCGGGATCGCGGGCGTGCTGTCTTTGAGCTGAATATATGTGTTACCTTAAGCGTGCTTGTCTGTCACTGGACGTAGACTTAGATCAGAGCTTTGTTGATTGGTGGGTGGGTATTGAATGGCGCTTTGACGAGTCTGGAATGTATTGCTTGAAACGGGGTGGGTTTGGGGTTGGTAGCAAGCAGTGTCTGTCTTCATTGCTGTGTATACCTACTGGCGCTGGAATATTACCTTGATCTGTACTGCTTAACCTACGGCGGCACCTTGTAGAGTGAGGTTTAAGTGACTGCGGAAGGCTTCTATTGATTTCTCAGCCCTGTTGAGGACAGCTAAGGTTAGAACAATGCCGGAACCAGCTGATGTGTGCTGTCCGTATGTCTGTATGTAAGCGGCTCGACTGACGGTGGCGATTACTAACTACATGACCTAAAGGAGGCACGACGGCCGCTCACTTGATGATTGAATACGAGATATTTGGATGGTTTGCTCTGTGACCCCGGTCTGCCGGGCACCCTGTGGCACACTCTGCAAAAGCACCAGTGACTGAGCACTGAGTACCTAGTGCCATGCTCATTGCTTAGAAGAGTTGCCGAGTGCAGATACGAGATGTCTGTCCTTAATAAGCTGAACACGAGAGGGGCCTGGTGAGCTGAGGGGTTCGTTCGGGGATTGGATGTGCATGGCAAGTGAATTGGGTAGCGATCTACTAACTAGCGATCTAAGCTACCATGTAAGCGGTTTATTCCAAGACCATCGTCATCTCACAGATAAGCTTGTGAGATGCTGAGGTATATAAAAGGAAGTGACGTGCCCGTCTCCAATAACCAGAACATCTAACTTGCCCATCAGATATCGATATCAGCAGCAACAGCACAACAACATTGACCTTTCAACATGTATTTCTCCGCAGCTGTATTGGCCTTCGCCACGTCGGCATTCGCCCAGAACCAGACCGGCCCTTTCGCTCTGCACATCACCGGCAAGACGGACAAGACGATTGACGGTATGTTTTTTTAACTGACAACCCTCTCATGACATTACCCACTGATACCCGCCTCGTAGGCTACGGCGCCTCCTGCCACTCCGGCGCCGCCATCGAGACCCTCTGCTACAGCGCCGGCGCCGCAAGCGCGTCAGCCAACCAATACTACTACAACTACTCGTCCTACAGCCCAGACACAGGCGCCGTCTCCCAGCCGGGCCTCATCACCTGGAACCTGCCGTTCACCAGCGGTGCAAACGGGTCCAGCGTCAGCTACGAGAGCCAGGCCCTCGAGCTGCAGGTCAACCTGGTCAGCAACGTGCTCCCGGCCATGTTCGGCTTCGGCGACCCGACGTACTTCTCCTTCCACCCGGACAACGGCACGTTCTACGTCGGCAGCGCGGTCGACGACTCTAGTTTTAATGAGACCGTCCCCGTGGAGCCGTACGTCGGTCCTATTGATAATTTCTACCTGTGCTACCAGTACTTCGAGGGGTACTATTATCGTTCTGTCGGCTGGGCCCTTACTACCCCGCCCCACAACCCGTCGTGCGAGCCTGTTAACGTGGCTATGGAGGTGGTCGCCTAATTAGTGATAAGCTGAGGCTGCTTCCAGTTGCCAGAGGACAGAGAATAGCTCGAGTAATGGATTCGACGTGGGGGGTTGCATGAGTACCTTACCTGATGAATCGGCATGGACCTAGGGGACGGACATATGGGTGGCCTTGATCTCTGACCTGCCAGAAATCCTGAATATAATGAAGTAATTAATACCTCCAGTAATCAAACTCCCATGAGCGCTATAGATACATATTTTTTGTTCTATCTTGTGCTCGTACATGTTTCGTAGCAATCTGAATGGTTCGAGTTAGAGACAGCTTGGTTGCTGTTGGTAATATATAGCTGAAGGTTGCTGTATCGTACACCGTTCATCAAGGTGGTGAACATCTATAATGGGAAGGAATTGCATTTGGGGTAATCACCGTGGAACGAGCATAGAAAGTGGCATATCAAACAGAGGTTGCTTATTATTCCAGGCTACTTATACCAAATATTGCAAGAAGGAAACTCGGCGCGTGGACAAAGTGTCTTTTAAGCGTTCAAAGTACTATGATTAATATGTACTTGAAGATATAAACTAATATACTGCGAGCTATTATGGATCATTCCAGCATAGGTATGGGTATCTACCGGCGAATCCTAGCCCCAAGTGCCACCACCTCCACCACCCCTTCCGCCCTTCCGCTGAGCACTGAGTCTCCAGTCGTCTTCTGCGGCGTACTTGTTATACAGGGGCTGAATCCGTTCAGCCTGCTTCCTCTTGCTGAGCTTATCGGTGGGAGCAACCTTGAAGAAGGTCGGCGCTGCCGAGACAAGCCATTTTGGCTCGATGGCTGTCGTGCAGTGCATGTATTCCTTGGATGTCATGACCAAGGTGTGGTAAATCACCCACTCGGCTTGCTTGCCGAACAGCGCGGAGCTTGGGTGCAGATACACTGGGGTGCCTTCAACAAGTGTCTTGAAGCCTTCTTGGGGGTCCTTTCTGGCCGAGTTGCGGAAAAAGCCGGAGCATAGGGCTTGTCTGACCTTTTGGGTGTCACGCCCACAGGACATGATAGCATGACGATATCGCTTCATGATTGTCGTCAGCTGATCGCGGACATCTTTCGCTCGCTTCATGGAGCGGGCCTGGATGAAGTTCTCGAAGCACCAAGGAGCGGAAAAGCCACTTTGCTTCCAGGCATTGTACACGTTGAGAAGTGTAAGATGATCCCCGTGTGGATCATGGAACTTGGCCTTTTTCTGATCGGCCTGTGTTTGCTTTTCCTTTGGACGGTAGAAGACATTGGGAAGATTGAGCATTGCAACGATGCTTAGGATTTCGTCCGAACAGCCAATTTCAACAGATCCTATGAGAACTTTGGCTAGAGCAGGCTCCATGGGAAAGTCGGCCATCTTGCGGCCTAGCCGTGTGAGCAAACCCTCCGAATCCAGCGCGGACAGAGCGTAGAGAGTTTCTAGCGCTTCGAGCATGGTGTTGGTAGGAGGAGGGTCCATGAAGTCGAAGTGGAGAAGATCATTGATGCCCATCGCCTTCAACATGAGGATAGTATGAGCCAGATTTTGGCGCTGTAGCTCTGGCGGCGTAGTTGGTAGCATTTCCGACTGATAGGCTGCTTCTGTGTAGAGCCTGAAGCATTTTCCAGGACCAGTTCGACCAGCACGGCCGGCACGCTGATTAGCCTGAGCTTGCGATATTGGAACCACTACCAACGAGTCCATTCCAAGCTTGGGATCGTAACTGTTCTGCTTGACGAAGCCCGGGTCGACCACGTAGTAAATTCCATCGATCGTAATCGATGTCTCGGCAATGTTGGTGGCTATGACAACCTTCCTGCTGCCCGGTGGTGCGGGATCGAACACGCGGGATTGCACCTCGTTCGGGAGGGCAGAGTAGATTGGGCATATGACTAGCTCAGGAACATTTGGCCCCAGAGCTTTCATGCGTTCGTATAGGATGCTGGCTGCGGTATCAATCTCTTCCTGACCAGTCAGGAATAATAGTACGTCACCACTAGGTTCTGTCAGGTGAATTTGCATGACCGTGACCAAGGCAGCATCAAGGTAGTCGGATTCAGGTTCTCGGGAATAGAGAATCTCGACGGGGAACGTTCTACCCGGTATCGTGAAGATGGGACATTCGTGGAAATAGGCGGAAAACTTGTCAGCGTCGAGGGTAGCGGATGTGACGATGACTTTGAGGTCAGGCCGACGTTTTAGGGTCTTCTTGAGAAGTGCGAACAAGACGTCGGTCGAGATGGTACGCTCGTGGGCCTCATCCAGCATGATGACAGAGTACCTCTTCACATCCGGGTCCACCAGGGTTTCACGCTCCAGCATACCGTCCGTCATGTACTTGATCCTCGTGGCCGGGCTCGTCTTGTCTTCGAATCGAATGGTGTAACCGACTTCTTGGCCAAGTTCACAACCGACCTCTTCAGCAACGCGCTTGGCTACGGACATAGCTGCCACTCGTCGTGGCTGCGTGCATCCTATGATGCCATCGTTGGCAAAACCAGCTTCAGCCAGATACTGTGTGAGTTGCGTAGTCTTGCCAGAGCCTGTCTCGCCAACCACAATCAAGATCTGGTTCTCCCTCACAGCGTCGATGAGCCGATCTCTGAAGGCATATACAGGCAGGCTTTCTCTTTGTTGCTTGATAGACATGGTCGTACGTTTCCCGAAGGATTGGTCTTTGGATACGATGGCGCGTTTCCATTCGGGCACGGCTTCTGCCGATGCTGCGTTTGCTTTCGTGTTTCGTAGGTCGCTGGCGAACTTCCTACTGTCGGGGTTCGCCATTGGATCTTGCCACTGTGCTGACAGATCAACCTTGGACTCTTCCTCGGCCGCCTCGGCCTCCTGCTGGCGCAGCTCTCTTCGCTCTTTGATCAGCGTGGTCCCAGACATGGCTGAGCGGTTGAGAGATCCATCCGGAGCTTTCACTACCCGGATTGGGGACAGCTCCAAAGACTGCTTAGTTTGCCCTGCAAGAAATGGTGGCTCCTCTTCGCGAACCTCGATGTCGACTTCTTCCTCGAGCTCCATGTCCCCTTCGCCCTTGAGGGTGGCGTTGTAGTCTTCCTCGAGCTCAGGATAGTCTGAAGCTTTCGCGACACCCGAAGCAATGAGCTGTCGAATTTCCCAGCGTTCTGGTGAAGTCATCCGCTTCTTATGCCGTCTCGGGGGACCAGTATATTCTGAAAGAGCGGCCAAATTGTCGTCTGGCCTTCCGCCGAAGCCGTTTCTGCCGCCCAGGCTTATCATATTTGCACCTGAGCCACCTAGGCTCTCCATATTTGCACCCGACCCTATACGTGCTTGCGGCGCCAGATCCGCGCCAGTCTCTTGATCCACGTCCTTCATGGAGAGTCCGATTCGAGTGCCCTCGATTTTGGTGACTTTGATCTTGACCTGCTGGCCCTGCGAAAGAAGATCCGAGGGATGGTTGACCCTCTGCCCTTGAACCAGGTTGGATATATGCACCATGCCATCGACTTTGCCCCGTACCCCGTGTAGGTTGACGAAGGCGCCAAAGTCTTTGATACCAGTCACATGGCCATCATACACCTTGTATAGTACAGGAGCATCGTCAATCTCTGCCTCCGGGGCACGACGTAGCGTGTCGTTGTCCTCGGTGTCGTATTTACGCTCTCGTCTGCTCCTTCGCTCCTTTCGGCCTCTGTGGTATTCGTCGTCGTCTCGAGACCGCCGCCTCTCCTTTCTCGCATGCCTAGAATCCATATACTCGTCGTGCGGGCTTCGAGAACGCTTTCTCAACGATCGGTCGGGTCTCGCAGCGTGTGATTTGGGCTCCAGTTCTTCCAGGAGGGACAAGGAGTCTTCGATGGTGCTGTCTGGGATGACCATGCCAGGGAACAGCGTCTCCTTCTGCTGCAGCGATCGTGCTGCTGGCTGTGCGTCGTGGGTGTGATCCTCTTTCGTCGCGCCCTTGAATTTGGGATGCATGGTTTGGACCAGGCGGTCCACACTCTCGAGAAGACTGTCTGGCCAGAGTGCGGCACTCATGCCGGTCATGGTGGCCTTAAATTCGGCTAGGTTGGGGCATTCTGTTCGTTTTGCGATCAGGAACTCGGCCAGGTCCTTGTTCTCGACGTCCAGATGGTTTTGCAGCTCGCTCACGACTTTGGAGACAAGCGATAGAAACTCCAAGTCCTCCAGACCCTCGAGGCCGTCCATGGTGGTGGGTGCTGTGGGGCGTGTGGTGCGTGTGATGCGCGAGGCAGGATCCGCTGATTGACGATGCAAATGCTGAAGTGCTCAAAGTAAACAAACCGTCCCAGCAGCCGGCATAAGTGTTTCTTCTCGCCAAAATGGGTGTAATCACCTTATTCCATTATTCTCGAGGGCCTACGCGGATCGGCGAAGATTGTTAAGGTGAGTAGTCCGTCGCAAACATTTGAAGTCTAGATAACGACCCGCTTTTCTGAGGTGGGAGCGTTGCTTATCTCCGATTCCGATAGCAGCAGCAAGGCCCCCACCTGGTGAGCAGCTGCCTGACAATGACAGTGCCTGTGAGTGTTTGCGGCTGAGCCCGGGCCCTGTACCTGGACGTCGGCTGAGTCTAGGTGGAGAGCGCTAAAACCCCACCTGAATTCGCCTCCCGCTACTGACATGCCCTCCAGCTCAGCCCCATGGAGTGATGAGTCCTCCCATCCGTCCATCCTCTCTGAACCTATCTCGCCCCAACCTCAACCGTCAACCACCATCGCTAAGATTCCGTATATACCTACAACACTGCGTTCCTTCCAGAAACAGGCCGAGTCCGGACGAATACTATCAGTCAACATGTGCGGTGCTGACTGCTTCCTGGGCTTCCTAGCCATCCTCTTCCCGCCTCTACCCGGTACGTCATGCTCCATCCATGCATTCGCATCTCCAGTCAAAGCGCCCTGCATTCGCCGTTGGCCATTCGTCTGCCTAGCGGCGTCGAGGTGACGGGACGCGCTTCAAGTTGAATCGCGAAATGGACTACACTTGACTACATAATAATGCGAGTTAGAAGCTGACATCCAAACAGTCTGGGTCAAGTGCGGCATCTGCTCCGCCGACTCCATCATCAACCTCCTGCTCTGTCTCCTGGGCTACGTAAGTCCACCCCCAACAAACACCTACCGTACCCTTCGCATTCCCCCAGCTAACAACCGCACCCAGATCCCCGGACTCCTGCACGCCTGGTACATAATCGCCAAGTTCCCGGACACCCTCGACTACGAGCGAGTACCGCAGCAGGACGGCGAAGGCGGCCGCGTAACCTATGTCTTCGTCAACCAGCAGCCCGGCTCCGGACAGCAGCAGCAGCAGGGCCGCAAACAGCACAAGCCGAACCAGCCCCACGGCGGCATGAACTACGGCACCGCCAGCGACAACAACAATGCAGAATCGTCGTCAACGGCACCTCACAAGGATGGCGAAGGCAGCGGACAGGCGCCGGCGCCGCCGACGTACGCCGAGGCCGTCAAGGGCGACCACAAGGTCCAAACTCAGGACTAGGAACCCTAGTCCGTCGCGGCTGGCGGCTCAGCTGCTCGAAGGTGGTTGCCACTAATGGGTTCGACGTGACTGCAGTATATTTGTGATAGCGTGCTTTCGGTTGCGGCAGACGTATCCCGGCCTGGCATTCGACCACTACTGTTCGCTATCTGAGCATGGTGACACATGTATCAACAATTGGGGGAAGCGTTCATCATGAAACGGTTAGCCTATTGGCCGAGAGGCTCATCAGCAGTGTCAACATGACTGGAGTTATGTGGCTATTTTCGTTATATAATTGCCTCTGCGGTCACTTGGGAGCGTAATCTTTTTGCAGTAAATCATGTTAATAACTCATTTAGAGCAATGGGCTTGATGTATATTGATATAGAGGTCGGCCGTGGATCTAGTTATAGGAAGCGGTCCGCACATCTCCTTGCTGGACGTATTGAAGTAACCTACCAGCAATCACTCAGGTTAGTCATGTCATGTGCCTTATCAACATGATATATCATGTCATTCCGCGCAAAATCAGTTCACGTGGAGTCATTGAGCATTCATCCCTATAAATAGGGGCTTCAATAGGGGCTTCAATAAGGGATACACCACATGCGCTTTCGATCTAAGGCGCCATCTACCGCTCCCAAACACAGCACAATACAACCCTCAACCCTCACCCCCCACCCAGCCATTACAACCACTACAACCCTTACGTCCAAACATCATCCAACCCATGATCGCGAATCCCCCCGTCCCCGTCCCCGTCCGCGAGGCTGCTCCGCTTGCGGCGGCCGTGGTAGACGCAGACGCCCGTGCCGCCCGACGGGTGGCGCTTGTTGGCCGGGCACATGGGGCTGCTGGGCAGGTGCTCGGGCATGTCGAACTGGAAGCCGCCGGGCGCCATGTCGGCGTACGCGCACATGGGCACGGGCGTCTCCCACCACTCCTTGGCCTTGTGCTGCTGATGCGTGTTCTGCTGCTGCTGCGAGGAGTCGCGCCTCTGCGTCGAGGACGACCGCCGCGAAGAGCGGTTCGTCGTGCTGTTGGTGTTGTCGTGGTCCTTCTTCTTGTTGTGATTGTTGTGGTTGTCGTTGTGACGGGTTCTTCTCGGCCCGGATTTCTCGTTGGAGGAGGAGGGGGAGGAAAAGGAGGAGCTGTGGGTGGTCTGTACGGGCGAGGTGGTGTGTGGACGGCGTCGTTTTTTGTTCTTGTTATTGTTACCGCTGCTCGGGCTGCCGCTGCTGCTGCCGCCGCCCCTATTCGGGCATACAGGCGCCGATACATCGAAGAAGAAGGAGCGCGGGGGTTTGGCTCCGCCCTCGCGCAGGCGTGGCGTTTCCACTTTTGTTGCTTCCTGTTTGCCCATGTCAGTCCAGGGCATCCTATACATAAGGACGTAGAGTGGGCGGCGACTTACACCACCAGGGTATTGAGCAGACCACGTACTGGGCGTTCCCACTGCAGAGACAGAAGTCAGTCTCAAAGCCTTTTCTGCTCTGTTCAGCAGGATCACTTACTGGAGTAGCCCCCTTTATCCGAGGGCGGAGACGAGTCTGGCGTGTTGCCCCTGAGTATGTCGAGGACATTGGTCGTGGCACTGGGGTCGGAGACGACAGAGGTCTTGCGGTGCCAGGTGCTCTTGCCAAAGAGCTTCATCGACCACATCTTCTGCAGTTTCTTGCTCTCCTCTCGCAAGATAGAGGATGGCCTGCTCGCGGGTGTCTGCACATGGCCGAGCTGCTCTTGCACGCCGTTGATTGTGGCCTCCGTGTGCTCCTCGCCGTTGACTTGCGCCTTCTTGCGCTTGTGCTGTTCTTATTGTCAGCTTCCAGTCTGAGTTATCTGCATGTGCGGACCACCAGAGAGTGAAGAGTAGCTCGTACCAATCTCAATTCTGATGGGGAAAACCAATGCGGCCTTTTGACCTTCGTCTCGGTGCTGAGTGCTGGGGACAGGGGACCCATCGTTGATACGCCTGAGGCCACCGGGGTCGGCGAGTTCGCGATGGGAGTGGTAGAGCCCGAATCGTCGTTAGCTGCCGCCAAGGGCGAGGGAGTGAGCGGTTTAGTGAGCGGTGTCTTGATCTTGAAAAACGATGTTTCACTGCTGCTGCTGGTATCCTCGAACTGAATTGCCGGAGTCTGTAGTGATTGCACATGTGCCTGTTCACTCAAGTATGGGCTAGCTAGCGGTGGTTGGGACAGACGACTCGGCATGAACGAGGTTGAGCTTTCGCTGCTCGTGTCGCGGCGTGTCAGAGACGGTCTTTGTAGGAACTGAACGTGCTGTTCCTCCGTCAAGAAGGGGGTAGCTAGCGGTGGCTTTGGTATGCGATTCAACGGGAACGATGTGCTACTTTCGCTGCTAATCTCTCGCTGCTTCAGGGATGGGCGTTGCAGAGACTGTACGTGGCTCTCTTCGGAGAGGTAGGGGCTGGCCACGGGCATGTTTGACGATTGTTGCAATTGAAGTTCGAGCAGAGCCTTGGGTGACAGTGATCGTTCTTCTAGTAGAGCGTCTTGACCAGAGCTGTTCTTCGCCGACCGCTTCCTCCACTTGAACCCCTTCGAGAACTCCTTCGGGGGTGCCTCGGTGATCAGGCGTTCCGCCCAGTAACCGGCGGGAAACCATACCCATTCGTGGCCGTCCTTCGCAGGCCGTGGAGGGTCCACGTACGCGTTGGGGGCGGTGGGTGTGATGGGCGTGGTGGGCGCGCTTGAGAAGAGATCCCTCGTGCTCCGGCGCGCCCTGATGGCGTTTGCTAAAGCGATGTCGGCATTCGGGGCGGCGGCGATGGAGGTCGATGGAAGCCTGCTGGCGGGGCCGTCCATGGCGGAGATGCTGCGAAGCCGCTATCGACCGCTGGCTCTCCTCGTAGGCGGCCAGTCTGTCCAGGATCTGGCATCATCGGGGCCTTCACCGATAGTGAAGACAGGCGCAGAGAAGCACACACGGGGGATACTGGGTGTAGATTCGGCAGACATTGGAGCTAAGTTAGGTTGTGCGTGCACGACGGAATTCTCATTGTTGAGAAGTAACGGTGAGGTAGTAGGTGCATAGAGAATACTTCTTAGGAACTGTTGTCTTGGAGGTGTAGGTCGGTCTGATCTCGAGGGCACCCAGATCAGCTGCACTCAATGAGGAGGAACATTCTTCACGGGGTTCTTTGGTAGGCGCGACCCTTCTTCTACCACACAAAGCACATGGCAGCTGATACCATCGTTTTCCACCATCAGGATGCATATCCACTTGAGACATGAAACATGCCTCATGCAACCGAAGTTGAGGTGCGCATTCCCCTTGTCGACTTCCCTAAGGGAGCACAGACTGGGAACGTTCGGCCTGCTGCTGTCTTTGCACCTTCTCAGCTTCGGCAGGCTTCCAAAGCTGAGGTGTTGAGACAAGGGGGTGCAGGTAACGTAGGCGTTACCGACGCGCTGATTCTCTGGTATACTGCTCATGTAGATGGGAATTCTAGTTTCTTACTTCAGCAGTATATGCACACAGCAAGTGTGAGTGACGGCCTCTCGCTACCCGTTACCCATTACAACGGTCTTAAATGGTATGGTACATATATAAAAGACATTTCTGAACTCCGCCCAATGCTGATGTGATGGTACATACATTTGATAAATTCGCTTAGGGACTTCGTTCTGCCCCGTTCTTGCCGGATTTCCGTTCCAGTCGGGTGATCTGCTCGAGTTCCGCCTGATCATCGAACAGGGGCTCTTCGTGGCCTTCTTGTCTCCACTCGCCGGGACCTTCATGTGGTGGACCGTCGGCAATGTCGTTGTCGCCAACAATGTTTGCCATCTTGGCCTTTCTAGCCCTGGCTGACTTCTTGATGGCTTCGTTTCTCGCCCTGCGAGACGCGTTCGTGAGGTTGACCTCGGAGAGTTGGGCGTCTATCTTCTCTTCGACAAGCGCCTTGACATGAAATGCAAGGGCTTGGCTGCTGAAGACGCCCGAGTAACGGTAGGACAGCCACAGGTACAGGGTGATGGCCTTGTGGAGCGTTTCTAGCCGTGACAGATATTCAGCCGCGCCGGGTTTGTAATTCTCCTTATCGACGTCGAGAAGCTCTAGGTCGATCTCTTTGATGTCCACCAAATCACCACCTTCCATGCTGGAGACGCACCGTGCCATAGCTTGGACCACCTCCGCAAAACGGGGCTCTCTCAGAGCAACCGGGGCGTTCAAGAAGACACACCGGTCGTACACTGACATGGGAAAAGGTTGTATCAGGTCTGCAATTGACAACATTTCCTTTACGGAGCAGATGTGATACCTTGAGGAGAGCCGGCCTATTTCCCGCAAGCGTAGGAGGATGTAGCTGAAAGGGGTGTTCGGTGGAAAGTACGACGAGAACCGCTCGATCACGTAAGGGGGAGGCTGTATTCCGGCTGTTTTTAGAGGCTCCGCTTCTCGATTGAACGACTCAATTACCACCGCCAAGTCGTCGTCTTCCATAGCCGTCACCAACCCCGGTTGACCAGGTTTAGCTGGTAGAGCTGCCGCGCCCACGTCCGAGTCCTTCTGCGCACCGGATTTGATCGCGTGGTTGGCTGTTCTGAAGCGACCAGCTCGACCGCCTATCTGCTTGACTTCAGATATCGTCATCTGACGGTAATTGTTGCCGTCCCGTTTGTGCGTCTGTTCGAAAATAACTCGTCTGATCTCCAGGTTGAGACCCATGCCGATGGCGTCGCTGGCAACGAGAATATCATAATCATTGTCTGGGTCGTTGAAGAGCGCGGCTTGCTGAGCCCGGATCTCGGGCGGCAACGATCCGTAGACAATGGCAACGCGTCTTCCCGTGGCATTCTCAATCTGCTTCTTGAGTGAATGTATTCCAACTCGAGAAAAGGAGACGACGGCGTCGCCTTTCTGTAGGTTATGGAAGCTACCGGACAGAGACTCGCTCATGGTCTGCAGCCCGCTCAGGCGCTCGTACCGACGAAGCACGCATTTGTCACCGATGGTAGCGCACAAAGACTGGATTAGTTCGACGGCTCGCTCCTCCCCGCATAGGTGGACTTCTTTGGCTTGAACACCGAGGAATGCTTGCGTCCATGCCCACCCTCTCTCGCTGTCTCCGATCATCTGGATCTCATCAATCACGGCAACGTCGACCATGTGATTCAGCGGCGTCATCTCGACGGTGCAACTCCTAAAGTAGTTGTCCTCGTCTTTGGGCACACGCTGCTCCTCTCCCGTGATGAGTGCACATTTCTTGCCCTTGGCCAAGAAGCGAGAATAGACTTCATGTGCCAGTAACCGGAGCGGTCCCGCATATATGCCGGACTTGGCTTCCTCCAGAGCTTTTAGCGCATTGTAGGTCTTTCCCGAATTCGTAGGGCCGACGTGCAGGTAGACGGTACGCTGAAGAGCTCGCGTGGCGGGGAACCATTCGTAAGGGAATCGGAAATCAGCGATCTTCTTGTGGGTGGCGGCGATGTTCTTGGGGAACCTCGAACGCATGAGGAAGTTCTGAAAAGCGTATACGATCTCTTCGTTCAGGCCCTTGATGTCGCGCTCGACGAAGGCACTGCGCAGCTGCCAGAACAGGGGGTTGTCGGTCCTCGAGATAACACCCTTTAGGCTTGCCAGGTCACAGGACCTTTCGATGGAAACCTTAAACAGCTTGGCCTCTCGCTGGAAATCCAACTGCGTGTCAACGCCAAAGGCCTTGTATTCATCTTTCCTGCTGGCGAAGCTCCTCGAAGTGGTCATCATAGAATCGCATCGCGTGAGGGCCAGTTTTCGAAAGATGGCATAGGTTCGGTTTACTTCACGTTGGTTCGCGGCCGTGGCTTCCTGTGTTGAATCTAGACCGTCTTTCAGCTTGCCGATACTGGCACGAGGGTTACCACTAGGCGTCCGTCTGAAGGTGAACTCTGATGGTTTGCGCGCGACTTGGGTGGTGGTTGTGAAGGCATGGCGACGACAAGGACGAACTGCGCAGCTTGGACTAGCCAGACGACTTCTGAGAAAAGAGCGCATATCGGGATAGGAAGGGCGCCGGAACCATGTTCAAACGTGCCTGCTTTCCACGCTTCTCAGTAGTTCAGACTTGTCGACTCTCGCGAACGGTTCAGCAATGACAAGGTACCCCGTTGAAGGGTCTTGCGATCATCGACATCAAATCTTTGGCGCGCCTGAGATAAGTTCCCTTATCGGCGATAAAGTGGACCTCGACAAAGGCGATTTCTCCTTATCGCCAAAAGCCCATGGTTTATCCGGCCAAATTGCATGCAATAGGCCCGCCAACCTCGCAGGGATCAGCATGGAAGCACTGTTCCTGCCGCTGCTGTGGTCAGTGGTCAGTGCCCGCACAGCCCGCAGCATCGAGTTCCGCCGGCTGAGTCCACTGGTCCAGTGCATCGTCATTCATGCTCGTCGCATTAAATGCGTCGTCCATCCATAGATCCGTCCATCAACCCGACCTGCCTGACAATCTGGAATTTGTGTCGACCTGTCTCGCAAACGCTATCCTACCTCGCCTCCGCATCCGCCTCCACATACCGTCCTCCTAGGAACCTACTAGTATTCTGTGAGACTACCTAGCAGTCTGCCTGATGGGGTCGGGGAAATACAAACACAAGTAGACAATTTGAACGTCGACAAGGGAACAAGATGGCGTCCTCATCGACACAGACTCCGCTCCTCTAGTACGTGCCCGTCTCCGTCAAGCCCCCATCACCACGGGATGCGATGAGGCTGGAAGACTGACATGCGCAAACCCGCAGCTCTTGCATAGCGCACAACACGACGATCCTCTCAGAATGCACGACCTCGGCGTCGTCGCAGACGTCGTCGCTCGCGTCGCTGATCCTGCCCAAGATCACGCACGACACGCCGCAAAAGCTGACATATACGCACGGCTCGAACCACATCCATTACATGTCGGAGGCGCCGTCGGCGCACCCGGGCAACGCGGCGGCGGGCGGGCTGACCTTCCTGGTGGTGGCCGACTCGTCGCTGGGCCGCCGTGTGCCGTTCGGCTTCCTGTTTGAGATCCGCAAGCGCTTCTTCCAGGAGTTCCCCGCCGACGCCACCGACTTCGCCGACCTGCCCAACTACGGTGCCGGTAGCTTCAACGGCGAGCTCAAGTCGCTGATGGTGGAGTTCGGCACCACGAGCGGCGGCCGCGACGACGCCATCGGCAACGTCCAGCGCGAGATGGACGACGTGCGCGGCATCATGACCCGCAACATCGAGGGCCTGCTCGAGCGCGGCGAGCGCATCGACCTGCTCGTTGACAAGACGGATCGCCTGGGCGGCAGCGCGCGCGAGTTCAGGGTGCGGAGTCGCGGCCTCAAGAGGCAGATGTGGTGGAAGAATGTCAAACTGATGGCATTGCTTGCCCTCGTGCTCTTACTGATTATTGTTGCTATTGTGATCGCCGTTGAAAACGCCACCGGTTAAGCTTCGACAAGCGGGAGACCAATTTGATAATCGATACCTAACGGTGTTTATTCGGTGGCCATATGGCAAGCCATGGCATGGCGGTGGGTATATACCGCTTTGGCCGCCACTCTGGGTTCCGACACCGCATAAACGGTAATGGGGGACTAAATCATCCCAGGATAGGGCCGGAAAGGACGCCATTTGCTATACCAGGGACTCAACAGGACACGGGAGGGGCACAAAACCGCGAGACAGCATTTTCTTCTCTTTTGTTCATTGTCGATACCCGAGCGAGGTGGGATCGACTCAGGGCTTCCACGTGTATTACAATGTGTACATACAGTTCCATCCTTCTGAATCGTGCCAAAGCACTCCGATGGCTCGGCGACGGCTATCCCATACATAAATGTGCATTTCTAGTGGCCTCCCACCACCTCCAATGTCAGCAGGCAACTGCTGTAGAGCATGGTTGATGTAAATACTCAAGCCGACCATGCTCGATGTCAGACCCTCGAGCTACGAGTTCGCGCAGGCATGTAGTGCGTCTGTCTGCAATCATCAAACCTATCCCGAGGTCAACAATCCCGAGGTCCTAGCCTAGCCTACAAGCCGCCTTCATCCTCCATTCACCCTTCACTTCAAACCCCGTCGTCCTCACAACATAGCCGGTATAGCCCCATCCGCCCTCCGCTGGCTCTCGTGGTAGACATACCCGTGCGCGACCGGGCTCGCGACCGCCGCGGCGTCGAGCACGAACGGCGACTTTTGCAGGCGCGCGGTGAAGAAGACGGGGTGGAGATTCGAGGTGTCGCGCGCGGTCTGCTGGTTTTCGTGTTGCTTCTGTTGCTGTTGCGCCCATATGGCTTGGAAGTCTGCGAGGGCTGGGGTTGTGGGCGTGGGCGTTGTTTGGGCGGTTTGGGTTTTTTGGAACAGCGCTTGTTGCGTCGGCGTCGGCATCGGCATTGTTGCTGAGGCTGGGGGTTGGAAGTACGGCTCGGGGGGTTGGAAGTGCAGGTGGTCTGCGGCGGACGGAGGGAGAATGGCGGTTGTCGTGGTCGCGGTCGCGGTCGTGGGGGTACTGGATTCTGGGAAGGTTATGGTCTCTGGTGTCTGATGGAGTGGCTTGTTAGAAAAGTGATATCATTCGAGATATGTTCGTCTTTTGGCAGACTAGAAATGCGAAATGCAAGATAAGAAATGCGACTGGGCAGCTACGGGGTCGACGAACCCGAGGTTGTTCTGTCGCGGCAGCTGATGCTCTACCCCACCACATCCACGGAGCAGGGCCCTGGTCGTCATTCTCACGTGTAGAAGACGAGCTGGAGAGCGCAGGGTGCTTGGAGCCGAAGACCTGGGAGGCCGAGCGCAGCAGCATTATGCAGTTTTGGTAGTACGTAGGTCGATGTATTCGATGCAATGCAATTGCACAGCTTGATTCAACGCATTGCTGTGACTTTGGGTTGCGAAATTGGACGAATGTAGTATTCGCAATGACTGTGGTCGAGGTTTTGGTTCTTGTTGTTTCAAGACTTTCGGAGCTTCTGGTTTGGTCGGACGTTATCCTAGATGTCCCGCTCAAACGGGAATGTCGCAGTGAATACCCCGATCGTCGGGTGGTGTCATTGCGTGGAAAGGACGCTCCGGCGGCTGAGTCGGGGTCACACCGACGGCCAGCGGGAACCAAATAAATCTACGAAGGTACAGAAGGGGGTCTTAGGGTCGCTGTATAACATGCTCTTCTTCCCGGAATGAAGCACTGTCGACATGTTGTGGCAACATACGTATAGACAGGGCAACAAATTGGTTATCTGAAAAGGCACGGAACTGATGACATTCCCTCATGGGTTGTTCCCCTTCTTCTTCTGCCGTCTAGACGGCTTCTTGTCAGCCTCCTTCTCCTTCCCCTTTTTGATAGCGTCCACCAGGGCATCCATCTCCTGCGCCTTCTCGGCATCCTGCTTCTCCTTTTCCTTCAACTCCCGGTTCTTCTTCTCCAGAGCCCTCATCGCCGCCTGCTCCTTTTCCGTCTTCTCGACCAGCTTGTCACTGGCTTCCCAGAGCTGCTTTGCAATCTCGTCGTCCTTGACGTCGAGCCTCGCAAAGTCGACCTCCATGCACTCCTTGATGAACTTGCCGCCCGGTCCTCGGACCAGACTTGGCTCTATCGCGGCGTACAGGATGGACTGCGCGCCCTGCGCCTCGTCCTTCAACAGGAACCATGGGATGATGTAGGAGAATGTGTAGACAGCGAGTCCCCACAATGAACCTCGGGTAAGCCACCGTCGCATTCCGGGCGTCCGGGCGAACCCAGGGTCTGCAAACAGAACCCGCGCAGTCATTGGAAGATCATCCGGCCTCTTGTATGCATCCAGATGTTTCTGGAAGGCCTGTCCGAATACCATCATTGCGAGCTTGCTCCGGGCATATGCTTTCCTTGGCGACCACTGCTTCTTGACCAGTGCTTCGCTGAGAGATGGAGAGGCGATATACGAGGAGCATGTCGGGATGATAATCCGCACGTCGCGATCGAAGGGTTGCGCTCGGAGGGCCGGGCTGAGTATCCCCATAAGGTGGAAGTTCGCCAAGTAGTTGACCATCCACATCTCCTCGATCCCCTCGTCCGTCTCGGTTCGTTTCCCTCCAGGGGGCGTCAGCGTGGCGGCGCACAGGATGAGCATGTCCAATCGTCGGGGCGGCGCGTTGTCGATCCACTTGGTAGCGAACTGTCGGATGCTGTGCAGGGAGGTGAGGTCGACTTGTTCGGCGTAGATCATCTCGTTGTTGGTCTGCTCGCGCAACTCCCCAATGTAGTCGGCGAGGAAGGGGTGCGACGGCGGCAGGCGGGTGAGAAGTACAAGCTGGGCTCCCCGTGTAGCCAGGTCTCTCGCCGTGGCAGCCCCTATTCCCGAGGTGCCGCCCGTCATCATGATGACCCTGCCGTGCATGTCCCTCTCCGCCGTGTTCGTTGTTCCGCTGCTATATCTCTTGATCAGGTAGAGAATACCGAGTACCACGACGACCTGCAACACCCTCCAAGGGTCTGACATCCACTCGGGCGCCCATTCCGGAGCGCCATTGGAGACGAGTTCGTATATGAAAGGGAGAGGCATGGTGGCGTTGATTCGGAAGACAAAAGCGTGGTTGATACTCGTCTGACCTTTCAAGACATGTCGTCGTACCTGGTCGTACTTGTCGCAGCGGATGTGCCGGACCTTGAAGAGTTGCAAAATGTACAAGTTGAACACAGGAGGCTCGCAGGCTCGCTTTTCTCACAGGCTTACAGAATTGGGTGACGGAGCTGTGTGTCCTGCTAGTCGCGGACAAGCAGGGGTACGGCCGCCGCGACAGGGGTCTGACGTTTAAGGCCCCGAATTGGCAGGATCTTATCTCCAATGTTGCCTCTCATCAGTGCCATCAGCTCTGATTCCTCTCCTTCCGAACCTCATCCACTTTAACATCCAAACCAGATACTACCTCTCAACACACCGAAATCCACGCCCTATTCGCCTTGATCTCAAGTTGAGAAAGACTAGTGCCAACGTAATCTGGCTGCCGAAATGGCTTCTGAAGACTGGTCCGATCAGGATGAATATGAGGTTCCTCTGCAAGACAGACGACCATTCGGGGCAGGACTCAAGCGAAAACGAGTCGTCTTCGTTCCTGCTTCGACAGGCGGCCTCAATACTACCGAAGAGACGAGAATCCCGAAGCCGTCTAGATCAGTGTCCGACATGTATCTAAGCATAGTTCTGCCAAAGGACGCCAACCAGTCTACGGGAGCAAACGAGACGAATACTCCTGCACCTCAGATCTGCCAGGTCTGTAGCCTCCCGATAAACAAGGACTCTGAGGCTGTAGACACGAACAACGCAACGGGTCGACCCCATGAAGCCTCGATAGCGCATCAGGTATGCATGACACACTCACATCCGCCCTCTGCCCTGGACCGTTCGCGCATGGGGCTGGGCGTCCTACAGTCTCAAGGGTGGGATCCCGACTCGCGGATAGGACTCGGTGCCACGCAGCAGGGCATGAAATATCCCATCAAGGCGAAACCCAAGTACGACACGTTAGGTATAGGAGTCGAGGTGCCAAAAGACGCAGTCGTCAAGAAGAAGAAGGAGAAGGTTCAGACGCTGGATGCGAAGAAGGCTCGCAAGAAGGCTGCAGATGACAAGAGGCGGCACAAGAAGCTCAGGCAACAGTTCTATGGCAACTCGGACGTGGATAAGTACCTAGGACATGGATAACGCTCTTCGCGTTCGTTGTTTTCACGAGATGACGAGTCACACGTTACGCTGGATTCACGAACATGCTGTACAGTATTTAATGGCGAACTTGGTTGATGGAGAGAAGCGGCTACTTGTGCTCATTAATAAATACCCTTCTGATCGTCTTAAGAATTATACCATCGTGTACCTTGCCTGAGTCTCTGTCTGTGTATGTACTACAGCTATGCAAAAGTGACGGACGTGCATTCACGCTGACTCCTGAGAGCCTCATTGAGTCGGTCGATCAACAGATTTGTTGGAAAGGGGTCATGTTCAGGGGGTTGGATCAGTGGGACAGTGGGTCTCCGCAGTCAACCTGGCGATCGCCGGCCATTGCCCAATGACTGTCGGGGCCTTGTCGCAGCCGCAGGCGGTGGCAGGTGGGGTAGCTTTGGGCAATGGGGGAATGCCAGGTCGTCGCATTGAATCAACGAAGGCCTGAAACCCCCGCCAAGGGCCTTGAATCAACTTCAACTTTCTACCTACCTAAACAACAAAGCGATCCGACCATACCTAGTCCTCCTCCTCTGGCCTTGTCGTTGGTCGAGATTTCTACGGCAGCTTCTCTTCCCCTGACCACTTCAGTGAAAGACGCCCTGGAGCTGCGAGCACCCAGTCCGACAGAAACACCACCCACCACCCGTGGCCCGCTGTCACCTGCCCAAAGAGTCAAGACAGCCCACGTTGCACTCGCTTCGTACATACAAGCCATTGATCCTTCCTCCGCCCCCCGAACTTCGCTGAAGCACCGTGACGTCTTCTGCTCGACGACCGAGGCGCCTCCAGCTGGGGGCCAAGCGCCAAGATGGGAGCCTCCGTCATCCAAGAGCAGCGTGACAGTGAGCCTCACCAAGCACCCCCCTTTTGTGGTCGACCGCCCATTATCTGGCGACGAGGAACACAAGCTTCGGACAGCTAACACAATGGATTCTCACCTGCGCGCAGTCCTCATAGATACAATCAAAAACATTACCGCCGGCGATGTGAGTTGCGACCCAGTTCCTTATCCCTGTGTACAACTCCGTACTGACGAGCCGGCTGCCACAGTGGAAAGTACTAGTCATCGACGAAGGCTCCAAGCGGATCATCGACAATGTCGTCAAGGAAGATGACATCCTCAACCATAATATCGCTAGTATGTTGCCAAGCCGTGCCCCGCCTCTACGACGTTAGCAGCTGAGGGTGGTGCCATAGATATCGAGCGAATCGAGGACCGCCGCGAGATGAATCCGACTATGGATGCTATATACATCCTCTCGCCTCTGTCACACATTGTCGATTGCCTCATGGCTGATATCGAACGCCGGAGATACAAACAATGCTTCCTGGTTTGGACCGCTGTGCTCGATCCCCAGCTGAGGAGGCGAATAGATGGCTCTGCTCTGGCGAAACAGCAGATAGCCGGTTTCGAGACGCTTTCCATCGACTACTTCCCAAGAGAATCGCATCTCGTCACATTCAGAGACCCCTGGAGTTTCCCCATCTTGTATCACCCGGCTTGCAATGGGCTGATAAGAAAGCACATGCAGGACCTTGCTCAAAAGGTCTGTTGCGCCTCTGAAGTAGTTACAAGGGAAGCGAGCTGACTTCAAGGCGACCAGATTACTGGTCTATGTGTATCTTTGGGAGAATACCCCAAAATTCGGTACTATCGCCCAAGGAACCCGATACACGAAGCTGCTGTACTATCCTCGCATCTTGCTCGGTTCGTCTCTGAGGAGCTGGATGAATATGCCCAATGGAACCCAGACTTTCCGCCACCAAGCTCGAGGCCGCAAGGTGTGCTTATAGTGTCCGATAGATCCATGGATCTCTTTTCGCCTTTGGTACATGAGTTCACCTACCAAGCGATGGCGCATGACCTCCTACCGATCAAAGATGGAGACAAGACTACATTTCACATGACAGTCAACGAAGAGGAACCCGGCGCCGAAGAAAAAGATGTAGAGCTTACTGACAAGGACAAAGTCTGGGTAGACAACCGGCATAAGCACATGAAGGATACGATAGAGAAAATCATGGGCGACTTCCAAAAGTTTCTCGACCAGAATCCCCACTTTACCAACTCGAACGGCGATGCGACAAGCATAAATGCGATTAAGGATATGATGGCAGGGTTGCCGCAGTTCACCGAGATGAAGGAAATTTATTCTCTCCATCTCACAATGGCCCAGGAGTGCATGAACATCTTCCAGCATCACAAGCTTTCCGAGATGGCTCTCATAGAGCAGAATATGGCGACAGGACTTGACGAGGACAATCGGAAACCGAAGAACGTTCTGGACTCGATAGTCCGCCTCCTCGACGACGACGCGGTGACGAAGTCGGCCCGACTTCGTCTCGTTATTATGTTTGTCCTCTATCGCGACGGCGTGATAATGGAGGATATCAAGAGATTACTCGCGCATGCTTCCTTGCCACCTCAAGACGGCGAGATTATATCGAACATGGAACTCCTTGGTGGTCGTACGACCCATAACCTCAAAGATCCTCGCAGGGATAACCTACCCTTGTTTCCCATTGACACCAAAGCCCCTATTCCCGAAGACAATTACATGTCGCGATTCTCCCCTGCCGTGAGGTCCGTGCTGGAGAATCTGTGCAGAGGAACCTTGGACCAGACATCATTCCCGTATGTGAAGCCGCCTTCCGACCCCAACGAAGATGCTCTGATTGGGCAGGGGTCGTTGAGAGCAGCCAAACCCAGCTGGGCCGGTGCCGGTAGACGGGTGGTAGAGAACAGGCAGCGGATAATCGTCTTCATGGCTGGCGGTGCAACGTTCTCCGAGTCACGCGCTTGTTATGAAGTCGGGTCGGCTATGAACCGCGATGTTTTCCTCGCGACTAGTCACATGCTCACGCCTCAGCTTTTTGTGCGCCAAGTAGGTGATCTGAGTGTTGACAAGCGGAAATTGGATCTCCCAATCGAGAGACCGCCTCCGAGAGCGCCGGCGCACCTGTTCGAACGGCCTGCTCCGCTAATGGCCGCAGCGCCTCCACCACCAGGAGCGGGAGGGCCTCGGCCACCGCCGGGAAGGCAACAAGTTCCAGGGCGGCCACCGCCGCCACCAGGAGGGCTGCCAGTCGGCCCGAGGGTCGGAGGCGCGTCGTCCGCACCGCCCACGCAGCAGATGGGCAACATGAGTCTTGGTCCGAGACCGCCAAACGGGGCGGACTCGGGACCCCCGTCGAACAGCGGGACGCCTCAGAAGCTGGAGAAAGAGAAGAAGAAGCGGAACTTCCTCGGAATGAAGAAGGACAAGGGTAGTAAGGGATAGGTGACTGACGAGTCATGAACGCATATACCCCTATTTGACCTAGCGTACAAGGTGACTCACAGTGGCCGAGGGTGTCACGAAGCCAGCCCTTGGATGTCGGCGAGGTCATAAAGCAGCCATTTGGCTATGTGCGTATCTGCTTGGCTTGGTACAATACCTTATGCTTGACGATAAAACAAGGAGGCAGAGGCGTTGCGTTCCAATACAAGCGCATGGATGAGCCACGAGCAAGCATGTACGGCGTTGCGGAGTCGGTTGCAAATTTTGGTGGGGGTGGATATGCAGAGGGAGAGATGGAAGAGCTCGAGTCGGAATCAAATGACACGGGCAGCAACTATAAGCCAACTGAGTCCCGTGTGCCTGTCTGTGCCAACGCGACAGCCGATTTCTGTTGTTGGATATTGGCTACTGGGGACAGGAGGGAGGTCTGGCAGACAGGGCCCCCGTCTTCGCGCGTGTCTGTACCTACCTATCTACCTGAGGTAGTCAGTCAATCAAGCACCAACAATCAATCCATGTATGCACGTTACAAGATAAATGTCCAGGTGAGGGACCGCCTGCATGCAGTGGGTAGTGGACGGACAGGCGATATGGCCATCCACGTATTGGAGGTGTGGACGGACTGCTGTTATACCATCCCATCCCATCCCATCCCATCCCATCCCATCCCATCCATCAGGTTTATACCTCGGCTTCCCAAGCAGCTAGCTACCACGTAAGCATTCCAGTGTATACCTCACTACCATCGTCGTCTTCGCCATCCCCAAGTCAAGCATACAGGCTCGTTCATCTATGGATTTCTTCGTTTTATAAAAGTACGTCCACTGGGTATATAAGTCAGCGCTCGTGCTTTCGAAACATCTTCATGGGCTGCAGCCTTGGTTGATCCGGTCGATCTCAGCATAACTAGGGTACGCGGCATTACGATGTAGTCAGGAGGTTCAACCGAGGCACATATTTCATGTGGATTTTCGTGTCTCGTCCGCCAGAAGCTCGCATTCATCTAGACCAGTTACCTGGCTACGTATCTAGCTAGACTAAGCCACCTCGGTCCATTTTCGTGATTGTGGTCATGGCCGGCCATTATCAGACACTGGCTCTTGTAGCATGTAGTGTAGCACGTAGAGTAGCACAGCCTGCCGACCCGGGAAAGAAACCCCAAACCAATCGAGCTCGTCAGATGGTGGCAAGGTGGGTATTACATTGATACAGTACACTAGCCACAGTGCCGTTCGGCTAGACCAACGAGACAAGCTTGTTCGTCGTTGCTCCTCCGCTTACTTTTCCGCAGACGGGTGCCGGCTTGCCAGTTTGCCATCCTTGAGTAACCATGAGCACCGCTCACGAAGAAGCTTGAGCGAGTCGTCACAACATGATCAACTTCATGCTCGCATCAGACTTGTGCGAACATCCAACCCCCGCAGTGAAGAGTATGACCATTGTTAGTTCCGACGGTAAGGACCCCCAGGAGGAGGCATTCCGCGACCATCAAAGAAACCAAGGGGCTCTGGGCCCTGGAAGCCAACCATTCCGGGAGTGCCCATACCGGGAGTTCCCATTCCAGGAGGCGGCATGAAGCCCGGTGGGCCGCCGGTAAAGAAACCAGGAGGCGGTGCCATGTTGCGAGGAGGACCTGCCATGGCATCCGGAGGAGGGAACCCGGGAATGGGATAATTCGGCGGGAAGGCGCCGGGCATGGGACCATTGCGCTGGTTGCCAGGAAGACCAGGAGGGGGAATCATGGGGCGGCCAGGCGGAGGCATCTGCTGCGCACCAGCCTGCATCCAGTTGTTGGGATGCATCTGGTCCAAGCCCGGAGGTCCTTGTTGGCGCTGTAGGATTTGGGTGGGCTGTTGTGGACGAGTCTCTTGCTCACGATGGTGCATGGGAACTTCGTCGAAAAAGCTCGGTAGACCGGAGGGACGGCCACCTTGGTGCTGCGATGCGCCGCGCTCCCGCTGATAGTCAGGCTCTCGGTCCGGTGTTGGGGGTATCTGCGCAGGTCGCGAGGGCTGAGGCATCCTCATGACCGGCTGGTCATGTCGTTGAAGCTCTGGTCCTGATCGCGAACCCTGCTGCATCAGCTTCATGAGGAACTCAGCGTTATGGTTACTATTACGGCTCGATGGTTGGTCGACACGCCCGGCGCCCGAGTTCTGGCTTGGGTGACGTTGGCCAATCAGGTCATGCAACATCTGCTGCTCTGGCCCTGGCCGCATTGCAGCAAATTGTGTATTCTGCTGCGGCCGAGGGGTGTGAAGCTCTTGGGGCTGTGACGGTGGCCCACGAGCAAGGAGTTCGTCACGGCGCTCCTGTCCGTATGGATGGAATGGACCAGGTGAAGCAATTGCGTTACTTGGTACGTACTCGTGCATCGGCGGGGGTTCCGCAAAACCACCCGCGGAAGGAGGTGTTGAGGCAGTGGATGTCTGCTTCTGTAGCTTCTGGAGCAAGGCCTGGAAAGCTACCTTCTCGGACGAATCTGCCTGCGACCCGGCTCGCGGCTGCGGTGCTCCGAGCATTGCCAATAAGGGGTTCACTTGGCTTGCTGGTGGGGCCGCAGGAGCTGGTGCTGGGGATTCAATATGTCGACGGGTTTCCTCTTGGGACGTGAAGAACGTCTGGAACCGTGAACCAGATTTCGGCTTCAGCGCCGGGGCGGCATTCTCCTTCACGACATCGCCAGGTGTCCCAGGTCCGTCCATACCCGAAGCAAATGCAGCAAAGAACTTGTCTTGTCCCAGCTCAACTGCAGTCGTCGACCTGACCGATTGCATCTTGGGCTTCTCGATTTCCAGCTTCTCATGCGAATTTGCCCCGTCAAACATCGAAGTCGGGGCCGGCTGAGCTTTTGCAGAGCTCTTGCCCTTCATGTTTGCCATGAACTTCAAGAAGTCCTCTTCGGTACGCCCCTGAGGATGTTCCTCGGCTGGTTCGTCGAGCCATTCCGGATCACGCTCTTGACGATGATCTCGGTCTCGGTCCCATCTGCGTTCATATGTTCTCTCCCTCGGGTTCTCGTGTTGCGGCTCAGCGTTATCATCTGCACCTCTCTCCCTCCAGCTCTTAAACCTGTCAAATCGCTCGCGCTGCGGTGGGGCTTCGTTGCTGTCCCTCGTCCACGGCTGGTCAGATCGGTTCCTAGCCAGACCATTTCGGCGAGGTTTCTCGCTGTCTTCTCCCTCCTTGGGTTCTTTGGCGAATTCGCCAAAGGTGCGGCGTGGTCGCTCAGCATTGTTCTCGCGATCGTCTGGGGTGCGCGGTGCACGTTCTGCTCCGAAGCGGTCCGGTCGATCACCCATGCGCCCGGAGAAGCGCTCTGCACCCTCATGACCAAAGCTCTTGCGAGGCTTCACAGTGCTCCAACCCTCGCTATCTTGGTCGCCATCGCCCCGACGGCGGAAGTTGTTCCTGCCATCGCGATCCTTCTCACGAAAGCGCTCTCCGCTCTCGGCCTCCCCATTGCGATTACGGAAAGTAAAGCGCTCCCGGGGATCCATGTCCTTCAAAGCTTTATCATTCTCGAAAGTCTTGTTGGTTCTCGAAAGGGTGGCCGAGTTGAATGTCGTGCGCGGAGGCCCAAGGATTATATCCTCCGGGTCTAGAGCCAAGTCAGGGGATTGGGGTCAAGTTTGATTGGCGCGCAAATACATACTCGCATTGTTTCGAGACAGATGTCTGTCGACTCCTGGGCGGCGGTTTGTCTGTTCAAGCAGACTGGTATCATTGTTTCGGTTCCTGTCGGCGCCGGTCTTGTTTCCTGAGCTGTTGCGGAAATTTTCAGGCGGCGGTCTGCGCATTGTACACGAATCAGCATTGGTTCACTCTAGTCCATTGATTCAACTTGACATACCCCATCCATTCTTCCGCAGGTGGAAGCGCATTAGGCTTGGCACACAGCGGCGACTCGCGCAAATGAATCAGCGCGTCAGCTGTATATCGTAATGCCATAGCATCAGATGTCTGTCGGTGATGTCTAAGAATCGGATGAAGCCTGTTCAGGCGGCATGGGTATGTAGACGGCGATGATGTTCTAGGCGTAGTCTGGAGCGTACTTGATGTCGAGGAAGGAGGTATTCAGAATCGCGAAATACGAGGCTGATGTGATGCAGGGGCGAAGAGGCAGGTTTTTGTAGTGCTCGCGTTGTGCGGGGTGAATTGTGGAGGACAAGGGGAGAATTGTCGAGGCGATGGTGTGCAGTTTCAGGCAGACCTAGGGAGGACGGTCGAGGGATCTGCTTGGTGTCGCCCAGGTGAGGAGGAGGTTGCAGACGGCAGACAGCGAGCACTCAGATGGAGGTATAGTGGATAGGAGATGCGTGGCTGTCCAGCGGCGTTCAATGGGACCGTTGGATGCAGAGATCAAGAGGAATTGCGTGTCTGGGCCTGGCTAGGTCGGGTGCTGAACCGTGCGTGCCACCGTTACCCTGGTACGTACCTGCCCTAGCTCCATGTAAGCAGCACAGTCCATCATGGATGTCTCACGGTCCACCCCCTAAGGTATCAACTCCCCTGTCCACACTGACCATAAGAGGCCATCTTTCTGGCACTGCGCATTCTGAGGCAAAGATAGCATTTTCTACCTTATATTATTTAATTGATGATGGGCGTACAGTTCATTCTACAGATGCCAGATTAGATGATGCGTTGTGGAAAGTACAGAGTCGACGACGTACCTGACTTCCTAGGTACCCCAATCTCGCCTGCATGTATGCCTTGTTGGTGTTTCATTCCATGGGTAGACCTTTTCGAATCAACAGTGTTGCTGATTGAGGCTCCTCGTCTATTCTGAAATATATACATAGAGTCTGCTTGCTAGGGCTCAAGGTGGGTTCCCTTGTGATCTCGACCTGTGATAGGGGTAACGAGTTTACCTGTCCTTTACAAGAGCAGTAGGGGCTCAAAAAGACCACAGATCTACTATGTACTCATGTGGCTGGCACCTTGCTGCAGTGCTGCAAGGACTCACAAGGAATGAAAAGACGTGAAGTCCTTGGCTACCCAAGTAGCAACTATCCTTCTAAAGATCGCGTGCATGTATCAAGAGACATGCGTGTCCCAGACAGCGAGCTTAATGAAACCCATTTCTGATTGAGACCGATCAAAGTCCCTAAAGGCAGTGGGTGGTATATTGTTCCTATTCTACAATCAACTTCTCGATCCCTCCTTTGCTCCAGGCCGAAATGCGCTTCTGGTCACAAGTCTCCCATAGCCTCCTGATCAACGCCTGGTAGAGCGCACGTTGAGCAGCGTCCGTGCTGGCAGCTTTCTGAGCCACCAGCCAGCTCACCGCGCCGAACCGGGTGATCACAGTGTCGCTACCACCCTCAATGCTCGTGGCCCTGTAAAGAATCCGCAAAACCTGCGTTCGGAGATTGGGTCCCATATAGGGGTTCGAGCTCAGGGCGAATATCCTTTCAAAGACCTTTCGTGTGTGAAAAAAATCGATGTCTTTGGGGGTTCGCAGGCTGTCGAGCAGGAATCCCAAGAGCCAGCTGACCTCGGAGTAGTAGGTGCCATCGTCAGTCGGGCCTTCTTGGAGTATGTTTTGCATGAGAGGTATCCTGTCCAATGACCATACCGGGCCACTGGTGAGAAACACATTGACCTTCTCATAGAGACAGTGTAGTGGGTTCTTCAAAACATCAAGGGCACGGCATGCGAACGCCACAATTACACTAGGCAGCGGAGCTTGGCCGATAAGGGCTTGTGAAGACTCAGCCAGTTCCATGAGCAGGAGCCATATCTGTTCGTTCTCCTCGTATGCCGATTCCTTGATCTTTGTCGCCATTTTCATGACGTTTGTGAGTGCTTCCCTCCGTATGCTCGGGTGTTCGGAGGAGAGGAGGAGTATCAATGATGTCGCATATCCCTCTTCAACAAGCTCTTCTGGCGTCTTGGATGACCATTTCAGCAATGAGTTTTCCTTACTGGTGATGATGGGTACTGAAAGCCGGTCCTCTAGCTCCTCTGTACTTATACGAGGAGCTGCTCCACCCGCGACCCCGTCAACGAGACCATCAACTGGGGTGGCGTCGATATCATGAGTGCTTGGGAGCTCCTCTGACGACGTCGATCTGTCAGGAATGAGTACCTTGCCACCGAGCTTCTTGTCTCCGATACCAGCAATAAGCATCTCTCTGGTGACATGCAGAAACGCTCGGTTGATACCCGAAGCAAGCGAGCAACCTAGGTATTCGGAAAGAAGCTGCACAAGTTGTTCGAGAGCTCTTTTGCCAGGTGAAGCCGACACAAAAAAGGGTATTTGCTCGACCAGTGTCATCATCAACGGACATGTGGTAGTATTCACATCTGTATCAACTCCGGCCTTCTCCATTTGCTCTTCGATCATCTCGAGGTACTTGGTGGGCGTCCTGCCGCAGCGTTCCACGCAGTTATCCAGGAACGTCCAAACTTCGGCGTTGATACCGCTCACCCTTCTCAAGGCTTCGATGAGAGGGTCCAAGCCGGGGGAATTCGGCCGACTCTCCACAAGTTGGTACTCATCAGCAACGTACGACAGAACATTGCTGAGCCTGTCACCCGAGAGTGCTGTCGTCTTCTCGATGTATAATCTCAAAAGCGTCGTAAATGGAGAGGTGGGCATCTCGGGAGTTCGAGCAAACCATCGCATACTCGGCGAATATTTAGCGATGGCACATAGATGCTCCAGTTCCAATAACGACATAACCACATCCTCACCAGCATTCTCGGAAGTTTCTACCTTCTTGATAGTGGCAAGTACGACAGGTGATACGTCGAACTTGGCTCTCAGGGCAAGCTGGGGAATAACCTCGTAGTAAAGCAACATCAATCGGCTGGCGGCTTCTCGTTGTAGCAGATCGTCGTCGGTCATCGTCCGGTAACACGTTATTACTTCTTTGGGGTCTGGGATCCTTAGATAGAACTCGTCGAGAAGCCGACGAGCAGCTTCGGCCCAGATAGACTCGGATGAAAAGGAGGCCTCCCTATGCATCTCTAGCACTCTTGCTAGCTTCTGCAATGCCAACACTAGCATACGTATGGCATAGAAAGACACCAGCTTGGACTTGTTCGACAAGCATCGTGTCAAGGCCTTCAGTGTCATCGGAGGCGGTATTATATTGCCGAGAACCACGGATGTAGGGGGTGGAAGCCTTGCGTAGCCGTTGCCTTGCCCAAAATGAGCGGGTATCGGCAGTTGAACGACGTTATAGAGAAGTGCGGCATATCCCATCCACGTTGCCGACAGCTTCGGGTCGAATGTGAAGGTCTTTTTGTGTAAGAAGTAATGAGCTATCAGCTCTGGGGAGGTTTCGAATATGGTGATGAGAAGCTCGCTTTGTTTTGTGCTTGACCAGGGGCGCAACGACCGGATGAACTCGGCAAGCAACATGTTCCGTACAGGGATCTCGTCTTCAAACTTGCTCATCCAGGGGATACTGTCGATACCCAGCTCTAGCGAATGAGTGTTGTCTGTGCCGGCGATCAGCGCATCAGGGTCTACGCCCTCGGGGTAGTAACCATGTTGTGACCGACATATACCGGCACTAGGATCCGTGCTTGCTGCAAGTAAGATTTCGTGAGCCGCATCCTCGACGGAAGGTCGGCCGTTCTCAGAAACTTCTTCGGAATCTGCAGGGTCACGCGAATAGCCATACAGTGATGCTATCCGGGTCAGTGAATGAGAGTTGAGAATTCGGATTTTGACGTCCTTGGGCAATTTCTTGTCCCGAACGACTGATGTTTTGAGGGCATCCAATATCTCATATATGAGGGGCGGAGGATCTTCACGCAGATGCCGCATCAAGGCCGCAACGATGTCCTTCTGAGACAGCAGGTCCCTCTTGGCCTCGTTGTGCAGAAGCTTCAGACTACCCAGAAGTAAGCGGATCGCGTTCGTCCTCACAGAAGGCCGTTTAGGGTCTTCTATCCCTTCACCAAGATATCGAAGACCCATATTCCTGGCAAGCGACTTGAAGGTGTTGTTTCTCGCTCTGAATATTGGGGCGGCGAGAGCTCCACCGTCTAGGCATACTGCTTCCTTCAAGAGTCTTAGGGTCGGTGATATGATGAAGTCCTTGCCTTTCTCCGCTGAAAGATTCTTGGCCAAGAGCTCTTGCTGGCGCTTCTGAAGCAGGGTGCGACATATGCCCAGACCGTAGGAGGCCAAGTCTACATTCCCAGATATGAGCTTGAGAAGCAAGGCGAGCACTACTGCGACCGCGGACATGACATTTTCGTTGCTCATCTGCGAAGCCATGCTCCATGTCTCCATGATATCGGGCAGGTATACGGGCACTTCGTCCTCGACCTCGGTGGGCTTCGTGGTTTCGAGGAACTCGAGCACAATTGGCAGCTTGTCGGAATCTTTGTCGTCGCCATTGAGAATCGCATCAAGGAGGTCCTTGAAAGATTGAAGGCCTGATGCAAGTTAGCACTTGCGCAGAGGAAGCGTCCTTGTAAGCGCATGCGACCTACCGTGTCGAGCTTTGCGAAGATCTTGTTCAAAGGTCAGCAATTGATGAAGTTGCCTTCCAGTATAGACCTCTTCTGAGGATGGTGGCTCGTGGACATGGTTGGTCTTCTGTTTCTTTCCAGCATGACTGCCTTCACCTCCGTGAGACTTGCGCTTCGCCATGGCGTAGTCTTGTCAAATACCGAAGCTCTGCGCATGTTCTGGGGTTTCGGCGTGGGGTGTTTCAACAAGGAACTAACTGCCAGGACAAGCGCTCGAAAGTTTGACAATTGATTCACTCTCCTCTCCAGATTATCAGGTCGGTTCGAGGGCTCAAACAATCTTCCCTCACGAGGACTATTACAGATTCAACGACTCGAATCTTGTCCTACCTTGGTACGTAGCTCAGGACCGTTAGAAAAAGTTCCTGTGCCGTTTTTGACCGCTCTCCCCGCCATCCGTACGAGACTTAGCGCAAGATTGGAAGTAGGCAGTTCTGGTTCTCCACCCTGGCAGAGCTAACTCTAATGGAAGCACGGCTCCACTCACTCATAGCCCTGTGCCTTTGTGGTAGCGGAACTAGAACAGAAATCTATCACAAGTCTTGGTTGGGATGATCTGTATTCTGGTTGGTGCTTGGTTACGTTCGGACGGGAAGGATCCCATCCAAGAAGTATCTAAATACCTAAATTGCAGTGGTTGGGTACCTGTCACCTGGGGCAGCCATCCCAGGTAACCTTATCGTAGAACGCCCTGGATGACAGGAGATCCGATAAGGTACTGTTGGCTGCATCCAGTGGCTGGGATCCACAGCCCCACCATCTAGCTGCCCTGAATCCACATGTGAATGTTGCCTCGTCCCTCTCATCATCGGCAGAACAGTCATCCACCTTTACTTTGCTCTCTTAATTGTCTTCCCAACTGTCTACCAGTCCGCGAATATAGCAACATCAAAGTCGTTCATTAAACTGGTGTTACTGCCCGACATTTTTCCCTTGGCCAGAGTAACCCTATAAGGCCTCGCGCTCCACGTGACCGAAAACAAGACTCAACTTCATCATTATGGGTCAGTAATAAACCACCATCTACCCCTGGGCTCTCAATATTCAGATACTAACATGGGCTGCAGGTTCCGTCGTCCTACCCCATCTCAACACCGGCTGGCACGTCGATCAAGCGATCCTGTCGGTGAGTATTCATACGCGCTCCCCAAACCCATCTCCAACTCCACGCAGTACACATTTACTAACCAGACATCATAGGAAGAGGAAAGACTCGTCGTCATCAGATTCGGCCGCGATCATGATGCCGACTGCATGCGGCAGGACGAGGTCCTCTACCGCATCGCCGACAAGGTGAAGGTCAGTACTTCCATACCCCTGTTCCTCTCATTTTCCGCTATGAGCGGTGGCGAGCACCACATGCATCTGAGCTACACATACTGACTGAGGCTTCATTACTAGAACTTCGCCGTGATCTACGTATGCGACATCGACGTGGTTCCCGACTTCAACCAGATGTACGAGCGTAAGTACCACCACACACGAATTCCGATCAGAATCCCCCCTTTCTCCCATCCCCCGATCCCCCAACCCACCCCTCTGAACCTTCCATAACACATGAGTACTGACCAGTAGCGACACAGTCTACGACCCCATGACGCTCATGTTCTTCTTCCGGAACAAGCACATGATGATCGACTTGGGCACCGGAAACAACAACAAGCTCAACTTCGTGCTGGAGGACAAGCAGGAGCTCATCGACATCATCGAGACCATCTACCGCGGCGCCAAGAAGGGACGCGGTCTCGTCGTCAGCCCGAAGGACTACTCCACGCGCTACCGTTATTAGTCATCCATCCGCCTGTTTATCTTCGACTTCAAGGATGCCCAACCAGCCGACTTATGACGGTGGTGTGATCCGACTTACGACCGCGGTGTGATTAATGACCTGAAGAAAGGCTTCTTCCTACCTAGGCGGCGATCTACGGCGTTATGTGGACGGCGGGGGGCGGGGCCAAGAGTCCCGATGGGACTGCTTGAGGGAACGTACTAGGGTTGGTCTCACAATTCAACGAACTTTCTTACTCATGAACCCGAAGATGCTAATGCTCCTTCCCGAGATCCCGGTGACACTGCAGGTACGCCGTTCTCCCTCTATCCAGTCCGTCCCCGGACGTAGACTCCCTTCCCCTTGGCCTCGGGGGGTTTGAGGACGTCTCCCTCGTCACATGTTTTGTGATCCGTATTGATGTAGGAGCTGAGGTAAATTGTCTTTTACTTCTGGTAGCCCCTATCCTACCATATCCACCAAAGACTATCACGCCCAACCCAACGTCGGTCTAAGACCCAGACACCCAGGTATTCGTAGCATGAACATAAGACCGCAAAAGTATAACAAGCAGTTCACTGAATCAAACATCATGAATACATACTTGTGTAGTTGCCTCATCATCAATATCTCACACCACGAACCACTATATTCTACATATGGTAGATACTACACGATGTCCCACCGAACGAAAGGACGGTGGGTTATTCTCCTCCTATACACATACATACATACATACATACATACATAGGTACACATACAATCAAGATGAGAAGTCAGTCTATCAGGTATCCACGCGCTTCTCGCTTCTCGCTTCTCCTCAACGCTAACAACGGTCAAGATGTTCAACGCACACATTTGAATGCCGCAACCCCTCGTATATCGCTAGCGTCTCAGCCAGCCGGCATCATCGTCATATCAGTATAGATCGTAGGTATCTCTCGCACATATCTCGTACATCGCGCATGTCTAATCCTATTCATGGGAGTCAGTCATCAGACACCTCAACCCCCGCCCGACCTCCTCACAGCATATCCCCTGGCGACGTGGTGGGTTTTGTCTGCATCTGCGTTTGTGTCTGCGTCAGGAATGATGACGGCACCTTAGGCACCTGCGGCGAGGGCACGCCGGCGCGGAACAGCTCGCGCTGCCTCTCAGCGTCGCGCGACCGACCGCCCGTCAGCCGACGCATGTGCGTGCGTGTCGACTGCGCGATCGGCCTGATCATGTTCTCGAGGAAGAACGAGCTCTCGCCGGCGGTGCCCGACGCCGTCGCCATGTGTCCACCACCCCTGTCGACGCTCCCGGGACCCCGCCGCCCAACGTGCACGCCATCGTCGTCGCCGTCCGAGAAGACGTCCTCGGTCAGCTCGTCGTCTGACGTGAACTCGGCGAGGTTCGTCTGATACGACCCCGGGGCCGAGGGCAACGTGATGGAGCGCGAGTGCAGGGCTGGCCGCGTCGCGATTTCTGGGTTGAATGCGGCTGGGTTCATCGTGTTTGTGTTGGTTTCCCTCGGCACCGGGAGGCGGTCTACGAAGCCGTTGTGGAACGAGGTATTGGTCGACGCCTGGTGTAAAATGGGTAGCACGTCATCGTAGAGCCGTGCGCCGGACTCATAGCCTTCGGCAGTGAACTCTGTCACGGTCCTCGATGACCGGGCCTCGCTCGGCGAGGTCTGCGACATGTCGTCAAAGAAGTCGTCCAGGCTGTCGAGCTTCATGACCAAATCGCCCATGTGGCCCTCGCCGCGGGCTTCATCCGACATCATGGTTTCTGTTCGCTCGGGCATCTCAAAATAGCCGTAGCGGTAGTCATGATCGGCATGGAACTCAACTTCAGGGGTTGGGGTTGGGTCTGTGGGTATGCCATCCTCCGCATCTGCCTGGCACATGTAGAATGCTGCATGGATGTTGGCGCGGGTGGCGTCAGTCTTCTTCGCCGGAACTGGGATCGCCCATCCAGACTCCTCGGGGATACCGAACAGGCTCTGGGTCCGCTCATATTCTTTCCGGATCGCTTTCGACGAGGAGCGGGTCATGCTCATTCGGAGATGGTGCTTGTCCATCGACGATCCTGACACTGCAACAACATTGTCAAGCACAACCAGTGCTTCCATACAGAACTCGGTTTGGAGCAGTCGGAGGAGTGGAGATAGCAGATCAGAGCCATGGCCGGCAATCTCGGGTTTCCGCATCTCAGTCTCGGGGATGATGACACAGAGTAACCGCATCGTCATTATCTTGACCGACGACAAGCTGTTCGTAAGGAATCCCATCAGCATGGTGATCATCTTGAAGTCCAGCTGTGGGAGATAGAATTCGCGCAGAGCTGCGAAGAGCTCAACCATCAGCGCCCTGCTCGACTGATATCGCGAGTCTATAAAATCACTCAAGGATTCGCAGATCGCCGAGAGCCCCTGGGCCTCTGCCACCTCAAGCAGAATTCCAGCTGTTTGCAAAGTTCCATCGTCGGTGAAGCCCTGCTCCATTGCCTGCAACAACTGCGGGAAATTCGCGAGAATTGCAAAGAAGAGCCTGTCATCGCTGCCAATGAGGGCATCGCTCGGTAATTGGACAAGTTTCTCTATCGAATTAAGCGTCGGCTGAAGGCAGATTGACGATCTCAGACCCTTGTATAGTAAAGGCTGGATGCCTTCAAAGACACCATCCCATCGGGGAGGCTGACCATCCAAAAGGGCCTGTCGAATGTTCGGCGAGTGGAAGTCAAGCTTGTCAAGGAATATATCAAGCATCTCGATTGCCTCAAGGAATTCGAGTTCGTTGATCGATTCCAAGCATGCACACGTTGTCCAAAACAGTTGTGGATAGGACAGAAGCTTCTCCGGCTCCAGCTTCGCAACCAGGGTTTTCAGTGTCGTCAAAATCTCCATGGAGAACGTCTGAATCTCGGTGTCCTCATCCGCGATTGTATTTGACAAGCGTGCAAGCATGTCGCCCAGCATCAGTTGGTCTACTGAAGTTAGGATGCAACGGAAGATCTGAAAAGAGCGGCACGCCAAATGCCGAACTGGACATGAGGTCGCCCAAGTTAGTGAGAGGCGGCTCCACTGCTCCTTGATCCCCGGAAAGGTGACCTCGAAAGTCTTCACCACCTCTGCAGTAAGGTACTCCATGCTGTGCGGGACCTTGCTGTCACGGTCATCGACTTTGCCGTTGCTGTCTTCGTAGCTCCAGACGACAGAGCGGTCATGGCAACGGATTGCCTCAATCACATCCTCGATGGAGCTCTTGGTCTCTACCGGTGTCGCATCGTCCATTTTCGAGATGACGAGTTCGTGGATTAGATGGACAAGCATCTCGCGAGCCTGCTCTTGCACCAGAGGCGTATAGTGGTCCCACAACACCGTCACAACTTGCAACAGGACTGGCAAGTTCTCCCCTGACAGTTGCACGGGTGCGACCATCAAGTCGACCAACAATATCAGGGACAATTGTCCGAGAGAAAAGCCTGCCTGCTTGGTACCGACAGGCAGTGCTTCTGATAAATCGGCACAGTAGGGAAGCTGGTTGATATCCGGAGGTGGTGGTACGATCTCCCTCTTCTCATTCGGAACCATAGCTTTCGGGCTGATTTGCATCAAGAGAAACTCGACAACCTTGATACCCGGTGTGCTAGGGGTGCTCGACAAGAACACCACGATTTGCTTGGCATACTCGACGAAGTTTTGCTCTCTCCGCTCCAAACACAACGATATGATAAAGTCCAGTACAAGTCGGACATTCCCAGGATGGGGCCCAGTTGCGAGAGCTTGCCATAGGGCTTGAACCTCATTGTGCAACGCGGCGCTCGACTTGATGGTGATTTCGAGCAGATTGGCGAGAAGCACATAGGACTGTGCTATAGGACCACCGTTCGGATCAACTTTCAACTCAATAGTCTGGATCCACGGCAAGATGACGGCCACGGCATTCCTTTGCGAAAATGGTTCTAGGCTCTTGAAGTAAAGGGTGAATTCAGAGAAGATATGAAAGGCAACCTCGGGGTGTTGCTTGGCGAGCCGCTTGGAGATCTCGAACTGAGCCAGCTTGTAGACAGCCTTGGTCTTGTCCGAGATGCTGATGTCAAAATCTTGAATCTTGGAGTTGCGGGCGGTCTGCTGCCTCTCTTCCAACGCCCTGAGAACGCGTGCTGACTTGGATCGGATGTCGCTTTGATCGTTTCCGAGGGTGAACAAGCACAACGCCAGCAATTTCCAAAACTGCGAAGGATAATCAATGCGTTCGAGGAGAACTTCTGTGATCACCGCGAAATAGCTTTCTAGAACCTTGGGCGCCTCCGCTAGATAGCACCGCGCTATGCAATGCTCCAACAGATATGGATACCCCTGATTGTAGATGATCAAGTTCTTCAACGCTCGCCGGCCGATAACGTTGATACGGTCACTCCCAGAGTTAAATATTGTTTCTATCCAGGCGAGCATGCGCCGTACGTCGAACTGCAAGACAACTCCGCTCTCCGTGGTCACACTGACTGGTCCGGCGCAAAGGGCTGCCATGGCGCTGAGTGCGGCAGTCCCCAGGTTTCTCTTTTCTATTTCCATGGCGGCTGTGGCCGTCCCTCGCTCGCCAAGAGACTGTTGATCAATTAGAGATTGCCTCATGGTGTCTTCTCTCTGGCGAATCTGCTGCTGATTGGGTGAGAACCCACACCAGTCTTCCATCAGGGCAAATGAGGACTTCCGCGACTCGAATGTCATCCAGCGCGATGGATCTTTGGTGCGATTTATACCCTCAAAGAGCTCTTCCATTAGGCCACAGTAATGTCTTCGCAGTTTCTGGAACTCCCAGTCCATTTGCACTTCACCGTCCATCAAGAAGAGCTTCAAGTCTTTGGTATAGACGCAGAGATTGTTAAGGATCCAATCGTCTTGGCAAGCCTCGGGGTCTTTAAGGAAATGGGAGGTCAGTTTGTATACATGAGTGAGCTCGGTCCATAAGAGATCCATCTTCCGATTGCGACGCGGCCCGCTGTTAGAACGTTGGTGTAGCCTGTGTCGAGCCTCGTCATTGCACCGGGATACCTGCCCTTGCAGTTCCTCCAGCAATGTCCGGTAGATGTTGATGTTGACCGAGCCCATAGACAACACGACGGCCTCGCGAACGGATGCCGAAGATACCGACAGCAACGGGATGAGGTACTTGAAGAGGATCCTTGCCGAGACGATCTTATCGGTAGACTTGGATCCCTTTCGCAGATGTTGACTGCCTGGCAACACCCCATTCATTGCGCTTCCTGGATCGGCTAGGGTCGTGCAGGCGAAAGTCAGATACAGCTTCCATTGCTCGACGAGAACTTCTGGTTGTGTCGTTGGCGTCCTCCCAGTAAACCGGGCGCTGTTGGGATCAGACCCGTAGTACAGGCCCCTACTGGGCTCCGACAACTGAAGGATGGCCTTGTACATCTGCAATATTCTATTGCAGATCAGATCACGGCCAATGGTGACGGTAAATGGACACCGATCGTATGCGATCCGTATCAGATTAGGAAATATTTTGAACCAAAGAGTTGTATCATACGAGACGTCACTCGTGCAGAGGTCGATCAGGGCTCCCTTGTTGTTGCTGTTCTGCATTCCCCTCTGCAGTCGGCTTCGTTCCGCCACCGACAGGTGTTCATCCTTGAAACTCATGACTTGGACCGAGTCGTTCTCCAATATGTCAATGAGGCGGAAGTTATCCTTTTCTTGGGTGCGATCCTTGCCCAATGCCGTGTCGAACTCAACAATTAGTCGGAGAACAGTGATTGCGTAGTACCTCACTCTTCGCGATTGTGAACACAGAAAGAACAGGCCGCGGGCTTCGACATGCTCAACCTCAGCCCATATACTGGACAAATCAAGCTTCATGCCCCGTTTGTCATTCCCGCTGATTTCAGTCGGGTCAGTTGCAGCGTCCTTCGTTTTCTGCCTGATCTCGTCCCGCCATATTTGTAATAGCTCTACATAGAGCCGCAGCGTGTTTTCAATGTGGCCGGGCCCGAGCATGCCACCGTCAGACATGGTGGAATAGCGGTCGTCAAAGTTGAAGATGAATCGTGCAAAGCCCATCGTCACTTGATGTGCATGAGACTGTTTGGCAATAGACTTGAGCGACTGAGCCGACGACTGAGCAATATTCCACTGGACATGCGCCGTTCCTGTACAGAGTAGATTGATGAGCGAGTTGAAGGGAATGTCGGCGGACAAACAGCGAGGCAATGCCTGCACTGCAACATGCAAAAGTTCGTAGAACGCTTGCTTCTGGTCAGCGGGACTTTGGTGGTCGTCGCGTCTTGAGAAATTGAAAGTTTCGGCAATAGGCGTCTTCGGGCCGGGGCTGCTGAACTTTTCATCGAGAGCGGCTTGGCCTCCGAACGTGTTGTCACAGATGATCGTTATTTTACCCAGGATTTCCGAAAATTTCTTGTAATAGTCTCGGGCGCCATCGCCCAATGCGCCGAGCTGAACCGGCCGTGACAGAGACTCGTCAGGATGGGGCATCAAAGGAGTTCCCAAGGAAGGGCTTTGGGTTGAAGTTGACGCTGGTGAATTAGGGGGCACGCGGTCGGAGTTAGAGGGTATTGAATACTGTTGTGGGAAGGGGGGCCGGCCGAGCTCCCCCTTTTCGAGGTCAGCCATTATGACGAGGAAAGCGCGTATCCCAATGACCATCCTGTCAGGTTCAAGCTGCTCGACTTTCAGCTCCTTATTAGAATTAAATAGCTCAGCATTGATCAACGGGAAAATGACATTCTTGCAACAAAATTCAGGGTACCGATACCCAATGATCCTGATGATCTGGATCAGAGGGCCGCTCGAAGCGGTGTCTGCGGCAGAAAACGTGCGCTTGGTAGTTGGCAAGACGAGTTGCATGACCTCGTCCAGTTTTCTCGTTACTGCAATCGATGAATCGTTGGTTCGATACAGATACGTCCAGAGCAGTCTAGAAATGGCCTGCAGGCAAAGTGGTCTCACCGTCCGGTCCTTCAACCGAGGCTGGAGCGTCCGCACCAACTGAAGCCATTGATTGCTCGAATTCTCCGGGGGAGATACACATAGCATCGTCGAGGTCAACGGAAATGCTGCTGACCAATGTCGCGGCTTGACAAACATAGAGGCTAGGCGCGGGCTGATGTTGCTGAGTACTTCAGCCCACCTGGGATATGTGAAGTGATTGTTGGTGGCCTTGGCAGCGATTGGAATAATGAGGGTATCAAGAATTTGACAAAACGCCGACTTCACCTTCTGGCCGTGAGACCGCGCAAAGAGCCGACCCAGCGACACGAGAAAATCGCAAGCCTGGTGCCAATTCTCATCTGTATCGATCTTGATGCGCAGGTACTTCATACCTCCCAAGACTAGCTCGACTTGTCCCTCTGGGTCTCTGTTTGGTGTCGTCGGACTCCTGGCACCCAGATCCTGCAGAGATCGCTCGAGATCAACAATGAAGCGGTCGGAGACACTGGCAAAGTTTATCTCGCTCATGGCACCCAGCAGCTGCGAGAATAGGTTCCAGTTGGCCAACTTGAGAGGCGACACGTACAGCTGTTCGACGTCTGCAATCTTCAGTTGACCAAATATGATGCCCTCAAGCTTATCCTCCATCTCGGGAGTGATACAACTCAGATTGCTCTGTGAAATGACCTCCAGGAGTACCCGGCACAGGATGTAGATGGATACAATAGACCGGCGCTCTGCTTGAGCTACGTATTCCTGCTTGGCGGCAAGGGATGTTGGCCCGTTGGTCGTGCTGGCTTCTGACGACCCGTTACCCGTCATCATTTGTAAGGGTTCGGTATTCCGCCTCACAAGAGCTGCACTGGGGAAGTTGGTCCTTAACTGTTGCAGCTGACTCCGTGCCTCGTTCGCTGCTTCGCTTTTGTATTTCCTCCAGAGCATTATAGAGTCTATCAACGACTTGGGTTTGGGGCTTGCAATGTGTCCGAGGGCGACGATAAATTGATCAAAGGCTGGGTCGGCACCGGGACCGCATATCTGCTCGATCGGCGGCTCGGGGTCGAAAGGCACGGTGATACACTCATTGAGCTTTTCCTCAGCATGCGCAATAAACTTGGCACGAATTAACAACTGTTGAGCCGGATTGATAGTCAGGGAGGGAAGAAACAAACAGAAGTAAACAACACATGCAATGCATATTCTCCGACAGTCTTCTGCTCATCCTTGTGATGTCTCGACGAGTGCGACTGCTGATGTGCATGATCGCGCCGGGCCCTGCTGTGCGTGCGCACCACCCTCCTCTGGGTCAAGGTGTTGGCGCCGCTTTCCGAGACTGACAATGTCCTCTCCAGCGGTTGAGAAGTTGTATTGGCCGTCGTGCCCGACATGGCAGTCGGCGGGCGCGAGCCCGTGGACAAGTCCGAGTCCTGGCGAACCATGCTGGGCATCGTAGGCATTTCCGGTCGTTCTGGTGGCATGCCGGCACCAACTGCCGCGATCATCTGGGGGCTGAGGGGACTCGAAGAGGAACTAAGGCTTCCATTCCGCGAGTGTTGAATGCCATGAACGATGGATGTCTGGCGGTGGTGTCCATATGCGCCCGTTTTCTGGTCTGCAAGACGGTCGAGTATTCCGCCAAGGCCCTGACGCGATGTGGGCGATCGAAGGCCAGCAGATCTTGACGAGGAGGCTGATCGCGGCGATTCGGGTATGCCTGCGAGGCCTGCGAGGCCGCCGGACTGGAGCTTCTCGAGGGAGGATTCGCGCGAGTGGGCAATGGCACGGCTCGTCGCGGAGGCGGAGGGGTCGACGATTAGGGGTCTCAGGGGGCCTATGGTCTCCCACCCATCGCTATCATCGTCGAAGTCGAAGCTGTTGAGTCGTGAGGCTGAACGAGGAGAGAATTTCAGCGGGTCCTGCAGGTCTGGCAACGTCTTTTGGGACGGGGCTACGTGATGCGACAAAGAAGTCAGTAAGGGCGACGACGGCATGAAGAAGCAGAGGGTATCGTATCAGATAACAAAAGCAGAGCGTAATAAGAACTGGAAGACGGCAGGGAGCATGTTCAAGGGCCTCAGTGCTGTTCTCCTCTCTGTTGTGAAACACAGCCGTTGGTGTCGGTGGATAGAAAGACCTCGGGAAACAGCAAGCGAGCCACGGGTCAGGCGTTTAAGCGTGCAAAAAGTTGGAGTTGCAGGTGATGCCGCTGACTTCCCGACAGCTGACGCCACGCCCTCAAATTGAGTCGATCAATCCAGCCAATCGCACGCGCGACCCCTTTCCTCGCACCTACCCAACCTCGAGGACAGAGGACATATTCCCAGGTCTCCTTCTTCACTGCTACCAAAGCAGTAGGTATGCATCATAATGAGAAGAAACTCTAGGCGAAACCACTCACCCATTGTAGGAAATCTGTGCCCATGATACGTCGGCACAGCGCGGAGGATGTGTGGGGCTCTAGGATGTGGCTAGTATCTGCGAACGGTGTGCTGCTGTGGACAGATACGACTCGCATGTACTGTGTTAGGTAGAAGATGACTGAGAGAGGACTGATGAGAAAGACTCAAGGAGAGGAAGACTTGAAATGGAACCTTGAAGGCGATGGCCAGCATTCAGAAATGACGATGGCTCTATTGTGATTTTTTATTTTCATCTGCGCTTGGCTGCTCCCTTCCCCCTCCCCCTGCTGTCCGATACCTGCTCTTGGATATGATAAATAACCAGTAATCACAGCTGATTGCCAGGTACAGTATGCGACAGGGCATCTATGTGATCTATGCGGTTCGATAGAGTAGTGGTCCGCAACCTCGTCGTCAACAGACAACAGTCACCTAGCCGGCATTTACCTTGAAAATAGACCAGGCTGCCAGGTTTCCTTTCATTACGAAATCCCATCGATAGGCTTGTCGCGTGTACGCCCTAGGGTATTGAACGGTGAACATGGTTGCATGCCGTAAGCAGGGGCTATCGAGCTATCTCCTGCAAGGGCGAGCCTAGGTATGGTCGTTCAGGGTTTTGAATAGCGACATGGAACCCCTGTGTGTGAAATGATTCGGGAAATAGTCCCAAGAGGAAAGATTGCGGGAGAAACGTGGGATAAGAAGTTTGGGGAAGTCGACTTCGATTCAAGCCTCCACTGTCACCAGCACTTCATGATTCAGATATCAACCTCAAAGTTCAAAGCCTATACTGTATCACCCCCCTTAGTCAGGTTGGCCGCGATTTACGGACATGTGCCAGTTGTGTAAGGCATGCCCGGTTAAGACTGTCTGACAACAGTCAGCAGCCGCATGCTAGCTCGGTCTTACAGTAATAAGCAGTAAAATAGTATGAAAAATTCGAACCGCAGCAGTCATCAGAAGACTATTTATAGCCAAGAAGTTCCCTCAAACCATTTGACCAAGCTGTCCTGGTATACGTCAGGGGAAGGTTTTCGCATATTCGAGGCATCAAGGACATGAAGTGCCGAGTCTTCCCCTCGATCTAGGCTTGTCCAGCTTCAAAGTATGGACAGCCATTTGTTATTAAGATGACTTCTGGAAGAGGATAGAAAGATCCAAGCAAGATCCAAGTGAGCCAACAAGAATTGCCGAAGTGTTGGTCCGAGGATCTTCTAGTAGCGCTGGCGGGCTGCACCTACAATTGGACCCTCTGCAGTCCCCGAGTGACAGGGCCGGGGACCGGAGCAATCTTGTCCTCTGGGGTTGGCGGGTTGCCGATACTGGAAATAGCCCACGGGCATAGAACAACTCCTCATAATGGTAACAGCGTTCAATGTTCCATTGAATGGGTTACGACCGAGTTTGTTGCCTCTCATTTATTAGTTTTACCTGTAGGTCATGCACCCATTTAACTTCATCACAAGCTTTGAAGTAAAGCTGTCATAGCTCAACCTTACGTGTATATTCGGGTTTTGGTGAATGCTCAACTGGCACATCCTGGCAAGGCGCAATACTGCGATCTTCATGAAGGATTCGTGAGATTGTTATTAGTCTAGGCCAGAAGGATCCGCTGCTTCAGAGTGCAGTAATTCGTGATCAGAAACGGGCCCTTCCACAGAGGTGTCGGACAGATTTCTGCTTGTGTCTTGACCATCTTACTGGCACCCTGAGGCTTTACCGGTACACAAGCACACAAGTTACTCCCAGGGCCAGCGTGCATTCAAGGACCGTCCGAGGGTTGGCTAGCCGCACTGTAGCGCTTATTAGTGCACATAGGTAGTCGATTTAGGCGCTGCCAGGCGCCCGGGTGTGCACCCGACCGTTGTGGTGCCGGGCTTTCATGGTGCCGGGCGTGCGAACAAAGCGTCCAGTGGTAGATGGACCCTACGATTGAAAACTCCACCTGCAGTCGTTGATGCCACCACTCAGCCACTTGACCGCAATCTTCCCCAATCCTTTCTCTCCCTGCCCGCTCACGCCGCCGCCTGCCTGCACTCCGACCAGTGACCACGCCCGGCTGCACTCAGAGTCGAAGACTTGCTTACTTGGCCTTTCACTTGTGTAGTCTGTCGTGTGCCAACCTCGTGCGCAGACTTCTTCGAGTGTACAGTCTCTGGCCTCTGAGTTCCTAAGTTCCTAAGTCCTGTACCACAGTTGCAGTCTCAGTCGCAATCGCAGTCAGCGTCGGCGCCAATCTGTGGTGGCGTCCCGTTGTGGCCTCTCCAGGAGTTCCCCAACGCCCGCCCACGTTTCTCACTGTTCTCGTCCTGACAGTAAGTTTGCCCTGCAATCATAACCCTTACCATTCACGCGGGCATTGTCGTCTGCAAGTGAATGCATTACAGCCGGTGCTCAAGTTGGCTAATATGGCTCTACCAGTCGCAGTTGAGCTATTTGCCATAGCAGTGCGTTTCTCGACCGAGTCTTACACATTGCCGAGACTTTTGGTGGACCCAGTCGCAACCCGATACATCCCAACCGACACAAGCTCCTAAACAAGTCGCCAACATGGCTCAGCTCGACACTTTGGACATTATTGTCCTATCCGTCATCCTCCTCGGGACGGCTGCTTACTTGACCAAGGGCAAGTACTGGGGCATAACCAAAGATCCGTACGCCGCCTCCTTTGCCAACGCAAATGGACTCAAGGCGGGGAAGACCAGGAACATAATAGAGAAGATGGACGAGAGCGGAAAGAACTGTGTCATCTTCTACGGCTCGCAGACGGGTACTGCAGAGGATTACGCCTCCAGGTTGGCGAAGGAGGGCAAGAGCCGATATGGCCTCGAGACCATGGTGGCCGACCTGGAAGACTACGACTACGAGAACCTCGATGTCATTCCAGAAGACAAGGTTGTGATGTTCGTCTTGGCCACATACGGCGAGGGCGAGCCTACTGACAACGCCGTGGACTTTTATGAGTTTATCACCGGCGAAGACGTTTCCTTCTCTGAATCATCGGACGACACCCCTCTTGGCAACCTTAACTATGTTGCTTTCGGCTTGGGCAACAACACCTACGAGCACTACAACTCGATGGTCCGAAATGTAGACAAGGCTTTGGAGAAGCTTGGCGGGCACAGGATTGGTGCGGCTGGAGAAGGTGACGACGGTGCCGGCACTATGGAGGAAGATTTCCTGGCCTGGAAAGACCCCATGTGGGCTGCTCTAGCAGAAAAGATGGGTCTTGAAGAGCGCGAGGCTGTTTATGAACCCATCTTTGGCATTGTGGAACGAGATAACCTCACTAAAGATTCCCACGAAGTCTACCTGGGTGAGCCCAACAAAATGCATCTCGAAGGAACTGCCAAAGGTCCTTTCAACGCCCACAACCCGTACATCGCGCCCATCACCGAGTCCAGGGAACTCTTCAGCGTCAAAGACCGCAACTGCCTTCACATGGAAATCGATATCAGTGGATCTAACATGACTTACCAAACCGGTGATCATATCGCGATATGGCCGACCAACCCTGGGCATGAAGTTGACCTGTTCCTGAACATCCTGGGTCTAGAAAACAAGAAAGACACCGTCATCAGCGTGAAGGCCCTCGAACCCACAGCCAAGGTCCCATTCCCAACGCCCACCACGTTTGATGCTATTATCCGCTATCATCTAGAAATCGGCGCCCCTGTCTCACGTCAGTTCCTCGGCACATTGGCCGCATTTGCTCCCGATGAGTCGGTGAAGGCGGAGATGGCCAAGCTTGGTAGTGACAAGGACTATTTCCAGGACAAGATCAGCAAGAACCACTACAATATCACTCGAACCCTCAGTTTGGTCAGCAATGGTAAGAGTTGGACCAACATACCATTCTCTGCATTCATAGAAGGCCTTACTAAGCTACAACCTCGGTATTACTCCATCTCATCATCTTCCGTGGTACAGCCCAAGAAGATCTCTGTCACTGCAGTCGTTGAGAACCAGCTGATCCCCGGTCGCGTCGATCCCTTCAAGGGTGTTGCCACCAACTACCTGCTCGCCCTCAAGCAGAAGCAGAACGGTGACCCCAATCCTGAGCCTTTCGGGGAAACATACGAGATAATGGGACCCAGAAACAAATATGACGGGATACATGTGCCCGTACATGTGCGGCACTCAAACTTCAAGCTGCCGTCAGACCCATCCAAACCTGTGATCTTGGTTGGACCTGGTACTGGTGTGGCCCCGATGCGAGGGTTTGTCCAAGAACGCGCCAAGCAAGCCGCATCTGGCGAGGATGTTGGTCGAACCCTACTTTTCTTCGGTTGCAGGAAACGCAACGAGGATTTCTTGTATGAATCGGAGTGGGAGGTCCGTACACCCACAACACCGAGGAGGAGCTTTGCTGACACATCGATAGGAATACAAGAACGCTCTTGGTGACAATTTCGAGATGATCACTGCGTTTTCGAGAGAGGGGGCAAAGAAGGTCTACGTGCAGCATCGACTAAAGGAGAAGGCCCAGGAGATCAACGAGTTGTTGCTAAAGAAGGCCTACATCTACGTATGTGGTGACGCCGCAAACATGGCTCGTGAAGTCAATACGGTGCTGGCCCAGATTATTGCAGAACAGCGAGGCGTTCCTGAGTCCAAGGGAGAGGAGATCGTCAAGAATATGAGAGCAGCTAACCAATATCAGGTACGTCTGAACAGGTGGAGTTTTCTTTCCTCGTCATAGTTTCTGGCGTCGTCACAACACACCTTCGCGTCTTCCTTCTATCTGATCATTACTAACTGCTTCTATAGGAGGATGTTTGGTCATGATCAAATCTGCGAAGATGATTGCTTTTCCTTGCATCAGCAATGCGACCATCTTGATTCAATATGCATGAAAGGTGTTGTGTCCAGTGCGAACCTTGCTCGGAGTTACGGCAATCTGGGATGTCTTGGGCGACGACTCGCAATTCTGGCAGGTTTTCGGGTCGGGCTTTGAGATGATATTTACGCTTAGAAGTCCGCGCGTTACTTTGAGTATATACACAGCTGGCTACATAATGAACCCCTTTATAGACTGCTTCCTGCTTTTCCATGTCTGAAACACGGCGTTTAGAGGGTCTTGAATTCAAGCCAGTGAGGACCAACCACAGGGCAGCCCGTAATCGAATGCAACGATATAAGGCCAGTTGCTAGTGGTCGTAGTGGTCCTAGAGTAGCATGCAAAGCCGCGCCTGGTCTCGACGTCGCCCGCTTGGCGTTCAGCCTTGGAATATACGAGTCTCCAGAACCCATGTTCTTGGGACTGGGCGCTGCGGAGGGGATACATACTTGGATGGGGTGATATACCGCCGTCTCGGTCGATGCGATTTGGGAATGGGTCGACTCCTCGTGTCGTGGGCTGGGGATGGGATGTAAGGTCGGTGGGATTTTTCGAAGACTTGGAGGGCTGCCTTCAGATCCGGTCCGGAGGAGCGTTGCCGCCGATTCCCCAGGACGGGAGTGAACAAGCTTTTACTGCTGCTGAAGGGACGATGGCCTTGTGTCCAGTGCTTCGAGGTGTATGGTTTCTATGAGCTTGCTTAGGTCACGTGCCCAACCGCAAGGTTAGGCGTTATAAGCTGCAGCGGCTTCCAATGTTCCAGACAGACGTATCACCTCGGCTGCGGTCATTGGCCTCTTATTTTCCTCTCTCTCGAACATGGTCAACTGAGACAGATCAGTCATCGAGCGAGTGGCATTAGTAAAGGTCAAAGCATTTGGTACCGGGCCTGTTGAGACGTCTCATGTCTTCAGGTTTGCCCAGTCCACTCACTACCTAACTCATATGTAGCTGGACAAGATAAGCTGTGCACAAGTTACAACCTCGGCAGGTTGGTTGTCAAAATCTGCTGGACCGCCTGTGGTCTGAAGATTTGGTACAAGATTTGGTACTTGGGGCCCCCCCCTTGGGAGTGGTCCCATGGGGTCCGGGGCCTTGACTACCCAGAGCACGGGCCACCCGTGCCGACCTCAGCGGTCCATCCCGCGTCGCTCAAATCCTTCCGACTCCAGCGGGTCTTTTGGGTGTATCTACCGGGACATGGGAGGACCAGATTCGCTGTCTCGGATGGAGTCGACATCGCCTTCGTCCCAGGTTCCGAGTAGTCGATCCCAGGACACGGGATGGTCCTCGGACGCGTGCCTGAGCCGTTACGGTTCGGCACTGTGAGACACCTGCTGGACCCTCGCTGGTTGCTTCTCAACCCCATCAAGCGATCAACTCTGTCTCCTGTTGCTTATTCTGACGCCAGGTTCGCCAGGGAGTAATTGGCCACGCCTCGGAGCATGTAGGGGCATACATGTCTCTGGCCAGTCTTACCGGTCCAGCCTCTCACCGATACCTTGGCGGTGCTCCTCCCATGTGCCGGGCCGGGCATTTGGAACCGGGACCTGAGTCGGGTACCGGTACCTATGATTCTACGGAGGACGCTTCGCAAGCCTGACCTTTTGATCACCTTGCAGCTTCGTCGTTCACTGTCCAGCACGGTGGCGCCCCATGCGAAAGCGAGAGCTCATACCACGAAATTGCATTTCCATGAGCCAGAGGGAGTTCCCGGTCTCTCTTCACGTCAATGAGCCCAGCCTGGTCGTCCTCTAGGGGTATTCCCTGGGCGGGAACGAATCTGAAGCAGATGGCTGGAGGTGGCTGTGTTATGTTCTATGAGACATTTCCACCACACGAGACCACACCTGATAGGAATACAAGCGCACCAGACTTTGCCCCGGAGAAGCCGGTTGGGCATGGCAGACAAGAGTATGTCTTAGCTCTCCGTCTCCCCAATGCTACTTCGCAACCTTGTTGCACATCACCACCATCACTACCGCGACCCCAGACCGCTTCTGGGAATGGGTGTATCGATACACCACAATCTAATCGAGATCATGCCCAGCTTGATGCTACACAGCAACAAGGTCCGAATAATCGCAAGTCGACCACATCAACGAGCAACACCCGGGGTCTGTTGAATCCGAGTGCCCCGTTGGCCTATGATGACTGTGAACAGGGGAATGTCAGTCATGGCGAGTCCAGTGGAGATCCTTGCTCGAGTGTCACCATTGTATCCATTAGGGGGGCAGCGATACCAGAATGTCTTACTTTCTTCGACGACCCTGAAGCTTAGCGGACCGTGCCCCTCGGGTTGGACTTCTTCCATGTCCACTACCGAGCTGACCGTCCATGTATATACCCTGTCCCAGTTGGGGAAAGAAGAAAAACAGACCAGCCGGAAGAGGACGCAAGCATTACCACCACGGCACTTGTACCCAGACTGGCCACCGCACATCAAGTACGTATTCAGGCAAAGCTGGGGTTGAAATAAAGAGCAGCCTTGTCCCGCCCCCTTCCAGTCTTTGGACTGAGCCCTGCCTCTTCTAGGAGGTTATGGACTTCACAACACTGCTTGCCCATCTTTGTTGAGTGATCTTCAGCTTCTCCTTCTTTGGACGACAGCATATATTAGCTCCTTCTCTTGCTTGCTTCTCTATCATATTATACTAATTCTATTCCGCCGACCCTCTATTGTGCGGTCTCGCACATGCACTGTGGTTCTGCGCTTTGACATTGACCAAGGTACATCACACATCTAGATATCGTCCATATATTCCTTGGTCCTTTTCAGGGAAGGGTGGTACCCCACTTGGGCAACTACACTCCAGCTGTAAAGCTTGTGAAGTGGAGGCAGGCAGATTTGGGATTCATATTGCCTTGGATAGCTGTCGAAAAGGGGCATTGAGTCTCTTTGGGCACCGGCAAGTAAACATGGTTGATCTTATTATGTCTGATAGTTATCTAACACTATCACAAAGTTCAGTATCAATGCTGACTCGTGAAGGCAGAAGAAAGGCATCCATCCCTGCCTGTGTTGACTTGAGCCCCCATGTGAAAGTGTTCATCGGCATCTTGAATACAGGTCATCGCTGTCCGAACCTTGTCTTATTACTACATGGGAGGTGAGTCTTCCTCTCGAAGTTCGCCACGGCACCGTCGTGCGAGCGCCTTGAGGTGCTGGGAACAGAGAGGGAGGGCGTATGTTTGATAGGCCATGCTCGTGGTGATTGTGGACTATAGGAGAAGGCATCCAGACCAGACTAGGTCCTTGCACCGGTGACAGGTAAATTCGAAGCAAGTCGTGATGTTGGTGTGATCAGCGTGGTTGCTAATGCAGGTTGCGAACAGGGGCAGGATCACTTCATGTTGTCGTCTTGCTGTATCAGTTGTGGATATCAGCTCCTGCTAGGTGAAGGATCAAGAAAGGAGAGGTCGAATGTGGTTGCCAGGAGACACGGGTCGACTGCACCGATCTCGACAAATCTGCACAGGGGCAACCACGGCGTGCACTTGTGAAATTCACCTGGGAAACCAGACGCGTCGCCAACACCCGTTTCGTCAGCTGCAACTTACTCCTAGCTGCCAGGGCACACCTGCACACAACAATTACCCATCCGTCTACAAAAGGTCAACGCCGACCAAGATTGGCATTGGATCTTTCTCTCACAAAACCACCTTCCATCTTTACGCCGCCTGCACACCTTCAAGTTCTGCAGCCTGCACTCCTTCCACTTCCACATACCTACCTAGTACTCCTCACTTCTTACGCCCTCGCTGCGGCACCTTCCCAGGTTCTCAGAAAACCGCTACACCATCACGTCGCGACTTCCTCGAGCAGCAGCACGCCGCATTTTACCTGCATCCGTTGACATCATCATTGATCCATTCCTACTAGTAGTAAGTACCTCCTACCTCCTACCTCCTTCCGCCGTTGCTCCCAGTGCTGGCAGGTGCCGGCAGAGCGCTTCCTCCAACGTGACATGACCTGGCCTGGCCGGATCAAAACCCTTTCTTCTCCTCGTCCCCCTCCGAGTCCTCTCCCACTTGATACACCAGCATAGCATCGACTCATCCAGCCTCCGCATCACCACAATCACTTCGATTCCCATCTTGCTTGCTAGCTACTCTATTTTACTCGTTACCGCTCGCTTTCTCCATCCGACCCGTCTTGGTAACAGCAGCATCGACGTTTGCCAGACACTGCGAGGTTCGTCCACCTGCGGCCTTCTGCTTCATCCCATGCCAATATCGTCGTTCTGCACTGAGATCTCCTCGCAGCACTCCCACATACCTCCCACTCTGCCCAGCTCGACGCAACCCTCCTCGTTTCGACGGCACACACTTCACGCACAATTCACCAAAACTATTGCATATTCATGCCCTCAGGCACCAACGCCGACAAAGCTGGCGACTCCCCCCTCCACCCCACATATAACACACACCTATCTATCTACCTTCTCCCCGTACCCGAACCACCCACCACAAATAAATCTACTCTGCCGCCCAAGTCTTTGAGCTCTCAAGCACACACATCTACTTTTCGGCGGGCTTCTCATACACTCGCACTTGTTCCTTCTTCCCACATCCGCTGGTTGGAATCCCCTTCTTGACAGCTGCGAATACTCTGTATTACCTCTTCCCGCACACCGTTTTGATCAGCCTCTAACAGATTCTTCTTGCAGGTCCATTCCGTTCGGATCAGACTTGATCATAGTCAACTCTTGTACTGGTAAGTTTCCCACATCCCACCATCCACACCCACCTCTCCTCGTTCTTCGACGCATATCCCACGTATACCACTTTCCCCTTCAACATCCTCTCCCCAATAACATGCAACCTCTACACAATTCGCTGCGCATTGCTGTGAAAATCCCGGTCTGAGGTTCACTCCCACTTGTCCTTTCACATGCCATGAACCAATGTACCCTCACCCACATATCACGTCTCCTGTGCTGCCCCTGCCAACACCATTCCGCCTCTTCACACCCTACCTTGAAGAACTGAGCTTGGTCTTTACAAGAATCATCCTGCATCCATACCCGCCTGCACCTTGCTGCTGCTTTCGTGCAAGGACAAAATTGATTTGGCTGCTGTTTTTCTGCGTCCCAACCGTCCCAGGCGCTTCACGACTCACCCGCACTGCACAGCAAGACGGGATTGCACCGTGCTGCAACAACATCCCGACGTCTCTATTGCCTTGCCATCTATATGTCATTTCCATTTCCAGACGTACTGGATGCTGTTGTTCTGAAGCACGCTTGTCGATTCGTCTCCTTCCACCAGTGCTTCATACAGAAGCTAGTCATTGCAACCCCAAGCACTTTGCTAATTCTTCACTTCCAGAAGACTATGTCTTATCTCCCCACCAACAGCATGTCGTCCGACGCGAACTACGGATCGAAGCGAAGCAGTGCCAACGGCAACTCTCAGGCCACCATGCCCGCTCACGCTGCCGCAAGCATTCCCGCCCACTACCTGGCGACTCAGGTGGCACCCCATCACGAGCTCATGGCCAACATGTCTGGCATCCACACTCAGGGCCCTGTTGATGCTGGCATGAATGCAGTCGTCAACCAGTTCGGCGGACTTGGTATCAACGGTGCTGCTGTCGGTCATCATGGTGCGATGCCCGGAATGGCCAGTCCTTACATGACCATGCCGGATGGTCAGCTTGTCTACGGCGGTTACGCTCCCGCTGGAGCTCACCCTTTCGCCTACGGTCAGGGCCATGATCCTAACAATCCGGCTTTCACCACCCCCTACCTCGCCCAGGGAAACTACCCTGCGTACATGCCCTACCCGGTCTTCCCCTACACTCCTGGCCGTACTGGCAGCATGCCTGAGCGCACTGATGCTAGCGCTAAGGACGTTCCGGCTCTGGACAACCGTCGATCCTCGTACTCGACGCACTCGACCAATGAGTCTACCCCTGCTACACCCTTCTTCGGTAGCATGGCTGGACGTGACCAGGCTGCACGTGTTCCTGTCTTCGATCGCTCGACATACACCACTCCTTCCCCCCAGCAGCTCATTGCCGGTGGTGCTATCCAGCAGCCTAAGGGCTTCTACGCCATCCCGATCCCTGTTGATCGTGACCTTGAGGCACTTCTTCGACAAGAGCCGGCGATCCCTGGCGCTGTCCCGGCTGTCTTCACTCCGCAGGAGAGCATGAAGACCCTGGACCAGAGCCTGGTCAACCACATCCCTGGCAACCGCAACGTCTACATTCGCGGTCTTCACCCGACTACCGACGATGAGCTTCTCTTGAAGTATGCCGATCGCTTTGGCAAGGTCGAGACCTCCAAGGCTATCATTGATACTGCCACGGGTGCTTGCAAAGGGTATGTGCCCTCTCATCTGACACACCTCAGCTGAATTGACTGACATGAATTTCAGCTTCGGCTTTGCCAAGTTCTTCGATGTTCGGGACTCCGAGATGTGCATTCGAGGCTTCTACCGTCTGGGCTACGAAGTTGGCTTTGCACGAGTGCGCATCCCTGGGGATTCTTGCTGCGCTTTTCATCACCATGCTGCTCGTGCTAACATGAACCAGGAGTCTTTCAACTCCCGACTCAAGGCTGAAGGAGATGAAGATTCTACCAACCTCTACATCTCCAACCTCCCTAAGTCCTTGACCGAGGCTGTGAGTACAGATTGCCATCCATCAACACATTGGTCCGCTGACATTTCCCTAGGAGCTTGGTGCGATCTTCCTCGGCTACACGATCTTGTCCAGCAAGATTCTCCGCGACTCAATGGGTAACAGCCGTGGTGTTGGATTCGCTCGGTAGGTTCCCTCTTGCACGTCCTCGACAAGCCATACATACTGACAGCGCCTCTAGCTTCGAGTCGCGTGAGCTGTGTGACGAGATCATCAAGGAGTTCACTAGTGTCAAGCTCGGTGATGAGGGTCTGCCTATGCAGATCCGCTATGCTGATACCCCGGCGCAGAAAGAGCTCAAGCGTGTCACCTCTGAGCGCCGCCAGTTCCGAACCAACGAGTACAACGTCGGTGCCTACGGCACTCCCCTTGTTGGCCTGGCTCCCACCATTTACAGCCAGCCCACCTTTCGACGTGGTGCAAGCGGAGCTGAGTAAGTTGTCACCCATGCTGACCCCGTTCACTCTTGACTAACATTCGTGTGTCTAGTGGCTACGGCGCTCGCGGTCCTTCCTTTGGCAACGGTCGTGGTCATGGACGTGGTGGTATGGGTGGTGGTATGGGTGGCAGGAACCCGTATGATAACCTGTCCCCTGCCCGTGCTGCCGCGTTCCCTGCCCGAAGCTTCTCTGCTGCCGAGTCTGTCTGGGCTTTGCCTCAGATCACTATGCCTCATATCCCTACTAACTATCGCTCCTATTAGACTAAGCAACATTGCCTCTGGCAATGCGGCGTCTTCGGAGGATGGTTCGGCGGATGAAGGTGTCACAATTCATGTGGAATCTCCCTTGGTTGCAAACGGAAGCACGCAGTCATCTCCCATCAAGCAGGAGAAGGACTGAGCATCAAGACCGTCTTGGTGTATACTGCACGGCATTATCATCTTTTTGTCTTGTTTTGCGACGGCATGATCTATCAGCACCTTGGCACATCTTCGCTGCCATGGCACCGGCAGAGACGTCCCCCATTGGTCGGCAGACATGATTACCCTCTCCTGGTTGTTCTTGTCATCGACTTACCCTTTCTCTTTCGAGTTATTAGAGATGACTCAAGTATGTCACCTTACCATCACAAGGTTTCAGTGGACAAAGATTGTTTCGTGTCAACGGCATCAGACTCGTTCTATTCATCTTTGTACTCCCTGAAGATAGAAACTCGGTAGTTACTCTAGTAGGAGAGTATTCATAGATGAACTGCACATAAACCCCAACTTTCTGTTATGATGCTGTGAATATGAGATATACCATGACTTCTTGCAATGAACAGGTAAGTCTTACTAGTGCATTCATTCATTCCATTCATTCATTCATTCATTCATTGAACATGGCGGTGATGGGTTCACCGATACAATTACTTATTGAAGGGGTATCAATTCATCTTTCTTTCCGCATCACTGATCTGGTGCCATCTATGTCTTGTCACTGACAGATAATATCGAGATGTCTATTGAGGCATCAGCAGCAACCTCACTTTTGTTGTTGTGCCGTCTGTTGAGAGCACTCTCCTCCTCTCCGTCCTCCTCCTCCTGGGCATTATCTTCGTCATCCTCATCATAATCATCTCCCATACTATCTTCGTCCTCGCTGTCACCACCACCACCGCCGCCGCCTTCTTCTCCCCGAGCCGCCTGCTGCTCCCTGATGGCGGCCTCGAGATCCTTGAGGGCCTTCTTGGAGAAGCCCGAGGCCTCGACGGCAGCGTCCAACCGCCTGGCGCCGTCCTTGCCGACCATCTTCTTGGCGTCGCGGTAGAAGGGCCCCGGCTGCGTGCTGACGAAGTGGAAGCGCCGCTCAAAGAAGCGCTTGATGCAGGCCACGTCGCGGTCGAAGTAGAACTCAGCGTTCTGGTGGTCCATCGATACCATCTGGGGGAAGTCGATGAGGACCGGGGTGATTGTGATGTTACTGCTCTCCTTTTCTGCCTCTTGCTCTGTCTGCTCGGCGGTTGCTGGTACTGTTTCGGGCTCCTTGGCTTTGGCTTTGGTTGATGACGTGGGTTGCTGCTCTTTGATGGTTTCCTGGTCCTGGTCTTTCTCCGGCTGCTCCTCCTCCTTTATCAAGATGTTGAACTCGTTGAAATCACCGTGGATGAGCCCATGCTGCGCCAGCCTCAGGATCGTGCCGATGAGCTCCGCGTACAGCGCGGTCGGGTCCGGCACGGTGGCGACCTGGCGCAGCGGGAAGGCGTCGACGAACTCCATGACGATGGTGTGGCGGCTCTGCGCGATGGGCAGCGGCACGGCGAAGCCCTCGTCGCGCAGCGCCCGCATGAAGGCGTACTCCTTCTCGGCGGCCAGGCGGCTCAGGTACATCCACGAGCCGCTGCCCTGGTTTCGGCGGCGCAGGTAGTCGCGGTTGGCCTTGACGGTGCGGAACGAGATGCGGCCGAGGCGGTGGATCTTGAGCACTCTCTGTGTGCCGGAGTCGTCGGCCACCACCACGATGTCGCTCTCCTTGCCGACGCCGATCTGGTTGCCGACGCTGTAGACGTGTTTTTGCGCCGCGTGCGTGTGCATGGCAAGGTAGTCCAGCCCGCCGTACGTCAGGCGGTACCCGTCGTACCGGGCCTCCTTGAGTCGTGATATTAGGTTCACTTTGGCGAGCGCGGATATGGCCTTGTGCGTGCGCGAGGCGCCGCCGCGCAGCTTGGCTATGCTTTCGATTAGGGGTGTGGGCACGATCTCGTGGTTCTTGCTGCCGATTTCTACCTGTTCGCGGGGCGCTGTGTCAGTCTTGATCGAGACCTGGGTCTGAGAATAGGGAAGCGTAGACAGGGTAAGGACAGGAAAGGGGCGGATGGGAGGCACACAGCTGTCAGGACGCGCCAGTCCTCTGCTGTGAGGTGGCGCATCGCCTTGGTATCGAGCTTCATGTTGGTGGTTTGCTGGCTCGTTCGAGCAGTTCGGGGTACGCGGTGGTAGTCAATATGTCCAGATTCAGGGGTATATAGCTGGTATATATTTGGGCAACGACTGTGACTTCGGGCTGGCTGAGTTGGGTTGTCGTTGCGATTCCTCGATACCCCCCGCCAAAATGTTCGAAATTCAAAGTACAGGTCCTATCGATAGGCGATAAGATGGCGATAAGCTATAGCGCATGAAGCTGGAGAAGATGCAGACTACCTGAATTGTGATTGGTTGAGCTGGGCTACAATGTTGATTGGCCGGGTCTGCGAGGCTGGATTGATGCTGAGCTAGCTGGGAGCACTGACCACCAGCCAGGCGGCAAAGCGGTCGCGTAATAAACCCTTCCGCCTTGCCTGGGTGTTTGGTTGGAGCTTGCAGGTGAGGTCCTGCCGGAGCTACGAAAGCTCAACAACGAATCTGCACTCACTCATCTCATCACCAACTTCAATCTCGTCCATCGACTTCACGCCACGACTGCTCCCCGCCACACCACGTCCTGGGAGATACTGATCCGAGCCGACAGATCTCGTCAATCCTCTACCTCTCGACGTGCTTGATCTCACAGACAACCTCACGAAGCTTACCCTTCCGAATCGCATCACCCGAACCCGCCTCTCCCTCCGATCCTAGGCCAAGATGGCACCAACCAGTGACCAGCCAAAGTCGACCGACAAGGGCAAGGGCAAGGCTGTTGATGGTCCGGTCGACGAGAACAAGAAAGGAAAAGACAGTCAGCCTCAAGCAAATGGCAAGAAGGGTGACGACAAGAAAGACTGTGTGTATCGCCTTTCACCATCGCCTTGCGGCTACATCGCTAACCGTCTACAGCTGCAGAAGAGTTGAGCGATGAAGATCAGCAGCTCAAGAACGAGCTTGACATGCTCGTCGAGCGGTTAGGAGTACGCATTCGACACCTTTTGCCCACGTCCAGGCTGTGCAGTGCTAACAACATGCGCAGGAGTCCGATGCATCTCTCTACAAGCCGGCCCTAGAGGCCATGAAGACCTCCATCAAAACCTCGACATCTTCCATGACCGCAGTCCCGAAACCCTTGAAGTTCCTGAGACCGCACTACGAGCCTATGACGAAGCTCTACGAAGACTGGCCCGCGGGCGATGACAAATCGTCCTTGGCTGATGTTCTGTCAGTCATTGGCATGACATTCTCAGACGAAGACCGCCAGGATACCTTGAAGTACCGGCTGCTATCACCTACCCAGGACATCGGGTCGTGGGGTCATGAATACACACGACATCTGGCCTTGGAGATTGGCGAGGTATACGGAAAGCGGATTGTTGAAGATGAGCCTGTGAAGGACCTGGTTGATCTCGCACTTGTTCTCGTGCCGCTGTTCCTCACGAGTAATGCGGAAGCCGATGCTGTCGACCTGATGGGCGAGCTGGAGATTATCGATCAGCTCCCCAAATTCGTCGACGAAAACACATACTCTCGTGTCTGTCTATACATCGTCAGCATGGTGAACCTATTGACATTCCCGGAAAACGAGCAGTATCTTAAGACCGCCCATGCCATTTACAAGGCATACAAGCAGCATACCCAGGCCATGGTGATCGCAATACGGCTCAACAACCCTCAACTCATCCACGATGACTTTAATGGTACATCGGATCCGGCTCTGAAGAAGCAGTTGGCGTTCCTGATCGGTCGTCAAAAGATCTGGCTGGACGTTGACAAGGAAGGTGATGATGAGAAGGACGCTCAAGAGATTGATGAGGCCCTCTGCAACATCAAGCTCTCTGAGTATTTCAAGACGCTTGGCAAGGAACTCAACATTCTCGAGCCCAAGATGACAGAGGATATCTACAAGAGCCATCTGGAGAGCAGCCGTGTGGCCGGCATGACGAACCTTGACTCGGCGCGACACAACCTTGCTGCTGCTTTTGTCAACGCTTTCGTCAACGCAGGCTTCGGCAACGACAAGATGATGCTGGTTGAGGAGGATAAGGAGAGCTGGGTGTGGAAGACCAAGGACGAAGGCATGGTGTCGACGGTGGCGTCACTAGGAACGCTTCTCATGTGGGACGTTGAGAACGGGTTGGACAAAATCGACAGGTTCACCTACGCCCAAGAGCCTCAGATCCAAGCTGGCGCTATGCTAGCCATTGGTATCATGAACTCCGGCGTACGGATAGACAGTGATCCTGCACTGGCCTTGCTGGGAGACTCGGACAAGCTCGAACACAAGAACCCTCTCGTGAGGACTGCGTCGATAATGGGTCTCGGTCTCGCTTACGCAGGGTCACAAAAAGAGGACCTGATGGAGTTTCTGCTACCGATCGTCACCAACTCTGCCAACGACATGCAATTCTCTGCAATGGCCGCGCTTTCCTTAGGTTTGATCTTTGTTGGCTCTGGTAACGCTGAGATCAGCATGGCTTTCGTTACCCTCCTTTTGGACGAAGAGCGCAAGTCACAACTTACAGATAAGTGGACGCGCTTCCTGGCTCTTGGCCTAGGTCTTCTCTTCTTCGGTCGCCAGGAACAGGTCGATGTCGTCCTAGAGACCCTGAAGGCCGTCGACCATCCCATGGCTAGACCGACTTCTGTTCTGGCGGAGATCTGTGCCTGGGCGGGCACTGGTGCCGTGCTGAAGATCCAAGAGCTTCTACATATCTGCAACGAGCACATCGAGGAATCCGACGAGAAGAGGGGCGATGAGCTGTTGCAGGCATACGCAGTCATTGGAATTGCACTAGTGGCTATGGGTGAGGACGTGGGACAAGAGATGGTTCTGCGGCAATTTGGCCATCTTATGCACTACGGAGAGCCCAACATTCGTCGCGCTGTCCCCTTGGCTATGGGTCTAATCAGCACCAGCAACCCCCAAATGAAGGTGTACGACACACTGTCGCGGTACAGCCACGACAATGACAACGATGTTGCCATCAACTCAATCTTCGCCATGGGTCTGCTGGGAGCCGGCACGAACAACGCCAGACTGGCCCAGCTGCTTCGACAGCTTGCCAGCTACTACCACCGCGACCAAGAATCGCTCTTCATGGTTCGCATAGCCCAAGGTCTTCTGCACATGGGCAAGGGCACCATGACCCTTAATCCGTTCCACACTGACCGCCAGATCGTTTCGCGGGTATCTACCGCCGGCTTGCTTGCCGTTCTTGTCGCCATGATCGACGCCAAGCAATTCATTACCTCGAGCTCACACTACCTCCTGTACTTCCTGGTCACAGCGATGCACCCCCGATTCCTCGTTACTCTAGATGAAGACCTGAAGCCATTGACAGTCAACGTGCGTATCGGTCAAGCCGTCGATGTTGTTGGCCAGGCAGGTCGGCCCAAGACGATCACTGGATGGCAAACGCAAAGCACGCCAGTGCTTTTGTCGCACGGAGAACGAGCAGAGCTCGAAGACGAAGAGTACATCAGCTTAAGCAGTACCCTCGAGGGCCTCGTCATCCTCCGCAAGGTAAGGGCATCCGAACAGTAATCCCACCCTGGCCGATGTGCGGAAAAGCTAACCTGTCTCCAGAATCCGGACTGGGAGGACGGCAAATGATGATGAGCTGATTTCGTTGAATGGGGAGATCAAGCTAATTCAGTAGGCCAGGTTGCCCATAGGGCTAGACTGGTCGGAGCACCTGTTGGCCAATGTTCGTCTATGCATAAAGTGTACCATTAAAATAAATAATGAACTGTCGAGCTTCGCATTTAGAGCGTGCTCGGTGGTCTTCTGCAATAGGCGGTGCGGCTTACGAAATTCCTCAACAGTGTGCGTGACTGACGATATAGGCAAATGCATATATAGCTGTATGTTCTACTCTCAAATACTCTACAGAATCCCCTACCTGCAGTCACAAACATGTCATGCTCATCATCCCCGCCTCGCCGGTCTCGCGTTCTTGGCCTTGCGCTTCTCCTTGAGCTTCCTCGCCTTGCGGATATCCTCGGCGTTCTTGAGCTCCTTCTTGTCGCCGGCGCCGTCCTTGAACCGGCCGACGCGGTTCTCCCTGGCGTCGGCTACGCGCTTCTTGCGCACGTGGTAGTCGTCGCGGTACTTGTCGGCCTCCTTGGGCGCCTTCTCCTGCTTGTGCTTGTACCGCTTGCCTCCTCCCGCGCCATAGCCACTGCCGGGGGCATTGGGTGCATCGCCGTCGGCACCACCTCCACCTCCACCTCCACGCTTCTCGGCCTCGCCCACGCGCGGCATGCGGCCCATGCGCTGGGCCTTCCTCCAGCGGTCGAAGCGGCCGCTCTGGAAGCTGGCGGCGATCTTGACACCGCTCTCGCCGCGCACCATCCTCGGGCCCTTGCCGGCGCCGCGGCTGCCGTCCTCGTCGTTGTCACGCGAGACGTACTTGGCGTCCTTCTTGTCCCAGCGCAGCTTGGAGCGGGTGGGCACGCCGAACGACTTGGCGCCCTCGTCGTTGGTCAGGTCCATGGTCGCGGTGCGGGCGGCCTCGACGAAGTTGCCGCCGACGTGCGAGCTGCCGGCGTGCACGCCGTAGCCGCGTTCCTCGGCCGCGTTCACTGTGCGCGGCTCGTATCCCATGTACGCCTCCGAGTCCTGCCATGATGACGGATCGGATGGCCCCTTCGACTTGTTGTTGTTGCTGATGGTGATTTCGAGGTCAGAGTCGGACTCGTCTTCTTCGGCGCCGGAAACAACATCGCTCCCCTGAGCTACCTGCTCAATCTCCTCGTCTCCGAAGCCATCCTCACCATCTGCCGCGGGGGATTCTCCTTTTGACTGATCGGGATCTTCCGTCTTCTTTCCTGTTCTTCGAGGGCCAAAGCGTTCTCGGACTGTTTTCATGACTTCCGCGGCTTTGCTTCGACCCGTCTTGGCTCCTCTACTGATCTCAAAGATCGTTTCCTGGGGCTTGAAGCCGCCGATCGTTGCCAGCATCGCGGCACGAGCATCCTCGGCGTCTCCCAACTCATCTCCGAAGATAGGGTGGACCTGCGACCAGCCTTTGGATAGGACGACTTCTTTCGCCCGGCGCGCGCTCTGGCTTGAGGCGGAGTTGCGGGTTTTCAGGTAGAGCTTCTCGGCCTTTTCGGCGACTCGGCGAAGTGCACTGATGTCTTCGCTTTCACCCAAGACCTTGTTCAACCATTCGACATTACTCTCGACGCTGGTCCTGACGGGAGCACCGACTATCATGTCTTGTGCGTAGTTCGGAGTCTCCTTGTTCTCTTTACCAAGTACCAGCCTCTTGTTTAGGAAGAGGCTGAGATCGAGTAGATAGGGCGCATCAATCTCTCTGATCAGGCTGTAGCTCCAACCTGTGCCACAAAATCGAGTCAGTGATTGTTCCTTCGAACAGGTTGAGAAATCTAGATACTGACCTCGTTGTCCTGCTCGAGCCGTTCTGCCTACTCTGTGTACGAAAATCTTCGGTTGGGGGCAAAAGTCATAGTTGATGACATTACTTAGAATTGGGATATCAATTCCTGTCCCACATACGTTGTCAGTAATTAAACTTGTAAGGGTCTCCCGGGACGTTCTTGTAGGTATGGAAAGTGGACAACTGCATTGGAGGTCCAGAGTTCTTCTTCCAGAAACACACGCGGTGGAACTAGTTCCAGAAGGAATCTCGTAGGTGTGAGTACTGACCTCTTGCGGCTACATCCGTGACAACAAGTATGTTGGAGCGTCCCCGTCTGAAGTTCTCAACCTGCTCTTTCCTGGCTGTTTGATCTCTGCATTGTACCATGTTAGTGACTTGTGGACTTAAATGAACAGTCACACCATGATCCACGTAGACCCAAAAGGGCGAATAGAAATAGGGGTTGCTCATGACGTAGACCAGAGGTAGAATCTAGGGTACACATACAAAGAACCATAGACATATGAGACCGCATATCCTGCTTGTCGAAGTAGCGTTTGTATATACTCCACGGAGTGTTTCTAGACTTAAGAGTCAGTGAATTACCCCGAACCACATAGAACAGGTCGGAAGAATGGATGAGGTGGAGCCTACGTACCGTGGCAGTAAAGATGATAGTCGAATGCTCAGTTGGCTTCTCCTTAGGCGCATCGGGTCCTCGTTTCCTCTTTTTCGACGGCTTTCCTGTAGAGTCTGGTTCGGCACCAGCTGGCAAGCCCGTGGGCATTTTGATAACATCTTGGAGCAAGTGGAGAAGTGCACCTTCTCGCTCAGCACCCTTGACGTTGAAGAAGGCCGACTGGAGATCAGGCGAGATTTTCGTTTCTGCATCTAGACGGACAAGACTTGGGTCCTGCAACCCGGCTCGGGCGAATTCGACCAGGGAGGTAGGCAGAGTTGCAGAGAACAGTAAAGTCTGCCGTGTAGCTGGCAAGGCGTGCAAGATCTCCGTAAGCTGGGCCGCAAATCCCATTTCAAAGAGACGGTCCGCTTCATCGATGACCACATACTGTATCGAGGAGAGTGAGAGATTCATCTCTACCTTCAGATGCAGGAATCGACCGGGCGTGGCGATTACTATGTCGGGGTTTGAAGTCATGGAGCCGAACTGTTGCTCCAAGCTGTCACCACCGACAAGCAGCACACATTTGAGGTCAGTGCCCCGACTGAACTCTTTCACAACGCTCAGGGTCTGAATGGCGAGTTCTCTTGAAGGACTCAGAATCAGAGCGCGTGAACCGAACATATTGCTATGTATTTTCAGGCGTTGAATCATAGGCAGGACAAAAGCAGCGGTTTTTCCAGATCCAGTCCTTGCCATGCCAACGACATCCCTCTTCTCCAATATAAGGGGCATTGTTCGGCGCTGGATGGGGGTTGGGCTCTTGAATCCTTTGCGGGCGATGGCCTTGAGGAGATTCGCATTGAGTCCCATAGACTGGAAACCACCGCTTTTGCTGCTGTTCCCCTTCAGGTTGCCCGTCTTTCGGAAAGAAGCAGCTTGCTTCAGCGCAATGAATGCCTCGTCCCCGTCGTCGTCATCACCACTCCCAGCATCGAGAAGATCTCCAGCATCGAAACTATAGCCATCTTGTGCGCCACCCTTGCCGGGCTTCTCGTTCGCATCGTCCGGTCCGTCGGTGAACAGCGAGCCCAGGATGTCGATTTCGGCCTCAGATGCCGCTGGGGACACAGCGCGTCGCGGCATATTGTCGGGTTGCTTTCGGAATGCGATGCGAACGGGTCATGGGGTTCCAAAAGCGCTGCGATATCTGGTGGAGAGGTGCTGGTGACCTGGTTGAACGCCGTCGTTGTTCTCGGCTCAATGCTGCGATCATGGGGCAGATGGTCTCCACGAACTTTTTTGAATTCTGAGCGCAGGACCCCTGTCTATCTTATCGACAAGCGATTAGCAGGAGAGAGCTGCCCCACATCCCTTTAACGGCGCCTTCTTCCCACCAAGACCGCCAAGTCACTCACACTTGACACTCCATCTCCATCTCCCTCGCGCCGAACGTCTTCAGTTGTTCTGGTACTCTTCCAGTTCATCCATCGGTCGCTCGTTAATCCCGCAGTTAAGTTCAATCAACATGACATCCAAAACCCCTGACCCCGTTGAGGACAAGGATGCCCTAGACTTGCTAGAGTCAGAGTCCAAGGAGTTTGACAAGGTAAGGTGGACCTCCAACTGCGCCGCAAAGAGTATGCTGACATACCTTGCCATAGGATGCCGAGATCGATCGTATCCTGAAGGCCTTCCGCCTAGATGCGTGAGTGAACCAACCTACATATCCCGATTCCGCGAGAACGATTTGCTAACCCATCTCTCCGAAAACAGCTACGCCGTGCTCGACCTGCAACCGGGCGTGCCCGAGTCGGACATCAAGATGACGTACCGCAAGAAGTCGCTGCTGATCCACCCGGACAAGACCAAGAACCCCTTGGCGCCGGACGCCTTCGACCGGCTGAAGAAGGCGCAGACAGAACTGATGGACGAGAAGCACCGCGAGCGGCTGGACGAGGCCATCGCCGACGCGCGCATGCTGCTGATCCGCGAGAACAAGTGGACCGTCGACAGCCCCGAGCTCAAGACGCCCGCCTTCGCCAAATCCTGGCGCGACAAGTCCCGCGAGGTCCTCGTCGACAACGAGCTGCGCCGCAAGCGCCAGATGAAGGCCCAGATGCAGGAGGAGGGCCGCGAGCAGCGCCGCGCCGACACGGAGCTCGAGGAGCGCAAGCGCAAGCGCCAGCACGAGCAGGACTGGGAGTCCACCCGCGACCAGCGCATCGACAGCTGGCGCACCTTCCAGAAGGGGGGCAAGTCGAGCGGCGGCGACGGGGGCAAGAAGAAGAAGAAGCTCAAGCCGATCGGCTGATCATGTCATACAAAGGCTTCATTAAAACAGGGTTACGGCGCACATTTGCAGGATTACAGGGACTGCCGGCTTTGATCCCCCGCTCGGAGTCGGGGAATGAACTATACGACGATGGGTTATCAAGTGAGTTCTATTGATAGACCGAAAGACTTTATGAACCTAACTCCCTTAGTGACCTTGCATTCGACCGGCAAGCCCCCCTTCTGCCCATAGTCGCTCCATCCAGGTCTCTTACGGCCGTATGGTCTAAGGTGAGTCTGTGCCAACCGCGATGCCAAGCTCTGCAGAGAGGTCCATGAGATGATGGCATCCTTTCAGATCCGTGACAATATGGTGTGAAACCATGTTATGCCATCGCCAATCTCCTATTTCGTTTTCCCCTATCGATGGGTCTACGATCATTTGCTCGATGGTTCTGTTCCCCTTCTCAACCGGTCAATTGCATGGAGATCAAGATTTCGTGACATGTGATGGCATAGCGGCTGCGTGAAGTAGGCGCATTGTATGTCCGTAATCCCTATGATCTCAATATATCTAGTCAGCTGATGACTGAAGCTTCTGCTTATACTTGATGAATCTCGAGAGATTCAGGTTCGAGTCCTCCGCTCGGTTCCGCAGCTCGGGCGACTTCTTCTTATCCACTGACTTGACCATGGCTCTCACCTTGGGCGCAAAGCCCTCCATATGCTGTAGGAAGTTGTCTTTCCAGAACACCTCCGCATCACATGCCTTTTTCTCGTCGCCATAGATATCGAAGAGCTGGTTCAAGGCTTCCACGGCATCCGCCACAGGCGTCTCGGGTAAAGCAGCAACAACTGTGATGAGGAAGACGCCGATCTCGCGGTTGAGAGCAACGGGCGCCGGATCAAGCGCCAACTGGCCCAAAACTCCTATGCACTTCACGCCTAGGCTCTGGAACGGGTCGTCTTGGTCTACCTCGAGGTTCTTGGAGGCATGATATAACGACATAAACTTCTTCTGCTCGTCACCGCTCAGGAAGGTCTCCTCGTGCAGAGTCCTGGCGACAGCCCACGCGAGACTCGTCACGATTGTGGCCAGCGCAACGTCAGAAGTGTCGCTCCCAAGGACTGGCGTAACTGTGTCCTTCCAAATCATTCGTGCTGCTGGTGCCCAAGCTCGCAGAATGGCCGCATTCGACCCTTCGGTGAAGTCCATGCAGCTGACCGTCCAAGCAATGTTGTTCAGGGTCGTCAGAGCGTGGCCGCGGATGAGATTCGTTGTCTCACTGTCTCCACTGCTTGCTCTTGATATCCTTACGGCTTGCGGTATCACCTGCTGGACGAATTGTTTTAGTGTGGGTAGGTCATCGATGTCCGAAGACACCTCGGGCTCGTCGTCCATCCCGGTAACCATCTCCAGATCTGCGTGCAACTCGTCTTCGTCCATTTCATCGTCCTCATCAGCTGGCTTGTCATCGTCAGAAAGCTGCTCGTCTTCATCGGCATCCATGGCATCCATGGCAACGTCCTTGCCATCCGCGCCTCCCATGACTTCCTCCTTTGACCGGCTACCTTTCTCGAGCGATTCCTGCAAAGCGGTGCCTATAGAGGCTAGAACCTCGAGAGCTAGCTGCAAGACATCGGCCGGACTCGATGAGCTGTGTCTGTTCGTCGTGTTCCCGTTTAGCTCGGTGTGCTCCAGTGTCTGAAAGAGGGTGGGGATAAGCACAGCATCGCAAGCTCCATCTCTGCCCGGGCTCTGGTCGTTCCATTGCATTACGGAGAATATGTTGTGCAGGACGGCGCAGGACAGGACGGCCTTGTGGCCATCACCGCCCCTGAACGTCACGAGGTGCTTGTAACATTGGGTAGCATTATCCCCAAGGATCGCCTCCACAAAATGCCGGTTGTCTTCGGATAACGTAGTCATGCACGACAAGGCACTATTCAGAACGGCGGCAGTCGTAAATTCGGCAGACACAAGGGTGAATAGGAAGCGCACTATCTGCTCGCTGCGCGAAGCCTGGTCCAGTGCTTCATCTTGAGCCTCGGCGATGGAGGCGAGGACAACGGTGAGCGACTCGGCAATACTCCATAAGAAGCCCTGCTCGGCTTTTGTCCTTTTGCTGAAGACAGGGTCTAATGATGTGAGTGTCTCAGTGACCTGTATAGGGGTCAGTCAATTATGAAATGTCATGCGATGTTCAGTTGATTCTCACCTTGGCGCAAGCATGTTGCAGGGCAGTGAGAACATCTACCCGGTACAAATGGATAGAAAAGTCGGCTTCTTCCTCTTCGACGAGCACGCGAAGAATCTCCCAGCCGGCGGCGCGGCTCTCTACACTCGCATCGGTCAAGGTCTCGTTGAGCACGATATGCACGATCTGCTCTCTCAGAAGCAATTTACGGCACTTCGTATCCTGGACTATGTTTGCGACTGCGCCGGCTGCGGTTGTGCGGGACTTGGGATCGGAACTCTGGAGGTCCTTCAGCACAGGTAGAATGCTCTTCTCGCGTACGGCGGCCAGCTCGGGGTCGGAGGGCGGCTTGACTGGCTTTGCGATGGGGTCGGGCCGCTGGCTGCCTTTGCCTCTGCTCCGTCGTGATTTGCCCATGGTTGATGGACACTGCAGTTGTGATTGCAAATACTCGGCACTTTTTTGGGCTTTGGAAACGTGAGCAGGGAATGTTCCAAGGAGCGCGATGTGACTTCCAGCTGCTCCCACAAAGCAAACATGCAATACCAGATTCAGAAAAAACTTTCCTACAGCTTGTGAGGATATACACTACCCCCACCTTACCTGTCCATGCAGCTCTGGTGGGGTTCGAAGTGAGATCTATGAAAATAATCTGGGTCTCACGCCTTGCGCGGCCCCGCCTGCACCCGACGGCCGGGCCTGCTGAGGTGCCATTGATGCCGCTAGGGGTCTCGGATGAAGTGATCTATCATTGGCCTTGATTGCGCTGATAAGCCTGATATGTCTGGTGCAACATAACACGTTTCTTGTTATTTTAGTGCCCGTTGCGACAGCCATCCCAAGTTCAAACTGCATGTCCAGACTGGGGGCTTGTGGGTGCAGATCAATACTTCGGGGACATCAACAGGAGCTTCATGGTCATCGCCGCTGAGTCCCAAACCGCAAGTGGGCCTCTCTCTACCTCTCCATAAGGTATCCTGCCAAACCCGACATGTGATGCAGCCTACCACCAATGCACAATAACCCGGAGGGACGACGCCATAATACCGACTCTGCCATCTGTGCCGCCACAGGAGGCTCCCTATGTCTCAATGGGCCAAGATGCGAAGCTTCTTCCTGAGCGACGAGGAGCTCGGCAAGAAGGACGATGACCACAACACGAAGCCCTTCCCCAACAACGGAGGCGTGCGACCGTCCAAATGGAATCCCGCGGCCCGCGTCCCTCCACGACGCTCCCTCAAACGAATAGCTCTCGTGCTTCTCGTCGCAGCCGGAGTCTACCTCTTCTTCAAGAACATCCCCGTCCTTGGGCCCCATCAGGGAATGCGCCGTCCGAACTACGTATACCCCGATTCCTCTTCGACCCTTCACAAACGCCCTTCGAACGGAGAACCAGCGCGGATCGTTACCAACTCTCACGTGTCGAACACACCAGAGCGCACTTACAATGGCCCTGTCAAGTTCCACGACTTGGCGGCCTCACTTCATGCGATAGCTGGCACAAGAGGAGGTAGTATGGTCAATAGGAACATCCTGTTCGCTGCCTCGAGCCTGAAGAGTGCCGCCACTTTACTGCCAATCGCTTGCCAGATGGCTGCTGAGCTGAAGAACTATGTCCATTTTGCCCTGCTGAGTCGAAGTGACATCGACGTGGAGGAATTGCGAAGTGTGAACGGCATTGATGACTCCTGCCAGATAATATTCCACGGTGCGAGACAGCAAAGCTCAACATGTGCATGTACGATGGCTGACTGTGAGAAGATGCGCGCCCAGACTATGCTCTCGTATCGACAGAGGACAGAATGGAGAATGCTGTGTTTCGCTCATTATGTACGTAAACTATATGTCTCCCTGTGTGCTTGGGCTTGGGCTTATATCTCGCAGACCACATCAATACGTACATGCACCCACAAGCCATCATGATTGACGGGTCAGATGAAGAGGAAGGCTTTTTTGCGCGAGCCGTACGGCAGCACGTGAAGGGGACGAGAACCACGCTGGTTGAGTTGCCTCTGAAGTCTGCAAAATCACTCGAATGGATGTCAAGGCTAGACAGCGCGTCTCTGCGTCGTAAGATATTCGCTTCTCACTCCTTCTCCTATTCCTGCTGACGAGGCAATCTAGTATGGGACAAGAACCACATCGACATCTTGATCCAAGCCACTCCGGGAGCTTCAGGGGGTTTGATCAGGCTTCTGCGATCCTTAAGCGCAGCTGACTATACGTCAAGCTCAGTGCCTCATCTTACGATAGACCTTCCTCATGATGTTGATCCCCCAACTAAACAATTTCTCGAGACCTTCACATGGCCGCCATCCCACGTGTACAACCCAACTAATGCTCGCTACCTCTCCCTTCGGCACCGAATACCTCACCAGAGGTTGACCGAGGAGGAGAGCTCCGCGCGCTTCCTAGAATCATTCTGGCCTGCGCAACCCGAGCACTCCCACATACTTGTTCTTTCACCCCAAGTCGAAGTGTCCCCCAACTTCTTCCATTGTAAGTATCGTTCAGAACAACCATAACCTGCCCCGTCTGACAGAGTTCCCCAGATCTCAAGTATTCTCTCTTGGAGTATAGATACTCCACGATGGCCGCGTTCCAACTTTGGGACCGCCGGCTGTTCGGTATCAGTTTGGAGCAGCCTCTTCGACAATTGAACGGTGAATCATTCTCCCCTCCGACGCTTAAGAATCCCGACTCGGAAAACCCCGCTGGCGAGGAAATGTCGACGCCTTTTCTATGGCAAGCACCGACGAGCAATGCAGTGCTCTTCCTGGGTGAAAAATGGATGGAACTCCATGATTTCGTCTCAAGGTCGTTGGAAGCCAAGGAGGGCCTGGAGACTGTGCCAGAGCTCCTCTCAGAGAAAATGATCGGCAAACATCACCCATCTTGGCTGGAACATGCCTTGAGGTTGTGCCGAGTACGGGGCTACTGGCTGCTGTACCCTGGTCAGGATACGGCCAGAAACCTGGCTACGGTTCATAACGAGCTATCTCGTCTCCCCGAGGAGTATGCTGGCGAAGAGAGGTCGAAGTCGCTGCTAACGGATGGCGCGAGCGATGAAGAGATCGATAACGTAAGGCAAAAGCTTCGTCTCGAGTCAGAGATAACTTTGGCCCCTAGGGTATCTCTGCTGGAAAGTCTCTCCAACGACGGCAACCTTCGTCCGATCGGCGACCTGCCCATCTTGACTTGGGATGGTCGCACGACGGATCTAGACGTTTCCAATTCTCTTGCCGCGGCATACGAATCAGAGTTCAAGGAGAAGGTTGGCAGCTGTGATGTTGAGGCCCCCGAAGAGCTGATTAGGGTAAGGGAGAAGCTGTCGGCGCAGGATCTCTTCTGCGCTACAGTATAATAGTAATAAGTGGCGCGTCTCGTCAAACACATCGAATGGAATTGTGCTTGGGGCGCAAGCCGGATCTGCTTTCGGAGTTGATGGGGGACATATATCATGGGGCTGGCGAATCTCGGGGTTTATACACACTATTCACACCATCGCATACCTACTCATCTTAAAGGGGCATGTACATACAATAGGTAGGTAGCTGGCAGGTGTTTGAGTGTACGAAATGAATAATCTAGACGCGCTTAGGTGTTCGACTGCACTTTCGTGATGACGAGCAGGATCACGCAGGTGCCTACGATAGCCAGCGCGATGAGCGACATGATCTTTTCGTGTTTGTCAGTTTTGGACTCGCAGACAGGCGTGACATAGGGTGGAGAGAGGGAGGGACGGAGAGGGAGAGTGTGTGTGTGTGTGTGTCGAAACCTACCGACTGCGTCCGCCACCCCGTCTGCACGATAGCTTCCCTCCTGCTGTATCCATTGACGGTCTCTGCCACCCGGCCACGATCAGTACCTTACCGACTCATCTCACAGCAGCCAGTAACCTCTAACGAAGATGCAGTGGATTATGTAGTCAAACGCGGGGAAGGGGGGAAGGGGAAAGGGGGCTTACTGATATAATTCCCGAACCCGGCGACCAGGCAAGCCACTGACAGCAGCCAGAAGACGATGCCCAGCGGCTTGGCCATGCGCAGCTCCACCGCGGACGGCTGCGACTTCAGGTGGAAGGAGAGGACTATTGCTATGGCTATTATGGCCATGTAGACGGAGAGGCGGAGGTAGGAGAGGAAGGCTGGCGGTGGGTGGGTTTGGTTAGTTTGGTATTTAATTCGGTCTGTATATTCACTGGTATATAGAGACCCTCGTCACCTCGAGGGTTGAGGAAAGGGGCCAGCTGGGCTGGATGGAAATAGGGGTAAGAAAGAACGTTAATGAGGTAAGCAAGGAAAGGTGTATGTCTGTTCTCACTTCGCTCGTTCGCGCAATGGTCCCGCGCGTCACTGCTCTCGTTCTCAAAGAGCAGGGGCCCTAGGAACGGCCAGGTGAAGAAGGCATTCCCGTCGCCCGTGGCTGTGGCTCCAAACCCCCGGTCGTAGTCGCCGACTTCGACGGGCCGCGTGAGGGCGGAGTATGTGTATGAGAGCGGCCCGCAGCAGCAGGACGAGGGGGTTGGGCTGTCCTCGGGTTCCGTTTGTGGGGTCGGCATTGTTTTGTTATGTTTTGGTTCGGACTGTGCTGTCAGTGTATGTATCTAAATGCCTTTTTATCCCTTTTTGGGGGGGATCAACTTTTGATTTGTTGTTAGTTGAAGCGGATGGACGTCGTAGGGAGGCTCAAACATGAAGAGCGTGACCGGGTTTAAGGTTAGAAGGTTCAGGCGTCGGGCCCCACTCACCGCCGCTCCATGTCGTCGTCTCTTGCCGTCCGCACGAGCTTGTGGGGAATTCTCTACTTGACTGACCAGATAGAGAGGTTTGACCCTGAAACCTCCTCCATCTTACCTAGCAGTATAGATTTGGCTTCATCATGATACCTACTCGTCTTTCAGCTGTCTCATGTTGACAGGACTCATGAGTGAGTCGTCGGGTCGTGCGCGGTGGGTGGGAAGTCCGCGTTCGAGAAATTCCGCCAACCAACTGGAGACGCGGACCTCTGTACACGATGGACGCAGCTTCACCACCCTCCGCGCCCCAATCCGGCAGCTGACGAAGCGACCAGCTTCACTCTGATAGATGGACGAGGACGCCTCGGAGGCCGTGATGGCGCTTGGCAAGGTGATTCTAGACGGGAAACACCCCAGTCGGGACCTATTCAACCAGAAACCACCGCATTCAGCTCGAGGGACTCGCGGGAGAGGCTTAGGGACATATAAGTAGATGAACGAGCTGTCCCCAGTAACGTAAGCTGAACTGATCGGCAGCTTCAGTTTCATCCACCCAGGGAAGAAGACGATCTCTCAAGTCTATCATACTGCCCGACTTGCGCTTGTACCCATAACACGGAATACCGTCGGTGTATCCCCATTTGTCGCGGATATGCAGGTCCTCTCTACTATACTCCTCGGCGCTACCGCCGTCGCAGCCCACGGCTACGTCGACACCGCCAACATCGGCGGTGAAGTCTATACCTTCTACCAACCTTATACCGACCCTTACACGTCACCTACTGTGAGTAGACGGCCTCGATCCTCAGTTCCATTATGAAACATGGAAGATGCGAAGCTGACATGACGCCCCCAGCCCGAGCGTATCTCCCGGCCGATCCAAGGCAATGGGCCTGTCACGGATGTGACATACTCCGACCTTCAGTGTGGCGGATACACAGATGGAGGCATCGTTGGCTCTTCGCCTGCCGCGCTGCACGCCCCCGCCGCAGCAGGGTCAACGGTAGAGCTCTACTGGACCCTTTGGCCCGACAGCCACGTCGGTCCCGTGATCACGTACATGGCCCAGTGCCCAGACACCGGTACGAGATGACACGACATCCCGGCATCAGGAAGAACAGCTGCTGACACCCCAGCCCAGGCTGCACCGACTACATGCCAGGCACCGACGCCGTGTGGTTCAAGATCGCCGAGGCGGGCCGTGAGGGGACGAGCAACGTCTGGGGCGACAGCCCGCTCATGGTCGGCGGCAACGCGGGCGCGGCGTACACCATCCCCGAGTGCCTGACGCCCGGCTACTACCTGGTCCGCCACGAGATCATCGCCCTTCACTCGGCGTACGAGTACCCCGGGGCCCAGTTCTACCCCGGGTGTCACCAGCTCGAGGTGACGGGCTCGGGCAGCACGTCGCCCTCGAAGAACCTGGTCGCCTTCCCTGGCGCTTATGCTGCGGGTGATGCTGGGATCACGTACGACTCGTACCAGGCCCAGACATACACCATTCCCGGGCCTGCCTTGTTCACGTGCTGAATGGGTTGGGGGACGACGGCATCTCGACTTGAAGGATAGCGAGCTTCTGCCTTGGTGATTAGCGTCAGCTTCATACTAATACCATTACTTTCTTCGTTTGTACATCTGAATTCCACGCCCTTGAAGGATTTTCTCCCATTGCGACTGATCTGAAGTATCGTACGAACTCACACGATGGTTTGACTGCTTCTTTCAAGGTTGGCGGACTGTTCTGAGACATTGAATGAAGATGATACATGTATAAGTGATCGTACTTTGCTTACAGTCACCACTTATAAGTCTCCATTCGCGCACTTCCCTTTTCTTCCCCATCATAATCTTAAATCCTGGAATACAAACACTGGTATAAGCACATGAAATTCCAAAACCCATTCTTGATGCTTATTCCGGAGTGCTTATGCCATATGTAAAAGTACCCATATTCAGTACATTGCCTCTTAGACTGTAGGGTGTACGGAGACTTTTGAGGGCCCAGTGCAACTCAAACACTTGTCACCCCTAGAAAGGAGCCTGTATGACGCAGGCCTCTAGGATAACAAGGCACTTGCATTTCACTAGGCTTGCTTTCATAGATCGATAAACCTCATCATCTGGCGCGGTGATGGATGATGGAGTCGACAATGGTGATGGCGAATGGGCATGGAGTTGAAGCGGGTGATGATTGTACGATGGAGCTGGAGTTGCAGGAGCCGGAGTCAAAGTTGAAGAAGATGAAGAGAGAAAGACCAGACAGCACTCCACTGTCATATGCAAACTTCCTGGTGACAGCAGTGCTTAGCAGCTGAAACATGTGAACACGCCAGCACTGACACGCAGGTGGCACTGGGAACTTTGAAGGCGGCACATGCCACAACTTCTTGGTAGGTAGGTAGTGACTGCGTTTAAGATGACGACTTACTGGAGCTTTGTATTATTTTTTTCTTAGTAGTGATGCTGGGGATAGGGGAGAGACTGCTGGCTCGTGAAGGCATGGTGCTCCATGGAAGGTACTAGGTCTATCATAGACGCTGAGACAGACATAGATGCAGGGAAAGCTTCGAAGGCAACGCGGCTGCCTAAATTTTTGCTCCGAGATTTTGTGGCTACCAAATCTCACGTTCCTCTATCTTTCTTTTCCATTTGACACTGTCGCCGCCAGCTTTCACGTGCCTGTCGGCTGGCTTTGGGCGTCCCCGTCCAGACTTCATGTTCACAGCCCAGCAGATTGAGATGGTATGAATCATGAAATCAATCCGGGCTCTGCCGTAACCTTGAGAAATCTAACCGGTTTTGTTTTTGTTTTGTTTTTCGGTGGCTCATGGCTAAATTCTGTCAATCTTCCCCCCTCAACCATAACGCTAATATGGCTCCAGCGAAACCTTCGTCTTTGTCCGATGAGTTGCGAGAGCCCTATATAAAGACGAGTCCTCGCGCGAGAGTCTCGCCGTGATTCCCCCTCCAGAATACCGACGGCCACGAGAAGGGAAGTCCCTTCCATGCGTCGAAGTATCTGTTCTTTTCAAACCACGGCCAATGATGATACTTACCCACGGGGAGCTGAGGCCATATACAATGTTCCTAGCGACACCAGAAATTTTGTTCTTCTCAAACCACGGCCAGTGATGATATACTTACCCACGGGAAGCTGAGGCCACATACAGTGTTCCCAGCGACACCGAACAATCTGTTCTTTTCTACCCGCGACCAGTGACGAGACTTACCCAAGGGGAGGTCTCGTTGCCAGCGACTTATGGCAGGCGCATAGCTGAATATGGCGCAAGGTATTCGCCATTCAATCCTGGCGGTTCTAACCTCCTAAAGGACCAACTACAGCGGCCAAGGCGCGACCGAATTCTTCCTACAAATACTACGGGCATGACCTCCGTCAAGGCAGAGACCGGCTCCACCCGAAGCCCCGACGAGTCGCTCCAGAGAGAAGTAGAAGTATCGAATACCTGCGACCGCACCAGATCGCCCTGGCGCCGTGGGTATTTCGACCTCTGTGGGCTCAAAGTATAAACACCACGCAGCTGAGAGCACGGTGATATCGCCTCGTCAAGCACCTCCCCTGGAACCGACGTGGCCGGTAATTTCCTTGCTTCCAAAGGACATTCTTCGACGGGCCGTGATGGAGCGGACCCCAGGCCTCCTCACCGTGCCCGAACCCCGAAGTACGAGCCGCAGAAGCCGTCGAGGACCGAGACGGGAAACCGCTTCGTCACGCACTCGTCCACTGCCACATCCCACGCCTGCCCGACCGCGCCATCCCCGAGCGGCTGGTGCCGGTGCCAGTCCTCCATGCCACCAGGGCAGAGGCGATGGGAGCGGTGTTGAGATCTGATCACAGGCGGGCCTGGAGACGAGGGCAACGATACCGAGCTCTATTTGGCCAATGCCTTCCTTCCAGACTGTCACTAGGTATCTTGAAACTGTTTGTTCCTTTCTAATTCTACAGAATCCCAGCCTGCCGTTATTTGGGGCGGTAGGTTGTAGCTGTTGGGTTGGATGGAGGCTCAAAGATGGCGGTAAGGGACGGTGCCCATGATGATTGGCGTGGGCCGTGACCGATTTCAGAAGGTTTAGGCGTCGGGCCCCACTTCCGGCCGCTGTCGCCGACTCCCGGTCTCGCCGCGGCACGAGCCTCCATTGTGGAGCTGTAATGGAATCTTTACCTTTGGAAGAGAGTACGGAAATGCGAGTTTCTCTTGAAATGTCTGAAAATCTTCTGAGTCACACGTCGATCTTGGCTTCGAGATAGAGCAACGCCGATATGCTCGCCTGCCTATCTCCCGTGACGCAGAACACGCTTATGCACCTCTTGCCAAATGAGACTTCCAACAGGCTAGGTCGTCGTTCTCTTTGTCTGATGGTTCGCAGTGGTTCGATACCGGTATCTGCCTCCCATGCTGTCTCCCATGCTGTCAGACTCCCGTGGGCGGTGGGCCGGCAATGCGAGCGGGGCCCGCCGTGGCGACATGGAGGTACCTATCTTAGGTAAGGTATAATAGGTTGGTTCCCTACTCGGTGCGCTAATAATAAGTTGGGCTTTCTCTTGGGTCGATCTCTTTGACTTTGCATTCGTCGTGGTAGCGTGGCGTTGGTCGCTGGTTGTGGTCATTACCTAACGATTCTTACGACGGCGCCGGTCCATACTTCATTCATCAGTTACAGAACCCTCACTGCTTTGGTCTCCCATGATTTCGAGGGTCCCGCCGCACGAAGGTCGAAGGAATCATGACTAGCTCGAAGCCCATACCGCCGAGGAAGGCCTCTGGGCTTAACCTAGCACAATCGTTCGCTTCAGGATCGCCCCTCGCTCAGGACATATTGGCCAGCGATCTGGCAGAATGCCCAGAAGACGAGGCTGCCGCGGATGGCGCTTCATTCGGATCTGGGTCTGGATCAGTACCTGGTCCGATCCTGTACAAGCAGCCAAGTGGCGTTGCCTACGGCTACAGACGACCGAGTGTAATACCCGATCCTGTTCACGAGCCCGTCCGCACGAGGGTCGAGAAGAAGGAGTCTCGACAGGCTGAGCGCAGTCTTTTGAGAGACAACCACCTAATCCCGCCAAAGCATGCGCCCAAGAAGAAGCCCGGGGTTCTCTCCCGTGTGTACCACAGACTCTTCAGCACCAAAGTTCGCAAGATCCCCGAGGATGAGGAGGTACCCCGGATCACCGTGGAGCCCTCCGAGTCCTCGCCTTTGCTCGGTGGTACAGCTACTCCGTCAACGCCGGACTCGGAACATATGAATGCGCAATGGGAAGCCGCTATGGCCTCGGGTGCCATCGAGACCACGTGGCAAAGAGAAGCCAAGACTATCGCGACTTATTCTCGGTCTTTGATCTTGACCTTTCTCTTACAATACAGCGTCAACATCACTAGCATCTTCACAGTCGGCCGGATCGGAAAGATCGAGCTTGGCGCTGTCAGCTGTAAGTCAAGGGCATACCTGCAATGCCCAAGAAGATGCTGACTTTGGCTCAGTGGCTACAATGACGGCGAACATATGCTGCTATGCACCCATGCAAGGTCTTGCCACCAGCTTAGATACACTATGTGCCCAAGCTTATGGCTCTGGCCATAAGCATCTCGTGGGCTTGCAACTCCAACGGATGACATACTTTCTTTGGATACTCATGTTACCCATTGCCGTGCTTTTTCTCTTTGCTGAAGATGTTCTTCTGTTGATCGTCCCCAAGGCACGATCTGCTGAGCTCGCTGGCCTTTATCTCCGTGTTGTGATCGCAGGTATCCCAGGCTTTGCCGCCTTTGAAGGCGGCAAACGGTTCGTCCAGTCGCAGGGTCTGTTCGAAGCGACGACCTATGTCCTCTTGATCGCTGCGCCGCTCAACATCCTGATCAACTGGCTTATGGTATGGCATCTCGGGTGGGGCTACATAGGTGCCCCGATCTCTGTTGCGATCACTCAGACTTTGATGCCCATACTGCTGTTCCTGTATGTCTTGTTTTTCAATGGGTCGCAATGCTGGGGAGGATTTACGAGGCGGGCGTTCACGAACTGGGGTAAGTATTTCACACTTCTTCTAAGACCCAACTGCGACTAACATTGGTGCAGGTCCCATGATTTGGCTTGCATTGCCTGGCATGGTCATGGTCATGGCGGAATGGCTTGCTTTCGAGATCCTGACCCTCGTCTCAAGCCGGCTGGGCACATCGTATCTAGCTGCGCAGAGCATCCTAGTGACCCTGACATCGACAACCTTCATGCTCCCATTTCCCGTGTCCATCGCGGCCTCTACTCGCGTGGCCAACTTAATAGGGGCAAACTTAGTGGGCGCTGCTAAGACTTGTGCCAAAGTAGTGAGTGCAAAACTTGATTATCCAAGTTGCTTGACGTTTAGCTAACGTCCAACAGGCAGTCTTTGCTGGCTGTATCATTGGGCTGTTCAATTTGACCCTGCTCACCAGTCTCCGATATCAGCTCCCGCGGCTCTTCACCCAGGACGAAGAAGTCGTAGCGATCGTAGCAGATGTCATACCGCTCTGTGCTGTCATGCAGATTTTCGACGCACTGGCTTCCGTGGCCCACGGTCTACTCCGGGGCATTGGGAAACAATCATTCGGGGGCTACGCGAATCTGCTCACGTACTACCTCATCGCCTTGCCGATCTCGTTTGCTACTGCGTTTGCCTTGGGTTGGGGGCTCACGGGGCTTTGGCTGGGCACGACAGTAGGGCTGCTACTGTGAGTTTGTTTGACACATTACTACCCTCGTGGTTCTTCATGAGTACAGACTACTAATGACTGTTCTTCAGGGTGGCCGGCATGGAATACTGGTATGCCTACATCTCGGACTGGGACCAGTCGGTGCGTGATGCCGAACACCGCAATACGGTCGGTTGATCACGTCGGAATCGATAAGAGTAGGATGGCCAACTGTCGGGGAAAGAAGAGTCCCCGTTGTTTACGTGGGGGGGGCGGACCGAGGTTGGACATTGCCTTAACAGGAGAATCACCGAGGAGGCAAATTGAATGTTTATTAATAGACCATACATAGGAGGAGTTTGGAGTTGCAGCGAAAGGGATAGACAATGCATTAATCGGGGTAGCCTCACCTAGCAATACTCCCCCGCCTATGCTACATAGGTATGAATGGATAAAAAGCGCCCACAATTACCTTACGTCCAACTTCCGTTTGCCAACTCATCCTGACTCTTCCTCTCTGAATACGCCGTGCCGCAAGCGTCCGTGTCGCTCTGGCCCGAGTGACCCAGGTCCAGCCTCCTTGTATGGCCCGTGCACTGAGTATTGTCCCGCTAAGTGAATAAGCCCGCCGATATCGTCCAGGGCGGCCTCCCTCTTCGCATGTAAATTTAATAGGAGTGAATCTCGTCCCTCACTGCCCCTCCTTCTCCTTTACCTATTATCTATCTTCCAGTCGCCCGATTCGCACAGAGCCAAGATGACTTCCACGATGACTGTGACACAAGCCGCGCCGTCGGCAGAGACGCTTCTGAGATTGTTCCCGGACATAGACACAAGCTCCACCGAGCTCGAGGGCCACGACGAGGAGCAGATCCGGTTGATGGACGAGGTGTGCATTGTGCTGGACAACGACGACAAGCCAATTGGCACCGCCAGCAAGAAGCTCTGTATGTTATATGTTACAAACCAGGCGCAGCTATCCGGATGCTTGCTGACTGACGTACGCGCGCAGGCCACCTGATGTCCAACATCGACAAGGGTCTGCTTCACCGGGCCTTCTCGGTCTTCCTCTTCGACGACCAGAACCGACTGCTGCTCCAGCAGCGCGCGACTGAGAAGATCACCTTCCCCGACATGTGGACCAACACATGTTGCTCCCACCCGTTAGGCATCCCCGGGGAGACTGGCTCCAATCTGCCCGACTCGGTCGCTGGTGTCAAGCGTGCCGCCCAGCGGAAACTCGACCACGAGCTGGGCATCAAAACGGAGCAAGTGCCGTTTGACGACTTCCACTTCCTGACACGAATCCACTACAAAGCGCCCAGCGATGGCAAATGGGGCGAGCATGAGAGTGAGTACAGGCGACTGCGACTATGCTTCGCAAACAGAGTCGCATGCGCTAACGGATGGGCCAGTCGATTACATCCTCTTTATCAAGGCAAACGTCGATCTCAACAGCAACCCGAATGAGGTACAAGACACGAAATATGTGACACCAGAGGACCTGAAAGAACTGTTCAAGGACCCGACGCTGAAGTTCACGCCGTGGTTCAAGCTCATCTGCGAGTCGATGCTCTTCGAGTGGTGGGAGAGCCTCGACTCGGGTCTGGAGAAGTTCACCAACGAGCAGGAGATTAGGCGCATGTAGATACCCAGACGGGTCGTGAGTGCATGATAGAGAAGCATTCGATTCAGGAAGACGGTCTAATAAGCGCATCGGCGAGTTCAAGGCTAGGGGGTACATATGTTTTGCGATGGTTGGTTGACTGCTTGGAATTAGATATCCCCCACTGGTACTCCCAGACAAGAACCGGTTTGCTTCACACCGGTGCCGATGGCACATTCGTGATTACGCCATCACGCCATTTCCGCATCCAGTCTTCCAAATGAGCAAGTGAGCCTCCCGATGATTGGGCAAGGTCTGATGCCAGATTGACGAATGCTTCCCATCCGCCCGAGAGAACACAAACCCCACGCTGCAGTGACGCAGCCCAACCAACCAGGTGGAAGTTCAACCTGACCTTGGAGGGTGACCTGGCGCCTGGCCAAGTCATAGCAGCAGCACAGCGGAACTGAGGGCTGTGATAATGCGGGACGTCCCAGCGGGCTCGCCGTGGCCAGGCTTGAGAGGCTTGACGGGGGCTTGCACGTCTCGGCTGTCCTTCCTTGGTGGTGGCAAACAGGCAGGACCGTTGTTGGGAAAGACAGGCATCACCTGACGCAGTAGGCTGCAGTCGGTGCGTCTTGGGCAGCCCAACTTGGGCCGGGTAACTCTTCCAGGCAATAGCGAGGCAATAGCGAGGCGTTGATATGGCAGCGATTGGATGCTTTGCGGCAAAAGGGGGCAGCAATGACGGCGCAACGACCACTGCGACCCCGCCCCCGGTCACACCCCGACTTGCCAGAATCACACCCAACCGCTGTGGGCGCCGTGGCATGTCCTGGCACCTCCTGGCACGCTCTGGGATAGGCCGTGATAGGCCTGGATGCCGGTCTGGGGTGACACCCAGCCGCATGCTGGCGAAGGTGCCCTCCATCTCGCCTGGCTTGCATGCCCAGTCACGCACGAGACTTCGCATTTGTAACTCTGGTTCTCTCTTGCCTGCCCACGACGATGCATCGGATGCTGTCCCGATGTGCTGGGTCTGCCGCACTGTGACGACGGCCCCAGGTGAGCGTAATACTGCACCGACGCGGCCGCTGCCGTTTCTCCGTTGGACGCCCGTCGGGCCAATGGCCGCCCGCGATATGAGACCCCTTTGTCGTCAACGGGGGTGACTATAGTGACTGGGTATAGTCTTGGTGGTCTCGGTGCCCGTCTGCTTTGGTCGGCCTCCCTGCTGCGGACTGTCTTCTGCGGTTCAGCTTACCGCTACTCGGCCTCCTGCATCTCATCCCGTGCAATACGAAGTAACCCCTTGGCTTCAGCCCAACAAATCATCAATCCCACTGTACACTGTGCTTGTATGCCTGTCATGCTTGTGCGTTTGTACAGCATGGGCCTGCCATTCTTTAAGCCCTTCCCCGGACCCTCACCTCCCCTAGTTTCCTGCCTCTCTTGACCCTCTTTCAAGCTGGGAATCTACCGTGGTTGCAAAGTCTCTTTCAACAACAAGCGTCGAAAGGAACCTTACAAATCAGTCTTGGCCGCTCTTGCAGTAGTCTCTCTACCTACTACCTACCTAAGAGCCCTGCCTTCTACAAGACGCCTCTTGCTTCTCTTGTTTGCCATCATTGATCAACATCACTCTTCGTCCCAAACACATGCACACCTAACAATCACACCACCCGAATCCAACTCACCCAACTCGCAGATCTGAATCATCTTCTTCAGTCTCGAAAATCTCTCAGTCTTTATAAGACATCATACGTGACGACGTCCCTCGCTCGTCTCCAGAACTCCAACCTTCAACCTCTTAGGACTTCACCCCCGTCACGGCAACATTGATGTCGGTTGACCTACGAATAAGCCTCAACTGCCTATCGCACCCTGAGAGATATATGCCCCTCTCGAGAACTCAGCTCTCAAGAGTTCATACCGGCGATAGTATACAGAATATTAATTCCAGTAATTCTTAAGGTGAGCGACTTCACTTACACGTTCCCACCCTCACCACTACCCACTCGCCGCGCCCTGTCACAAAACAGCAGAACTGACTTGGTACCCTTTCTACCCTGGCAGTCGGCCAGAGACCTGAGAAAAAACTCGCCCAACATGGAGACCCTAAGCAGCAGTGTCACCACCCTTGTTGAGTTGAAGAAACGCTCTCTCGTCCCCGAGAACTGGGAGGACGAAGTCCGTGAAATTGGCATCACGGAGTACAAGGAGGCCGGGCTCTCGCTCGCGCAGGCCTTTGCTACTGATGACCTGGCCCAGTACATCCTCGACACGGACGACATGGTCGCCGCCAATGACGAGGCCAGATGGAGACTTCACGTCGACATCTTCAACTACATCGTGGCCGCGCACTGCTACAAGGGCGTCGTGACGACCATCGGACCTGACTACGAGGGTGTGGCGCTCTGGTGAGTTGCATGATCAGCTCGTACAGTTCGAAGCAGAGTCTGGAAGACACCTCATTTACCCCCTTTTTACTACTACCAAACGCCTTGCACCATGAAGGGAGACTTAACCCAGTTGACTGACGTGACTCTTGCTGGACATAGGATGCCGCCCGGCAAGGAGGCTGATGACTGGGTCACGGTCATCCGCAGTGGTATGTGGAGACTCTACTATCAACTGTCGGCCGAGGGCCGGAAACGCTACTACGACGAGCTGATGCCGGTCCTGCACCGCACCAAGCACGAAGTCATGGGCGAGAGGGACGACGACTGCTACTACCTGGTGTACCTAGGCACCAAGCCCAGCGGGCAGCGCCGGGGCTACGGCAGGAAGCTCATCAATCACATGGCAGCCAAGGTACGTCCCGTCACGAGCATGACCCGTATCATCAAACCCTGCCATCTCCAGATTCATACCCCTTCCTTCCTCGAGCTCATCCTCACCCTGACCCGTTGGCTACCTCCCAATAGCAAATCCCGTGAAAAGCGGAGTGCTGATACGAGGACGACGAGAAACAGGCTGATGCCGAGGGCCGCGCCATGTACCTCGAGTCCAGCTCGGAGAAGAACAACGGCTACTACAAGAAGTTCGGCTTCGAGATCAAGCGCGACATCTACCTCGGCGCCAACAGCCCCTCGCCCGTCCGCCTGACCATCATGGTGCGCGAGCCGCAGAAGCTGCCCGCCCACACCATCCCCATCAAGCTCAACGCCGGGTTTGGCAAGATGATGTAAGGAAACGAACGGGGCCACCACGTCGTTCGTCAATTTCGCTGCTGTCGTCGTTGATGGGAAGTGTTGTGTTGAGATGAGTTGAGTTGAGGTGCTGTCGTTGCTCTTACGCTGGCCTGCACACTACAGTCATGCAACTCTTGCTGTATGGGCGCGTATGAAATGGTATGATGGTAATGATGCTGATGCTAGAACGTAATTGAGACTGAAAGAAACCAAGAGAGAAAAAAGCCAAGAAAGGCGGGGCGGAAGGAGAGAAGAAGAAGATTCCTTGCGTTTCGGAATCTCAGGGGTTGCTTACTTTACCTTTCTTCACACTCGTTCTTCTTCCACTGGCTCGCTCACTTGATGACCAACAGCGAATCACACCATCAGGAGAGGCATTCACTTTCGTCGGGAAAGGGGTCTTTCACATAGATCGTTGAGGTCTAAATTGATCCACTCAGTCACTCGCTCAACCACTTAACCACTCAACCGACTTAAAAATGACCCGAGTTTGCGTCCTGCGTTTGTTGGTGGAGTATTCACACAATAGGTATCATTAGTCGGTCGTTTCCACATCTCTCTACCTCAGGTAGTAGTATAGCTTAGCTGTTCATACCAAGCCGTTCATTCGTTTTACACATCAATTCATCCGTGTCCGTCTGTGCATACATGTAGTTCTCATGTAATTTCCGACCCTATGCCGTAGTATGTACCGAGCCAACGCCAGGTGTGACAGTTTCCTCAATGCTGCTGCTCTGCTTTACCATACTCGATGTCTAGCTCCGGCCCGATTCATCCTCGACAGCACTCGTGATAGCACTTCCTCACTCAGAGGCGCGCGCCCCCTCTAGTAGCCGTCCAATATGGCGAACGTCTCGTCGTCCAGCGTCGTGTAGATGGTGCCGTGGCCCAGCAGCTCGTCGGCCGCCTCGTTGACGTCCCCCACCGACATGCCGGACCCGCTCGCAATCATGTTTATGTGGTGGCCCTCGGCGCCGCTGTTGGGCGCGCAGTTGAGATATTCGAACATCTTGCGCGCCTTGGCCGAGTAGCCCTGGACCTTGGCCTCGAGGCTCCTGGCGTTGCTGTTGTCGTCGCCGCCGTCGACGAACATGCTGTCGCTGTCGTCCCTAGCGCCACCAACACTATTCGCACCACCATTTGTAGTGTTGCCGCCGCCGCCGCCGCTACCTCCGCCTGGCGCGCCCTTGGTGAAGAACAGGTGCACGTAGACGGCCTCCAGCAGGTGGTAGTTGACCTCGTTGAAGTCCTTGACGGGCTTGATGACGTGGGCGCCGACGTGGCGCTTGTTGGAGAAGCTCTTGAGGCGGCCCCAGACGCGCACGTACTCTTCTTCCCTGAACGCGGGCCGCGACTCCTCCTGCTTGTCGGCGTCGAGCCACTGCTTCACCTCGATGATGCCCGTGCCGTCGTCCAGCCGGTACGTGATGTTGGTCGTCTGCGGGCTGATGGATCGCACCATGCCCACGAACGTCACCTGCTTGACGTCCAGGCCGTCGATCCGGAACGACGCCTCGCCGGCGTAGGCGGGCTCCGCGTCGATGATCTGCTTGATTGTTACGGGGCGCAGGGACTCTTCGTTTACGGCCTGTGTTTGCGGGGGCGGGGTGGTTAGCGGGTTGGTCTGTTTGCCTTTTGAAGTGTGATGGTTGATTCTTCATGGGAGGAAAGAAATAGCAGAACTGGTCTGATGGAATGCTGGCGGTGGCATCGATGCTTACTTTTGCTCCTTGACTGCCGCCGAATTGCGACCCCCCGAAGAAACCGCCGCCATCTTCACCCCCCGCGGCGCCGTAGGACGTGGTCGAGTATCCGCCGTATGCTACGCGGGGTTCTGGTCAGCATCGGCGTCGGGTCTTCACTTGGATATGGATACTGACCACTCATTATCACGTTATGTCGGCAATTGTGGCAATGGGTATTGGGTATTGGGTATTGGGTGGTGGGTGTTGACTGTGACTGTTGACTTGGTTGATGGTGGGCAAGGCGAGACGCGTGATATCAGAAAGTTTACGCGACTGGGTTTTAATTGATTCCAGGGTACTTTGCAACTTGGGCATCCATCGATGGCGGGGTCCCTGCTGTAGGAACACGCTACCGCCAACGTTTGCGGTATCCATCCATGCAGGTGCTGAAGAGATGCTGGCCTGCACTATGGGGTGCTGGTAACGGGCAGAGATACTACTTTACAGAGCACTGAGCATCATTGCAAATTGAGCATCTATAAAAACCCATGCATGGGCCACTTACAGAAAATGAACTACTCTACAAGATAGGTACGAGATGATGGGCTCGATATTAACGTTGTACGTGCCGAGTTGTCTTGTGAATGGCGTCACCTGCAGTCGGGTGGGGAGTCTCGGCTTCGAGGCCCAATTTTGTCCGGGGTTCTGACTGCCACCAAGCCAAGCCTCGGCACGTCCCCCGTTGCCACCGTTGTATTGACGCAAGGTTTCTGGAAGGGACCACGGGCCAGGACCACCCCATTGCGAGCCCGAGTCATCAGTCCAGCTTCTGATATCAACACGTCATACATACCTTGCCTTCATCATAAGGGCGTTAGTCCTTGCAGTTCGTCTTCTCTAGCTAATAGTGATACAAAGCAGCGGCACACGGTCATTCAAAGTTCAACCAACTGACAAGCAGTCTGGCGACACATCATATCGATCACGCGATAGACCCGTATCTTTCATCCCAGCTCGGGCGCGGATAGTCAAAGGGTCACGACACCAATATGGCGCCTCCTTCGCAGCAGTCAGCAGTGATACCCGTTATTCCACTAGCCAAGAGTACCGTGCTCTTCCCCGGCTCCGTCCTCCGAATACCCGTTTCCTCGAGCCGATCCGACATTCCTGCCCTGATCTCAAACGTCTACACGCGCGCATCCGAAGGCTCGAGGCGAGTCGACCAGATCCCCGTCGTCTGCGTACCCCTGAGCTCGCCGCTTCTAAGCAGAAAAGGCCAGCTTCTGTTGGAGGACGACCCCGACAAGTACAAGGAGCTGCTAGAGGCGAGCAGTAAGAACATCAGGAAGGATCGCTTATACAACTACGGAGTGACGGCCAAGATAACCGGCATTCAAGGGCAAAATGGGGCCGAGTTCAATCTGCTCGTGCAGGGAATATCGCGCGTCTCCATCGAGAGGGTCACTCAGGAGCAACCCTTCCTCGAAGCCAAGGTCATACCCTACACCGATGTGGTCGGAATCCGCGAACTGCAGAGCTCCGAGTATCAAGAGCTCTTCGGCACCATGAAGCGGCTTGCTCGAGAGCTCGTCTCATATCTTCGCGTGTCGGCATTTCTGCTGGCCAGCGGTACAGCCGGCCTGAACCCTCTACTCTCTAGGCGCCTTGAGCAGTTCATTGCCAAAAAGCAGGCGAACGAGGGTGGTATGCTGGCCGATTTCATGATGAACGTCGTCGAAGCATCCTACGAAGAGAAGCTCCGGGTGCTGGCTGCGGTGGACGTCATGGACCGGATGCAGAAGGTCATTGACTTGCTGGAACGCCAGGTGGATGAGATCAAGGGCAATATCAAAGTAACTACCGTTCACAGCACGTCGATACCTATTCACATCGACCCCGAAGACATGGAAAAGATGAGCAAGCGAAATGTCAAGAAAATGCAGATCCCAGGGGCCCCAGCTGGCTTCAGCATCAGTAATATGTTTGGGAGCGGTCAAGGTGGTCAGGGAGACCAGCAAGAATCGGATGAGTTGCAGGAGCTGGAGAAGAAGATTGAGGCTGCGAAGCTGCCTTCTGACGCTGCCAAGGTCGCCGAACGTGAACTCAAGCGGCTGAAGCAGATGATGCCTGCTCAGGCTGAGTACCAAGTTGTGAGGACTTACCTCGAGACTCTGGCAGAGATTCCGTGGTCTGTGGTCACTGATGACCCTATTGGCGCCGGGACTCTGGAAAAGGCAAGGAAACAGCTTGATGACGACCATTACGGAATAGAGAAAGTCAAGAAGCGGCTGCTCTCCTACTTGACTATCGTCAGGCTGATGCAGACGGCGAATCAGGCTGTAGATGTGCAGGTTAAGCAGGCTGAGCAAGAAACAGCTGATTTGGAGTCAAGTAAGAGCACCGCCAAGGATGACTCGCTCCTTGATGCCGACCTGGAGGAGAAGATCAAGGCAAGCGGCCTCAAAGTTCAGATGCTAAGAGGCAAGCGAAGAGGCGAGAAGGCACCCATTCTGTTACTCGTTGGGCCACCCGGTGTAGGCAAAACCAGCATAGCCCGGTCCATCGCCTCAGCTCTGGGTCGGAAGTTCCACCGAATATCTCTTGGGGGCATCAGAGACGAAGCCGAAATCCGAGGACACCGGAGAACGTACGTTGCTGCGATGCCTGGTACGATCGTGCAGGGTCTGAAGAAAGTGGGAGTAGCAAATCCGGTTTTCTTGTTGGACGAGATCGACAAGCTGGGCATGTCGAATCATAATGGTGATCCATCGGCAGCGATGCTCGAGGTCTTGGACCCCGAACAGAACCATGCTTTCACCGACCATTACGTAAATACCCCAATCGATCTGAGCAAGGTACTCTTCATCGCCACTGCAAACAGCCTGGATACCATTCCTGGGCCTCTACTGGACCGCATGGAGACTCTCGAATTCTCCGGCTATACGACGCTTGAGAAGCGACATATCGCCCTACAGCACCTTGTACCCAAACAGATTCGGGTGAATGGTTTGACAGAGGATCAGATCCAGTTCAACGAAGAAGTGGTGTCCAAGATCATCGAGTCGTACACTCGTGAGTCAGGGGTTCGCAATTTGGAGCGAGAGATTGGGTCCGTCTGTCGTGCAAAAGCCGTCGAGTTTGTAGAGGCGAACGATCGTGGCAAACCTGAGACATACCGCACAAATTTGACAGTTGAGGACCTCGAGTCGATTCTAGGCATCGAGAAATTCGAGGACGAGATTGCAGAGAAAAACAACCAACCAGGGATTGTAACGGGCCTGGTCGCCTATAGCTCAGGTGGCAACGGCGGTATCCTGTTTATTGAGGTTCTCGATATGCCGGGCGACGGAAGCGTTGAACTCACGGGAAACCTTGGCGACGTCCTCAAGGAAAGCGTCAAGGTGGCCAGGAGCTGGGTGCGGAACCACGCCTATGAGCTAGGTCTGACTTCGGAGCCGACGGAGAATATCATGAAGAACCGTAGCCTACACGTCCATTGCCCGTCCGGAGCTATCCCTAAGGACGGCCCGTCGAGTGGTATGGCTCAGGCCATTGCCCTTATTTCGCTCCTCTCGGGACGATCTGTCTCACCGACAATGGCTATGACAGTGAGTGCGAAGTCTCAGACATTAGCCGACGAAACACTGACACATTCAACAGGGAGAATTCCAGCTCTCTGGCCACGTAAAGAGGGTTGGCGGGATCAAAGAGAAACTGATAGGGGCATACCGTGCAGGTGTCAAGACAGTACTTCTGCCGGCGCAAAACGAGAAGGATGCCAGAGAAGTGCCCGCTGAAGTGAGCAACGGTCTGAACATCATATACGTCAGGTAAGTTCTAATGTCACTGTTGCGTGCCCTTCATTCAGCATTTGACTGACAATAACCCCCATAGCCACATCTGGGAAGCCATGCGCCATGTCTGGCCTGAAGCGCAGTGGCCAGTTGAGACGAGTTTCCCACTTCAGTCTCGCTTATAGGAGGCCCTTGAATCCTGAATTCCCAATTGACATAGCGCGGCGTTCACACGGTATTTCTCGGTTCAAGCACAGAACCAGGCGTTCTTTACATATGAGCTCGTTGGCAAGAGCACACCTGAGTATGGTTACCCCGTTACGTGGAATACGGCGTTGATACTCCAGTAGGATGTACAAAATAGAACATAAACTCCCAACCGACTGTTCCAGCTGGCCCGCCGAAGTGCTTTCAAGCCTGGAGTACTCTGAAATTCTCTCGTAGTCCTATCAGCACGCATTTGACTACCTACCCAGTCGAGACTTAGTCTACCGAATTGATCACAGGAAGTAATCATACGATGGACGGTACCGAGAAAACGTTACTCGGGTCTTTTGCTTGTGCCCCCGTCCACCTCATCGGGTTACCAAGGACAGGGCAGTGAGTACCAGATTGCCATCGCCGTGCCACCCTGACACAACGTCATAACGTCACAACATTACACAAAACCCACACATTGCAACGCAACGCACGCACCTTTCCCCTTCCTCTCTCGTTCGTGGACGCGGACGCGGACGCCGGAAGAAGCGAGTCGGGGCGCCAACTGACTGGTTGGTTCCTGCAGATAACCCCCCGAACGAAGAACCACTCCGTTTTTGCGACTTGTTGCTTGTTGCCTGCAGCCTGCCTCGCGAACCAGCAGTCTGGGAGCGTCGCAACGCAGCAGCTTGTATGTATGTAACACGCAACGCAGGGCAACGCAACGCAACGCAACGCAGAGAAGGATTATCTGTTGTTATAATTCCCGCGTGAGACAGAGATTCCCTCCACCCACCCTTCCCCTCGTCATTTGTGTGTGACGGTGGGTGCATCTGCTCCATTTTCCTTGCTTGGGGTTAGGGATGTATGTTGTATGTTGTGTGTTGTATGTTGTATGGACACTGGATTTTGTATGCGCTGTGCTAAAGCTGGATCGGTGGTGATGGGGCCAGTGGTTGGTGTGTGTGTGTTGGTATGCTCATATGCATTGCTACCCGGGTAGGTGGTCATGTAAGGTAGTTTTTCTTTCTTTACTGTGGCACGGGCTAGGTACCTAGCTTCTCCTTGCTGTCGCACGAGCTTGGTAGCTCCTGGTAACTCTTCTTCCTGTGGTACGAGCAGGGCAGACCGGACGGACTGAAGCAGGCCTCCGGCTGGTCGTCTCTTCCTCTCCTCCTCCTGGTTGAGAGATGGTCTTTTCTTCTATGGTACCTACATACCTACCTAAGCATGCAGGGTCAAGTTCATCAGTTTGGACCTAAGGATCAAGGCTCCGAGTTCAACGAGAAAAGTACTCCACCCCAGGTGTCACGAACAAACCCGACCGATTGTGCTGCGAGCGGGCGGGCGGGCGGCTGCCAAGCAAGGAAGGAAGGTAACGGGCATAGGAGATTCTATCTCTTCGTTCCCAGGGGAAGGGGTGGTGGGAATCGGAAAGAGGTCGGAAAGGGGTTAGAACGGGGGAGGGTGACCGAATACAGTCACAGAGGTCAGGTCGATTGCCCTTTTCAGACACGCCGCAACACGACATTGGACTGTTGTTGCTCTACTCCGCACGTATGCCGGACTGGCTGTGCGATGCTATGGTCCGGTTCAACTCCAGCACAGTACAGCTCGACGCGATACGACACACAGCCGGATCGAGTCGAGTCAAGCCTCACGGAGCCCTCACAGTGCCTCCTCCTTTGCGTCGTGCTCTCGGGTCCGGCAGATGGACACTGGATAAGGTACGCTGGCGCTGTGATAGGTTGCCTCAGCTTGAAACGGCGCGCTGGTACAGGTGCCCTGTGCACGGCGACGTCTTGGTGCAGCGTATGTACTTGGGTATGGAGTACAGGTGCAGATACAGGTGCACATATCGTGCTTATGTACCCCTATCACCAGATAGGGGGGTTGGTTGGTGGGTATGCACGACATCCGTGTGCGTACGATGATTGTACACAGTATGTATGTTTGTATCCTCCGCAAAGGTCTACGTAGATATCTAGGTAGATGGTGGCTTGCAGACAGATAGACAAGCAGGATCACATGATGGAAAGGGAGCCCAGGAACCCTTCCGACTGACTACCCCCAGCCCAGCTGACCTGAGCTGAACTGTCTCCTTCGTATGCAGACAGGGCCTTACCCATCCTCACACCCTGCAGGGATGATGCCCTTGAGTGAACTCCTCCGCGCCGTGTAACCAACCGGCTGATTAGAGGCAGCTAGCCAGCGGCTATCCAGATGGTCGGTAGCCGCGAAGCTTTTCTCTCCTGCTGTGCCCTCCGGTCGGGCCCTACTAAGTTACAGACCGAGGTACATACCCTAGGTATTTATCCTGTGCTCACTCACGTCTGAAAACATGGGATAGGGGACCCTTTTCTCTTACGGCCGTTGCGAGGCAGCGCTCGTGTCCCGTTTTGTGTCCTCTGCGTCGGGTTCCTTGTATCGTACGTACCTTGATACAAACAGGTATACATGCTCGCACTCGCTTTCGCATCCGGGGCTGTAATGTCCTTGCCCTTGTGTCTGTACTCGCACTTGCACCTGTACAATGCGCACAGCAGCGCAGAAATCCATACGTATACAGACACACAAGAGAGGTTCGAAAAAGAGCACATAGGGTCGTGGATACACGGCGAAGAGATCAGGTGACGTTCCTGGTTCACATACATGCATACCTCCTGGTACGCATGTAAGCAAGGAGCAAGGAGCAGGGAGCGGGATCGGGAGCTCGCTTGGCTTTTTGTTCCTTGTGTCTCTGTGTCCCCGTGTCCGAGACGTTACCACTCGGAGGTTTTTCTCTGCGCTGCTGGCGTTGCTTGTCGTCGGGTAGGAGGAATAACTTAGACGAGATGTCTCGGGACCTGACCTCGCTTGCTTTCTGCAGCGGCGTGATCCCTGGATCTTAGACCTCTGACCTCTGACCTCTGACCTGATACGTGGTGGCAAGCACTTGATACCTACTCTGATGCATACACAACGTCTGTCCATCAGTCTGACGCGATGAACCGATGCACCAGATCAAGTTACACTCACTACGTTCACAGACTGATATGGACACTCTGACGGTAGGAGTAGTAGACCAGTGTCGGACGCTCATGTAGACTCCGACCCAAATGTCCGCCCAGGGCTGTGCCTAAGCGGTTGTGGTAGTGCTTAGGCATAGGCACTCATCGTTGCTGTCTCAGTAATGAGGTCATCCTCACTAGATCCCAACGCCATGCCAGGCAGCCGGACGCGAACGACAACGGGTCCTTCGTGTTTATGCAACCGGGTTCCCGGTACCCGGTACGTACCCAGCCCCCCAAAAGCCTCGGACGTCTGGGACCTGCGTTGGCCTGTCGGTGTTGTTGACTGGGAGTGATCGGATTCGGCTATTCTGTATGTATGTATGTCTGTCAGTCAGTCAGTCTGTCTGAGCGCCACATACAAGCCCCTGAACCCAGACACGCAAGTCTTACCGAGAGAGAGACAATTTTCGCGTCGTTGTAGTTATCTTCCGATGGCGCATCACCTCCCCATCCCCAGACAAGCGTGAGGAGCCTCCGCTGCGCCACGTCGGGTGCTTGCAGCCCCTTTTCCCGGGGCAGCAGGGAGGGAAGGCCTTTCTTTGCCTTGCATGGTCCAACGTAGCGTAGCGTCCTTCTGTTGAGCGAGTATCTCGCCTGCCTGTTCAAACTCGGCTGCTCCGGCTGCAAATAAATAGGACCCTCAGCCTCGTAAAACCGTCGGAGAGACATGCATTGTGTAGACAGGAAAAGAGCCGCGAATTCAACCAGTTCAGCTGTCGAAACGGCCCCGGGTTAGGGTAGTGTAGATACCTACCTAGACAGCTCGGAAGGGACTTACCTCCCTTCTGATATCGGGGACTCGGGAGGCAGTCAGATCATGAACCACGTCCGAGGCCCGGAACATCCAGGCACAGAGACGACACGCGTATGAGGCTCGAGCATGCTCTCGTTCACGTTGGCAAGCGGGTGACACGTGATGTCCACTTAACTGAAAGGCCAAGGGCCAATTCGCTGGTCATGGGTGTTATGTTCATCCCCTGACGGCGGGCATGACGTTGGGATTCGTAATACAGACGACGGGCTTGGGTATACCGATATGACACGACCGCTATATCCTGCATCCATCGACGGACGATCCGGGAGTGTTTTATATTTACTTCATGCCATCTTATACAAGCACTTTTTCTCTCGGCGACAATCACCGAGATCAGGCATAGCCAGACAAGCTACCAGATATCTTGTCTACCTACCCAACCCCAGTCGAGGCTAATTTCGACAGTGACATGAGAACCAAGGTATCCCTCACGAGCTGCAAGGCAAACCCACACCAAGCACCTTAAAGCAATCCCAAGCAAGCGGCCGCTATAATTACCATCAAGTCGGAAGGCCCAGAGATGCCTCTCGGCTCAGCTGTGCGTAGGATGATAACATCCAGCCCGCGTGCCGCGAAACAGGTCTTGGACGGCTCGGCTATCTGCGAGTGAGCTCCCCATTCCCTGCGCTGGAACGATCTCGTGTAACGGCTCTCAGATCCGCCGACAAGAGCAAGCGAGATCAAGCCACTGCGACCCCCAGACTGACGTTCTATCATCACTGTGGCTCGGAGGCCTCGAGGTTGTCGCTCGCACAGGTACGGTGCGCCGCAGAGTTGCTTTGGAGCGTCACGCAACACCTGAGGCTAGATCGGAGCACGGCGTGGGATATCGGCACGCCCGCTAGATAGACAGACAACCCTCAGCTGTCGCACTGACACACAAACGCACGGCTTCAGCATCATGAGCCCAGCCACCGCAAATCCAAGCGGGTAACACGAGTCATGAACATGCCAAAGACCCTGGATCCGGGTAGATACTTACCAAGTAGGATACACGCCTGAGACTCGACGGGTTATCACCATAGCTCGCGGGCTAGAAATTTCCAAATAGAGCATCGCGGGATCAAGCTTGAGAAGAAGAAGCTCTACGATCGATGCTAGTAGTAGCAATAGGGAGCTCTAATAGCGCAATAGTCCGCGTACGAGGAGCTGGAAGGATCTCGACCCGCGACCGGCTGGGTGGGCCGCCGTCACGAGGCTTGGCCATTGTCTGTGTCCCGATAGTGTCGGAGGCCTACCTCCTCTATCGTCGTTAGTAGAGCCGAAGTGGACGGGGCGGACCAGCTTTCGTCGGCTGGGAATCCGAAGTGGCCACGGGACGAATCCTCCAGGCCGGCCTCGTATTTGACCATTAGCCTCAAGTCTGTCGGTCTGTCGAGTGTCGACTTTGCCTCTCTGGTCAAGGCGGGATCGGGACTATCTTTCCTAGTTTCTGAATAAGGTCTCTGTCATGATTTTTAGTGAGCATAGCCCGCGACGGGGCGGGCCCAGGAGCATTTTCCCGCTACCCGTGTGGAGATCCAATATCCCCGATCCGTCCGGATTTGGCATGCAGCATGTTCGTGCGGCCTGCCGGTAACACTGGTTGGGTTCGTGCGCTTGCAGGGTCTTTTACACTACGAGAAGCTAGCTTTGGACTTGCCGCTGAGTCGGTGAGAGGCGATGATCGTGATGAAGTTCATGATGCCCGTCGGACGAATAGTGTCCTCCGGAGGTCATTCGCAGCGGACAGCGCGGTTACGGGAAATACCAGATGGGGCGGTTGGAGTTTTGGGGGGAGCGAGGGCACCGCGTGGCTGATAAGTTGTCGCCGCTTGGTGCCACGACCAGCATTGCGTACGGTCTGATAAGCCTTTTGCAAGCTGCAGCTGAACGAACATCCCCATTGGGAGTTGTGCGGCTCATCATGGACATATTAGACGTTGAGGAAAAGGCTGACGCAGCTTTCATCAGTGCAACCTTGGTTTATTAGATTGACGATACCAGCCGGCCCGGATTCCTGGTAAAGCCGGTGCCATCGTCTTGAAAAGAAAGTCCGCCTGCGTGCAGTAATTACCGAACGCCTCCTTTCGATGACAGATGTGGCTTCAACTGGTCGCCGTACCACGTGTGCATGGAACTTGCCATCACTAGACTCTAGCCATCATAGATTGTGCGCCTTCTCAAGCCTTGCCTAGAAGCGGTATGAAGAATAGTGAGGTCCTGTGGGTATAGTCATTGTTGCCGGCGACATAGGGTGCTTCTCGGACTGAGCCTAAATGCAACTAGCGCCCAGCCCAAAGAATATCATGAATGCGAACCCAATCGCCAGTCTTGTCTGAATGGATAACCACACCGTTTGTCCACGGCCTTGGTTGGGAAATTCGATATATCGGCGGGCGGGCCGGAAATATGGGTCTAGACCTATGATATACTCTCTAGTGTCGTTCGTCGCGATAAAGTACCAAGTCTGGCCCGTCCAACTTGGGCACTCAAGCCCCTCCTGGGGTGGAAGTATTTGCGAGGCACCGGACGAGAACAACACCGACCAGACGGCGCGGGCAGAAGAGAGCTTGATTTCCTGGGATACAGCGTGGTTCGGCGGCGCTCCTGTAATCTGTCCTGGAGTCTGACATGTCGCTGCTGGGTTTCATGACGCCGAATGCGACGCTGCACATCTGAGACGGCAGCAAACCGATCGTACTAAACCTTTCTGCGCTAGAGCAGAGCGGGTAGCCATGTGTTTGGGATTTGGACTTGTGATCGTGCGTGGATAGTGCGGTTCGCTATAGGCAAGGCCGCTGCGATATAGAGCTGGGAACGGGCTGGGATTACGACACACGATTCCCAACGGCGAGTGTTGCAATGAGGCGGCTGGGTCGATCAGGACTGCGACTGCAGTGGCACCCCGTGGCTTGTGATACGACTTTGGCAAGCTTCGGCTGTAGCAGCACCGCGGGCGGAAGCTAGCCAGACGGTGAGTCGGTGAGTCGGTGACGGCGATCAACCTCCGGGAGCGACGTCGTCTGTCGCCCTGGTGGAATCTTCCCTCAGGGCTCGACAGTACTTTACTCCCCATCAGCCCGAGTGTGATCAATTATTAGCCTCATCCAACGGTCTGGCCACCGCTGATAGATGGTGCAGGCTTCCATGGGCATGGGAACCGAAATTGGACCCTGCCGAGGAAAATCTCCGTATGGCTGGAATATTTGCCCGGCGGCATTTTAAGCATGAATCTCGAGATTGTTCTCAGGGAGATGACTATTGATCGCGTGCGACAGTATCGTTCGAGGCCACATCATGGTCCGGGCGCATTGAAATATCCCGAATAGACGAGATGAGTTGCCTCTTTTCGCTCCGCCATGCATGCCCTGTATCTGGATTCCCACGATTCGCCCATGTGCCGACTTGATATTCATATGATCAGTGCCATCCATCCCACCCAACACATAAGGTTGGTGTGATAATGTGACTGGACCGGGATATTTGGTCGTCCCGAATATCTTGGTCCTGTATTTGAGTTTCTCCGCGAAGGGGTAGGGAAATCCCCTGATCATCATATTCCGCTGTCTTAGCAAGAGTCCCCAGTAACTCCATATCAGGGACCTGCGGCTGTTGTACGAGCCTTGAAAGCGTATTTTGCAGAAGACAAGCAGATTTCTCGATGGTACCTGGAGATGAGGCAGTTGACGTATGTAGGGTACTCTGATTGAAGTATGCAGCCAAGCCCGAGATGCAGGCAGATGCTGCAGTACAAAGGCGGGTGTTGACGAAAGCTGAGTGAAGCCCGGTATTGCTCAACTCCCAGGTCTCTGTACTGGGACTGGACACAGCAGCTACTGCTACCGTACCTCGAGCTCGTCGTACGCTAATAACACCGTGTGATGGTATTGCCAATCGTAGACTTCAGGGTTGCTACCGGTAGATAAGTGACGAGAGAGGTACGTCCATAGTACATAGTATACTACTAGAGAATCAAGCCCCGCTGTAGCTGCAGGCTTTCGAGGAAAACATGGTGGCCAGGATCTCCCGGCCCTTGCACATGTCAAAGCTTTCGTACTAGCCGATGCCCCCGTATTCGCCTTGATATTCCCACCAGTCAGTCTGGTCAATCAAGTGCTCTGGCCATCGCAAATTCGATCGGGTTGGTGAACGACAGGGCGTTGCATGTTGGTTGTCGGGAACCGGTGTCAGTGGCTACGAGGCCCAGTGATGGTGTGCCGAGGAAGATGTCAGGGTCGCCAAACTTTCAGGTTCTGGCCTTTTGCTTAGGAATTGGCGATAGCGCGACGACGTGAAGGATATGCGCCCAAACGCGACCGCCCAAACGAGGTGCGCAGCTACAGTGTCTCGGCGGGTAACAGGTGCGACAAGGGCGTTGACGGTTGAAGCGGTGCTCATTTGGTAAGTTCTTCGCAGGACTACTTCCCGAACGGTCAATCGTTGACCGCCTTAAGACACCCCCTGCCGCATGCGTCTATTGAATGATTCCTGATGTGATTTTGACGCCGGTCCATGACGCAAGATCCATATTTGGTGGGAAATAAGCCACGATAACCTGGCTAGCGCGGGGTGATGGAGGAGCTCAATCAAAGCACGACTCACGAGGACCACTTGGCTTGGGAGGGCGACCGCTACTTGTTCCCTACTGTGTAGTGAATGTCCAGGACTCTCAGTTCGTGTTGCCTTTCTTTGTGAGGTGGCTTCTTCTTTAGCTACTTGCCAGAGGCAGCCCAGCTGTTTGTAAGGTCGTCGACGGACGGTCGGGCGTTGAAGCACTGTGGTGATCTTGTTTAAGTTGTCCGGACCACCCTGTGCCCGGCAGGGATGTCGGCAACAAGGAATCTCGGTCGGCCCCCTGGAGGCTGGCGGAAGAGCCTCTGGATGAGCTAGGGTTCTCCCGTACGATCCGTCGAGGCGCTCTGGGCTGGAAGAAGGGACCCCCTTGTTCAGATGAAAGGACCGTGAGACACTAAGATGAGATGACAGGCCCAACGACGAGCACGGGCTACCTCGGCGGCTGGTTCAAACTTCAAGGCACGTCCACCTGATACTCCATGCTGTCATACATCCAAATGAAGGCTCATGAATTTTGAAGTGGGCAAGGTTGCGGTGCGGGTGAAGGACAACCAAAGATACCGATGCCGAGCAATTGTGATGGACCATAGTGATTTTGGAAGTTGCCAAAGTCCCGCCGGGTTGTGGATAAGATACATCTAATTGTATCTCTGCCCCGCCATGAGAGTCCCGAATAATCGCCGAGTCTATTGGGCTTTGAAATATACACTAAAAAAACAGCCGAGTATATGTCAGGACTGTCAAGTAAGGTAATGTAATGAGTGATGAGCCTCGGAGTTTAGTGTCAATGCGGCTGCAGATGAGGGATCATATCGGGCGATACGCTACAGCGATCGTGAGACCACATCTGTAATAAGGGACCTCGCCCGCGTCCTCATTGAGCTCACCGTGGCCAGAGAGTGTAGAGGGTAAAGTCACACCCTGTCGTCCGACTCTTGAATAGGTAGTCAGCGATCTGCTCTCTCATCGAGACTGCGAGGGTAGGTCAAAGCTATCCTTGCGCCCCAGAGGGCCAGAGCCAGGAAACCAGGGTACGCATAACGGTCAGTGCCTATGCATGCCGCTCAAGCGGCTCCTGTACCTGCCGGAATGCATCCATGCAGTAGAGTTCCATCCCAGGTGGAGATAATGGCAGTAATCTTAAGAAAGCCATCTCATCTCGGAATATTTATGTCATGTGCGGGCGCCGGGCGGCCAAAGAAGGAAACAAGAGCGTGCACGCCCCTGACGTTTTGGAATACCGGGCATACGCTTTGCATGGGGAGGGGTTTCCGTCTGAAGTGGCGGAAGATTTACCATGTTGCAAAGTGACAAAGGTGGAGGGATGTTCGGGTCGAGAAGGGTCGTGCTCGGCAGCAGAACGCCAGGACGGAATCTTCAGACATCGGACGGAAGATGTAGAGACAAGGACCAGGGAGTCGCATATTTCCCTAGTGGCGGTCGTATTAAGCATGAACATGGACATGGATCTTTGGACATCATATTGCACAAATGCTATCCGAGTGCCTCGTAGATCTTACATACACGTACTAATGTAGTTTTCATTAGCAGGTACTTGTAAATTGCCCCTCGTCAAGTCTTGAAGGGGAAGTTGTTGCGTGCTGCGGGGAGACTCAGGGTGTCAGGGTCTCTCTCCCATCCAAGTAGTGGGGTGTTCAGAGCCAGAAAATTTCCGCAAGCGCTCACGGAAGCACGACGAGACACGCAGTGGTAGGATCGACCGGAGGATTTCGTGACTATCATTGATGATCAATAACACTCAGGACAGGACGTGCCTCGCAATTCAGAACAGGGACTGGCTATGGAATCAGCCCCTGACACAATGCTAATGATCCTGATACGCAGTAGAGCAGTGTGGAGATGAAGTTACAATCACGGGATCGAGACCAGACGTGGAGGTGTGATGGCATCTGCACATGGCTTGCGAACCGATAAAAGATGGCGAGCCAGGGGGCCCGATATGTCCGAGTTAATATAGCAAGATGAGCACAGGCCGGGATACAAGGGGGTCAGCTACCTTAGCGTGCGCCGGCATAACGGGCCAAGCTATGGGACCACCCTGGGATGCATGTCTGCAAATTACAGCCCTGCTGAAGTCCGGATGTGATATGACGATTAAGGTAATAAGGAGAGCGCTGACTGGCGATGACGAGGCTTGGTATGTAGCTTCTCCAGACTTCAAGGTTCATTTAGTACCTCGGGTTCTTGATATAGCACACCAACGCACCAGGGTTGGCAAGGACTCCTGAAAAATGATGAGACTACACCTGTACATGTAGGTAGCCATGATACGTACTACGGTATACATCAGTCTACTGCCGAAGACAGACTATCATAACGAACGGCATTGTGCAGCAGGAATAATGATCCGTGATCAAGCCACACTTGCTATATTCGAGCCACTACTGACCACATGGCAACATCGTGCCCATTACCACTGCTACATCCCACCGCTGTCCTATACTTCGTCTGATATGTACTTGACGTATGTTATGCGTTAGGTTGCGGGATGGCACCGTCACATCTGGTCACAATTATAGGCAATGCAGAGACGTCCAGTTCAACTTGCGTGGAGGGGCACTACTTCAAGGGTCTTCGCGACACTCCGGTAGGTACTGCGACTGAACGACAGTGCTGATACTGGAACCAGATTGGCGATGGACGTTGCAAACGGCTCCCGTTTGATGTCTTGATCATTGCAGATATTATATTATTGCTAGCTTGAACCTGATGCAGAACGGTACGTGTTCAAACGTGACAGGCGGTCGATGCGACCTACTTTAGACGATCGGAGTTGCATCGACTATGCGACAACGAAACTCGGTAAGAGAACCATGCTCTTTGCCATTTTGAGATCTCGAGTAACTCTAAACTGCCATCCTCTAACCCGATTAGAAAGCCGCTTCTAGCAACAGCCAATCACAATGCGTAGCAGCTTCTAGAATTACTCGAGATGGTGCGCTCGCTCGGGTTCGGCCATAAAAATGCTGTCAATGTTCGTGCCTGCCGGTCGCGGCAGCTCGCGAATCCTGGGCGAGTGCCCGCACTGCAACTATTTAGAGAGGGTGCTCTGTTGTCAACTTGTCAAGGGCCAAGGCCCGGGGTTGAAATCATCCTGCAAGAAGCCGGCATCTGCAAGATTGCCTGCCCGACAACCCTAGTCATCATAAGTCGACTTCACCCTTGTCACCCTACTTTCGAAGGCTATCGCAGGATGAGTTCAATATCTCAGGTATTCGAACTTGACGGCGCAGCATGACCCATCACGTCACCAGCACCCATCACTGACAAGACAAACCCCAGCGCCAGAACCTTGACACCGACCATAGAGCCGCCGGATGCACTGGCTTTCGGGGACGCCCCGAACCATGGCACACAAGCCACAATCAGCTCATCACCCAGAATTGACCCAACTTCGGTACCTATATGGACCTAGGCCAATGCTGGCTGATCCAACTGGACGACGCTCTTCCACCAGAATCAAGCTGGTGTTTACGGTCTTTGATTCTCCACCATTCAAACGTCGAGGCTCGAGGAGCTAGGAGGAATTACTGCGCCGGTGGCTGCCCAACGTCGGTCGAGCCATGGGAGAAGACGCGCTGTACTTATTAAGAAGAAGCAGGATTCGGAACCTGACACTGTCACCTGGAATTTGAGTTGTGAACCACGTTACCTTTTACCGGTTGGCAACAACTCGTGCCTACTACCCATGTACAGGCTGTGGCTACTTAGGTAGTTGAAGCTACCTGGTTCGTGCGTACATCAAACCAGTGGTCATCCCTGGCTATCAGACTGCATACCTAATACATGTATTCGCCATGTATAGGATATCCGATTGCGCTAGGTGGTACAGGTGATACAGGTATACCCGTGGACATCATTCTTCAGAGCAGGCCTGAAGTGTCGCCAGGCGCATGGAAGAGCATTAGGTAAGGTAATAAACTACAAGCAACGCAAGGCAGTCACGGCCGAACTGCAGGTGCCGAGCTGACCTCAACGTTCCTTCTGTCCAGCGACTGCTCGACTGCTCGAATGACAACGCCACCGGGATGAAACGTGTGAAATGTCAATGTCAACCGACTCAGGGACCTGCCTGCCTGCTTGGGACTATCTGACATCCAAAGAGCCTCACGTCCTGTGGCTTTCTCAATCTCAGCCACTTACCTACCTAAGGTAGGTAGGTAAGGTCCAGACAGGTATTATCAAACCTCACCGCTGCCCGACTCGCTGATCTGCAGACTTTCTCCATTCCTGTTCCTTTTTCTAACCCTCGTCCAAGCCGCGTCTCACACACTGCACGTGTGAAATCGTGGTCCTCAATTTCTTCACTGAGCTCGACTGGGCATTCCGAATTGCCATCGCTCCAATCAGACCCGGGCTCCGATCAGACCTTTGATTTTTTAAGCCGGAAGCCGGCTGTCTCACCGCCATCTATGATCAAGTACCTTGGGATAGTTACAATTTCTTGACGAGCCCAGTATTTGCCCAGTATCTCCCCGCGCCTGTGCACGCGCCTGGCACTTTCGAAACGAGTGACCTAGTCGAGCGACGGCCATGACACACATATACATACACATACACATACACATACACACACGCAAACTTACACACGCACACGCACACAGGCTATACCCTATACCGCCCGTGTACAATCATCATACACCTCGACGTCACGCTGGCTGTCCTTTTTCGTCCTGTCTCGTTGAAACCTTGACGCACAGATCTATTCTTGTACCCAGTTGACGACCGCATCCCACATTTCCACACACATCATCGGGCATTATTCTGGAATCGTCTCATGTCTGTCTCTCTCGCATCTCACATCCACCCCTCGGCACTACGCTATGTTACCCTGCAAGGCCAGCCACTTAATAGACCGGCTCTCCGGAGCTATCAGAGATGCACGCCCCAGGCCGTTGAGGCGCACACCCCTTTTCTGCCACTCTCTATCCTCAAAGTTACGAGGCTCAGTCCCCTCGATGGATGCGGCCAATCAGAGGACCGTCGTCTTGGAAGACTGTCTCAGTATGCGCATTTCCCAGCAATCTCGGAGGGCCACCCGGCACAATTCTTCACGCGGAGAATTTGGCTGATCAACACCGGCGCAAGGGAGACGAACATTTCATGGCACAGCAGACAATCCAGGCCAGCCAGGCCTCGTGATGGGCAAGTATAGAGGGATGAGGCATGCGAGGGTAGGTAGATCAGATGCGATGCGATGGATGAAAGCATACGCACAGCTTATTACAAGGTAACGCATAAGATTCGTCCATCACGGTCATCATCCATATCCCATCACATCCATCATATCCATCCATATCGTAACCCGTTATACCCAATCCGCACATCGCCTGCATCATTGCTGGCTGCTGGGCTGGCATAGCTCCCCATCCTTGAATCCCTGATCAATGATTATTAGCAGCCAATGCTTCCCCGTTGAGACCGGGGTCCCCCCTGACAAGCCTACTAGTTCAGAGCCCATCGGCCCTGGACCAGACTAGGATCCCACCATCATGGCACCATGTCGAGCATGTCGAGCAGGTCCACCACTATCTGCCACCATCTCCATCCTTGCCCACCTGGGATAGCCTGGCAGTCTGGCTTTCCGGTGCTAGCACCCGCCTGGCATGTCTTCAGCTCTCTTACCAGTTTAGCGCGTGTGCGGGTGTGCACTTTCTTTCATCTGGGCTGGGCACGCGGTACCCCTGGATGTCTCTTGGACAGCTCAACCTCGCGCTGCTCACACATGCCCGCAGGGTCACTTTGACATTCTTCAACGGCTCGTGTCTGGCCCTCTGTGCTTCCCTCCGCTAACCACATCTACACACACCTCATACCTGACCTTTCCTCTTGTGTATACTAGAAGAGCTCGGCCCCCCAGTCTCTGCCGCGATGCGATGTCTGGTCCCTGCCATGCTGTCTCCAGCGTTGCCCGTAGCGTCAGTGCCATGAACGAAAGAACCGCCAAGCAGACACGCCGTCTGTGCAGTTAGTGGTGTACTGCGTACCGTACTGTGCTGTACATGCTCCGTACCTACAGTACGCAGTAGCTACCTGCGACCCCCCAGCTTGGGACCCTGGTAAGCCTGGCAAGCCTGCGCCGGCTGGCTCCATACATCCTAATTGTTCCATTCTTTAATATTAAAGTCGCACAAAACCCTCCACGATCCCATTGACTCGAGAGGTAGTCGACCTCCTCCGTCCTCGACTCGACACCTCGGCAATATCGAGCTCTGCCCGACCTAGCCACGCCCAGCACGTTGCTTCCCAGGCCTCCCAGACCCAGGAACCTTCCCTCACCGTGCTACAGGAGAGGTCTTGTATTCGTTGCTGCAGCTCTCCGTCACTGCCATCTCCCGGGTTTCCACCAGCATCACCGCGCGCCGTGTCACTGGATCTCCCGACTTTGACTGAGGCGGTATCACAGCCGACCCTCTGGTCCAACGTTGGCCTTGACCTCATCGCTATCGGCTCATCGCCGAGCTTGCCGTTTCTGGCGTACCCTCCCAAACCTGTCGCAGCCATATATCTGTTCCGTGGTGGATGCTCCTAGATATCCAGACATCGCCATTGGACCTACCTACGTCCCCCGGACGTGTTCGCAAATCGGGCTGCACTGGGAACCTTGGTGGAAAGCAATACTGATTAGATAACGTTCACCGAAGTCGAGAATCCGTCGAGAACCCCCGCCGAACTCGCAACTCAGCTTGGGCATGCGAAGCTGCAAGGACGCTCCGCCACCCTTCTGAACGGCATTCTTCCTTCCCACGACCAAGGCTACCAGGCCGCCATCTGGAAGAAGACGTTGGGAACCACACGGTCCTATCGTGCCTACTCCTCAGGCTGCATCCATGCAAACCCCAATCCGTTGTGCTGAGCAGTCGTACGTTCCACTCGGCCAGCGCCGAGGCAAACCCGATCTGGCGTGCTTCGCTCTAGACCTGACTCGGGCCAGAGCAGAGACGGATTGTGCTCCGGGCAGCACAAGGGCCTATCCCTCTCCGCCCATGTCAGGGTCTCCTCCGCCACCGCCCAAGCCAAACCAAGAGGTCGGTGACCGAGGTCAGGGAGGCTACCAGGCCTCCAATCGTGATGTATACCGCACAGGCTCGACACTTCCAGGGGGCGAGTACCGGGCAGCACCTCCACCGCCACTACCACATCTACCACCACCTCCTCCGCCTGGTGTCCGGCCATACACCTTAGAGACCCCGGAACGAATGCCGTATCAGTACCGTCGTCCGGAAGACACAATGGGGCGGCCCATGTCGTACCCACCACAGCCGGGCCACATGGCTCACCAACCCAACTACCCACTGCCGCCAGTGGCTGGACCGACCCTCATGCCATCGCCCTATCCGATATCGAATAATCCTCACGGTCCCGAGAACCCCGCCTTCGCTTCGCCCAAGTCGCAAAGAAAGACCAAGGGCCATGTAGCGTCTGCTTGCGTGCCCTGCAAAAGAGCTCATCTAAGGTGAGTTATGCCTTGACTGTGGATGGTTTGCAATGTGCTAATACATTACAGATGTGACGGTATGTATTGACTTTCTTCTGTCGGACTTGTGATATGTCCGTGAACGGTGATCCTCGCCGGGCGGTGGGCCCCCGGGTCTCCGAGCTATTTGGCGGTGGTCGTCCGACCACATGGGCACCTTCAGGACATCGCCTTTCACCACGAAGGGGTTCTGCGGTTTTGGGGACCGCAGCTGCCTTATCAGACGAAAGAGGCTCGCAACCGAATTTGGCCCTTTCTAGGAGACTGATGCTGTCGAAATTCAATGGTGACGATGAGGGATGAAGCAGGAGTAGCCACTTGACGATGCAAGAGCCATGTTGGGGGCTTTGGCCGGCCGGACTGCTCGAGAAATGTTCTGCAGAGTTGAGGAAGATCCTTGAAACCCCTGACGATACCTGCTGGCGAGAGGGTGCCATGGTCCATGCCCGGCAGGAGCGGCTGAATATCACTCAAAAAGGGGCAACTCCGTGGAGGCTGGCACGGGTCCGCGCCCAAGGGAAACGTCGCTGGTGAACAACTATCGAGCAAGTGCAACGCGGGAGACCGACGCGGGCGAGCGCCAGCAAGCTTCTCATTCATGATACCCCTAATCCAGCGTCCGAATAGCGGTTGAAGAACGCTGACAGTGAACATTTACAGCCCAACGACCTTGCTCACGATGCCTCAGCAATGGCAAGGAAGATGCTTGCGTTGATGTTCAGCATAAGAAGCGCGGGCGACCACGACTACGCGACGACAGAGAACCGCGATTTGACGCCGGAAGGTTCGCCCAACCTGTTGATCCGACAATGCGGCGACCGCTTTCTCTATACTCCCCTGCGAATGTTGCTCCGGCGCCGTTCGATGATCCTTTACGGAGAAGCCAATCGTATCGAATCTTGAAATCGCAACCCAGCGACCCGACAGCACCGAGATTCATTGAACGTGGATCAGCAGCGGACGCCAATGTATATCCTCCGCCGCTATCGATAGCTCCACGGGCCCCGGAGCCGGTCGCGTTCTTGACGACAGATCTTGAGGTGGCGAAGGCTTCGAGCACCTTTTTGGAAGCCATTGGCATAGATGTGCAGTCGATGATGGGCCGGAGGTTGTCAGATGTTATTGCCGCCCCTGAACGTGAACGGGTGCATGCGCTCCAGAGGGCACTGCAGGACGAGCAAGGCAGGAAGGAGCCGAATTACCTACCGCCTATCTTCGGCAAGCAGGAAGCAGAGAGAGTGATCCAGGCGCTCCCTTTCAGTCCAGAGTCTTTGTCCAGGTACCAACTCGATCGCCCGGACTTCTTCACATTCGTCTCAGCAGATGGGCAGCCGCGGCCCTATCCCATTCGCATTGGCCTGGCCAAGGAGGATTCGATATACTTCGTCGTCCTGTTGCTGTGCCCGCCCACACGGCCGTTCCCGCATCCCTCTCCATCACCACATGCGAGGGACTTGACGTACTCATTCCAGCCTCAAGGATTTGCACAGCTCACTCCCGTTTCGGCATCCTTCGACCAGGGAAGGTCTCGATTCGGAGAAATGTCTCGGGAGAGCAGCTATACGCCTAGACAACCCCCAACACCAGGCCACTTCATCTCGGGACCTAGCCCGGGCATGAGTCCAAATGTGTCATCCTACTCCGCTTCGGCTACTGCGCGGCCGGAGCAGCGTGGAAGTATATCACACCAGATACCGAGGAGCGAGCTCCTCCCTGCAAGGCAACCCCCACAGCCTGAATATCAATTACCACCCATCCGAAGCCAACCTCAGACGGGACCTCCAGTAGACACAACTTGGCCACGCGATGATCGGACAGGTCGTGTCGACATTGGTGGGCTGATTGATAAGCCTGGGCCGTCGCGTCGAAACCAATGAGATCTCCCGCCGTCTGTTTTGACCTTTGAAGTTCTGTCGTCTCCCGATATTCCAGATTGACATAGCCTAGCTGTTGTTCCGGCATTTGCTTTCATCGCGCCTTGTTCATTCTCAACCATCGTCGCATTGTAACTATACCCAACCGTTGCTTTCAGTCGCGCTGGAGATACCATTGTACAACATGAGCATCTTTCCGTTTATATATCACGTTCCTGCGGTTTTGGCGGCTCTTGTTCTTTTCGAGGTTCTGTTCGGCATCGTTCCATGGGCGTTCAGCGTTTTTGTCTCGTCTCGTCTTGTCTTTGCGATATAATTTGCAATTCGTCTTTCGTGTCGCTGGGCCTTTGGCCTTCCGTCCATCATCCATGGGTATTATCTGAAGGAATAGAGGCGGTGTTTGTGGCCCTCTGTAGTCCCGTCACGATTCGATGGGTTGTACGATTCGGGACGCAGCAGCATCAGTACAAGAGGAGTTGAGAATATGGCATCATCAAAGAACGCCTTCATATTTGAGTGAGATTCCTGTCTTCCTGTGCCATTATGGTCAGTACCGGTAGGCAGAGCCTGGTCAGCGGGGAGACGGTTTTTTGAAATGGAAGTCGAGACGTGTGTCCATACGTGCGGCCCGTCCTTGCTGCCCAAGGACAGCCAGCTGTGTGTGGTACGAGATAGGGCGGGGTCTCGAGCTCGGGATCTGCTCCGGCGGCCATCTTTCTAATATGTATATTTTTCTGGTTTTCGTCGCTCTTCTTTATTACATTTTGGTATGGCCAAGAAAGCCGGAGGGAATCGCGAGGCGCGAGAGATGATGACGGGCTCCGACGGCGGCGAGGGCTCGGTAATGATGGGAGGAGAGAGAACGGCACTCCACGAAGAAGAGAGTCGTCGTGTACAACTTTGAATCAGGAGGCGAGATCGAGGGAGACGATAGTGATGGGAAAAGCCAACCTCAGGTCAAGACAAGACCAGTAGCTATGTATCATGCAAGAAATATTGAGCCGAGAATGAGGAAAAAGAGACATGTTCAAGGAAACGAAACATCAAACGAAACAAAACGAAACAAGTGATGAACATGGGGAGATGGGAGATGGGAGATCGATCTACCTTATCGTTCTCTCCATCATCAACAACAGGCTTCCCCGTTTGACCCTTACCCCCGGCCGCGGCCAGCCAGCCATGTTCAGGCACAGCAAATTTCGGCAAACGCTGTCCAGTCAGTTCTCTGATCCGGGATTTGCAGGCTCCTGCATCGAAACATCGACCCAGAATGCGGAGCCGAGCCGTATAACACGCTCGGACTAAGCCTCAGGATCCGGATGCAGGATCCGGATGGAAGATCCACCCGCCATGTTACCTGTCCGTGTGTGATGAATGCTGTGATGAATGCTGTGATGAATGCTGTGCTGTGCTGTGCTGTGCTGTGCTGTTGTCATGCTAATCTTGCGCGTGTGTGCTTGGAACGGAGGCAGTGCCGAGCGCTTATGTGCAGCAGTGGGAGTGCGTGAGCACGATCATGCGATGGGTGGGATATGGGCGAGGGGTGTCTATAGTAATAAGGGACGATCAGAGAGAGCTCATTAGAGTACCGTAGACAGGCAAGGCAGCAAGGTCAAGTGGTAGGTAGAGAGGTCAGAACCAGGTTTCGTGGTGCGTAAGGTTATTGTTCCGTTTGTCGGTAGTGGTCGCGGTAGCGATATTGCGATATTGCGATATCGAGACGGGACTATAGGTACATGTAATAGCATGGGCTGCATATAGGGCTATAACGTTACGGCGAGGGCCAAGCGAGATGCGCTCTGATTGTAACCCCTCTCCACTCGTTTGGCTCTGGGGCTGGGGCTGGGGCTTGCTGGCTGGCGGCTGGCTGACAGCTCGGCTAGAGGTACCGGTATGGTTGGAGATATGGCGAGATGGGGAGATTGATGATTCTGGGTTTCTTGTAGGGTAGGAAATAAGAAGCGTGGAGATGTGATCACTACTAGGTAAGCAGGTCATACCGGTGATGGCGGTCGTTATGGTGGAGGTGTAAAGTGAACATGGATGAGCACGCATGAATTGAGCGAGAATGAGCTCGTGAATTTAATTATTATCTGTCATCTGTCATCCGTCATCCCATGCGGGTGCTAGAACAGATTCCCACTTCCAAATCCTAACGCCCTCTCACTACCAGTTCTGCCTTTCTGCCGGTCTTCCCCCAGGTTCGACCGGACCTGGATGTCCTTGCTGACTGCCTTAGTCCACCTCATGCATCTTGCATGAGGCTAGGGTACGGTAGATGGGAGGGAGGGGAGGGAGGGGAGGGTATGTAAGCCCCCCGGCTCGCGGTGCAGGCACAGTGGCACACCGCAGGATAAGGGAGGGTCGCACACGGAAAGACTCTGGGGTATTGTTACCCACGCGAGCAGCATTCATGCTATCGTAACCTTTGGTACCTTGTGCTGTGAACTTAAAGCCGAGGGCCTCATTCAAGAGGAGGAGTCTCAGGAGTCAGAGGCGCATGTGCCTTTCTGTTGACACCTCGAGTGAACCAACGGGAGGGCACCGAGGAGAAGCTACAAGGGTTCGGGTCCCTAAGCGAAGCCAGGGTAAAATTGTCCGAGCCGTTGCAGCATGCAGAAGATTTGATTAAAAGCAGCAGCGCGTGTGCGCACGTCGGGTACACCTACGACCCCCCATTTGCCCACCCACAGCCGCCGCACGGCAAAGTCAATCTGGAAATGGCGCTAGGTACTGTACTCCCACACGCCATGAAAGGAAAACTCCCGAGTGGCTCAGTCCTGTTCAACCCCAGCCTGCATGTGCTTTTGCTAGAACTCCACTGCCAGAATGACACGCAACCCCAACGGCAGTGGTCCGTGGTGCCGGTTCGGTCTTCGGGTCTTAGTAATCCGCACTTGCTTAAGGTAGAGACGGTAAACGAAGGCATGACTGCCCCAAAACCATCTTCAGGGCAACAAACAGCACAATGAAATGGGCAACGAAACGGTTTTCCGAGAGACCAACGGACTTGGGGGATAAAGTCAAGCCCTGCGAGGGTTGAAAGCAATCAAACAATTTCTGCGCGTCGCCCGAACAATTGGAGGCCTGTACTTCGGTCAAGCCGCAACACAACATACCGAAACGAGTGTCCTTTGGGAAAAGCGCGAAAGGTCGACAAGACGAGAAGTCAAACTCGTACTTAAGTGCATCATTGGGTTGTACTGTTCATGCTCCTGTAAAAGTGACTGGATCGGAGCGCGCCGTTAAATGCAATCACGCGTCCTGGTGAAGTAGTGCGCCGCTGTGGAGAATGGGGCGGCCGGCTCTCTCGGACGAACAGCCAGGTTCGCCTGGGAAATGGCGTGCCGGTCACTTGTTCAATCAAAGGAACCCCCCAGTCCAGTGTCGGGTGCCAGCGTTGAGTTATCTCGATGCCGAGCAGTTGTAGCCGCCCTGGCCAGTATGCTGGATGAGTGGTGCTTGCCCTTCGTCAGGACTTTCATCGCGCCGGTCTAGGTTAATGTTGAGATTGTATCCACTCGGCATGTCGGGAGGCAGAAATCTCGGGGTCAGAGAAGCTTCTGTCATTTTGGTCTCCTTGTGCTGGTTGGCCTCTGCAGTCCGGCTGGATTCGCCAGTCTGGGGGGAAAAAGGGCCAGATACCAGGACATACTCGGGAGACTTGGTCTCATGAACTAGACCATCGAGTTCCTCGGACATCTTATCTTTCCGGGGAGGGTAGTCTTTGTCTAAGACCTGTTTGAGAGTGCGCTTCTTATATGGTAGCATGGCCGGAGGTAACGGTGGAGGCGTAAGACCCATGAACCGGTTGACCTGAGTGTCGTCCCAGTTCAAGATATCCTCTGTCGAAGACACGGTCCCCACCTGACTTTGTTGGGAGACTTGTATGTCATGGGCAAGCCGTCTCGTTATCGGCCGTCGAGAACTGTGACGTCGAGAGAGCGACTGTGTGGAGCTTCCTGCCGAACTCGATTCCCTATGATCCACGGTCAGTACGCAGCATTGAATACAGAGATAGACACTGCTTCTGACGTTAGAGCACCGGCTGCCTGAGTTGACCAGCGTTCATCATCTCGCCTCGCCGAGGAGTGGTCACTGTCTGCCCCTTCTTGGGACATGTGGTTTGGTTGTGTGAAAGTTCGTGTTGTTGACTAGGAACGGGGGCATCCAAACTTGCTGGAAAGATCCGGAACATATGAGATAGACAGAGAACTTATGACCGGAGCCAGCTTTTGTCGAGTCCGCGTCGGTTACTCAGAGGTAACCCGACCTGCCATATTCTTCTGTCACCTCCCGAGAGTAAGTACATGGGTAGCTTGTAAAATGCAAACTTGCCAACGCGCAGCCAGCGTCTCCGGCTACCATACTGTGCCTTGCATCTTTCGACAGGATTAGTATCAATACCCCGGGAGACCCTGGCTGCCTCGACCAGGAACAGACAAGGCATGCTGTGTCGGGTGAGGTTGAGTCAAGTCAGCTGGATGGGGGCCGTCAGAGGCCTGCAGCAGAGGGTGTGGCTGCATGGCAATAGCCAAGAGTCGCCTAGGTTATGAGGGTTCTTTGGGGTTGGTGAGATGGTGTCGTCGCAGAAAAGTCAAGGCTTCAGCATAATCCGATGGCAGGTGGTACTAGCCTCGTAGTGTTTCTTGCCGTCTATCAACATTCGAGGGTTGCCGACTGTTCTCTAGACCCTGTACTACCAGAATCGCATCCTGGTCTTGGCCTCACCACGCAGGTGACAGGTTGATTGCTGCAAACTTGGACATGTGAGGCATCCCACATCATTGAAAGCAGACGGAAGACACATCGTGGAAACATGGCACTGCTGCCGCCGCCAGGCTATGCATTTTTAGCTCTGAGCTGAGCATGTAGATGTTTGGGGGCCAGGTGATCCTGGACCGACAGGGTTTTGAGTTGAGGCCTCAATTGCACCCTCACCGCCCTTATGTCTGCATCCATTCAGAGTATTGACGCAATAAGCATGAGTCTCTCTAGGCAGGGAGACGATGGGAATGGCCCTCACACCTTACAAGTGCTGCCCGCTGTCATGCTTCAGGAGACAGACGACCTCATATACTCTTTGTGTGTGGAAAGGGTTCCATGAGGACACTTCTGACGGGGCAATTGAATACAAGTACTATGGCGAAGGGCTTTGGTTACAGCCAGTGGTTGCATTGAAGTTAAGAAGAAGAAGAAAACCGTGGCGATCATTGTGGAGGGTGGATCTGGATGCAAACAGCTTGAACTGCTTTGGAGCAAGACCTCCGGTAACACAGTGTGCCGTTGCCCGGCTGGGGTTGCACAGTGTATGGGCCAACTGTACGGGCCAATCAGAAGGCGGTCTTGTTCGTGGGAGTCGCGACTCCGTTGCTCGTGCTTTCCCAACTTGAAGGAAGAAGACTGCCCTACCTATGACTTATGCACGCTGCGCTCGTTGACAGACGTAGATGTAGTATTCGCATGTGCATGTACACATCTACTGCAGTGGGAAGACTCGACAGCCTCATTTTGCAAATTCCGTTCCGTCTCAAAGCACTGTACAGAACGATCTTTGCGCCTCTGTACAGAACTGCTGTCCAGCCAATCGCATCTGGGCCCAAGTCCAAGTCTCGACCACACGTCGAAAATGCACGTTAGCCCCGAGTGCTGAATGGGAAGCCTCACTTCGCAACATCCATCGGTTACTCGTACAGTGACGCCATGGCGGATCCCATGGAGCTTGACGAGCCGAGAGGTACCAAACGAAAAGACCCGCCGGCTTCAGGAGACGACAGCGCTCCTCGTCGCATCAAGGCGAGTTGGCGTCTCCCCCAACCGAATCCAGCAAGGCTGACCTTCCTTGTCCCCGGTAGGCACTGGATCCAGATGTCGTCAACAAGATTGCTGCTGGCGAGATCATTGTTGCACCGGTACATGCCTTGAAGGAGTTGATCGAGAACGCAGTCGATGCCGGATCCACGTCGTTAGAGGTCCTCGTCAAAGACGGTGGCTTGAAACTACTGCAAATCACCGACAATGGCCACGGCATCGACGTGAGTTTGCCTTCGCCGACCCCTGCAGCCCTCGTCTTCCAGTGCTGATCTGTTCCACAGAAAGAAGACTTGGCCATTCTTTGTGAGAGATTTACCACCTCCAAACTCAAGAAGTTTGAAGATCTCAGCAGTATCTGCACCTATGGCTTCCGAGGCGAGGCGTTGGCCAGTATCAGTCACATTGCCCACCTGACGGTGACAACGAAGACCAAGGACTCTGACTGCGCTTGGCGTGCTCACTACGACAGCGGCAAGCTAGCACCTGCGAAACCTGGCCATTCGTCTGAGCCGAAACCCACGGCAGGACGAGGTGGTACGCAGATTTCAGTCGAGGACCTGTTTTACAATGTTCCCACCCGACGCAGGGCTTTCAGGTCTACGTCGGACGAGTACAATAAGATCCTTGACATGGTAGGGCGGTACGCCATACACTGCTCCGGCGTGGCCTTTTCCTGTAAGAAGCATGGGGATTCTGGGACCTCAATCGCCGTCCAAACTCAAGCCTCGACCATAGACCGCATTCGCCAGATTCACGGTGGTGGTGTTGCCAATGAGCTCATCGAGTTTGCCACATTTGACGATCGCTGGGGCTTCAAGGCTAGCGGATGGGCCACCAACGCCAATTATCACATCAAGAAGACGACTCTTTTGTTGTTCATCAACAACCGCAGTGTGGAATCATCAAACATCAAGAAGGCCGTGGAACAGACCTACTCCACATTCCTGCCCAAGAATGGACACCCATTTGTTTACCTCAGCCTCGAAATCGACCCCCAGCGCGTCGACGTCAATGTCCACCCCACGAAACGAGAGGTCAACTTTCTCAACGAGGATGAAATCATACAGGCCATCTGTGAAACAATTCGCGAGAAACTGGCAGCCGTGGACACGAGCCGCACATTCATGACGCAGACACTGCTTCCTGGCACCATTCTACCCAGCACCTCGTCGCAGCAGGATGTCGATGAACCTTCGACGAAAACGCCAAATACAACACGCAAGACTCCATATCGACCTAACGAAAACAACCTGGTTCGTACAGACGCCTCACTGCGGAAGATCACAAGCATGTTCCCCTCAGCCTCCAAGTCTCCAGCACCTGGTGCACCACCCAACGAATCAGGTGACGGGGGTCTTGATCCTAGATATGAGATCACGGATCGAGAGCCAGTATTCTGTCGTCTCACAAGTGTACGTGAGCTACGTACTGCAGTCAGGGATGGCATGCATCATGAACTGACCGAGATCTTTGCGAACCACACTTTCGTGGGCATTGTTGACGAAAAACGACGGCTCGCCGCTATCCAAGGAGGGGTTAAACTCTTCCTCGTCGACTACGGCCGTGCGTGTTTCGAATACTTCTACCAGGTCGGGCTGACCGATTTTGGTAACTTTGGCGTGATCAAGTTCCAACCTTCACTTGATTTACGAGAGTTGCTCTCCATAGCGGCCGAGCACGAGAAAGCAACCGCTGCGGATGGCGAGCTGGCTGACGATGACGACTTCGACGTGGGCGAGGTCGTGGATGCTGTGGCCAATCAGCTGGTGGAAAGAAGGGAGATGTTGCTTGAGTATTTCAATCTCGAGATCTCTCCCGCTGGTGAGTTGCTGAGCATCCCACTCCTCATGAAAGGTTACACTCCCCCCTTGTCAAAGTTGCCTCAGTTCTTGCTTCGTCTCGGTCCACACGTGAACTGGACAGATGAAAAGGGGTGCTTTGAGACCTTTCTGCAGGAGCTCGCTACCTTTTGGGTCCCGGAGCAGCTGCCCTCCCTGCCAGGTAACGACCACGCGGATGAGGATATTCCCCATGAGATCAAGGCCAGAAGAGCCCAGATCCGACGGGCAGTGGAGCATATCTTCTTCCCGGCGTTCAAGGCAAGACTGGTAGCGACCAAGTCATTCATGAAGGGCGGCATACTGGAACTCGCCGATTTGAAGGGGTTGTACAGAGTATTCGAGAGATGTTGAGACGTGCGCTGAGGATCTGATACCCATTGCTACTGAAAATTCCGGTGTTGCAACGTACCACTGTCAGCTATACCATACATCCTTCTTCCTGTCGCTACAGAGCTACTGGCTCGATTCTAGCCGGAGGGTACTTAATAGTATGAATATCAATGCTGCGTGGACTGGGTCACGTACCACTGGTGATATGCTGTGTGACCAGTATACCACACGAGGATCACTCCATTGTATGTCACTTAGCATCTGCACAGGCAGGAAGGTACAGGCAGGATTTCAGGTGGGCACAATCTCACGCTTGTTTCCATCATGCGAGCGATGCTGCTGCTGGCATACATACCTCAATACTCGAAGTAAATACTGAGCTGTGACCTCAGTAGTACCGTATCCTCAATGAAGGGTCTCACCTACGAGCCTGGATGGGTGTATATCTCACCCCGAAGATCATCAACCGTAGCACCGCCAACAGAGATAAGAGCCCAAGTGAGCCAAGAAGCCGTCCGTCGATCCTCTGCCGCACAGGTACAGGCCCATCGGATAGTTGCTTTAATATTGATTCCTAGGGGTTCTTTCGTCGCACAATTAGGAATGTTATCAACGACGTATGCCATTGGAGCCCTTATTAAAGGGGGGTGAGTGGGGCGCAGCTTCGTAGCTTCATCACGATATAGGGGAGGGGGATGCGGCCTCAGGCACATGTCGAATGTTCGGGCACCACTGTATTGTGCTGTCTCAAGTCACCTGTTTAAGGTATCGCCGAAGCGATATCACAGCCATTCGTCAAATCACATTTCAGAAGTCAACACCAGCAAATATCATCATGAAAGTACCATCGCCATTTCTGTGTTCTGCGCGCAAAAGCGCACTACCTATGTACCTGACCGACTTCTGTAGAATCCACCAAGCACGAGGCGGCGCGGAGTACTCTAGACCAGAGCCGATATCTAAGGTAGAGAAAAGTGAAGGAATCGAGAAAGAGACCGCGATACGCAACGCAATGCAAGATGCAGTGCAAAACCCTGTTCATGCCAACTCCCAAATAACGAACCCCCCAAGTGAAGTAAATTTCCTCCTGATTGGATGGTGTGGTATGTGTGAGATGGGTAGGGGTTGGGTATAGGTGCCCGATGCACAATGGTGTATGACGAAGTAGGGTGATGTAGAGGAGGTATGGAGTAGGCGGTAAGAGTGACGGATGCATGATACATGATGCGCAATGCACGATTAAAATTCCGACGAAACGGTCCTGAAGTCGTGATACGCGCAAGGCGGCAAGGAGATGAGACCCGGTGAGGTGAGCACTCATCCAAGCCGTGCAAAGCATCGTCGCAGCTCCATCAGCCTAGACCTCGTCGTCATCGGCTTCCTCGGCAGCGCCTTCATCCTTGACCTCAGCCTTGACCTCAGCTTTGACCTCAGCTTTGACCTCAGCCTTGACGGCAGAGTCAGCCTTGGAGTCGCCGTCCTCGACCTTGGCAGCAGACAGCACGGCCTTCTTAGCAGGGGCGCGGCGCTGGCGCTTCGGGGCGGGAGAAGGCTCCTCTGGTGTGGTGTTAGTACTTGTGCTGCTGGGTGAGGGGGAAGAGGAGAGGGTGGTGGTAGTGGTGGTGGTAGTGGTGGGTAGTTAGGGAGTGGAAGGTTACTTACCGTTGCCATCGGCATCAAAGTCAGCGACCGGGTCAGCCTTCTTGGCGCGCTTTCGACCGCCGTTGGTAGTTGCTGTGAATAGTCAGTGAGTTGCAACTGTGATGATGATGAGGTACATGTAAGGATCAAATGGAACTCACCAGCGCTGGAAGCACCGGAAGCAGGCGCCTTCTTGCGCTTCGGAGTCGGGGTGGCAGGTACGGAACCGTCACCGGCGGCAGTCGCGCCACCATTATTCTCAAACTCAGCGGCCTCCTTCCTGATGTGCGCGACCTGGTGGCTGAGTGACTTGGGGGTGCGGCCGGGCATCGCAAGACCATTGAGGTTGATGGAACCGCCGTTGTCGGTCAGCTGCTTGATGATCTTGCTCATCAGGAGGGCCTGATGATTGTGAGCCATGGACATACGTGAGTCGTTATTGTACTGGGTGCAGATTGACTTACGCGCTCGCCGTCAGTCCACTTGCTGGCAGAAGCCTTGCCGTTGGCGTCGGACATCTTGCTGAGATGTTGTAGAGAATTGGTTGTTTGATTGAGATAGGTGGTGGTGCTGGCTTGTGTTGTCAGTGGTTGTGGTCGATGAATGTGAGTGGAAGTCAAGTGCGGGAGGCAGAGGTAAGATGGAAGTGGAAAAGTAGTCGAGGTGCTGGAGATGAATGGTAGGAGAGAACGGTCTAGGGAATGGAGGTAGAGAATGGAGGATGAACCATGGGGACCAAAGGTGAGGGGGTCTGGAGTAGGATGCTTGAGGAGGGTAAGGTGAGAGTGCAGTGATGGGGGGCACGCCTGGGGTTGCCACTGTAGGTAGAATGTTCACATTGATGGTAGACGGGGGTTTCTGTAGGTCTCTGGGCAGAGGTACTCACCTGATCAACCGTTGAGGTCAGGAATCAAGCGTCTCGATAGAGGCTGGTCACTGCAGATGAAGAGGGTTGATAAGTAGGTGTGTGACCGAGGAGGAAGTAGTTGGTTGGTAAGTGTGTGAGTAGATGAAGGGGGAAGATTGGATGTGGGAGATGTTGGGTAGGGAGGTGTGCAGGCACAGGTGGAAGTGGGTGTGGGAGATGGTCGCTTCACCCGGATATCAAGAAGGTCAGGGCATTGAGGTGAATGGAATTCTAAGAGAACGAGGGACGTGGATCAGATTGAGGGAATGGAGCGTGGGATGGAGACTTACGTGGTCAGAAGGCGGATGGGGTGGGAATATGGGTGGGGTGGGAAGGTTCTGAGATGTCGTATTGAAGCAGGACTCGGGGGGTGTAGCTGGGAAACGGGGCTATCAAAGATGGATAAGAACTGCAGAGCCACGGAAACCTCACTCATGTAAAAAACCGGAGAGCTAGGGCGAGGGTACTTGTCGAGGGCAACCCACCAAGGGGCGAGGGTACTCGGCGAGGGCAACGGCGAGGGCAACCCACCCTGGTCCAGAATTGTGATATTGGCCGAGTCACATTGATCTCCCAGTACCTACATGGAAACTAGCTCGGGAACCACAAACAGGAAGCTACATGCCTTGAGAATCTGTGCATTCATGTTGCTGCCAGTACCCGCAGGACGTTGGGGTCACCCCAGACTTCTGATATACTGTTGTGCTGAGAGGGCAAGTCTTTGATTGGTTGGGAAACTCGGTCGATCTCGAGGGGTCCGTCTCGTATGCAGTCAAGTACACATGGGAAACTTTACGGAAGTACATCTTCACGTTGGACGTGATTCATATGGCTGAAAAGCACACAGGGTCAGCGGCTCAGCCTGCATGTAGCCTACCTAAGGGACCTAGGAAGACACCATTGGCAACGAAGATTCACAATCAGTGGGTGCTAGACAGAAAGCCATAGTTGTAAACGAAGGGAATAAACACAGGCCAACACATATGTGGTGCAATGACCACAGTTCACATACAGCTTGGCAGCAAAACCACCCCATCACGTCAAGCACACGATGTACTGACCAAGGCTAACACAAAGAGGCAACACTCGCAAAGTATTTACTTCTCGTGAACGGTGAAATGGCAGTAGGTAGGGAGAACAGTCCTGTTCAAGCTAGCTGCATGGAATGGCCAGGCTCAGCCGAGAAAATGCAACGTGTAGTGGACCACAGAGCAGCCACAAGCTACCTCACCTGCGAAGTTCTGATGCGTATCTGCACTCCTGGCCACAATTTGGTACTCAAAGGAATCGACTGTCTTCTGTCTCATTCTGGGATGATAGGTGGGCTGAACTTAGAAAGAGATGAAGCAGCAAGAACATGGGCCTTGTGAACGCGTGCGTTGCAGACAGAAGGTTGACGAGGCGATCACATGACTGAGATGTAACCAAGGCAGGTGCAAATGCGTCATTGACGTTCACTTGAAGCCCACCGGATTGTAGGAAGGTAATGTCCTGGATCGAGCGAATCGGTCACGTATATACATGACGTGTATATGTAGGAAGCCGCAGCCAGCCCCGGTGGTGGATATACTGCATGTACCGTCAAGGGTTCTTGAGCCTGAGACTCCAACCATGACAACAACACTTCTCAAAGAAGATTGTTATCACGAAAGACTGACAGGAAGGTAGGACTGATGCATATTGATAATGAAGTCTTTGCAAGGTAGGAAGGGTATGATCAGGATGGTCCGTTTGCCTTCAGTCAGTTTCTGGCTGATTCGCAACGAACAAAGATTGTTGTGGTGTATCGAGCAAGACAGACAGTAGGTCGGCCAGGTTGACGCAAACCTTTGACTGGCAGAGTAGAAAGTTCCAGCTTCCAATGTTCGCCTGAAGCAAAGTGACTCGGTTGCTCAAAGCGTTGATGGTTGAAGTTGGGCAGTTTCATTACCTTGTGGATCCCAGCCACTGGATGCAGCCACCAGTACCTTATCGGATCTCCTGTCATCCAGGGCGTTCTACGATAAGGTTACCTGGCATGGCTGCCCCAGGTGACAGGAACCAACCCACTGTAATTTAGGTATTTAGATACTTCTCGGATGGGATCCCTTCCCATCCGAACGTAACCAAGCACCAACCAGAATACAGATCATCCCAACCGAGACTTGTGATAGATCTCTGTTCTGGTTCCGCTACCACAAAGGCACAACCTGCTGGGCTTGGCTGGAAACAGCCAGCGTGGAAACGAAGACGATGGTGCTTGGCGAGGCTACCTTAGTACCGTGCATAAGTATTAAGTCAGTCAGCCGGTTAGAAGCATGAGCTAAGTAAGATGTGGAGGCGGCCTGTCATCCCTGCTTCAGCTGCAAAACCACTGGGTACCCTTATTAAAGTTATTAATCATCCGCAGCCAGATCCTTCGCGATCAGCAAGGGCTCCTGTGCGCGCCATTCTCTTCTTCGAGTCCGTTCATCGTCGAACCAACTGGGCGATACGGTTCCATCCATCAAATTGAATTGGTTGATGTGCGACCAACGACTCAATTCCATCGCCCTGTCTCCCCGTCCCGATGTGGCAGCTTGTGAATCACAGCGTGTGTAAAGTGAATGCCCGGCCGGGTTGTTCGTCTTCCCAGTCAACCAAGTGCAGTCGGCGCTGAATGAGTCGCCTTTTCTCTCGGCGCATCCTGAGCCACGCAGACTCAAGTCTTGCTCGATCAGTCCAACGGCTTCCGCGATTCGCCAGGTTCGGATTGAACCCGCAGCCGTCTTATACCCGCGCAATCGACCTCCGCTCCCTTTCGACACGCTCTCTTCGCCAATTCACCACCGTATTTCGCTGTTCTCGCCAACCCACCGTCAACATGAATGGCACCAGTCCCACGTCGTCAAGGGCGAAGCGGAAGCAGGGCCCCTTCCCTGCCGACGAACGTCCGCATAAACAACTCCGACAGGCCTTGAACGGCAAGATATCCCCGAGCGAGAACACCCCCGATGCCGAGATGGGAAGCTTCTTGGACAAGGGCGATCTGACCGACGACGAATTGGCCGTCTTCTACCCACCGCAACCTGCTGCTGCCGATACCGCAGAGTGGCAGGCCACGATAGAGAACGTCGTAAGGAATGTGGTCTCCATTCGTTTCTGCCAGACATGCTCTTTCGACACAGATGCCGCCTGCGCCAGCGAGGCCACCGGGTTTGTCGTCGATGCCGAGAAGGGTTATATCCTCACGAATCGACATGTCGTTGGCTCTGGGCCGTTCTGGGGCTACATTGTGTTCGACAACCATGAGGAAGTGGACGCTTTTCCTGTCTACCGCGATCCTGTTCACGACTTTGGTATCCTACGGTTCGATCCGAAAGCCATCAAATACATGCCCCTTTCGGCTCTGACACTCCGCCCGGACCTTGCAAAAGGCATGTCTTCGCCCCCGAATACCCAAGTCCGAGCCCCTTTTGAAGCTCTGTTATACTAACATCATACGTAGTTGGTGTTGAGATCAGAGTTGTTGGTAATGATGCAGGCGAGAAGCTCAGTATTCTTTCTGGTGTTATCAGCCGTCTCGACCGAAACGCCCCCGAGTATGGTGAAGGATATAGTGATTTCAACACCTGCTACTACCAAGCAAACGCAGCAGCTAGTGGAGGTAGCTCGGGCAGTCCTGTCGTTGATATCGATGGCTTTGCTATAGCTCTACAAGCTGGTGGGAGATCTGATGGTGCCTCTACAGACTATTTCTTGCCACTAGACCGCCCTCTTCGGGCGTTGCGTTGTATACAGGAAGGGCAGCCTGTCGAACGCGGCAGTATTCAATGCCAGTTCCTGCTGAAGCCCTTCGACGAATGCCGCCGGCTTGGCCTCACACAGGCGTGGGAAGCCGAAGTCCGAAAAACGTTCCCCAAGGAGACCAATATGCTTGTTGCCGAGATCGTCCTTCCTGAAGGACCTTCGCACAATAAAATCGAGGAGGGTGATGTTCTATTAAAAGTCAACGGCGAGATGATTACCCAGTTCATTCGTCTAGACGATATATTGGACTCGAGCGTGGGAAAGATCATCCGGGTGACCCTTCAACGAGGAGGCGAAGATATTGATACTGATGTCCCGGTTGGAAATCTGCATGACATCACCCCGGACCGCTTCGTTACTGTAGCCGGAGCAAGTTTTCACGACCTGTCTTACCAGCAAGCACGTCTCTACGGCGTTGCTTGCAAGGGTGGAGGTGTCTTTGTCTGCGAATCCACCGGGTCATTCCGCTTCGAAAGTGCAGACAACGGCTGGATGATCCAGAGCGTGGACCAGAAGAAGACACCTGACTTGAACGCCTTCATAGAGGCGATGAAACAGATCCCGGATAGGAAGCGAGTGGTGGTTACCTATAAGCACCTCCGTGACCTGCATACGCTCAACACCACCATCATCAACGTTGATCGGCACTGGTCGACCAAGATGCGCCTGGCAGTACGAAACGATGTGACGGGGCTATGGGACTTCACAGACATCGCCGACGCCATTCCACCAGAGGCTCCTGTGCCTCGAAAGGGCGCGTTTATTCAGTTAGAGCATACCTCTCACCCTGCCGTGGCCGAATTGGTCCAAAGCTTTGTGCGTGTTAACTGCACTATGCCATTGAAGCTGGATGGATTTCCCAGAAACCGGAAATGGGGCATGGGCCTGGTGATCGACGCGGAGAACGGTCTGGTGGTGATATCAAGAGCAGTCGTCCCCTACGATCTGTGCGACATCTACATTACCATCGCGGACTCCATCGTGGTTCAAGGCGAAGTCATCTTCATGCATCCGCTCCAGAACTACGCCATCATCCAGTACGACCCGAAGCTCGTCGACGCGCCAGTCCAAAGTGCAAGGCTAGGCAACGATACCATCACCCAAGGTGCTTCGACGACATTCATTGGTTACAACCGAAGTGGACGAATCGTCCATGCGGCCACCACAGTGACCGAAGTCACGGCAGTTGCCATTCCTGCAAACTCGGGTGCGCCGAGGTACCGTGCCACCAATGTTGACGCTATCACCGTGGACACAAGTCTTAGTGGACAGTGCGGTAGTGGAGTGCTGGTCGATAAGGAGGGCACTGTACAGGCGTTGTGGCTTACCTATCTCGGTGAGCGATCGCATGGCTCAAGAGATGAGGAGTACCACCTGGGCCTTGCCACACCAACTCTGCTCCCGGTGATTTCCCAGATCCAGCAAGGACAGACACCCAAGCTGCGTATGCTCTCGATGGAGTTCCGTGCTATTGCCATGTCTCAAGCGCGCGTCATGGGTGTACCTGAGGATTGGATTCATCAAGTCTCGCTGGCCAACAAGCACAGTCACCAGCTGTTCATGGTTTCGAAACGCACTTTCGAGCGCGGCCACCACCCCAACGTCCTGCTCGAGAGTGATATCATCCTGACCCTCAACGGAAAGATGATTACTCGTGTGTCTGAATTGGATGTTATGTACTCGCATGAGGTTCTCGACGCCGTTATCGTTCGTGAGAGCCAAGTGATGCAACTGAGTGTTCCCACGGTACCCGCAGACAATGTCGAGACAGACCACACCATCTCATTTTGTGGCGCTGTGTTGCACGTCCCGCACCTGGCCGTCAGACAACAGATCAGCAAGCTGCACAGCGAAGTATACGTATCTGCGCGAAGCAGGGGTTCGCCAGCATATCAGTACGGACTGGCGCCCACGAATTTCATCACCCACGTCAACGGAAAGAAGACGCCGGATCTAGAGGCCTTCCTGGAGAACGTGGTCAAGATCCCGGATAACACCTGTAAGACACTCCCCTCGTTCCCCGATTGTCAACAATGACGCGCTTTATCCGGATATGTTGGCTAATGCTCATCCCTTCTCCCAGACTTCCGCCTCAGGGCCGTGACGTTTGACAACGTCCCGTGGGTCATCACCATGAAGAAGAACGAGCACTACTTCCCGACGATGGAGTGGATCAAGGACGGCTCGGAGCCGTGCGGCTGGCGGCGCGTCACCTACGAGAGCAACGGCAAGGCGGTCGAGGGCGAGCCCATCGACGGCATGATGCCCGTCAACAGCGAGGATGTCGGCGATGGGGACGACGACGGTGGCGACGGCGGTATATAAGCGGATGGATTGACGGACGGATAGACAGACTCCTCTGGGAGGCAGTTGGTGCGCATGTGGGCTTGTTGCGTGGATGCATCCACGCTGGGACTGCTTGCGACATGTGCGCGTGCGATCTCTCATACGAGTTGCAGAAGAATATAGAGGAAGCAACCTTGTAATATAAATGGACTCATTGAAAGACTTGACAAGTCACCAGCTGGCCACTGTCGATGAATACTATGTGAGGCTTCAGGAAAACCTTCGTGTCGGATTGTACTGGCCGAGACGTGGAGTGAATGTTGGCTTTCCGTCTTATTTGCGTCTGAACCCCTATTCCTTCATCGTAACATCGAGCCTTGTCTTCAGTCGCAGCAAAGGTCGGATCAACACCGAGCTCATCAAATCCACTTTTACACAGACGGGTCATGGTTTTCTTCATGTCTTGTCATTTTGTACCTTAAGGGAATGATATTACCGTAGACAAGCTGGGGTAAAACTATGTAGTGAGGTCCTGCATGTACAGGGTAGGTATGTACTCTAGGTGCGCCCCTGGACCCCGTAGTCCACCAAGCTCCTCTTCCCCCTATTAGGGAGGCTAGCCTCGATTACGGATTCTCCGTGTCCTCGAACGGTAACCAGACGAGGCTACATCGTAAGCCCCGAGTCCAGCAGATGCGAGTTGGACAGCTCCAAACGCATTACGCAAGGGCGCGTCTACGATGCAAAATGGGTCTCTTCACCCAATGAAAGACCAAGAGTCGATCGAGTTCCGGCGTGGCGAGAGGCATCGATAACGGGCGAAGAACAAGTTCTCAGACCTCTCCACGGGAAAGTTCGTAGCCGTTCATTATGATCAGATCGTGCGCTTTTGTCGTGATATGTCGTTTTCGCCTCCCACTCATTCGCATTGGTGCTCCGTGAGACACATACCTCAGAAGAGAGCCGCCAGAGCACCCGCCAGAAAAAGGACCAGGCCGCCGACAGGGCCGTTGGAGCTTCCACCGGCCTGGACGATGGATGAGGTGGCGGAAGCGGAAGCGGAATCGGAGGAAGCGGAAGAGGAGTCGGAGGCGGAGTTCGGTTCCGAAGATTCCTTGGTGGTCGTGTCAGTTGCGGTGGTCAGGAGAGTGCTGCCGAGGCTACTACTACTGGCGGTGGTGATGGTGCTGCTGATTGTGGAGGTTGCCACGGTGGAGTAAACAATTGCAGAGGTGTAGGTGGTACAGCCCGTGGAGCTGGCGCTATCTGAGGAGGGGGCGACCTGAGGCGCAAGAGCAAGCGAGGTGGTGCTCTCGGCACTTACAAAGTTGTTGGTCGTGGCGATCGGGGCGGTAGCTGAAGTGGTGCTTGAGCTCTGCGCGGTGGGCAACGACGTTGGTGCCGCCGATGTTGTGTCTGATTTCAGCGCAGGCAAGCCATACTTGGCGGCGCACTGGGCCAAGGTCATGCTGTCTGGGCAGCACCAGGTGGCGCCGCTGTCGTCGGCGCTACAGAAGTATCCCTCGTCACAAGAATCTGCGCATATGTCAGTCAAGTTGAGTTTCTCCTCTTCTGCCTGGCCTTATTTCTCACTCACCTCCGGTCATGGCGGGACAGCAGGTCTGCTTTGAACCCGAGTCGTAGCAGTGGGTGACGCCGTCCTTAGAGGCGCACTGCTCGAACCCCTTGCCGCAAGCTTCGGCGCAAGTCGAACCTGTTCCGCAGAGCTCCTGATCGGGCGAATACCCCTCGTCATCGCGGCGATCGAGCCCGAAGATGTTCCTGGTCGACATTCTGGCGAACTGGGACTGGTACGGCTGGCGCAGGTCGGCGGCTAGGACCTGACCGGCAAAGGCCGCAGCGGCAAGAATCGGTACGGCGCGACAAAACATCTTCGGAGATGTCCTGTGCCGAAAGATGGTATTGCCAAGTTCAGGGAGAGAAAGTTGTGGTCGAGGTAGGTGCGTGCGACTGGGGCAGCTGAAAACGGACGGGGCCGGATATGAGGTAAACGAGGGGAATGCTTGCCAGAGCCGTTGAGAATGAATGGATGAAGGAATGAATAGACGGAATGAATGGGGTCTGCCAAAACAATCAATCGCAGTCGGGCCCTCGAGGTGATGCAAAGAAACGAAAGTACTGTACCAAAAGGGAACGAGGTGAATAAGTTGTGAGGTCAATGGAGGGGTCTCCAATGTTGGGGGTTTCGTCTTTAAAGGCGACGAAACAACCTAACAACACAATGCCGTCAAAGGCCACCTCCCTTAATTTCACAGCAACCAGCGCGGAGAAGGCGCCGCACCCACGACCGCCAATGCCCATCCTCCATGTTTGAATACCGATGGCAAAGGATTGATCTCCCTAGGTCTAGGCGCGTGAAGGATCTTCATCCACCAGGTCACCTCGTGGCCAGTGGCAAGACAGCAAGAATCCGGCGTCTCTGCAAGCGCGGTGTTCTCTCACAGCCAGCGCATGGCCATGTTCCAAGGTTAATTGGGCGGCAAGAGACGATAACTGGGCGTCCAGGCGCAGTGCATTATCATATTCGCCAGATGGGCAAGCGGCCTTACCGATGGTTGGATGCGAGTGACCGATGGGAAATGGAACTTCTTCAAGCCAGTTGAAGACAGCTTCGGGATTTGCGCAGGGGTTCCAGCGCGGCTATCTCTGAATACAGATGGACCACTGGAGAACAGACGGCAGTGGGTGGTTCAGACGCAAGACTCGTGAAACGACGGAGGCAAGTCGGCTCTGCCAAGACTCATGAATACGATGCGATGACTTGACTGTAGGAGGACCACTACCTCTCACTCGGTCACGAAGAGGAATTCTCAAGGTGGGAGGTTCATAGGTGAAACTTAAAAAGCCAGGCCCCCAGTGATCGCCTGTGATCGCCTGTGATCGCCAGGAACAGCATCCATTCTAGGCACCAGGGGGCCGCCGCTGATTCGTTGAAGTGCTTGGGTGGGTGGGGGCTCCCCTGCTTCAGGTAGCGGACGTCTGTCTGGTGTATCAGATCGTCCGAACCTTCGTCAGTTCATGGATTTTGCCTCACCACCCGATGGTGTTCGTCAAACCTGCCATGGTAAGAGAAGCACGTCGACCGCTTGGCTGCAGCATCTAGCAGCCAAGCTAGGCTATCACAACAGAGCGAAGGTTGCAGGCCGGAAGTGAATTGGTGCTTTACATGCTTTTCGCAGAAATTCGGCATATGTCAAAGTGCCATGATGCGTTCACCGGTGCAGCTTCAAAACGCCATCAACACTTACCGTCGGCTTCCAGAAGAACGGCTCGGCTTATTGATAGCCGCGCAAACTGTAATGTGTCAGTCAACCACTGCTATCTCGTCGGCGTGACCACGAGATCGACAGTTGCCGGATTGACCCATACTACGGCCCAGAGACGCATCACAGGATATCTCACGTTCCCGAGTTGGTACAACAAGTCGGCTCTGTACATTGAGTGGTGGGCAAACGATCCCATCTCCATATCTGGTCATCTTCGATATAACACCGCGAGCGATGTTAGCTCTATTGCGTTCTGAACCAGACAAATATTGGGTAAGCTCGAAGGAAAGCCCCCTTCCACGATGGGAGCTGTGTGGACCAACGGGAACGCCGGGTGCCTGGCAAGGCTGTAGCCATTGGTTTCTGAAAGACGTCAACGTCCAGTTACACACCATGCTCTGGTCGCCACCACTCATTCGGCCGAAACTCCAAGATACCCAAAGCAGTATTCTTCTCACTTAAGCTCAACAGTTTCAAATAGAGTTCTTGGTGGCTTTGGAGTAATATTGACTATCACATCCGGCTCACCGCCACTCACCTGGTCTGCTCCTAGCTCACCTTCTGTAGAGGCGCTACTCATCGCAGGCTGCTGTTGTTGAGGAGACTGACTACACTTACCGAACTCCTTTCTAGAGATCTTGTTACGGCAATGTTCATCACGACTTCTCAACCACCTCCTTTTCTTACATATGCTCTTGCCGAGGAAGAGTGGCTTCGGGGCAGACTAGGCCCTCGATTGAGTTCAGACCGGGGCCACGCTCACTTGAACTCGGGACCATTGAACAAGATCGCAAGCCTCGAAGTGTTGGACTCGGCTATACTCAATAGATTGCCGGGACCTGGATGCGAGGATGATGAGAAGCGATGATGAGCCGGAGCTCTGCGTATATAACCCATGCCCTGTGTAGCATGGGAGGCGTTCCCATGATGCTCTCACCTATCATCAACTATCCATAAGCCAACTTACACATTCGTTTCGAGCTCCGGCACGTCTACAAGCTACCAGGCACTCGTACCCCCAGAAACGACCTGCAACCCTCTCAAGTCATCATGAAGTTCACCGTCGCCATCCTCGCTCTCGCTCTCCAGGTAGCAGCCGAGCAGCACATCGTGGCTCGTAATGCATCCGTCATCAGCGGCCTGCTATCCTCGACCCTCACCAGCCTGACCATTGCCGACACCCAGGTCAAGGCCTACCCCGGTACTCATGGCCTCCGCGGGGCCAACACGAACCTATACAAGACGATCAAGAAGAACACCAAGACGGCGAAGGCTATGCCCGAACTCACGTTCGAGGACGCGAAGGCCATCGGCGCCCTCTCGAGACGCGTCTCCGCCGCCGGCGACTCCTACATCAAGGACCTCGGTGCCGCCGCGCCGCACTTTGCGGCAGCTGGTGTCTGCACGTACCTGGAACATTACACCATTAACCTGAGTCAGTATCCCCGACCCAACCCTCCTCCCCACCAACAACAACCCGTCTTACATCCCACCCCCTACATGGTAGCACTTTGACCCATTCATTCAGTCAGTGGACTAAATTGCATGAACAACTCCAGGCGCCGCCTTCGGCGAGTTCTTCACGGCCATCGACGCCAAGTTCCCCGCCGGGGTGCAGGTCGCGGCGCAAGGGCACTTCGCCGAGCTCAGCGCGCTCTTCCTCGGCGCCGAGAAGGCGCTCGCGCCCCCCAACTGCGTCAACCAGATCGAGCCGCCCAGGATGCACGGCAACCACAGCGGCCATGGCGGCCATGGCGCCGGCCACAAACCGGCCCCGGTCGTCACGGCTGGCGCGTCTGGCATGGCTGGATTGATCAGCGAGCTGTCCCCTGTCGCTGCTTTGGCGGCGGTGGTGGCGGCCTTTTTCTGGTCGCTTGAATGAATCCACGGTCGGCTTGGCTTGACTTTCTCTAACTGCTCTGGTGTTTTTCTTCGAGAAACAATGCAACTAGAAGGCAAGCTCACAGACAGTAAGAGAAGACAGGAATAGAGCAAAAAAGGGAGTGATGTTGAGGTAGTCTGGGTATGGAGACGGCGGGGATTGGCGTTCGTTCTTGGTTGTAATGAGAGATGATATGGATCCCTTCCTTCGCCCTTTAATGGGCTGTTTTCACGCTTTCGGTTGAGGGAGATCTTGGTGGCGGGTCTATATCCCTACCTTTTTACCTTCTTTTACCTACCAATATACTTAATACAAAATACGTTTTCCGCACTTGGTTTTATTGGGGGTGTGAGGGGTGGGACATTGTCTGCTTTGGACAATTGTGATGCTTCGTGAAGGGGGAAGGTCAACCATGGTGTGGCTCGCCCTATAGTCAATCAGAGTGCTGTGGAAGATAAGTTCTGGTCAGTAAGGCCGCTCTCCAGCTTCCAAAGACTTAGGACTAGACTCTGCCACCCACATGCAATGTAGGTAGCTATGAACAAGGGGCGTACTGTAGCCTAGCAACAACGTGACAATGGATCATCCATAGATGACAAGCAGTGCGGATGGCGGGTGTCATCTCACCTTTTCGGCCGTATGCTGCCTGGATCCATCAACGTAACATGTCGCTGATGGATCGATCACATGTACAGGAGTATGCTACTAATACTTGCTTGCAGCCGGCGCACGACTTTAGGAAATCCGGCAGAATATAATAAGCCGCCCATCCCAGCTTCTCCCGCAATGCTTCATACTCGGCGGGGGAAGGGGGGCGTTGACAGAATATAGATGCCCGAGCGCATTTGATCCACTGAACTGCCGGGCGGCATGTGCTGTGTTCGGCAGCTTGCGAGATTGTCAGCTTGTACTTGGATCTGGTATGCTGGCGGCGGACTCGTACTGGCGGCGGACTCGCTTGGAAACCAGACAGTGGAAAATCATGTGCCGAGTGATTGCAGAGCAGTACATCAACGCATGGGTACTGGGGCAGCCACTCTGCCTCTTCATCCTAGGTAGAGAGACCCGTCTGGATCGATCTGGAGTGTGATCGCTCGAGAAGTCTTGTTGGGGAGGTTCATGCTCCGTGCCCCCTTGTTCTCGCGGGAGCAGGGCAAGACGAGCGGCCTCGGGCCGAGCCGTGCCCTCGGCAGTAACCATGAGGTACCGTATGACTATGGGGGATGTTGCCCGCGAGCAAGATGGCATGGCGTCTCCCTAGTGGGAAGTCTAACCTTATCAAAAAGAGAACAAATTCAGATGCTCAACATCCCCTCAAGGTGTCAGCAGGGCAAGCCACTCGAAGTCAAAATTAAGTAAGTAGGTATAGAGACTCGACGGTAAGTGACTGGGATACAGCCCAGCCATTGCAAGGGGAATCCCGAGCAGGAAGGCATAGGCAATGGGTATTACCACTGGCAGGGGCTCTCGTTGTTGAAGACCGAGTAGGTGGCCTTGATCCCGGCGCATTGCCTCGCTTCGGATTCCAGGAATCTGGTGACGGACCGAAAGACAGCTAATGAATGCATTCCGAGGATATGGTATATTACACCCATTGCCTCGGTGAAGATCCCGGTGAATGAGTTTTGGTGAGATTAGCGCACCAGCATGAGAATAAACCCCCTTTGAGGTGTGTAAGCAGCGCTAGAGTGAAATGGGTGGTTGCTGAGAACAGCATGGTCGTATCCGAAGTGGGCTAGGGATACTTACTGGCGTTATAAGTTAGTCGACAGGTCCCAGAGCGAGGCACATGTGAGAACACGCTCAACCGAGTTCGCTACCGTCGGTCAGGCTAGTTGCCATTTGCGGCTCGAGCGGCGTGTCGAGTGGAATAGCATACTCGGTGAGGTAGCGTGTCAACAAGGGGCGATGCAAGACGAGGAGGTTGGACGCTGTAGTTCAAAGTTTGTATGTGAAATTGATGAAGGTTAGCTTCCGGCTACTTGATTATGCTCGAAGTAGCCAGTCTAGGAACAGACAGGTTACTTATACGATGCTCCTCAGATGTTGACTGGTCCACGTCAACTCCAGTCCTCGTCAGCTCACTTGAAGAATACGCTTGGTTACGCTGCACAGACGGAGCCTGATACCACGACGCTACAATCCTGACCATGGCGATATTATGTTTGATGTCCTTGGCGAGAAAATCGACAGGAGGAACCATAATTACGCTTGTCCCAAGGTCGCGAAGACTGCGACTTTGCTTGCACTATCGATATACAGCTAACCTTAATATGGCGCGACTGGTTCGCGTGGTCCATACCATGTTGTGATTTGCTTTCCGTCACGTTCTCAGCCATGAGCCACCAAAAAAAAAAAAAAAAAAAAAAAATTTTCGGTAATTTGCTCAAGGTTGCGGCAGAGCCTGAATTGATTCCAACGTCGATACCATCTCTTAATCTGCTGGGTTGGGAACCCGAAGTCTCTGAACATCACAACGTGCTTCAGAGATATCGGAAAAACTACTTGCTGCTTGCCTCACTGTCAGCTACATTTAACCACACCAGTACAACACTCATCCACAAGCAGATAAAAGGGAACCATGCCCGTCACAACGCGCTCACAGAAGGCTGTTAGCCTGCGAAAGCAGAAAGAGGAAGAGACACAGACCGCTGGTAGCCCGCCAAAGCAGACAGAGGAAGAGAGACGCTGGTGGAGGTGCTGCAAGGACAGAAGGAGGAACCACCTTTGGATCAAGTCCTGTCGCAGGTGCTGGCACTGCAGGTGCTGTGACTGCGGGATCGATTCCATCGAGTGGAATTCCACCGACGATGAAACAGCGAAAGAGCGACATAAACCCATTCACGATTACGAAACCACCGACGATGAAACATCGCAAGGCCAAACGGGCTGACAGGAGCATTCCCCCATTCACCAAGGTCGACCGCGACCTATATGGCGACAAGATGACTGGGTTCACCATTATCGTCGGCTCGTACAGCTTCAAGGCTGTCAGCGGGAACAGCACACAGCGCTCGTTATGGGTGCACTTTGAACGCAGATTCCCGTCTCGCATATCCTGGGAGCCGCGGCTCCGGCTAGAGGCTGGCCCGAGCGTGATGGCTTCAGTACTTTTTGGACCTCCGGAGACGTCGACAGTATTACCACAGAAGGTTGATACTGTCTTCGAAAGACTCCAGTGCACCGACAAGATACGATCCGATCCGGCTATAATGTGCCGTTCCAGCTGCAAGCCCTCGCACCCCCCACTATCGGCGCAAGAAATGATGGACGTCGGCTGGGGCAAGGACGAGGCTAGACCAGACTAAGAACACGCCACCGGCACTGCAGAGACTATTACCACACTCGAGGACTAGCAGCTAGCTTGTCAGCGGACGACTACAATATAGAAAAACCCGGGTGCGACAGACATCGTGATGTCGGATGTCGTCGAGGCTCAGAGCCTGGCCTCCGCTATGTCGTATACATCCCCGTCTTGCAACAGCCCGGGCTAGGCGACAAGCTCGAAGAGGCGGCGATAGCTTTTACCCATGGAATCACATCCCGTCTCCGCGGAAGGAAGACTGTGTTCTTGGATTCTGCAAGCCGTCATCCGCGACCCTCGGATCTGCACTTGCCGCTAAAGGGAGGAGAGATGGATCGGAGGACTACATCGGCGCCCTCACCAGCTTCCCCGATGAGTGCGATGAGAACAGTAGCGATGGTTCAGCATTCGCGCTCACCCGAACGCACTTACAGAACACGCCAGGGAAAACGACCTAGCATTGATGCCATTCGGCCCATACCGCACGTTTGTCGCCGCGCTCGAGCGACCCAACTTCGGTCAGGCGGATGGCGCGGTTCTGTTCCTATCAGCTGATTTCAGCACGAAGCCGGAAGGGGAGGACTACATCGAGATGGATCTGTGGCGGTGTGGGGGTTTGGACGATGTGGCGAGGCGCTTGCAGATAATATAGGGAGGCGTGAGATTGGAGGGAGATGCAAATGAAGAGAAGAATAAGAAGGATAATAAGGAGGAGGCGTGTGCGTGTGTTGCTGAGGATAAGACGGGAGAAGCAGTGAGATGATACCGGTAGTGTCGTCGCTAAGAGCATCATCGGGACTTCCCCTGCAAGAGACGAGTAGCTGTCAGGATCTGGTCTGGGTAGCATCCTTGGCCATCGGTACTACACGATGCCTAATTATATGTCAGATGCTGCATGAGCTGACACGTACATGGCTGGTGTCATATGTGGTGATGGTGTGGTTGACAGACTGACAGTCGAAGCCCGACCCAGTCATTCGGGATATGGAATCGGAAAACCCCTGCTCATGCAAGAGTGCCTAGTCGAGCGATGGATGTTTTGTGATTATGATAGCGTGACGACATGGGATGCCGAGTGCTGTGAGTCTGTGACAGATGCAGGTGGCCCATCAATTCAATCTCAAAAGCATTAGTCAACTTAGTCATCCATCAGTTGCTCCACATACAGGTAAGGTGTCTGCCAGACATTCCCTTCACCATCCACTTGACATTACTCAAACGACCCGGGGAAGCCTTTTCCCTCACCATGTTATTTTCGACTCACATACACTAGATGTTGACATCAGATATGCTGCTCTGATTACGTGATACTCATTCCTCAATCCCCTGAAGCTTAGCCTGGGCTATCACCGAATGCAACCATCGGGCCCCGAGGTGAGAAACACAGGTCTTCAGAGTCCCAGCTATATGGATCACCCAAGGACAGGACAGCCATTGAAGCGACCTTCAGATGACGGTGGTAATGAAGCCTTGCATATGTCCGTGTATCAGGCGGTCGGAGACGGTGTCTCTGGTATCGTATTGGACGCTGGACGGCTCCACTGTTACCAGTTATGGCATCGGGACCTCCCGTAATGTTACCTTACGAGTCTTCAGCCTCTCCTCGTGTCTGATCGTCCATCCGTCAACTTCCTGTACCTTCAACGGCCTTCCGTAGCATCACTAGGCTGAGCTCGTCTTCATGCCGCATGGTATCCAACCGAACCAAGGCCTTGTGACTATGGCAGGCTGTCGGCCTTTCCAACCATTACCAATCGTCATCTGACTATGGCTTCACTGACCCTGACATGCTTCTCGCCCATCCTGCCGAGGGTGCCAACCCTGGCCTGCGTCAGAGTCGGATCGCCACCATGACATACTTGGGAGCACGTAGGCACCCACTCAACCGCAGCTCCCTATACGCCGACCAGAGTTGCCCCATCATGTCAACCGCTTCAGCTGGCCTATGTCTACGGCACGTTGAGCGCAACGATACATGGGGGCGAGCTCGAGAGGATATATTATTCCTTCACATGGACGAGAGTGCAGGCAGGTAGCCAGGATCAGCCATCAGCCCTCCCACTCCATTGGCCCGGGTTTCACTTCTTTGAGCCGCCACAGAACGACATCGTCCCTGCAAGGCGATCCTGGGGTGGCCTCCACCGTAACCTCGCGGCACCGCGTCACTCCAGCTCGTCCCGGGCCGGTACCCAATCATTACAAGCGTTGCCCCCAACGGGGTTTACCCCTTATAAGATACTCCAATCTTCCCTGGTCAGATAGCTACAAAAGAACAACACACTCATCTTGGCACTTCCCTGCTGGATCGCTTGCATCGACGCACTTGGATGTATAATCACCACCGTTTGCTGCTTGATGAGCTTACCTCCGGACACCTTACCTACAGTTGAATCGTTGAGTCGTGATTTCTGCCCGAGCCGTCAGCCCGCAGATAAGTCTGGCGCCATGAATTTTACAAGGAAGCGTACGATCCCCTGTCTTCCTCTCTACCCGATCTTGGCTATCTGCTGACTCCACCACCAGGTGCACTGCTTGCCTGTGACTTCTGCAGGTAACCTATCTTCTTGCCCTTATTTGCGTGGACGAGAACTCCCTCTTAACCTAGTTCACGGTATTCAGGCACCGCAAGCGGAGATGTGACGGCAAGAGGCCCTGCTCTACCTGTAGAGAATCGAACGCAGAATGCGTCTACAAAGAACTGCCGCTCGACAGGTGAGTATCCTCACTGATCTCATGCATCCGATCCGAACCAAGCATCTTGTTAATTCATAATCGTTTCAGAGTTGAAGACGCAAGTCCGACGGCTGTTATCGACCGACTTACACGTATAGAAACTCTGCTCGAACAACAGAGCCAGCAGATTTACCAGCTCAGTATGCGGCCCTCCCCAAGCTCTTACCCGCCGAGCCAAGTCGACTACCCTTCCGAGTTCGCCCAGCAATCCGATTATCTGCAACCTACGCCAGCCGATACTCTTGACTCACCGCAGTTCTTGATTCCGAAGAACCACGCAACCTTGGCGAGCACATTGCTATCCCTGCCACCAGTACGTGACCGTCTCGGAGACATCCCGCGAGATTTCTTCTTCCAGGTCGAAGAGAAGCAGCCTTTACCTGTACTATTAAGTAGCCTCCACGACGGACCACTAGTATGGCCACCTCTAACGCCAAGGATCCTGGATGAACTAGTTGGTAGCTATTTCCATCATGCCCACCCACACCATCCTCTTTTTACGCTACAGAATTTCAAGCTCTGGCACACGAGACTCCTGGAACATCAAGATGTAGACGACATCGGAACGGCGATATGTCTGTGTGTTTATTCCCTTGGAGCTGTATGCTCAGCCCAGGGGGAAAGTCAGAAAAGCAGTGAAGCCCTTGGGCTGGAGTATTTTCAACCAGCGCTCAAGATTAGTGAGTAACACTGATTTCATTATCTCCCTGTTGTGGCCTATTTCGACCGCATGTGTTCAGAGCCAACCTCGTACAACTCCCGCGATTTATAGTCGAAGGCCTCTGTCCACCCGGCTTTACTACAGGAAGAGATTTAGAGAGCTGACTCCTTACGCTGCAGTTCTTAAAGCAACGGTCTGGGGGTTTCGGCCAGATCTCAACACTTGCCAGGCTCTACTACTTGCTGCTTCGTACTTTGCGCATCTCGGAAGGCCTCTTCATAGCTGGAGGATGGCTCAGTTTGCATCTCGAATATTCCTCAATCTCGTCGAGAGGTAAGCAGAAATCTCTGCAGCTCTATGATCTGTACTCACTTTTGGTAGTCGAAAGCGCTACTTGGCCCAAGCTGAGTTTGACGACATAGAACTCTGTACGTTTTGGCAGTGCTTTATGGTTGAATGGTACGTGACCGCCCCGAGAACTTGCAGATTGGGTGGACTGACTGAGATTATTAAAGCGACCGAGTTGCCGAACTCGATGTCCCCAGAAGTGGCATCGAGCCCTTAGGAGACAAGATGCCACTCCCACATAGCGCGGATTCCGGTGATGACGAGAATCGCATTCATATCACCTTCATAGCAGAACACGCTATCAGACGGCTCTTGAACCGTATACACAACGCTCTCTACAGCCCCGACAATACGCACGATAGCTCATACTCGGAAATGCCAACAGACCCGACGAAAATATGGCAGAGGTTGAGTCTCCAAAGGCTCCTGTCTCTTAGTTCTGAACTCAACAGACAGCTGGAAGAATGGTACACCTCGATCCCCGATTACTTGCGGCCTCCGAAAGGGACCGACACTCTACCTAACGACCGTGCTCGTGTACTGCGGATCCGATATTATGCGGCAAAACAGATCATCCACCGGCCTTATCTGTTACAAGCAGTCTCTCGAACACAGGAGTATCGATCTCCATCTCATTCCCCTATGATGGGATCAGATCCGTACAAGGTGCCTGTACCCGTCGTCCTCGAAAAGTGCCAAACTTGTATCGACTCTTGCGTGGCCTATGTCTTTAACGCCGTGGAAATGATCGACAAGCGCTCGCCATATCTCTGGACATTCTCACAGAGCTGCATGGCTTGTCTCGTCATGCTCTGGATGGCAGACAACTCACCGTCGCTGCGTCAATTTGTGCCAGCAATGCAGCCAATACAGAATATGGTCCTTGCCAAGCTACGCAAGTGGACGACCAGTGACTCCAGTTCTAGCTTTGACGCCGAGGTCCGTATTCTAGAGAGGCTCTCCTTTCCTGATCACATGGACACCTAAGCTGGTATCTGGAGAGGAATTTGATGGTGCGGACTGTACGTTGATCATCACTGGATCCCGAGAGCCATGAGAGCACTGGATATGGGCACGCTGGACATGCCCGAGGAGATGACAGGACGGCGACTAGCACCGCCCTAGAGATCGGAAACAACATAGATTCCACTATCAATAAAATGTTTACAATAACTCCGTGCACCTGGACAAATGTGGTTTCATAGTTGGCATACCGTATGACAGCAGTGCCCTTGATACAGTATGCACGACCGTTTCCAATCCCACAGCCTAACTTGCGGGCTAATGTCCGTTCCCCTTTCCCCTACATGATTACATAATCATACAGTACTTAACTCTGCCGTATTTGCACGCATGACTGGACGCAAAACGGAAACCAGGCAAGTTGTGTGACTCCCAGAGAGTATGTAACACTGGAAACGTCACCTAACTAATGATAGTCTTGCATTCGATGCTACAATAATAAGATATGCATGCAGCCCAGCCCGGAAAGAGCGGACGAAAGCGGAGGGGCGGAGGTTCGCTATGCGTTCGCTATGCTGCAGCAAAGCGCGAACCGCTCGGCGTGTCCGGCTGCTGCTCGGAACGTCAGAATCACGAGCCTCCTTTTCCGTAATCTTCCACTGCGTACCTTACCTTACCTAAGTAGTCTACCTGGCTCCCTTACAGTTCAAGTACTCCAACCGAAGCTTCCGCTCGCGACCTTGACTATTCCCGCGTGTCCGTCTCCGTTTCCAATATCTTTCTTTCTCTGGGTCGCGCTTCTCTCGTCTTTCGTCTTTACCGTTACCTGGCCCGGTCCTAGGTATCGCTCCCTTCGTGTCTGCCTGCTTGGTCAACGTGACAGCAGCAGCGCCGACGTTGCTTTTGAGCCATATCGCGGCGCGCCCAGTATCGCTCCCTTCGGTCTCTCGCGGCTCTGCCGGTTGGCTCGGACGCAGATACCTAGGGACCGGAGCCCGAGGACCGACCGCACGGAAGCACGACCTACGACGTAGGGCTTAGGGTAGGGCGAGGCGAGCGGAAGGACCAGAGTTGCGCGGCATCATGACAAATCATGGGGGTATCTTTATCTGTCTACCTACCTTACTACACTACCTTATCCATTCGCTAGGAGTACCTGCCAGTACCTTCCATCGCCACGAAGACGGAGGCAAACATTGAGCTGGTCTGACTACTCGCCGATGAACATCTGGCCAGATATGATGGAGTATAGGCGAGCTCAGCCTCAGGTTTCGACTGGACCTATTGGACGTACCTTCCCTACCACCGACCGCGGTCAGACCGAGCACGTACGCTACGCTACGGACAGGTACTTGGCCAGATACCTACCTGCGTCTTGACCTATCGTCCACTGGGCCTCACTCGGGCTGTGCATCCAAATCTCGCCACGGACGACACAGGTGACGCTTATCGCGGACCCAGATACTTACTTGGCTAAGGGCTGAGCCTGCCTCTCGGTCATGCGCGATGCCACCTGGAGCAGGACAAGACAGGTAAGCTAGGCAGCGTGCGAGGACGATCCGCTAAGGCCAACCAACCTTAGGCGTGTGAGTGAGTGGTCAGAATGCAATGCCAGGGGCAACGTTACTTTGCCCCTGAGGCGGTAAGTCACCTGCTTGCTCATGCACGAGAGCTGATCAGACGGGTAGTGTGGGTAACGAGTAATAGGAACATGGGCCATCGAAGAGCGGCTGGTCGCTGATGAGGTGGCGGTAAGAGTGCGTCTATGTGCCTCCGTGGAGTGCTGTCCTGCTGCAAATATTATAGGGGCTGGTGTGAGTCAACGAGTCGGTCTGGAAGACGGCTGGCTTACCGAAAGGGGGCGAGTGACCCCGACTGCCTGCCTACCCTGGTATGTCAGATCTAAAGGGGCGAGGCCCCTGACTGGAAATATTTGCGAGTCTAACCCGCGGCGGGCTCTGAGGAAGCGGGGTGAGATGAGCGGGTTGTTTACGCATGTGGAACGAAAAAGGGGAAAGTGCCGCAAGGATGACTGGGTAAACCACAAACCACGGTTTGCAACTGCGCAAGATACTGCACTCGTACTGGATTCGATATGATTCGACATGGGGCTCTTTCCTGCGTCATCGAGCTCGAAACATAAGTCCCAGAGACGCCCATGCAGGCAGGGACCCGGGAGCAAGATGGTTCTTGGGCTGCTGTATGTGGAAAAGTACCACGCGTTAAATGAGATCTCGGCGGTGAACAGATCATGCATGCTGAGAAACGGTCCTACAGGCTGTTCGAATTCTTCAGTCAGCCCCTGAATGATACCTACGTCATGCCAGTAGTGTACGTACGTATGTATGGGCGGATTGCCACGCTGGCTGGGGTTTCCTTCATCCGCACGGAGAGGATGAGTTGGACCTCATCCCGAGCCCCAAGAGTTGGAATAGCCATCGGGGGTATGGGATATGCTCGCATACCCATTGATACTGGAGCTACTGTAGGTATTTATTACGAAGGATGACTTCCATTAAGCGGGTTTCCCTGTCAAGCGGCGGACAGTGTAAGTTAACATTGGGTTACTTAACCACTGAGGTTCCTGCTAACCCCGTTGTATAATCCCCTGTCCTTTGCCTACCTCCTCTGTCAACTACTATCCCGAAGACGAACAACTCCTCTACATAGCGTATTCATGGCGTGCTTGAGTCTCTAGTCCCCGAACCCCAAAGAGCCTCCTCGTGCAAGTAATATCTGAGATGTGTATGAAAGGAAACTGTTCCGAACTCCGGCTCGTGCCTGACCTGGTGCTCCACGGTTCGTAGGAAGGCAGCTGGGATCGCTCACTCGTTCAATTATATGTATGCCAAACCAAAGACTCTATAAATGCAGAAATACTCCCTGAATGCCACAAAAGACCCGACGTCTGCCTCGTGCCAGAGATCGTATACGCCAGTCGCAGTAGAATTCTGAAGCCATATCATCATTATCATTCAGTTATTACCATCCCCACTCGACATCTTGTTCTGGCTGCTGTGTACCGTACACAGGGGCTTTCACACGAGTATTTTGAGCGACGCGATCTGTTCGCACAGCCCTCCTTGCTAGCTTTGGCCTTTGCCAAACGCTGCATTTCCCTGGGCGATCAGGAAGCCTGCCTCGCCTCTATGTTAACCAAGACAGTCAATTCAACATCGCCAGGATGACCGACAGCAATAGCTTTCTATCACATGTTCCCTGGGGCACCTGAGGAACAAACCTAGGTGTTCGTTTTATATCGACACTCCCTACCTTATCCTCGTCGAGCAAATGTATGTCTAACATATCTGCCTACAGGCTCGCAGATAGCGACCAAGAACTTGGACCTGCTGAAGGGTTCACAGCCCATCAATACTCCAATAACTTACCCCATGGGCGAAAAAGATTCCGCGTTTTCCGATGGGCACGGGACTTGGTGTAGTAGTCGATATCGACTGTGATGAGTTGGTTTACAGCTGACGACCTGGCAACAATAGCTGTGTGACGTCCGCAACGTCAGCGATTGAATACACACTGGCTTGCGGACGACCGTCAACTACTCTAGATGGGGGATCGCGGATTCAGGAGCTCATGCTAAGGTGCTCATATTCATGATGCAAAAGCTGAAAGATGAATCCAGAGTCCGTATCAGCTTGGTAACCATTAAGTACCGAGGCCTGTCCCACTCTGTCGACGATAGCTCCTCCTGTGGTTCAGCATGAGCCTGTGTAGGCAGTCAGGTCAGATGCTGGGTTGGCCGTCAGCCGCTCCATGATACTCCTGACGTCCCATATCAAAGCGCGAGTAAGCCATAGTGGTAATTTGTACTCAGTGGTAATTTGTACTTTATTTCAAACTCTACTAAGGCAGTCTCTGATTGACTGTCATCAAGCTGGCTCGCGTCGCATATTAGTATACAGTAGTTCACACAAATGGACAGCCATGCACGTCGCCTCCGCCAGAGGCCACCCCCAAACGCCAAACAGTTTTTTTCCACACTGTTGATGCAATGTTCTTTACACGAGGGCCTTGCCCAGGAATGCGGTGGTACCGAAGCCTTCCGCTTTGCCCGACACCAGGAGACCGATGATCAGGCCGAAGAGACCTAGAACGGAGCTGAAGATTTCGATGACAAGAATTTTGACGAATCTAGAACAGTTCAGTCAGCACTGTGGTTTTGGTTGTGACCACTATTGGGTTACCACTATTGGGCGACGGGCACATACAGAGAGGCATCAGCCGCATCGGCCAGCGCAGCTCCACTGCCGTTGATGCCAACAGCAATACCGCAAACCAGGTTGCAACCTCCCACGGTCAAGCCCGACCAGAACAAGGCGAAGCCCGTGTAGTAGCTGTTGGCGTCAAACAGCTTGTCGCCGGTCGTGTAGGTGACCTTGGACGAGAACACGATGGCCATGATGACGCCGTAGATGGCGACGACTTCGCAGAAGATGATGGAGATCAAGTTCTTGGTTCGGATTCGTGGTGCCTTGACGCCGGCGCCGAGAATAGACGAGCCCGTGATGAAGATGCCCCTGTTAACGTGTAAGAATCGGCGACCTCGATCGGTGTGGGTTCAGGGGGGACGGCATACAGTGCTGCGCCGACGACGGACAAGCCGATGCAAAGAGCGATACCCGTAGATGCCCATGTGTATGGCGATACCGATTCCAAGAAAGCTCCAACCTATACGCTTGTCAGGACACGGATGGAGTAGACAGCGTGTGTATCGTAACGAACGTTGAAAGCCTCGCCGCTCCCGGTAAAGAGCATGTCTGTTTAGATGCAGTTAGCAAGCAGTCCTCAACGATTCGTCCGATCAATACACGTACATAACCCGACTACTGTCAGAAAAGACGTGAGACCACCCGCACCATAGTACAAGGCGCCCATCTTGACAGAGATTCGGATGTTGCTGCTGCTGGACGATCGAAAGGGCGCTGGCGGTTTGGGAGGGGGTTCGAAAGAGCTCGATGGAGCTTCGTCGGAAATCGGAAATGTCGCGAGTGATGATTGTCAAGAGCTGCAAGCCTGGAGTCAAGTATTCCAAGGGTAAGGTTCCAGGCGGGTGCAACCCCTGGGCCAGCCGTCAGAAGTCTGAGGCGGCCCGACAAGCCTCCGAGATTTCCTTACTTATGTAATCTGTCCCTCGGATGGATTTAGTGAGTCAAGCAAATGGCGGGGCAATTACAGGTTCGAACTCGAAGCTTCAAAATTCAACCGACACCACCCCTCCTTCGTTCACTGAGCCAGAATCAGTGGAAAGTCAATCCCGCCAAACTGTCACTCTTTCGCGCCATCCGGCCTCTTGCAAGAGGTACAAGTCTCCGAACCTTCGCAATGGCCGCCCTCGAATCCCAGAAGCTGTCCTCCACCGAGGAGACCGAGGTGCAGCAATGGCTCACCACCTCGGAGCGCCTGAAGACCTCGCCCTCCGACGCCTCTATCCTCGACAAGCTCAACTCCCATCTGACATCGCGAACCACCCTGCTCGGCAGCAAACCCTCCAAGGCCGACATCGCCATCTACGAGTCTCTGGCCCCGACCGTCAAGTCATGGACCCCCGAGCAGCGCACTGGCCAGCAGGGCCACCCCCACATCCTCCGACACCTCGACTTCGTGCAGAACTCCGGCATGTTCGATCTGAAGATTGACGATTCCGACAAGATTACGGTCGACCCTGAGGAGATCCTTTACGTTAAGCCCCCGCACGATGCCAAGGCCGAGAAGGAGCGCCTGAAGAAGGAGAAGGCCGCCGCAGCTGCCGCTGCAGGCGGTGGTAGCGGAGCGCCAGCTACCATTGCCGATCGCACGAAAGAAGCCGCCGAGACCGTCATGAACGCCGCCGTCGATGCGAAGGACAAGGTTGCCGCTGCAGTGGGAGTGGGTGCCGCCGCAGACAAGCCCAAGAAAGAGAAGAAGGAGAAGGCGCCCAAGCAGCAGAAGGCCCCGGCCGCTGCCACGCCGCCGGCACCTCACCTGATCGATCTTAGGGTTGGTCACATTCTCAAGGCGATCAAGCATCCGGAAGCCGACAGCTTGTACGTTTCTACGATCGCTATGGGAGACAAGCCTGGCACGGACGATACGGAGGAGTACGAGGGCCAGGTCTGCCGGACAGTCTGCTCCGGCCTAAACGGATTGGTGCCCCTGGAGGAGATGCAAGGACGCAAGGTGGTTGTTGTCGCCAACCTGAAACCCGTCAAGATGCGAGGAATCAAGTCTTGCGCCATGGTTTTGGCTGCGTCACCCAAGCTGAAGGAGGGCGAGGTGGACGACCACAAGGGACCCGTTGAGCTCGTTACTCCTCCCACAGACTCCAAAGCTGGCGACCGCGTGTGCTTTGACGGTTGGAGAGGCGAGCCCGAAGGCGTCCTCAACCCCAAAAGGAAGGTTTGGGAGACATTCCAGCCCGGGTTCACGACGACAGACAACCTGGAGGCTGCCTTCGATGGCAGCGTAGTCAAGGAGGCAGGGAAGGCCGAGACTGGCAAGCTCACCACAGCTAGCGGAGGCACTTGTACTGTGCAGACCTTGAAGGGAGCTACTGTGCGATAAACAGCAAGCATTGTACGGATTTCAGATTTGTTCAAAGAGAGCAGAGGTCGAGAACTGTCATGATAGAACTTGATTGAGAGCTACATAGTTCCGTTCAATGTGAGTCCCATGTGTGCGAGCACATTCTCGTCTCACGCTTTCTATCTATGGCGGCGTAACGATGGTGTGTGACGTGATCGTTGGGGTTCCCACACATCCTGTGGTGTAAGTCCACCATTCCGTCGGAATCTTGCACGAGTCACAGGTCGAGCAAGGTCCGGCAGGCTCGTAGACTGTGGATGTCGTCGGGCAGCAGTCGGTTGCGCACGGCACCGTGACGCTCGATACCTTGATGTACTCGGGGCAGATGACGTCCGTGGCCTTTGGCGCGCATGAAAACGTTGGGCAGGTTGCTGTGTGAGGGTCAGCTAGTAACTTGATTTATTGGCCTTTTCTTCTTTTCTTCTTTTCTTCTAGGGCGGTATCATGTTTAGAGGCACTCACCTGCTGGAGCTGTGCTGGTGCGCGTGTAGCACTCGTGCGTCTTGACGTAGCCGGTCGTGTGCTCGAAGTCGTCGATCGTCGTCGAGCAGTGGCCCGGCACGGTTGGTCTGGTCGTATTGGCTCGGGACTGTGACGAGGACTCTGCTGAGAATGCGTTGCTGGGGGAGGGTGTTAGTGAACTTTGTCTTGGGTCGATGCATGCGGGTGGTGGGGGATGCTTTACCTGATGGCGGCCAGTCCCGCGATGACGGAGAGCAGCGAGATACGTGGGAAGAGCATCTTGACGTGACCTATGTGTCTGTTTGCTGCTTGGATCTGTGCTTTGGAGTTGAGTGTGTGTGTAGATGGCTGACAAGTACTTAAGGTAGGTATCTTGAAGTGAAGTCAAGCTACCGGGAAGTTGGAACCGAGGGAATCGGACTCTTTTAAGTTCCTACTATACGTGCATCCCATCCCATCCATGCCGGCCATCATTCCTTCCTTCGATTCCCCGGTCAAAGAATGCGGGCAGGCAGGAACGAGGCAACCAACCCACTCGCCAACCCTTCCAAGCGTGGGATCTGTTTGACATCTATCCAGCATCTCCGCCTGGGCTTGGCTTTGTACTAACTAGGTAATAAGACACGAGATCTTGGCAACACAGACTTTCAAGATTGTCTGAGTGAGCCATCGAATGAAGAGATCGGCATGCCAGGAGGCGGCTGACTGTTGGGCCGAACCGCCAATGCCGTGAGAGGCCGTGTAATAAGTCCTACTAGTCTCACCACAGCTTGGGACCTCTCACTCTCAAGAGCGCCACTCAGCCGGTCAGCTCAACCCAGCCTGGCCGTGGAATTGGGATGAAGATGTGCATGTGGACGTCACATGTCTTGTCCTACCTACATCACTCAACAACTATTCTCTTTTTTCTTCTCTGTCGTATATCCGCTTCGACGGCGCGTTTCGCTGGCCCGGATTACGGGACTCGGAAACGCTGGCTCTCTGGAGTCTGGACTAGATAGCGAGTCGGCGTTGCAAGTTGCACTATTCGCACTTGGCACGCATGTACAGTATTCTTATAGGTACTTATACGATCGATGATCAAATCGCACGGTTTGGTGCCAGGCACTCGACTTGTTGGAATAGCCATCTAATAAGGTACCTAGCTATTGCCCATACGATTAATCGGGATCGGTGCCGTGCTTTAAAGTTTATGTATGCCCCCCGCGTCCGATCGCTCCCGTCATCGCATAAAGTTTCATGTCAGCATGTCAGTAGTCGCGAGCCGGGCGAATGAGGCTTTCTTTACCTTTCCCCGCCTGTCGGCATGCTTCCATTGGTGAATCAGCTGGTACCAAGATTCGAACCCTACGTAAAACACAACCCCGATGCGTCGCGGAACTGTCATTCAACACAAAAACCAAGAAGGCTGTAAAGGATACCTACCCGGATCATGTAGAGTATGACTCTCCTCCGCAATCAAGATCGAACAAGTGCCCAGACTCAAGGGTCCAAAAATAGATATGCTTCCTGCCCGTGCTTCCCCGGGGCGACCCCAGATATTTTGCTGCATACCGCATTCCCACGGCCGGGGCCGTGGGTAATTAGCCGTTCCTTCGACACCGCCATCACATCCTGTCTGGCGCAGACACCGGTCGGAACGGGACTAGAGCTGCCGGAAATGTGACGGAAGAACAACTTGCTTGTAGAAGGCATACAACGTCAGTGTCGTGGAGCATGTCTCCTTATTGTCACCCGGCAATGCCAGTAAGACTACTCATGCCTTGGGCAATGTATCCCTCCAGTGCGGTCTGAGAAGGGCAATCGATGGGGTATCAATATGTAATTTGGATTATTTACTTTCTCTATATTGTTGGCACAATGGTGATTGTACATGGTGGGAGCCGCACACCTGCGTATGTACACATACACCCCTCCCCTAATTCGTTCAAATCGACTCTAGGCGAGTATTATACAAAGTTGTACAGAGCCTCGCGCATTGATGCTGAATGCCATCTTGCTTTTCCCTCGACCTCTCCAGCGCCGTCATACACAATCGACACAAACGCCGGGGAATGCCATCGCTGCTAAAAACCAATTCAACCAACCCGTTGTTTTTCCCGCAACGGGGGCGCCCGTCTCACTTCCCACTGTATGCCAGAGCTCACGAGAAGAAGTACTGGCTGCTCTTCAGTCGATTCACGTCGAAGTCTCCCTAGATACAAAGTTAGCGTACGGATCCTTACAACTTGGAAACGAAGAATCGCTACTGACCTTTTTTGGAATTTCTGGAAAGGTAAGTGGGAGCCAGATGTTAACCGCTGTTCTTCGCACTGCAGGTTTCTTCGTTCTCTCCCCTGAGAGGGTAGCTTCAAAGTCGCTCATGTTCATCAGGTTTATCGCTCTCTCCGTCTCAGTCTCATCGTCAGACTCCAAGTCCGTTTCTGGGGCATCAACACCCGCGGCAGACAAAGAGTTCTCCGCATCGTCCGCGTCTTCCTCCTCCTCAACCACTCCTAGTTGTCCAGCCACTGTCCCATCAGGGATGTTGCCCAGCCCGACTTGTTCCATCTCGGCACTCGCAGTCGAGGGTTGGGAGGCAGCAAACTCCTCGTAAATTGTAGCAGGGGTCACCATGTCGCGACCCTTTTGTACTTCCTCGGGATCTGAAGACGCCAGCAGTCGTTGCCTCTCGCGTTCTTGAAACAGTTCGTCTTTCAGCGAGAGTCGCCCTTGGCTGCGAAGCTGAGTTATCCTCTTTTCAACATCCGAGTCTTGATTCAGTGTAGCAAGGTATAGTGAGCCCTTGTACCTGGCTTTGAATTCGGAAGCCAGACGACCAATGACGTCCTCGCCGTGTATCCGGATGAAGGCGTCACGCAGGACACGGTTCATTACGTCGGTATCCGCGGCATGTGTCCAGAAGGAGTCATGCACGGCGGCGAACGAGAGCCCTAGCTCGTCACATTCCAACGCAGACAGAAGCATGTGGCTCGCATCCAGAGAGTGGATGAAGTTTGGCGGGAAGGCCTGCAGCTGCTTCCGTCGATTGACTGGGTCGGACCGTTCTGGAATCTGAAGAGTCAGGTCCTGAAGACAGGTAGGGATGACCCGAGTTCCACTCTTTCGGTAGGGCTGCACAACCGGCATACGCAGGGGTGTGGTCCAGACAATGGTCGACCTGCACTGGCTGATGAGCTCATTGAATGTCGCCCTTGACTTCTTCGGAGCAGCTTTGGTGGACCTTGTCTTCTTCTTTGGAGCGGCATCTACATCCGGTGCTGCTGCGAGGCGGTCCAGTTGTTCTGGTGTAAGAGCGCGACACACCCTCCCCGCACACTCCCCAAGCCAGTATTGGATGTCATGGGCCCCACGGAACATGGAAGATAGAGCTTTGAAAATCTTCGTAGCGACGTAGGAGGCGAGGAGCATAGCAGGAATACCCGTCTCTTCCTGGATATGGGGGTAAGCAGCGTCGATTTGCTTCAGTACTTGGTTCCTTGCCCCGACGAATGTAACACCGTAGACGTTGGTCATCACCGTCTGCTTCACCACTTTGCGAGTGATCTTGCCGTCGACGGCTTTCGCAAGGAAACTGTCGTCCTTCAGGTCTTGTGCAATGCTCTCTTTGACAAGATCCGCCACGGCACTGTACACGTCCGCAGGGCGGTCTCCAGGCTCCAGATTCACTTGCTGAGCGCCCCAGAGATCTCCTCCCAGTGCCGCGTAATGTTGCAGCCCATTGCACGTTCCGTCTTGATGGACTGGGAGGTGCGACACATATTTGGTCGGTTCGGGGGACCCCAATGCCGCCTTCAATTCGTAACATGCTGCCAGACACTGCCATGCATCCTCGGCCTTGAGCCACCAGCGATTACCCGTCAAAGGATTTGTCGCAGAATCGATTATGTCCTCCAAATGGTCTGTCGCGAATGCTTCTCGTTCCCGAAGGCTGGCCTTGTCGTACCCGAAAACGTTTGCTAAATGGACTTTCAACCATCGCAGCCCGCTTTCTCCAAGTTCCTTGCCCGTCGCAAACCGAAGCAGGCCACGGACATGGTCTGCACCCATGTGATTAAGATATGTCGGGAGCGGGTAGGCCCGCCCCCGAAAGTCCATGTTATGAGGGAAGTAGAATGTTTGGTCTTGGAAAGCGTTGGCGATCTCGAGCTGGAAGTTCATGAAGCATCGTTCGGAATGTAAGCCTGACTTTTCGTTTTCCACCATCCTGACTCGCTTCAACCACTGTCGTCGATGCAACGGATCTTCAGATGCCTCTGGTTCTATGGGAATCGGAATCTGAGGATCAAGCGGAGGTATGTTGGCGAGCTTCTCCCCACTGTTCCAAGCCTCCAACATCACGTCGAAGACAGGCTTGTTGACCTGCCAGGCTGTCCGTCCGAGGACATCAAGTCCTTTACTCACTTGCTCCATGTCGCCCCTCTGAACGGCAGCTTCAGCATACACTCGCTGGTCCTTTTCGCCGTGTTTGACTCGGACAAGCTGTGAAGGATATTCCAGAAAGCCTCCCTTATCAAACTTGGTCCACGGTTCGGGTTCGACCAGCATGGGCAAGTGTCTTGCGAGGAAATCACCGCGGGGCTCTCGCTTCATCAAGTCGACCAGAAATTTGTTCGGTATGACGACTCCGATCTTCTTGCCCTTGCGATTCACCGTGGTATGAGCCAGAGCCGGTTGGGTCTGGCTGACGAGTTCTTTAGTCTCGGGATGCTCTCGAACTACTTTGACCTTTGCACTATCCAGCAGGGCCGACAAGAGAGCGGCTCCTATCTTTGTTCTGATCAGAACGGGCCAATTCCTCGTGTCGTACACCGGAACATCCACGATGTTAGTGTCAGGTTGAGTAGTGTTGGGCTGGTCAGCTGTGGGCGACTTGGCGGCCCCCTGAGATTGTCTTGTGGCACCATTGCGACTTGGTTTACCGAACTTTGCTTTACGTGCCGCCCAATCTTTGTGCCGTTGCTGAAACTTGACGTCCTCCTCGATGGACTTGGATAGTTGGTTGAGAAGAACAGATAGCTGAACACCCTTATCTGCACCATTCGATGCTAAGGAGTTAAGGACGCTCATGATAGTGACTGCAGCCAGTCTTGTCGGTGTTGACTGCTTCATGAATGGTGCATACATGCAACGATCCATATCCTCTTGTGACTTCCGATCTCGTTCCTCGGACGCGCCGAATGACGCGAACTCGTTTTCTAGCTTCTTCTCGAGAGAGCACTGCCAGTCGTAGAGTTGAGAGTTCAAGGCATTGGTGGACAAAGACGTGTTTCGGCCCATCTTCATCAACGCCTGATGTTCTTCTCTCCATCGATTTATCGCGGCGTCCACGCAATCTCTTTCCAATTGTCCTTGGATTTCCCGACGTTGGTCCACTGAAAGCTTAGATAGATCCTGGCCCTTAATCTTGTCGAAGAAAGACAAGACGCCGCGTAGAGTTTTCAGACCCAATCCCTTCTGCGGCACCGACAGAACTTCGAGATTGCGTTGGAGCTCTGACTGGGTAGATAGATCGGTTGGTAACCCCTCACAGTGAGTTTCAGGCTCTGTCGCTTCCGGCAAGCCTTCCCAGTCGTCGAAAGTAAGATCGGAGGCGGGCTGATATATGCTCGTGATAATACCGAAATCCTGCTGGTTTAATATACCTTCTTCGGCCAGCTGGTATATCGATTCGTCTGGCATCATGTCCATATAACGTTCGACGAGTCGTTCGAGCCTCGGACCTTGGGTTGATAACAGGGACACCTTGAGCATGCAGGCAATAGTCTCGGGAGTCTGAGGGATGTTTTTGCCTCGAATCTGCACCTCGTACCATGTGTGCAATGATTGCGCCCATTCAGATTGAGGTTGCGCAAAGGCTCGGTCGATAGCGCGGCGCAGGTATTGGTTATGGAGTGCGATCAGGTCAGAGTCCGGTAGTGCTCCCATATCGCCAAAGCGCTCAAGGACGAGAGCGGCCCTGTCCAGCTTGTCTACCTGCAGACACGCATCGAAGACTGACAGCATTTCGTCGACGCCACCCGGTACGCCGCTGTTGGTTGTTCTCGCGCGCGGAAATGGGTCCTCCTTGGATCTGACAAGTAATGGCAAGTTGGGATCGAACCCCCGCAGGTGGTAGGGCTGAAGACGGGGTGGAGGTTGCATGTAGTTGTTCGGTGCGGGCGAGCGCAGACTGTCGAAAGGAATATCGTCCTGTAGCATCGTTTCGTCGACGGCGGTGGCGAGAGGCCTGTGTGGGGTTGGGCCATAGGGACTTTGGGCTGTCTTCCTCCTCCATGATAACAAGTCGGGGCGCGTGACCAAGAGTCTGCGGCCAGACGTCGGTGCCGAAGGATGCACTGAGAGGTGTCTGGGTATCGGCTGGGGCCGTCTCAGTGTGTTGATACGAGGAAGGGAGAGGCTCCTCTGAGTTGTACGAGGTCGCACGAGCATTGCGACGGCTCACGCGACTGCGGCGGAGGACGGGAAACGCTAAGGAGCGACGGAGTCTCAGCAGACCGAGAGCTGCTGGGTGCAATGTGTGATTATAACATTAAACGAGGAATCGAGGAAGTAGATTGGGTGATTCTAAAGTACAGGTCGGGGTAGGATGGCAGCCGTGCAAGGCGCTGTGCTCGAAGTCGGGATATGCTGGAGTACAGAAGTAGAGGAATTAGCTAGAGACGAAGAAGATTCATCAATCGATTAGCACTCAGGAGGCGAGCTTGGATGGCAGGAAGTGAGGGTCCAACTCCAAATTTTTTGCCTTCTCGAAAGGTTGCACCGTTCCAGGGACCGCGAACCCGAGCTTCATGATTGGCCCGAGGCGCGAGTCAGTCTCCACATTTGGCATTTGCCACTTGATCCGACGCCGTCGAAGGCTCGAAGCTACTTTTCTCCCGGGTCCATTATAATCTATCATATGAATATAAATCGGGTTCTTATTCCAGCTTCTTCAAAACCACCTGCACTCGCCACCGACTGACTGGTCTTTGGTCTGGCGTCATCTCATCAACTCAAGGCTTCGAGACCTGGCCGAGGATTTAACCAAACACTCCAGCATAATCCCGACGGCATAAACACCCACACGCCCTTCCGTCTCCGTCGACTACTGAACATACGAAATGGTGGCTAGACGGGCTCTGGCAGCAGCGGGCTGCTCTCAGTGCCGTTCTGTCCTTCTCAACCACTTTACCACATCCCTGCGCGCCGGTCCTGTCGCGCGAACACCTCTGTCTCGAACCCGATTCCGCCCCATTGGCCCAGCTGCAACCCGCCCTTTTTCCTCGTTCCCAACGCCGGGTATACCTGCGAGCGATAGAGACCCCGTCGACGAGCAGCTTGAAACGAAAGAAGAAACTGATCGCGACGAAGAGAACAGCACCGCACACGAGTCCCAACCAGCCGACGTGCCGTGGTATCTCCAAGTCGACCCTCCTCGGCATGTAGCCTCAATGGAACCGCCGCCGCTGCCCGAGGTCCCTCAAGATTCCCCGCCCATCATTGGTTCACTGCTTGAATATGCGTCAGAGGAGATGGGTCTGGACGAGCTCAACCTGCTGGACTTACGAGAACTGGATCCACCACCGGCACTAGGACCCAATCTTTTCATGTTGTTTGGCACAGCGCGAAGTGAGCGTCACCTCAACGTCTCGGCGGGTCGTCTTCTACGATGGCTTCGAGCCAAACATCGCGTCTACGCCGACGCCGACGGCTTGCTTGGGCCAAACGAGCGTAAAACCAAAGTGCGCCGGAAGACCAAGCGGGCGAAACTGCTCGGGACCATGGGGACCGATGACGCTGATGATGGAATCAGAACGGGCTGGATCTGCGTCAATTTGGGAACAATAGGTCGTGGAGGCCAAGAGAGCGCGGTTGTGTCTGATGACGGCCGAGTAGCCGGGTTCGGCGTTGCTCAGCAGGGGTCTACTGTTGTCGTCCAGATTATGACAGAGTCTCGTAGAGCCGAGATGGGCCTCGAGACCTTGTGGCAAAGGGCCTTGGACCGGTCCAGTCCCCAGGCCCCCAATTCGGAACCAAAGGGGGAAGTCGAGCACCCAAAAAGCATGCATCCACTGGACAGGGCTATTGTGTCCAGCTCCGTTGCGTCACGGTCCTCTGACGAAGCGCCGAACGGCTATCCCTCGGGAGCTGCGCGGCAGAACCAGGCGCGGTTTTACTCGACACAACGAATAGTGCATGGGCAGGATCCATTGCTCGACGCAGCTTCAGCCGAGGCGCTGGGCCAAACATTAATGTATGACCCCATCCAAAAGCAACGTCTGTTGGGACTTCTGCGAACTCATCTAGATGAACTATCTCCAGCCGAAATCTGCACCACTCTCGGTGAATCGGAAAGCGGACAGGTCCCCACACCTTTCCTGCAGCTCATGGACCGCGCACTGCAGAGCCTTCCTCCAACGAAAACATGGGTTCACCGTCTTGCTGTCCAGACAAGAGCACGCGAGTCTGGTCACAGAGCCGCAACCGAGTCACTCGATGATGTGCGGGTATTGCTTGAGGAGATGCGCCTGTATGGCATCCGAGCTACCCGTGACCAATGCCTGCAGCTTTTGACTTGCATATACTGTACAGTCAAAACCGAAACACGCGAACAGTCGGAGCTTGCGCTCGAGCTCTTTGAAGTGATGCACCAGCGTGGTCAGTCCATCATTGCCACCGACATAGTAGTCACGATCATCGATTCGATTTCCCGGATATCTCTACGCGGGGCCAGACAAGACAGAGAGCTTATAGCGAGGCTGGATCGGCTTTTGTTAGAAGCCAAGCTACCGTGTATGGATGAGGCCCTTCTAATGAAGCTCATGAGGGCCTATGCGCGACTGGGTCACTGGGAAGGCGTCTGGAATACCTGGCGGGTGCCCCCAAGGTACTTACGTCCACGGTCAGCAGGCATGTATGTGGGTATATATAGGCTGGCCGCGTCCACTCGCTCAGCGCCGATGTGCACCACGACGTTGAGGCGATGCTTCCAGGAGATGCTCATGGAGGACCCGCCCGTACGGCCTGTCGGACAGGTTAGGATGGCACTCATGGAATGCATTCGAGTCGCGGACCCCCGGGCTGAAGAGCATGCGGAGACCCTTCCTGTCGATGCCTCCGGGCAAGTCAGGAGACTGGCCATCCGGGAGTTTGTCAGGCTTGTTAAGAACATCAAGCTTCTGAGCTGAATGGAGGAGCAAGCAGCATCGCGTATGTCTGACGCGCGGGTCGCCGAGGTCCAGCACCACCCATGAGGTTACAAGTGTCTCCAAGAAAAGATAGCGGGACCAACGCCAAGAACGCGGCTCTTGGTTGTTCAAACATCTTCTCTCTTAATAATGTATAAAACTGTACGAAATCGAGGTACTACATATGCGGAAGATTTATCAGAGGGCATAATAATTCGATTTTGAAAAGAACTTGTACGCTGCGGTCCGCTCCCCACGCCCGTGGCCGCGTGAGATTGTTGTCAACCATGACCTTCCGCTTCTGGCAGCTGGCCGTAAGGTCAAACCTCGACCACTCGCCCACCCACATGACGATGCTACCAGGCGAACAGAATCGGCATCCACGCCAGGGTCAGTGCCCGTTTTACCTATAGCACAGCTGCTGATAACGTATATTGTCTGGTTCGTATTTCGATCTGGCCGTCAACAGATCAATGCTGGCGTCCGACTATGTACCTACAGACTGATGAGCCGAATCACAACTGTATGTATATCGGTTCGAGGGGATGGAGTTAGCTCATGTCTACTACGTGTTACTCGCAGTTCTGTGTCAAGGCTCATTGCCGAACCCCCCTGTGCACAAGACTGGCGATAGGTAACGCGCTCTGGACCGCTGATAGAGTACCAGGGAGGCAAGCCGGGTGGTACAGCCAAACGTTCTAGAAGAAACGGCACCGCAAGGCGCCGAACTCCAATCGAGGCAGGTAATTCAGGTCGACACGAGGGCTGAGAGCGCCAGCCAACCAGCAGTACAGAAGACGCTATTCAGACCATTGACAGCCCTGCTTTGGGACAACGTGCCCTGCTTGATTGGACCAGCTGCAAGATAAGGTGCGTCTATCTCCACGATATGATGCGACCCTATGCGTTATGCTTCGACGTCTACCACGAGTCTCGAGCCAGGATCTCGCAGCACTTGCTTCATTGGCAGCACATACCCGCGCTGCTGCGACTGTACCTCGAATTGGCGAGAATTATCTGTGGGACCAATGGCACGCTCGCCTTCCACTGTCGTATCCAAACTGTCATAATCGCCGCGAAATGATGCTGCCATGTTCAGGGACGGATGCTACCTGCGGCCGTATGGCTGAGACCTCTTGTGAGTATACTCGATGAGAGGTGCTCACGGATGGCTATAAATCTGGCGTCGCCCTCCTCTTGGCAAGTTGTTGTTTGCCTCCTTGACCACGCCTCTACTCAAGTTCCTCTGCCTCCAGACATAGCCACTCACTTAACAACCCCCAGACAGACAAGACAAGATAAAAGACACAATGGCCCGCACCAGCAGCACCACCCGCCTCGCGGTCCTCTCAGCCTCCGCGCTGCTCCTCCCCGGCGTGGCCGCCTGGGGCGCCATGGGCCACGAGGCCATCGCCTACGTCGCCAGTAACTTCGTGGTACGTATAAAAACAACCCATCTCAAGACCCCGAATCTTGATTTCGAGAACAAGCTTTGTCGTGCCCCTTCCCTTTTCATCCAGAAAATGGCCGTACGGGTTTAAAGACAAGATGCTAACGTACAAGCAGGCGACGGGCACCAAGACGTACTTCCAGGACCTGCTGGGCGACACGTCGGCCGACTACCTGGCGTCGGTGGCGTCGTGGGCCGACAGCTACCGCTACACGTCGGCGGGCGCCTTCTCGGCGCCCTTCCACTACATCGACGCCCAGGACAACCCGCCGTCCAGCTGCAGCGTCGACCTCGACCGCGACTGCGGCGACGACGGCTGCGTCGTCACCGCGCTGGCCAACTACACCACTATCATCCTCGATAGCGGGAAGACCAAGGCGGCTCGCGCGATGGCTGCTAAGGTATGTCTGTTATTGTCCCCTTGCCCCTGACTCCCTAAATATAAGTGGCATTGGGAATTTCGATCGGATGATTAGCTAACACATGCATAACAGATGGTCATCCACGTAAGCGACTCCTCCTTAATCCAAAATTCGTGAGTAGGCAAGCGATGAAAAGAAACTAATACGCCATATAGTTCACAGGCGATATCGGCCAGCCCCTGCACTGCGAGAACCTCGAGACGGGTGGCAACGGCATTGACGTGAGCTACGACGGCGAGGACACCAACCTGCACGCCATCTGGGACAGCGACATCCCCGAGTCCATCTCCGGCGGCTCTACGCTGGCGTCGGCCAAGTCGTGGGCTACGTCTCTGACCACTGGTATGCGAACCCTAGCATGACCTACCACCACCCCTATCTTCCACCTTCACACCACCGCTCCTATCTTCTCACTTACCTGACCCCTATTTACCCACCTCCCCTCCTCCCCTGTTCTAATTCCTCATCCCTCATCGACCCCATTCCCAACCCCCAAAAAACCCCTATCCACTCCAAACTAACAAACCCACCTCCCCACCCCAGCCATCAAGTCCGGCACCTACAAGTCCCAAGCCGCCAGCTGGGTCGAGGACGTCAGCGTCAGTTCCAAGTCCGACATCGAGGCGATGGCTGTAGAGTGGGCGACCGAGAGCAACGCGTACGTGTGCTCGACGGTGCTGGTCGGCGGCGTGTCCGCCGTCGAGGACAAGGAGCTCGACGGCGCCTACACCACCAAGGCCCAGCCCGTCGTCAGCCTCCAGATCGCGAAGCAGGGCTACCGGCTCGCCAAGTACCTGGATGCCATTGTGGCTGCTGCTTAAGCAAGGGAAGGGAAGGTGGGGGATGGGGCCTAGGAGAGGTTAGGGGAGGATGGATTGCGGTGCGAGGGGGGTGGTTGGTTTTTCTCGTGTATAGTTCTGTCCTGCGTATAGAATATGAGCCAAGTAAGGTAACAATGGTATTTTGTTGCCTGCTGATGGTATCTCTTGCTTGCAACACCACTTCGGACATGCTAATGCTAGGAAGCCCGTCTAGGGTATGAAGTATTCGCCAACGCCTGACACATGCTTTGTCGCCCCTTGACGTATCGCCTTGTGGTAGTGTATTCGCCAACGCCTGATGCATGATTTCTCGCCCCGTCACGTATCCGCCGGAGGTGTGTGTATTCGCCAACGCCTAAAACATGTTTATTCACCCCTTCGCTGATTCATTCGCCTGCTCCCTGAGCGCATCTCTCAACATGGGCGCGATCTGCTTGCGGCTGTTATCCACCGCGCCCTGCGTCCAGCACCTCATCCACCCCAAAATGCCTTCATCAAAATCGAGCATTCCATCTCTGTAGCAGCTCAACTTCAACTTCTCAGCCTGGGCGTCCGCAAAGGCCTTCGCGGCGCTCACACCCTGGTCCGTCCCACCCCAGAGCAACAACTCCCTCGAAAACCCGTCCATTGTGGATGTTGTCAGCACAACCATTAGATCGACGCCCTGCAGCGTGCCGAACCGCGTAACCCCATCCGCGAAAGTAGCCGCGTCGCCTCCGACCTTGTCGACGAGGTACGCAAACGACTGTGGCACCGAGGCCGTGCCCAGCTTCAGTGCCTTCGACCCCTCTCCCGTGGCCGCGCCCTCGACCCATTCCTTGTAGTCCTTGCGAAAAATGTCAAGTATCGTCATCTGCGAGATATCCTCTTTCATGTGCGCTATCTTTTTGAAAAAGGTAGTGCGGTCGAACCTAGACGCCGACGTCGAAGACCTCCGTGAGGATCCGGTGTCGCGGTTGATTTTGGCTTCGGCAATCGCCACCGCATCCTCGTCGTACTTTGTTGTCTTGTGCACATCGCCCAGGTTTGTCGTGTCGATGAGAATCGGGGCAAGCGCGAGATGCGCGAGCTCCGCGTCAAGGCGGCGGCGCGCCTCCGGATTACCCTCGCCGTTGCTGCCGTCGCCGGTCTGTGTAGACAGCGTATGCCAGATGTCGGCGCAGTGCACCATCACCAAACTCGTGCAGCTCCCGCTCTTCTCCACGACGCGAATATCAGCGTTCGCCCCGACCGTCTTTTCGTCGTCGTGGTGGTCGATGCAGCCCACAATCCTGTCTCCATAGACCCGTGCCAGCTCGCCAGTCATCGCGTTGTGGTCGACCAGCAGCCACTCTGTGTCCTCAGGTCTCAGGTTGTTCGAGTCGGGCAGCTCGTCCCGCGTGATCACATCATCGGGCCGGACGTGGGCGGCGGACAGCACGGCTTCGAACTCGGGCCGCAGTGCGAGGTCGGCGCGCGGCAGGTTGCACAGCGGTATGCATGTCAATTTCTGCGTCGCGTGGGTGCGGAAATAGGCGAAGAGGAGCGCGGAGCAGAGGGAGTCGAGGTCTTTCAGTTGGAGGGGTGTCCGTCAGCTTGTGGACAAGCTTGGCAGTTGGCAGAGAAGATATATAGATATAGATATAGAGATATATATATAATTGGGATATATATCTGTGAGGTAGCTCCTGAGGGTAGCTCCTGTCTGTCGAGAAGGGCAATTCACGTACCAGCCGACTCGTTGCCGACGACGAACGTCAGAGGATTTGGCCGTCTTGCGGGCGCTTTGAGGACGGACCGGGCTTCCTGGAGAAAGGCCCGCAGTGAGTGTCTCGGCGGCATGGCGGCGAGCTCGTGCGAGACAGTCCTTCTTGGATGCTGCTGGATGGATGGTTCAGAGTTATCGTAGGTCCGTCGCGTTTCCAAGGTTGGGTGGGTTGTTGCATCGGATGGAACTGCGGCAGCTCCAGGAATAGATAAGCCCAACCCCACGGCTGATAAAGCACCGATCAATGATCATCGCGAGGCGCACCGGCAGACTGGCAACCGTCGGTGGTCACCCCACTCACCTCTTCTTACCTTCCTCCACGAGTGACGAGACCACCTCCTCCACTCTGCCTGCCTCCCACCTGCACCTTTCAACATATTAAATTGGCAATCTTGATGACTCCAATGAGCTCCTTATGACCAGAGTGCGATCGGCTGCACCTCACTTTCTGACCTACATGTGCTACTAGCTACCTTCTAAGGTGCTATGTGAAGTCTCAAGCCGCAAGTCATATTGGTATTTCCATCATATCATCCTTCACTTGGCCACTTGACCACTTGACCGGCAGCGGACCGCGGCTCATCACCCACTTAGTAGTCTAAGCCACCGTGACTGACGTTGCTGGGATGCTCGTATATCCATGCAAGCTGAACGTCCTATGCGGTTTGGGTGGCAGTCGTGGCAGTGTCTTCATGAGATACAGAGGCAACCCGGCAGACCATCACACCCTCCCAGCTGAAGTGGGAGATCTCCAAAACCTACAGGGTCTGGTCTTCGCATCCTTCGTCGTTCATGGCCAGAAAAAGACTTGGCGTTCATGGGTTTCTGAGGGAACAGGGTATATTTTACCACCACCAAGTTCACTCCATGTCAAGTGGGATCTGGGTTGAACATGATCATTGACTACTTACAGTAAAGTAACTCCACGTAAGTTCCGTTCGGCATGCCTTTAACGAGTCTTGGATAGCAATGCTATGTTCATATTTATGAATTCAACGCCCCGGAATAAGCAGCTTTGATCCAAAAAGCCATCTTATATGCCTATTCCAGAGTGCTTGTTCCATCTATAATAAACCGACCCTCGCTTCAGGTTCAAAGGACGGGATGCGCCTCATCAACACGCATACCCTGGACCTCGAAGACTACAACAAGGACATACCCCCTTACGCAATCCTCTCTCGCACCTGGGAAGATGGCGAAGAGGTCACCTTCCAGGAATGGCACCGGGATCGTGTCGGCGTGTCGCCCAAGCCCGGCTTCACCAAGATATGCAACGTATGTGAGCAGGCGCAACTTGCGGGCCTGGCCTATGTATGGGTTGACACGAACTGCATCAACAAGAGCAGTAGCGCCGAACTCTCTGAAGCTATCAACTCGATGTTCGTGTGGTACGAGCGCGCTGATGTGTGTTTCGTCTACCTCTCCGACGTCACATCCACTTTTGTCGATGAAGAACTTGGTGAAGAAGGACCTTCTCCCTCACCGCTGTCTGTCTCGAAGGCAAAGAAGCACTCCTCGATCTCCAGCGCCCGGTGATTTACGCGTGGATGGACGCTACAGGAATTACTCGCGCCCAAGAAGCTCATCTTCATGTCGAGTACCTGGCAAGAGATCGGGCGGATAGACAAGCAGGCGGACCGCGTCCAGCAGCAATTCGTTGGCGACATCTCGACCGCGACGGGGATCGGGAGGCCGTACCTCCTCGGTCTGACAAGCCGCTACGAAGCTAGTGTCGCGTTGCGTATGTCGTGGGCCGCATCACGAAAAACGACGCGAATCGAGGATACGGCGTATTGTCTGCTAGGCTTGTTCGACATCAACATGCCGCTGCTGTACGGCGAGGGCGAGAAGGCGTTTCAGCGCCTGCAGCAGGAGATCATGAAAGTGTCCACGGACCAGTCCATCTTCGCCTGGGAGTGGACGCTCGAAACAACCCCTTGCGAGGGCGACCTGAGCTTTATTGCCCCGTCTCCCAACTGCTTCGCTCGCTGCGGCGATTTCGTGCAGCTAGAGGATAGATACCGAAGCATAGCGGCCAGCACGTTTACGCTGACGAACACGGGTCTCTCGCTGCGGCTTTCAATCCATCCGATGCCGCGGACCGGGCTCGCGTTTGCCCTGCTAGAGTGCAGTCATCGGTGTTACTCCAAGATCGGCCAATACCGCCTCTGCATCCCGATCCGGCTGGGACCGAAATCCGCTGCCGATGGCACGCAGCTGTGCGAACGGCTTGCCTGGCCACCACTACCATTGTGCATTGCATTCTTCTCCCCGGCCCTCCACCAGCTACACATACCGCGCCGCTCACCCCGGCCACACACGAACTTCGAGGGCCTGCCAACCGAGTTTCTGCATCGAGACGACAGCCATCGCAAGGGCTGTTCCATCTTCCTCCTATTCCCGCCGTCACGGTATCCATACATCATCAAAAGCATGCGCCACTCCCCCCAGGCGGCGCTGAAGGGCGACAACGGAGACGATGACCCACATGATGATGGCCCGGTGGAGATGAAATACGACACCATCGGCACGGTCGAATTCCACAGCTGGCGCTCGACAGAGGAGTATGACTACGTGGGCGTGATCGTCGAGGTCACGCACCGCAGCCACACTGTCTGGATCCATCTCTGGGTGTGCCGGGACGCCGACTTCATCTTCAAGGCGTGCCGCATCCTCAAGACGCGGCGGAATCTGCTGTTCTTATCCTCAGCCTCCTCCTCTTCATCGCCGTCTTCTTCAAAGGCAACGCCTCCTGGTCTGGCGAGCGGCAAACACATGCTAGGCAACCGGCGGTACACGATGGACGACGCGGTCGAGTCCGTACGGCGCAGCAGCTCCGCGTTGTGGGACAGCGAGGCGCAGAGCGACTGGTTCGTCGAGATGGGCGCGCAGGCCGTGGATGGCACGGGCATGGTCATCGTGCCGGTCTACATCGACTGCGAGATGGCGGAGCGTGGGGACCCAGAGTTTGGGCGGTGGAGGAAGGATGGCAGTGAGAATGGAGGAGGACTGTTAGGAGGGATCAGGAGGCGGTTTGGGAGGCGTGTCATGTCGGCATAGGGGCCTTGTACTCGTCCCTTGCGAACGGCGCGACAGATAGGTCTCAGTGGTCTAGGAAGATCACTGACCACAATTGATTATACGACTTGTGATGTCAACAGCCTGCCTCCATGATACGAGCGTTATGAGTCATCTCTATGCTCTCTGGTGTATCCTGGCTATAATCACTATACTCCTATGTCGACCCCTGTTCGTGAGCTGGATTCGCCGTGCCGAAGGACAAACCGTCATTCTTCTGTCTAGAGGCCGGTCACTCTGACCGAGATTCAATAGGGAAGAGATGTGAACTTTATGCAGACCATGTACGTATTACGCATAGATGACTGGCCCTCCTACCTAGTTCCACCAAAAGCTTACACTGAAGCTCACGCTCAACCCCCTGACGTAATGCCACCACCCGATAGGGATATAGAGCGCATCTCCAGGCTCGAGGATGCAGTCCACGAACGGGATCTCCCTGAACGCAGCAATGTCCTGCTCGCTCATCTTACCCTCCTCGTCATCCATATTCATATCCATATCCTCATCCCCAGCCCCATCCTCCCCTTCATCAACTCCGTCATAACCACCGCCCCGGGCCTCATCCCACCCCTCCACCACCCCAACGTCCACGCGACTAGTATTCCCCATCTCAACGCCGCCCTCCCGTCCGCGCGCCGCCATGCGCGCCGTTTGGGTGGGAGCGTACAGCCGCACGTACTTGCGCCCGACGGCCTGTGCTAGTATGTTGTGGTACGGGTCCGTGTGCAGCGGGGTGATTGTGCCGGGAGGGCCGAACCATGTGTTCAGCAGCGGCGCTTCGAGCTCCGGCTGGTCGGCGGCCGGGTCGGTCGGGTGTAGTGGGGGCGACGTGTAGCAGTAGTCCGGGATCAGGATGTCGTTGCGGAGGGCGGGGAGTTGCGTTAGGAGGGGGTGTTGGGCTAGGTAGGCGGTTTGTTTGGGGACTTGAGGGGAGGAGGAGGAGGGTGCGGTGGTGTCGGAGATGGGGTTGGGATCGGAATCGGTAAGGAAATTGGGGTTGAGATGGGGAGAGGTCGGGAAGAGCGAGATGGGCGGCAGTGATGGGTCGATGTATGTACGTAGGAACTCCCCAAAATGGATGATCTTCTGGCCCCAGTCTTCGTCTACGTAGCTGCGCCCGATCTCGACGGGAACGAGACGGCGGCCGTCGAAGGTCTGGGATAAGAGGTACGATGGCTTGTTCCACGGGTGCGTGCTTAGAGCCGGCCAGTCTTTGAGCGCATTGCGGATGACGAGAGGCTCGGGACCTAGCTTTGGGTCTTGAGGTCTATCCATGTGCGTTTGGAATGCCTCCATGGAGAGTGCTTCAACGCGCTTGATGGGGTGTTTGACGGGCGGCGTGAATGGCTCCTCTGTAGAGAATGTTTCATCATGGTGAATGCCGCCTCTGACATTGTCGGCCAGCGTGTCTGCCAATTTCACTCTCTTTGCCGGCCGACCTCCTAGTATAGCAGCGTCACTTCCGCTATCATTGCTCTCGGCTGTCTCAAGCCATACTAGGCGAAGCAGTTCCAACGCCTTGTCGATCCATCTCCTCCCTCTAGATTCACCAGCAGCTCCCGCCAAGATCAAGGCTAGATCCAAAGTCTCGACAAGCGCATCCAGGTCTTCTGCGTCCCTTCCAGCAGCTCCATCTGCATCTTCAAGTTCTGTCCCAGGAGCGGCCAGGAATGAGGACCGCAGCAGCACGAAGCAGAACTTCAGGATACTCGCATCGGTGTACAGCTGCCTCCAGCACACCGGCAGGTCCTTGAAGAGGTAAGCGTAGAACTTGGCGTACGCAATCGAGGCGATATCCTCCAGTCGCTTCAGCACCAGCGCTCGCTTCTCGCGAGAGATTGGGCCCACCACGTTCGCGGTGGCGGTGGTAGACTCTAGTTCTCGGTAGCAGAGACTGATCTGTTGCGCCTGGCGTGAGAGCAGTTCAACGAGAGCATGACCGCAGCCGGCGAGCGAGACGGCCTCGACCTCTTCTGCGGACCTGATGGCGGTGCATTCATCGCGGATTGCACGCGCTGCTTCGGCGCAGTGTTGGATGAGCTGAGCTCTGTGACGCGACGCTGACATGTGGTACGATGTTGCGATCGTTCAATGTGGGGTTTTTAGCAGGTCATGTTCACATCGATCGCATTGAAATGCCTCGAGGTGGAAAGGTGGAAAGCTGGCTGGGTTTGGGTTGTGAGGTGCAATGATTGATGGAGTTCGTGACGAAATTTGGCGGGCGCGATGGCTTCAGGTGCCACTTAAGCTTCTCATTCGATACGTGCGATCGCCTGAAAGAATGACATACACCACGCCTCTGGTTATACTTCTCATGATGTTAAAAACTGTTGCAATCGAGGATCCATTCAACGGAATAGTTATTACTATCGCGTTGGATATGAAGCCCGCGTTCACAGGCTACAAGCAGTAGAACGTGGTGTCGGACAGCATACCTGCTGTTTTTCGGCACCCCCTATATCTGGAAGTATCGGTGCTGCTAGAGGCAGAGGATGAAGCGCGAAGCAGTAATACTCAAAATTCATTCATTGTCCTATCTAAGATCCGAGCTGCCTCCAGAGGCTATGCACACTGTTTGCAGTCTGGCAGCACACACGATCACGGAGGGTGCCCACCCGTGGATACTATTGTCGAACATGGCTTCCTCTACTTCCGACATGGATATCTCCGTGTCCGCGCTGTGAGATTCCTATGGCCTGCGCACCTAGGCTTCAAGCTGAGCGAGGCCAGGTAGCACGTCGAAGTCTGCCGGAACATCCAGCCGATATCTCATCTTCGCATCTCGAGGCCCGTCCCCATGGGCACCTTGTAGGTCACCGAACGGATGTTGAAAAATCCCGCCTTTCCCAGCTCTGTTGGTAGTCTGTTCACATAATCCATGTCGAAACCGCAGACCTTCGTGGAAGCCTTTTCGAGCAGTTCAGTGCACTGGTTGGGAGGATACTCAGGGGGAAGTGTGTAGTCGTCCGAGGGGATTTCGGGGCGGAGCTCATGGAATTCGACCCAGCCGCCGCTTCTCGAATGACTATGAATGAAGGTGAGTAGTTTTCGCAGGGCCCTTCAGGATGAAAGCCATATGAAGGTGAACGAGTTCGCAGTATGAGCCGTATGCTGATGATTTCAATGTTATTAACGTGAAAGCGTACGTTAAGATGGCAAAAAGCAGGTTGGATCGGCGATAAGTCTACGCCGTTATTTCCGCCCCTAAGAGCTTTCCAATCTGCTACTAAACCCCGTGTCGTCATTAGAGTGCGCGATTCAGGAGATTGCCTCGGCAGGCAGGGATGGATATCCATTGTCAACCCTCGGCCCATACGGTTACGAGGCACTACAAGATGTTCTACCCGTATCCTCTTTCAAACCCTCGACACGATACGCCAACGGCCATCACAGATCTCCATCATGTCGGCACCACCACAATGGGTCAAGAACCTGAAGCCATCTGGCACACCAAGCTCAGAAGTGCTCGAACAAGAACGTAACAAGAGCAACGTCAATGCCGACAGTCTCAGTACCTTCCTCTTCACCAAAGAGGGCCGTGACCGCAAGCAACGTGTTTTGAAGACGTTGCAAGGCGAAAAGGTCTTCGACAAGAGCCAGAACTACTTCGCAGGACGCATCGACCGTTTCGAGACGGCACTTGCGCGCGCAAAGAAACTCGCGCAGATCCACTCTAGGGAAAGCTGGACTCAAGAGGAGAGGGTAGTCGCCAATGAGCTCATTAGTGAGCCAGGACCATACGGTCTGCACGAGAGCATGTTCCTCATCACTCTCCGCGACCAAGGCACACCGGAGCAGCACGAGAAGTTCTTGAGGCCCGCGGAACAGTACAAGTACATCGGCTGCTACGCTCAAACCGAGCTGGGACACGGCAGCAACGTGCGCGGTCTCGAGACGACAGCGACATGGAACCCGGATGACAAGACCTTCACCATCCACTCACCCACCCTCACTTCATCCAAATGGTGGATTGGCTCCCTCGGCCGCACAGCCAACCACGCCGTTGTCATGGCTCAGCTCATCATCAACGGCAAGGGTATGGGGCCTCATCCTTTTGTCGTCCAGATCCGAGACCTGCAGACCCATCAACCACTCGAGAACGTCTATGTCGGCGACATCGGACCCAAGTTCGGCTACAACACCATGGACAACGGCTACCTCCTCTTCAACAAAGTCAAGGTCCCGCACATCTCCATGCTCGCCAAGTTTTCAGGCGTCGACCCAAAGACCAACCAATACGTCAAACCCGCTTCCGCTAGCTTGGTCTTTGGCACACTCACCTGGGTGCGCTCAACAATCGTCCTGCAATCCGGTGGTGTTCTCGCTCGTGGCGTGACCATTGCGACGCGATACTGTGCCGTACGCCATCAGTTCCAGGACCGCGATGCGCCGGAGTGGCATAAGGGCGAGAACCAAGTCCTCAATTACACCACCGTCCAAATCCGTCTCCTTCCTCTCCTGGCTACTACCTTCGCCCTTCACTTCACCGGCAAGGGTATGATGGCCTTATACGGGGCAAACCAGAAGAAAATGTCCCAAGACGTCGGCAAAGTCGGCGGAGCCCAGCGCGGCGCAGGACCCGAGGAGACCAACGCCGGCTCAGACCTGCTCGCAGACTTGCACGCCACTTCTTGCGGTCTCAAATCCCTCGCCTCCTTCACCGCCGTCGAAGGTCTCGAGGTTTGTCGTCGTGCCTGTGGCGGCCACGGCTACTCCTCTTTCTCCGGCATCGGGCCTTGGTACGCCGATTACCTCCCCACCGCAACATGGGAGGGTGACAACTACATGCTCACGCAGCAGGTGGCTCGCTATTTGTTGAAGTCGGCTCGCTCCGTGCTAAAGGGCAACGAGCCAACGAACGACACTACCGCCATTCTCTCCAACTTCCTGCAGAAGCAAGACACAGGCGCTGCCTTCGACGTTTTGGGCAACGACAGCGATGTCGTCGCCGCTTTCGCCTGGCGTTCCGCCTTTTTGACATTCGCTGCGCTGAAGCACCGTGACGAGCAGAAGAGGAGCTGGAACAGCCTGCTGGTGGACTTTTACCGTCTCAGCCGAGCCCACTCACAGTACATGGTCGTGAAGAACTTCTACGAGACTCTCCAGTCTGCCTCAACGGACCTGGACGTCGAGACCACCGGGATCATGCACAAGCTCTTCCGGCTCTACGCCCTGCACACTCTCGAGCAAGAAGCGTCTGAATTCTACACGTCTTCCGCCGTCACCGTCCGTCAGATCGAGCTGGCCCGTATTTCGACGGTCATGAAGCTGTTGGAGGAGATCCGCCCGCATGCCGTGAAGTTGGTGGATTCCTGGGAGTTCCCTGACTGGCAGCTCGACTCTTCCCTCGGGAGATACGACGGCAAGGTGTACGAGGACATGTTCTATCGTGCCTCGGAGCTCAACCCGCTCAATAAGGTCACGGTTGACCCGTATCCGGATAGCCCCACGTTGTTCAAGCAGAATGATGCGGGTGCTATGAAAGCTAAGCTCTGAGTGGTTGGTGGATTTAAACGGTGTTCAATTGGGTATGAAGGAGGTTGTGATATTGTATATTTGTGTATGGAACGTATGTAGGATGCAACCAGAATGTTCAGGTAGTATCGAGTATATACTGTATCTGATGATACCCTTCTACCTTGAGATATGTGGCATCAACAGGTTTGGTGGGAAGGATGCCGATGAGGGTACTCTCACAGAGAAGGAGAAAATAGGTCAATGATCAACTGACTTGGTGTATGAACTGTCATTGATGCATTGATGCATTGAGGCTCTCGAGTGTGGTCGTTAATGGAAATAAGCTTCGCAGTGAGTGGTGACCGAAGTGATGGCTGGGCCATACAGTCAGTCCCAAGCAAAACATGTCAGAATCAGGCATCGCACAACCAGACGACAACGAATAACATACGTCTATGTGCTTCACAAAGCTCTCGGGGCAAGTATGGAGTAACAAGTGAGTCGGATCAAAACTCTGAAAGCAGAACATGACTGCTCTGTCAAACTACCTGGCATAGTATCGCCAACATGACGGCTTGAGTGTTATCGTATCACTTTAAAGTCGTTAAGACTTAGAGCAAATGAGAGATATGGGAGCAGAAGTTCACACTGCGATCTTCCGATGTCGGTCGCCTGTCCCGTAAGCACGGAAAGTTCACGTCAGGGCGCCGACTATTTACGCCCCCCGCTGTGGCTGGCGCAGAGCTCCATATGCAAACCAAGCGTCTGTTGTCGTGGCTGAAGCTTGCTGGCGGGAATGTCCGCACAGTGCTCATCGGCCTTGTGCGGCACCGTCTTTAAAGTACCCGGGTCGCGTCTGCCACTCAAATCGCGTCAGCCATAAACACTTACACCACTGCCACCAGTACATGCACCTCTTGCACTCTCCTTCACGAGGAACTTCTAACCCACACCAAGTCGGCGACATTGCTTGCTGCCCTCGACCGCCGCCTTTTCACAGCATCCATTCTTGAAAGCCTTGTGTCAATTGTTCGTCGTTTACGCGAGACGTCCCCAATCTACCAGCCACGAGCATCCGACGCGTTCAATCTTCCAATTCTGCCCGCTCCCATCCGCAGTCCAGAGGTTGCAGCACCCTACCAACGCCGACAAGGTCCCATGAATCCGCCGTAGGAGCTTCGAACACGCGTCCAGATACTCTCTCAGCATGTATCTGCCTCGCGAGCTCATATCCAAACTCTACACCCACCTCCAAGACACCCGCCACCCGCTGTCGCCTCCCGTCCTCATACTCGTCGCGCTCGAACCCGACGCTCTATGCGCCTGTCGCATCCTGACCCGGCTCCTCAAACATGACTACATACCGCACAAGATACACCCCGTGGCCGGCTATGGAGACCTCGAACGCGCTGGCCAGGAGCTAGTTAGTCCCATGATGGAGACGCGTGGTGGGAGTGGTGGAGTTGTCGTGTGCCTCGGCGTAGGTGGTATGGTCGATATGGGCACCATCCTGGGTCTCGAAGTCGAGGGCGAAGACTCGAGCTTCAATGGTGTTGAAGTATGGGTGATCGACTCCCACAGGCCGTGGAACTTGGGTAATGTCTTTGGTGGATATCCCCTGGAGCCTGCTTCCGACGAAGCTGCAAGCTATCAGGCACGAGCCCCTGAAGGTATCACTTCAGGTCGAATAGGTCGGTCGTACAAGCCTGGGAAGGGTGGGATTGTGGTCTTCGACGATGGTGATGTAGTAGAAGGATTGACTATGGAACGGGACGCGTACCTGGCATTGGTCGACATGCCTGACATTGAAGACGATGGTGAGCCATTGGGCCACAGCGATTCCGAGAGCGAAGACGAGCCAGAAGAAGAGCTGCCACGACCAGGTCAAAAGAGGAAATCCTGGTCCGACCGAGATGATGAGAGTAGTGAGGAAGATGACGACCGACCCCGACAAAGGAGGCGAAGTAATTCTGTAAGGCTTTCCGCACACCCCATTGGCGCTCCATGAAACTGACTTTATAGTCTTCGTCAATACCAGACTCACCACGCCGCCCGCCTCAACGAGGACTGGTCTCCTTACGGGATCCTGAAATCATAACATCTGATGATGCCGAAAACCCACCATCGGCTGCCCAGCCTCCTAGGGGTCCGTCTGCTCGCAGGCTACGGAGAAGATTGCTGAGGATGCGAAGCGAGAACGAAGCCGTACTCCGGAAATACTACCGTATGGGAACCTCCTACTCAGAACCTATCAGCTCAATGATTTACTCCCTTGCCTCCGAACTGGGTCGAGAGGACAACGACCTGCTCTGGTTGACCATTGTTGGCGTCACCTCTATGGAGCTTTACGGACGGTCCTCGGCCGGGCTAGCTGTGACTGTCCGCAGTTCTGACACTCGACCTACAAACGGCTGGATGGGAGTTCCTGGCGCACGTATACGACAGCTCCTGAGGGACGAAGTGCGACGTCTCAACCCGCCAGACATTAGCTCGAGAACAGCAGCAGAAGGCGCAGGGATTATACCTACGACCGCCCGAAGTCCCGAAGACACGAGTATTAGGCTATCCCCTGAGCCCAAGTTCCTGCTCATCAGGCACTGGAGTCTCTACGACAGCATGCTACATTCCCCTTACCTGTTCTCAAGGCTTCATATCTGGAGTGACAGTGGTCTGAAACGTCTACACAAGCTTCTGGCAAAGATGGGTGTCAGCCTGGTCCAATGCAAGCAAAGTTACACGCATATGGACATGATGGTTAAAAAGGACTTACGAACGAAGCTGCTGAAGTATGCAACATTGTACAACCTCGACGGCATGGTTCCCGCTCTCGAAACGGACGGTAGGGATCGGGCCGGTGCCAAAGATGGGTGGGGCTTTGTTCGAAGTTGGGGCTGGCGGGCAACGCTCAGTGCACAGGATGTTGGTGTAGTCATTGGTGCGCTTCTCGAAGTAGGGAGACAAAGTACGGTGACTAGCGAGGATGGACGTATGCGGGCAAGCCATGCTCAAGACCTGGAGGATGATGGTGGCGCAGCTGAGGCGCAGGAATGGGTCAGCCGGTTTTGGGATGCATACGATGCGCTTGAGAAGTGAGTTCGTCTCCATAAAGACATTTACACGATGCTAACCAACTGTAGTATCGATGCTCTCAAAGCTGGCCTGCCTACGGCGCAATATCTTCACCGCGCCATCTTCCGAACTGGTACTTCACTTATCGGCAAGCGACAGATCAAACACTTGCATGCCTTCCGCATGTGTGTCATCAAGGACGGACCCGACGTTCCTCTCTTCACTCACCCAGCCGCCCTTACTAAGCTATCACTCTGGATCGGCGAGGCGCTAGCAGAGCAGGAGAAAGATGCTACAGGCAAGCTAGCACACGGCGGACGCGGTACACCACTGGTGGTTGCGAGCTTGAACGAAAAGCGAGGCGTATACGTTGTTGTCGGTACTGGTGGGGGTGGTGGGCCTGACCTTGCGTTCCTAAACGGGGAGGGAGCAAAGAAGAAGCAGGCCGCCAAAGCAGCCAAAGCCAGTGAACGAGAGCTCAAGCGTAAGAACAAGGAGAAAATCAGAGAGGAGAAACGTGCTGCAAGAGAGGCAGCAGGCGAAGACGACGATGACTACGAGGAAGACGAGGACTCGGAGTCAGACGGCAGCGACGCGTCGGACTCGGACTCGGAAGACGAGGTCGATGAAAGCAAGGAGCGCGGGTACGGCTTGAACAAGTTCGGTAGCGCGTTCCAGGATGTGGTGGCCGAGACGAATGCCCGTGTGCGAATCGACAGCTTCGAGCACTGCGTGGTCGAAGTCCGGAAGGAAGACCTGAGTGGATTTCTGGAGTCTCTGAGCATGAAGGCTGTTGTGGGGTAAGGGATACCACATAATCGACGTTTTCTGGCGTTCTGGAGAGAGTTGCATAGCCTGCGCATCTTTTACAAGCACACATACGATGGAGCAGGCGGGAGTTCAGCGGCTTGTTGCAGATTCTGGAGCTTGAATCATGATGCATGGACAATGACTTTCAGTTGGGCTTGGGACTGGGAGCGGAAGGACTCGGTGTCGATAAGTTTTGTCGAGCTGGATAGGGGTTACACCTCTGCAGTGTCTGGTATCATTGTTCAGAATATATTCATGATCTCTTCACCCCGTCCTGACTAGATACCCAGTATTGAATGGCTGCAATGAGTTGCTTTGTCACGGACTTATTTTCAGAAATCTTCATGGCCAAAACAAGGTAAATCAACGATAAAATGTGGGAAGAACAAAGAGTAAAGGATAGACTTCACGTTATGAGTAACTGCTGATGGATCAAGCTTTGTGCCTGATGTCGAACCACGTCATAATAAGAGCCGCCTTGTGAGCAAGTGACTGCCTGACTGCTGGTGGCTGCTGCTTATTAGCGTCAAATTGAATTCTAGATTGAGGTCGCCATGGAGTCGATAGAATTACCCCGCCACCATTCGTCATCCTCGAGATACCTCCTACTACTTGATTCCATACCTCTTCAACATACCTCGCTCCTACGCACCTACACTCAATAGCCTACCCGAGTTCTTTTGAACAATTTATTAGATTGGTTTTCCTACCTTATCCTGTCAACTCTACCACGATCGTATACGCACAAAAGACCGGCAAACGGATAGATACACACGCAAACAGCCAGCAGCTTCACCATCGTCTTGTACGGTAGACCAGGCCGAGACGACGCGAGCGCCCGCTTACATCATCCACCACGCTGCAACAGGCAGTTGCGCCCGCCCGCCTTTCCCTCCCCCGCCAGCTGCCCCTGCATCTCTCTTACGGCAATCAGAGGCATCTGCAGAGGGACTGCAAGGGGATCGCAGAGGTAGGTCTTGCTGGCCCATCGTTTCCTTTGTACCCGGACAATGGTCAACGGTCATCAATGGTATGCTGAGGTGTATACTGACGAGTATGTGCAACCAGCCTGTCCCTGTAATCCTTCCAAGGTTCCAATCCGCTTCCTCGTCGTCTTGCTGTGCCGCCAGCCTCGATCCAGCCAAGCCAAGCCAGCCTGCAGCGCTCTTGTGTGAGCATTGCTGCGGCGCTGACGGGTCTTCTGCCTAGACCTGGGACTGCACATCACAAGGAACTCCAGAAGTCCTCCTCCATCTCACATCTTCTCTGGCTCAGTGCTGTATCATCATTCTGAATCGCCCCGACCGACAAAAAGTTGGCATTTTGTGCCGGTTCCCCTCGCTGCGGCATCTGAGGCTCCATCGCTCCATCGCTAGCAGGACGCCCGTATTTGTTACTGTCACCGACCGTTGCGACGACCCCACCTTACGATAGCGCCCACCTCTTGTACCGGTACCTTGTCGACTGTCGCATCATAAACATCGCAGACGCCCGCCCACCACAACCACGCCCGACCTCGACGAACGCAGACAAAGCTGCACATTCCAGCATAACCCACAACATACAGTCACCCCTTCGCCGTTCCTGACCACATAGACCATGGGCAAATCGTGAGTTTATCCACGACCCCCGCCAAGTTCAGCCACGCCCTCCCTCTCCCGTCCATAGCCGCCCGCAGAATGCGAAACCTCTGGCGGCTACCTACCCACCTCTGCATCGAGGCATATCGAACACGTCGCGCCCTCATGGCTTCTACCTTTCGTGCCGGGCAATACGATGGACTTGGCTAACATGTTTTCCAATCAGTCAATCAAAGCTCTCGCAAGAGCAACTGGCCGAACTCCAGAAGTCCACACACTTTGACAAGAAGGAGCTGCAGCAATGGTATAAGGGTCAGTCAGCCTCCTCTCCAGCCCACTACTAGATCCATATACCCTGTCTTGGCCCGACGGAACTGTTCGGCTTACTCGCAATCAGGCTTCTTGAAAGACTGCCCTTCTGGCATGCTCACGAAGGAGGAGTTCCAAAAGATCTATCGACAATTCTTCCCCTTTGGAGATCCGTCCTCATTCGCAGATTATGTATTCAACGTATTCGATGCCGACAAATCCGGATCCATTGACTTCAAAGAGTTCATCTGCGCGCTGAGCGTCACGAGTCGCGGCAAGATGGAGGACAAGCTCGACTGGGCCTTCCAATTATACGACATCGACGGTGATGGCAAGATCAGCTATGATGAGATGCTCAAGATCGTAGAGGCGATCTACAAAATGGTAAGGTGGAGCATGTTTCCAGAGAACATAGGCTGGTTGCTAATGGGGTGGCCCCGTGACACAGGTCGGCTCGATGGTGAAACTCCCTGAAGATGAAGATACCCCCGAGAAGCGCGTTAAGAAGATATTTCGCATGATGGACAAGGACGAGAATGGCAGTCTAGACATGGAGGAGTTCAAGGAGGGCAGCAAACGCGACGAGACAATTGTGTCGGCCTTGTCGCTGTACGACGGATTGGTGTAGATTCGGTATCAGATCTGCGAAGGAAAGGGAGCGAGGCCGATCTCTTGTGAGGATACAAGGAGGGAAAGTGACGGTATGACTCAACACGGCGTTGATGAGGCCAGCACTGTTTCCACAACGGAGGGCTGCTGTCGACGTGTTCTTTCTGTTTCCTCTGTCTTCGCGTGGGGCGTTCCTGTCTTCAAGAGGAGGAAATATGGCTCTGAGCCGCCCGCAAGGCCGGTCCATTTCACATTCTGGATAAGTAAGCTCCATGCAATGATCTTGCAACGGCCAAGTATTTTGTGCTTCAAACATGTATAGTCAAGCTCCGCAGCCAGGCAAACCACGGACTCTCTCTCGGTGGGGGCCCATAGATGTATGTCTAATCAGCTTGGTAATCAGACACACACAACTCACATAGTCTTTTCATGAAGAACTCGACAGCTGGGACCACTGTGTGAACTTGTATGAACCTGTACTGGTGTCACGTACTGGTGTGAATTCGTCCTACCAACCCAAGGTGAGAGGCCTGCTCCGTTCCCCGGGATGCTGCAACGAGACATGGTGCCTGACGAACCGCGGTATCATGGAGGGATGGTGGGTCGAGAGCAGAAATGGTATCTGTTCTTAGATGTACTGTATCCTTATCTCTGGTTTCTCTGGATGGGGTAATTGCCACTTCAGTATTTTGTAGAGAGGAGAAGCTGTTGCAGTTACCTACCTCTCCTGTCAAGTGTATATCCAGTGAGAGCGCCTAGATGGGTATGGGGCTGAAGCTGGGAAAGGCCATAGACAGTGTTCCGGTATGGGTTGGCATGCTGGCGCATGCGTTGGGCGATGTGATGGCTTGGAGTAATGAGGATGCTAGACTTACCTCGGTATCAAAGGGTTGGTAGTTAATGAGGGGTTGGATCATCTTGTCTTTGCCCCTGTCGAGTCTTTCGGTTGGTCTCCTTTGGCTGACGTGGGTGGTGAGGCGAAGCTCGGGATGGGTTTTTCATAACACTATCTGGGATTTTATGAGACCTGCTTGTTCTGTGTTGGTTGCAAATTTCTGCCTTTTCATGCCTGGGAGGGATGAACTTGTGAGGCAAGTGGGTTATGTGGGTGGTATGTTGGTTGAGTACGCTCAGGGGCAACTTTGGAGAAGACACTTCCGTTTCCCTATGTGGAGAGTTTGGTACTCAGACGATACTGGGGTTTAAAGTTGTGCAGTGGGATGACTTTGGAAGCCTTGGTAATAGTTATTTGTGTCTTTGGGTGGCATCAGAGTTGTGGTATATCAAAATATATACGCGGCATGGTGAGTAGGCGCACCTTCGGCCCTGGTTGATGTCAAGTAGGTCTTCTCTAGTCATACTGCTACGGAGCGTATCTGATATTGAGTTTGGTACCATTTTTGCTTTCCTGTACCGAGTCGAGTCAACCTCTTTAACCAAGGGAATCGATCACCTTTCCGCGGACTGGCCTAGCACCGTACATCTGGCTGATCACTGCTGTGAGGCAGCTTCTCAAAGGTACCGTCAAGGAGGACTACGTTATGAAGCTCGTACGTGATGGGCTGGAGGCGAGGACAGGCCAACTGGCGATGCAAGTAGAGGATCATGTGTGAGATATTTCTGTAGCATAGCGCTGAGCGCCTCTCTTTACTGTAGTTGGCATCTCAGGGGCAGAGAAGGGGGAATGTTGTCTTTGTCCTCTGATCCACGTAGCACATCTACTAAGGTGCCAATTAGCTAATATTCATACGCATGGTACGGCCGCGAAGCTCATGTGGCAGTGAAAATACATACATCTTGCTGGTGGTGACAGAAGCCCGTCGAGCAGGTCGACAGTTGAGTTTCAGTAGTTATGTTCAAAGGGTCCGATCCGCATGGAGACATAACGTTAGTGAGCGAAGTAGATGGTCAGCCATGTTGGCAGCGAAGGTACTCAGCCTGGTGGGATACCATCGCGTCGATTGCTGCCTTAAAACCTTAGGTAAACCTTGATGCCGCAAGCCACCAACCAGACAATCAATATCCTCCCCCATCTCCCTCGACCCTCAATCTTCCCCGACCTCTCCTTCAACATCTCCCTCCATCTCTTCTTCTAATTACCTCTCCCTCAACCTTAATCTCAACTCCGCCCTTAGTTTCTCTCTTAACATCCAACCTTCAGTTAACTTTCTTCGACCACTCCATTTATTTTATTATTAAAAACTTTACCCGGAGGGAAGAGTTAAATTTAAACACCTTAAAAGATGATAGAAAGCAGAGCTTTCTTGCTATACGTTAAGGCTAAAATAAAACGTTATAAATTATCTTAATCTACTAATACCTTAACTACGGACGGCTTCTGCAAGCTCAGGCCGATGCGTTACACGCCGAACGGCATACGCTTGCCTTAAAGCCAGGCCTTACTCCAAACACTTTGTTCCCTCCTTTATCCTCCTCTATACATCTAGCTCAACAAAACACCGCCAAAACGCGCCGAATATCACACCACTCTTCTTTCGCAGACCCAGTCGACCTACTTTTATTGTTTTGCGCGATGCAAGACTTCGTGTTTCTAACCCAGTAGATTGAGATGGTATCGATGATGTGGAATCAATTCAGGCTCTGCCGCAACCTTGAGCGAATTTTTTTCCCCTCAAGCTCTACGACCGGAAGGGAGGAGCCAAACCCGAATATCCCAAAAGAAAACAAAAAGCAGAGCCCCCGTGCTTGAGCAAATAAAACGATATTTTTTTCCTTCCTTTTCTTGGTGGCTCATGGCTGAACTCTGTTCGTCTTCTCCCTCAACCTCAACGCCACTGCTTAATATGGCACCAGCGAAACCTTCGTACCGATGAGTCACGAGAGCCCTATATGAGGACGAATCCTCGCACCGGAATCTCGCGAAGATTTTCTCCACGAACCACACACAATCATCTCTTCCCAACGTCACCTAGAATTGCGCGATGCGAGATCTGGAGTGGTTGCTGTCTCCGGAACCACTACTCGACCGACGCCCACACGGGCCAAACCAAACCGATCATGCCAACTCACGTCAACATTGATCTCTTGCTTTGCACCACACTCCCCACCAGCCATCCACGTGTCACGGTATGTCCGGCGCCCGACTCAAGAAACCGACCATGGAAACGGTCGCGATGGAAACCCAGCAGCGGTTCCCTATCATGGAGTTGGTGCCCGAGCTGCGTCAGGCTGTGGCATACCAGTGCGATAGCAAGACGCTGGAGCAACTGATTGGCACCTGTCGTGCCATGTACGATGCTGGCGCTCCGCGAGCACGTGCCGTCGTTCTGCTCGAGGACACGATGCCGAATCTATACAGGATCTTCGAGCAATGAGTACGGCATCTGCTGATGATGAGCTACGTGAAGTAAGTGCCCTTGGTGGATGCTCCAATATCAATACTTTCTGACCGTCATCCATTAGGATGCTGGATATTTTCATCCTCCCTGAGCCTTCTTCGGAGCTCGGTAGCTTAGGTTTCCATGATACCCCCAAACCGGAACCCGAGGCCTCCTTGTTCGGCTTTGCCGATTTCCTCCGCGGCATGCACTGCCTCAAGGAGATATTCATCTGCACAGATAATCCCGAAGGGGGTGCTAGCCAGATTATCGAAAGCCTTTGCCAGAGCGAAATCACACTGGAACGCGTCAAAGCCTTCTGTCCTCTCATCATTAATGGATATCTTGACTATGGGGCGTATGCGGGCCTTTTCGCAAAAACACTCTCCACTGGACTTCCATTTCCGAACCTTGAAGAGATAGTTGTCGACCCAGGTCTCTTGTGACGTTCGACGACGAGCTGGGCTTCCTGGAGGGCAACGTAAAGGGCCACAACATCAAGCACGTGCGATTCTTTCCGAGTGATGGTGTAAAAGTCAACGGTTCTCAGCTGGCGCGTAAGTCGTATGAACCTCCTGTTGGTGGACAACTTCTTATATATCTCTAGGGCTCTTCTTCTATTTTCCGAATATCGAAAACCTCGTCGTACATGACCCCGATACAGATTTGGTGGCTGCTGCTGGTCTCGCCGGATCTCTGAAGAAGTTTCAACGACTGACCAGGTTTGCCCTCGAGCTGAAATGGCAAACGACCCAGGTCCGTCCGGTAGCATCCTTGATAGCGATTACGAAGAGGTTTCCAAGGCTGAGGGTCAAGCCGTTCGCAACGAGGAAGCCGCAGGTGGGAAAATTACTAGAGGCTATTTTGAGACTTGCCCGAGCATAGAGAAAGTATGCCTTTTTGGTGGTGCTTTTTACTTGTCGTTGGCTTAGTTTTACGATCTCTACCATCCCGCCCGAGACCTAGACAAGCAAGGAATGGTGCGCGACATTGATGTCGTGCATCTTACAGATTGGTCTATTGGCAACAAGTGGCCCAGGAGTATTCTTGGTAAATGGGAGTGGAAACGGCAACAGATCGGTCGGATAACCCGAACCCCCAACTAAAGATGATCAGACGGCTTGCTGCTCAGTATCTGCTCCGATTTTCCATGGTGGCGTTGGATTGTGGTTGACCTTAGACGGGATGACCTGTTCATTCGAGACAGCTGGACAGCACTAGAAATGATACAATTCTTGATGATGAGCAGACGTGTTCGTGTCCATCTTCTTCTACTTCTTCCTGTTCTCTCATGTTTTGTTCTTCTTCCCGAAATTCAATACCGGGCCGGAGCAAAGGCTGCTCAGAAACTCTTGTCGCGGTCGTAATGCCGCCCTCCTCGAGTGCCTACGTCTACAAATATAAAATAATGTTAATTATAAAAAGCGTTAAAATAGCCTATAAGTAGCATGCTGTTGTTTTTATAGTGTTTTAAGCGTTTTAAGCGTTTTTAAGCCTGTTATAACCTCTTATACTTAACTACCTTTCTTATTATTAACACGCTTAACTAATTACTTTTTTTGCAGCTATTATACTTAATTTTAACCCTTTTACCTACTTTAAAATAGACGAGTTATATACGATTATGCGCCGTTAACTAACATTTATTAGATAGCGTTATAGCCACGGTACTTAGGAAAGACTCGCTTTTAGACGAGATAAAGTTTATTACGATTAAATTAAAGAAAATGGCTGCCTTTTAATTAAAAGCTATATATTAAAAGGCATTATAATTACTTATAAGGTTATAAAGTTAAAAAGTGTGACGGTCTGACCTCCTGGAAGTCTGTCAACCCATCAGGGTGGCCTGTGCGCAGCATCACATGACCTGGCGCACAAGACGTGTGGCCACAACTGTACTAGGCTAGGTAATAGTGGGGCGGATGGAAGGATCATTAATCCCACCAGAATTGGCTGGCGGGTCAGATCCTTCTTTCCCTCCCCACCAAGAGATTCTTACACGTAGGTAGTGCAATCAGGACTTTTATGTCCTCATCCTATTTACGCTTCGTGACAAAAAGAAGATAAATTAAAAACGACGTTAGAGGCATTTTAAGAGATTATAAACTAGGTTTAACTAAGTGTTATATATAAAAGGGTTAATAAGCTTTAATATAATAATATAGTCGTTTAGCTTTTTATAAAGGTCTTTTTTTAAAAGGATGCCTTCGTTGTTACGATATAAAACCTCCTCGTCTTACTTTTACTACTACCGTATTACTACCTCGTCGTTTTTTTAATGACGCGATTTAATCTACCTTCTTTTTATAATGGCTTGTTTCAAGCTTTTTATATTTATAAAGCTCTTTTAATTACGTAATAATTAAGGTTCTATATATACTTTTTTATGCTTCAAGTCTTTATATTGTTAATATACATTATTTATTTATTTATTAACTTGAATTAAAACTTCCTCTTTTCCTTTAACTTAATAATAAGGCCTTGTTAAATCTTTTAACCTATAAAGTTAATCGAAGTAGTTCAAATATCTCTATTCTTAATATACTCGTCTTTGAAGCTAAAAAGATTTATAAAGATATTATAATTTTTAAAATACTTTAACTATTAACTTTTTTTTAAGCTTATGAGTAGCTCTAGCAACTATTTAGGTAGTTATTATATGCGCCGTAATATAACCTATATATAATTGAGGTTTATAGCTTCTTTTCAATAATATAACGGTTTATTACCTCTTATAACTATATTTTCAAAAAAGCATTTACTGCCGTATTAAGAAGTTAGAAGATGCACGTATAATTGAAAGAGATTATTATAAGTATAATTTTACGCTCTTATAACAAATTAAGCACGTCGTCGGTCTTATAAAAGGCTGTTATATTTATTATAAGTAACGTGTAGTTTTAATTAACTTTCAATATAAGCTCTTTGTTAATTTAACGCGTTATTGAATACTTGTTATTATCTATTAACTTATCAACTTTAATAAGAACTTTAAGGCTATAATATTGCCGTTTTGTTTTATTAGCTACTTATTATAAAGTACCGTAACAAATAAGCTTAAATTTAAAGCGTTAGATACTATCTACTTAAATGCATAGCACGAGTATTACCTGCCGCTTATTTTAATCGTTACGGTTTAATTTACTTACTACGGTTTTAGCTTCTTTATACTTATACGTACGCTTATTAAGATGTTTTAAAAAAACGTCTTGTTAAAGTTTATAGTTTTTTAAAGTAAAAAGTAGTAAGTATTATTAAATAGAGGCAATAAGTTTTACCGTATAAACTTAAAAAAGTTTTAAGCGACGACAAGATACTTTTCTAAACACTTGGTAGTTGTTTTTGTTACTTATTACTACGCGATATTTTATTATAAATAAAAGCAAGTAAATTAAGCGTTAAAAAAGTAAACAAGTGAGGCAAAGTAAGGATTTTTTTTAAATATCGAATATAGTTTAACGAAACTAGCTAATAATAATTAGCTTATCAGCTTTTATTATTATAAAAAAGCAAATGATAAGCTCTTTTTAAGCTTTAATCATTAAAGAGCCTATTGTTATAATAGATTATTATTAATACGATTTTATTATTATTAATGTTGGAACAGGCTTGAACGATCAATCATAAAACTCGAGTATTGGGTCAAGGTTATGATGTCGCTGATGGTTGGATTGGGAAGTCTAGCTAGACCTGCAGGTCTGGCTAAGTGACCTCACAATCCGGTATCTAATCTCTTATCTAATCTAATCATACATGTGGGTTCTTTATGGATGGTTTGACTGTGGAATCATATAGATCCAACAGTTTAAAAGTATTTAAATGTTGATAAAAGCATTAAAAATTCTCAATACAGAAGTAAAAAAAGCTAATACAAGCTTTATAACGGCATAAAAGATACTGATTAAAACAACAACAAAAATAAATTTGTTTATTATTGTCAGATGTGGTGGCTAAGGATATGTGTTGGAGGTGGTCTGTGCGTGGGGATCGGTGTAGTCCGAAATCTATTGAGACGGTCGACTAGCAATCGTTGCTTCACTGCTTTAGCAGCCATACGAGTGAGATGCGATAGGTGCGTATTTGCATACAAATACATCTATTCAAGGTAGCAGTAGAACACTTAGATAATCTACAAACGAATGAACAGTATTCCGCAACCTGAAGTTTAACAATTATAAAGAAAACGATGAAAAAAACACTTTTGTTTTTTTAAATATAAATTCTAAAAAGCAAACGTACCAAAAGAATTAAACCGAAAATTAAATTACTGCCTTGTTTTTATAAAGATTGGAAACTGTATAAACATATATAATTATTTTAATAAGAATTTTAAAAAAGTTAAAACGATTTTCAAAAAGATACGTACACATTTAAATAAAATACGATATTGTCAGATGTTGGATCCCAGATATAGTGCCTTTAGGTACAGTACTCGCTAAGGGGCTGCCAGGGGACCAGTGGATCTACTCTGGCATAGTGCAGTATGGTATTTAGCTGTAGATTAGCCCTATCAAGTATACTTGGGAATGACAACAACGTTTGCAGCGACCGCTCACACCCCCAAGGCTTGTGACCCTTCTAGAATCTCACAGATATATATACATAAGCTTTTAATAAACTTGTTAAAAAGCTAACTAATTAATAAGAAACAAAACTTTAAAATGCTGATATTTTTATATATAATCACGTTAAATTTAATTTCAAAAATTATAAAAGGTTTTTATAAACAAATTTGTTACGAACCAACTAACAGTGCGGCCTGATAGCAGGCCCAGAGGGGACAATTGGAAACAGGTTGACTAGAGAATGGGGTGCTGATCAGTGGAGAGATCGGAGCAACGGAGCAACAGTACACAGATCACGTGACCAGCAGAACCTGGGTCACGTGACTAAGAATTTAGATCACTGGATCACCATAGTGATTCAGTGAGCAGGATCACCTTGGATCACCGGTGATCCAGGGTGAGCCACCTAATCAGTTAGGGAGAGATTGGATATATTGTGCCTTGTGGTAGCGGTATCCAGAATAAGGACCAGGGTCACGAATGGTGGTTGTTGGTCTGTATTCTGGAAGTTGCTTGATTGAAAGAAGAGATGGGTGGTGTCCCCATCCCAGAAGTAGCTATCATCCCAGTTGGGTACGAATCTGGTACAAACGGGTACCAGTTGGGCTCCAAGGTACCTTGTACCCTGGTCCGTGACCCATCCGTCATTGTGGCTGGAAAATGGGTTGAGGAGCCACAATATAAGGACAGACATTTCCCAACCAGATAGATAGACAGTCTCTACCTCAGTGATCAATCTAAGCATCTTAGCCAACCCTAAAGTGGGAGAAATCTCTTGACGACTCGACTACGCAGTGAACCCAGTTCAGACCAAGCCCCAGCATCTGAGTGTTTTCTAGTTGACAGAAGCCTCTATCGTCTTTTGTGTTGAATTACCTCGGAATATAAACCCTATAAAACCCTTTAGCCTTAGAGGTTAGACGGCTCGTCACAAAATTTAACTTTATGTTTTATTAAAAAAAAAACCAAAAACCCCATTTAATTGAAATATATAAAGCTTTTAATGTATTTTAGTAAAAGAATTATTTCTTTAAAATATGATATAAACTTAGTGAACTAGGCCCGTTTTTTTAACTGGTTCGATATAAAGTTGTTGAATGATTTAAATAATAAATAACGCTATTTTTAATATTATTATCGTTATCAAAAAGAAATCTTGTAAATATAAACATCCTGTTTAAAATATATTAAAAGTAATAAATAGCTTAAAAATAGCTTTTTATCAGTTTTAATAATTTTTAAAGATAGCTCAAAACCTTTCTTATTAATACACAAATAACCGGCTATAAGCTAGGTTAAAATGTTATTTGATTTAGTCGGTTAAAACTTATAGAAATTATACGAAAAACTTTTGAACCCAATTAAAAGTTAAAATTTAGCTTTGTTGTCTTAATCGAAAATATTAAAAATGACGAAAAATATATTAAAGCTTTTCTATTACTTATATACGCTTGTTGATAAAGCTTAGATACAATAATAACTGCCCGATTATATATATTATATAAAACGTAAATATTTCCGCGCTTAAAAAAATTACGATA